ACTTTTTAGAATTAAACTGAGCCATTAGTTGAAAGCAACTACAATGGAAAATGTATTAAAATAACTGTTTCTTCTGATTGCTGTGAATCCCAGGTCCCAAAACCAACCCAGTCACAGCACATACAAGCATTAGCCATAGCTATAGAAAATAATGTATTGTTTTCCTGATGGACTTGTCTGCTTTTGTGGGTAAAAAAAGGTATCATTTTTTTAAACTTCAGCCTGTTTCATAAATGGCTAAAAACTCACCACAGTAGCTTTAATCACATAATTAAGGACATACCTACTTAAATCTAATTGAATGAGTCAAGGAAAAGCTACTTATGTGACTTAAATTATTTTACATTAGCATTTTTTTAAATATTATTAGTGATGTGTCCCTCACCACATTATACTTCCACATGGATCTATGCATTTGGTGTTTTTCTATTTTCCTAACTGTATGTTACAGAAGCCCAGGGTGGAGCAGACATTTCAAACATACGCAATGATGTGTTTACAAGTATTGTTTTTCTTTTCCATGACCTCTCCCCTTAGAGTCATGTCTGGGCAGAAGGCAACAACTGAACAGACATCTATACAGTGTTGGTGACTGCTGAGAACCAAAGCCTCTCCATGTTGGCTTGTTTACAGTCATTAAACATAATGTGATGGTGAGTCTATCTATGTTTTACAGTTCAATGCTGGCAGGGTATCAGATAGTTCATTAAAGATTTCCTCATACACAGAACAATATTATGGCACTTTGACAAGGAAATGCTTTGTTGTCAACATAAAATTACAGTCTCTAGTAGGCTGAAAATAGCTTGGCATGTGTGGAGCAAAACAAGTGTTGCTCTCTGCTTTGATCATTGTGCACAGAGCAGTTTTATTAGTTCTGATGTCCACAATTGTTCTGGGCTGTGTAGCCTGTGAGGCACAAGAAAGTGAATCAGTCAGGAGTGAGTCATAAGTACTCAGTAAAGAAATTACTATATTTAAATGGCTCTGCCTTTGTAAATATAAGGATTCAAATGTACAGCAGCCATCATTGAAATTTCAAGAAAAGGACAGACTGTTCAGAACTTTAATAGCCGTGAAAAGTCTGGTGTTTTTCACTGTTTACTATTCAAAACTAACAATTTCTGAAAACTTTGACATAACTGATGCATATATAATTTTACAGATAAAAGAAAAAGCAGCATTCATCTCTGTCCTTGTGCTTTATGTAGTTCTTGCCATTCATTTACATGGTTTGAACAACTCAGCTGCCACAGTTGAAAAGTGTCAAAGCCATTTCTACAGATTCTTTTTGTTGACATCTTTTCTGTGAAGATTTCCCCAACCTTACAGTTTTGTTCCCAAAAGCCACACGAGTATGTCGTTCTCAAGTGTCATCTTTGTTCAAAAACAGCTCAGACAAAACTTGTAAATACACCCAAATGATATGCTTAGTGACAGCAATTGAGCAAAAGTCAAACAGACAAAGACAGCAAGTTAGCTTCGCCAGCTAACGTCTCCATGAGCTAATGACAATAGCTGAATGGGCTCAGGCTACTCCCTGGAACAGAGCAACCACACCGGCTGATTCAAAATAGGAAAATGCTTGCCGAAAGGAACTGAAAGGTTCAACGCATGCCAATACAGCAGAGTGTTTAATAAAATTGAGTACTGTTGAGCATGTTGCATGTGTTGTGCGTTAACCGGTGTCATAAAGATGTTACTATCCAGACATTACACCTCCTCCTAGCTGGCATTCCCAATCAGTGCTAGTCAGTGGCGCTAGCCGCTGAAGACAGTCCATGGTTACCAGCAACAGTGAGGGGCAAACAAGTCTATCAGCTAACTAGCTAGCTGATGCTAATAAGCAAATTAGCCAAAATGCTAGCAAGCAAGGATGAACGTTAACACACCAACGTTAACAAACTGATCATTCGTACATGTCATTTCTGTCTAGTTTGTAAATGAGCGTCAAATGCAAAGAAGACGACTGGTAAAAGCTCACAGCACTTACCTTTAAAGGCTTGATCTACAACATCAGTGATTTGTTTGATGAGAGACTGCAACAACAAACAATAGCACCACCAGCAGCAGCAGCAGCAGCAGCAGCAGGGGCAATTAGCCAACGTTACTTAGCCAAGTGTCGCCACTACACAGAGTAGCACAACAGCTGCAGTGCCACCTGTATATATCTTCTCTCAGGTATCTATAACAGAGCCGAGCACGTTTGATTCAATGCTGTCATAAATGATGGACTTGAGAATAAAGAGGGAGTAATCGTTGCCGGAATGCTCAGACTAGTGTGTGTGAGGGGCACTCAGCATGACAGCATCCTTCTTCATCTTGGGGTGAGAACAGTTGGGGGTTCTCAAAGTTCAACCGGTAAAATATCGTCACCCACTGGCCAAAATGGGGAACATCCACACCCGAGAGGCTGTGTTAGCGGGCTTCAGGGCGATTATGCTGAGGAAACACTTGATCTGTCTTTGTCCTCATGACTCTGTGAAACTACCACACCAACCAGCACCAACACCTGAGCAATCTAATGCAACCCAATACAGCAGCTTTGCCCTATATTCTACTTTGGCGAAGCTTCTGCATCGGCATTTTTTGTTAAGATAAAAAATAGTTAAATTAAAATAATCTACTATATATAAAATAGGTGTAATAGATGATGTGTGTTCTTTAGACTAATAAGAAAATATAAGGAGCACTTTTAGTACAATAAGAATAGAAAAGACAAGAAGATAATATTTCTTGGAGGTTTAAATGAACTCCAGATTTTGACACAATAAACACATAATGTAAATTAAAAAAAACATACTTGTAAATGGCTGAATATATAAGATGAATGGATGAAGAAAAATCCAGTCAGTGGTTTAATCGTTTTTTTTTTTTTTTTCACACACAAACACCTGACTGAAGAAAATATCTAAGCACTTGACACAATGAACACAACAGAACTGTATAAAGAAGGTCTAGGCCATTTCAAAAGAAAGGACAGTTATAGAGAAAAAGAGCAGAATCTTGTTAAACTGTATAAAACATATTTTTTTACATTCTCAAGAAGATTGCAAGTGAGGAAAAAAATTGATTCGAAGAGGAAAAATAGGACAGCTGACAGTATTTGAGTTTAGAATAGAACATAATTCTTTAAAAGCAAATGAAATAAACTGCAATGTTGAGTAGTTAGCCTGGCAGAAAGCAGCAGAGGACTAAAGATTTCTCATGTAGTATGGCATAACTTCAGGGGGGGAACAGTAGAATGCAACTACCAAATATCTACACTGCAATGGAGGTAATTTGCATCATTGAAATTTAAAATTTTATGTGTAGTATTGACTGGGGACCAAAACACAGGTAAAGTAGAAAACATTAATCAAAGCATAAGAAAGACTACAGCAGTAAAGACTTTTCATTTCATGATAGAGCAGCACTTACATTCATAAATGGTCAGCAGCTGGGTTTGGGTATGGGTGTGCAGATGAAATTTAAACATAAATAAGTGTGTTTCATGTTAATTGTTAAAAAACTGTTAAGGTTTTAGATGGACTATTTGTAATAGTTGGCCTTGGTTGAACATGTAAGCCCTTTCAGAGATGTAGAGTTACTGTGCCACTAATTCTTGGTCTATTTATACTATAACAAGTTACGATGCTAAATCTAACAAATCAAACTAAACCAAGTTTAAACATTAAACATTGCTATTGCTGTGCTGCAGCTTTATGATCAAGAAAGTGTACTGCAGAATTTAGACCACTAGATGGTGCAAGTCCCAAAGAAAGTAATTTACTACACAGCGTTCCAGTGACACAGTGAGTACAGTATTTCAGGCATGCTGTAGTATCAGTTTACTTGTTCCCCACATTTACTCTCCCCCAGTTTTAAACTTTCTGTACATTATTTTTTTTCTATTCAAACAAAAAGGAAGATGTGCATAAAATCGGCTGTTAACAACCGGATGTAGCCACCAGATTCTGAAGGGGAAAAAAAGCTTTCCAGTTTCTTTGTATCAGTGATTTGTAATACATCTCCTTGGTGACAGCTGTACAATGGAGGCAGGTTCAGACAGGCTTCACAAAAAGTGAACTGACGTGGCACACACTCAATTGGCAATAGCCCCTTGGTACCATACTGCTGCTGAATAGATTCTCATTTATCGTGGCAAAGCTTTGTGTGAAAAGAGACTGCATACAGCCCCTGGATTCTTTTACCCAAGGGGGAGACAAAAATGGCGTCTTAGAGCACCCAGCTCATGTTTCTCCCTCTCAGTGGTTCTCAGATTACATCACACTCTTCACACATACGTAACTGGGGCCTTTACTGAAAATACTCTTCTTGAATCTGCGATAAAGATATCAATCCATTAGGATTTTTTATTATAATCTTGTTTTGGTTAACAGTTCTCAGTAGGAACTAGAGATAGAATATTTTAAGATATTTCTCTATTTTTCTTTTTTGCGTATGTTTATAACTTTATTATAAAAATAGCTGCTCTAAAGAAAATTAAAGATAGCACACCCTGATGTTATTGAGCACTTGCATGTATAGACACAAATAAATCACAAAATATTTCAAACTAAGTTGTTTATTTCATATTTCTGCCAGCGCTAACAGCAACACAGAACCTTGTCATATGCGACACATTGCACATACAGTACTGTTACCTCTGCTCGAGACAGAGCCGTACTAGAGTTACAGTAGCTCAAATACTCAAGGGATCACTACAACTCACAAGAAGCTAAACAAAAATCTCCCACACATTAACACAGACGCAAACAGAAGGACTGACACTATTCAGGAGCCAAAGCAGACTTTGAGGGTGAGCTGAACTGTGGTGTTACTATCATGTACTGTAGCTCTTTCACGCCACAGACCACAGATCACAGACTTGGACCTTGAATTTCAGCAATGCTCTCTTCATCTTCTCTCCGGACAGGGCAGGCAACTAGCGTGGCATATATATGTTGGGACATTTTTATGAGCAATGAACACACAGAGGCCCAAGAGGGAGGACCAGCTCAGATGGGGTGCCTGAAGTTCTGGCCGGCGAAGCGGGCCTTGTCACCGAGCTCCTCTTCAATCCTGTCAGAGAGAAAGGATGACTTTTGAGTTTAAATTGATAATGAAGAAAGTCTGCATTGTTATGACTCTACAGAGTGATGAGTTCAACCATAGGAAATGCACGTGTTTTAGGGCTTGACTTACCTGAGCAGCTGGTTGTACTTAGCCAAGCGCTCAGATCGGCAAGGTGCACCTGTCTTGATCTGAAAAAAGAATGAAATTACATAAAAATCCCGGCTGTACCACGAAAACTACATCTAAAAGTTTGATTCATAAGCCTTTATAGTTCTATTAGAATAACTGGAACCCTGTCAACAAGCTTATAATTATCAAGAAAAGATACACATGGGTTAAGGGTTTACCTGTCCAGTGCATAGACCGACCACCAGGTCAGCGATGAAGGTGTCCTCTGTCTCTCCAGAGCGATGGCTGACCATCACACCCCAGCCGTTGCTCTGGGCCAGCTTGCAGCTAAAAGAAAGAGACACAAGTTTGAGTCCCGGGCATGCTTACACTTGATTTACCTTCAGGATTTTGTTCACAGTACTCTGCTATAAATACTCACGCATCCAGGGACTCTGTGACAGAGCCGATCTGGTTAACTTTGAGCAGCAGGCAGTTGCAGGACTTCTCGGCCACACCCTTGGCGATACGTTTGGGGTTGGTGACAGTGAGGTCATCGCCCACAACCTGAATATTGGTGCTGGCTGTGAATTTGGCCCAAGCTTCCCAATCATCCTGGTCAAAGGGATCCTCGATGGACACCACTGTGAGGATAGAAGGACAAGAGATAAATGAGTTAATAATGTTGACATGAAGACACAGCACAGATATGCAGTCAACTTTATATTGTATGTTTTTTTTTTTATTTATTATTATTATTTTTTTTTTTTTTTTTCAGAAACCTGCAATGTTGCTAAAGATTAGTTGGCCACTTGGGGGCAGCAGAACTGTCAATCTGAATTTTGAAAGTACCTCTTACTAGAAAAATTACCTGTTAACCGTAACATGAAAGTTGCCAGAACCTTGATTCTTCACAGATAGAAATGTATCGGTGTGTTATTTTTGTGAGATTGCAGAAGTAAAATGTATTCAATTTCTGCAGTTTTAATCTGTACTCTGTGCGCTGCATTGTCTTGCTATGATAAATTAATCGCCAGAACATCTTGGAAACTTAACATTTTCAGGGATGCTGAACACCAAAGGTTAGGAGCTGGAATAAATTGTCTCATGTGAATAAAAAAATCTCACCAGGGTAATCTTTGACAAAGCCCCTGTAGAGGTCAGCCAGCTTGTCAGAGCTGATGTAGCGGCTAGGGTCATCAGGAGACTTGAAATCCAGGTCGTATTTGCCGCCCTTGTAAAACTCAGAGGCAGCAACATCCATGCCAATAACAATCTTGTCGGTGTAGCCAGCTTTGGCGATGGCGTTCTTCAGCAGCTCCAAAGCTGAGACAGAAACAACATACTACAGTCAAAATGTGAAAAATATGAAGGGTGGTGTTTCTTACTCATTTTAAAAATTCACTTTGAATTAACAGGCCCCCGTTGAAGACTTTGCTCCACTGGGGCATTTGCCATATCAGCACATCAAGCTGACACAGGAGTCAGAGGCTGGCAGTCGATGCACTTTGAGACCTTAATTTAGAAACCATGTGTTGGTCCTAGAGAGATAAGCAAAGCACTTGCCTGGAAAGTCTACGCATATAGTGCTTTCAAGACACACAGTAACAGTGTGCAAAAATCCACTGTTCTCACAGAAAAAAGAAAAAGATCCAAAACATTGAAAACAAAAAACCATAAACAGTGTACTAGTATAATAAAACATGTAAGTTCCCAGTTAGTTCTTATTCCTGATGGTCTGAGGACAGTTTTCATGGTTCTGATGTCATGGTTTCTCTCACCTTCCTTGTTCTCCAGGATGTTGGGGGCAAAGCCTCCCTCATCTCCTACATTGGTGGCATCCTTGCCGTACTTCTCCTTGATGACATTCTTCAGGTTGTGGTAGACCTCAGCCCCAATACGCATGGCCTCCTTGAAGCTGCTAGCTCCCACTGGCAGGATCATGAACTCCTGCATGGCCAGCTTGTTGCCTGCATGAGAGCCACCGTTGATGACGTTGAAAGCCTGAAAGAAAATATGGACGATAAGCTTTCCCCCAAACTGAATTACAGCAGAAAATAAAGGGTTCTGATGATCAAACTTTAGTGATAGAAGTCTGCGGGGTTTAGTAGCGTAAAGTCTCTAATAAGCAGGCTCACAGGGACAGGGAGGATGACTTCAGGGTTGCCAGCCAGGTCAGCGATGTGACGGTACAGGGGGACGCCCTTCTCTGCAGCACCAGCCTTGCACACAGCCAGGGAAACACCCAGGATGGCATTAGCACCAAACTTAGCTGTAAGTAAGAAGAGACAGATCTTTTGTTTCATTCACAAGCATGACATGTTGATATATCTAATTACTGAAAAATTTCAAGGCTAATCAAAACAACAAGCTTATCCCGGCTGCATAACCATATTATGTGAATGTCTATTGATATTAATGTTCCAGCTTTATTAATATCAATGAGGATCAGTTTTCTTGATACTAACATCAGCTGAGCAGTTATTGTACATAAAGTATCTTACACTTGTTTTCTGTGCCATCCATGTCCAGCATCAGCTTGTCGATCTTGCCCTGCTCCAGCACACTCACATCCTGAGTGAAACAAAATATGACAAGTAAACCCGTATGTTCGGATATCAAAGGATTCCCCAGGTGTAAAGTCATTTATTAGTGAGCAAGACCACACTTAATTAGTGTCAAAGTTATTGAAACATCTCAATACAAACAGTTTATAGGTATCCTACATGTGTCACTTCATTCTCGATATACAACACTCTTAACATGACAGTTTTCTGTTATGTCAATCTGCTTGCTCTAAAATGATACAGTTAGTCCTTAGTACCACTTACTGGTTACTAAAATTTTGTTCTATTTTTTTTTCATCCAATTAATATTGTGCATAAATGATGAATTAAATCAGTGATAAATTAATTTCTGTAATATTGGGCAAATGATAAACGCTCCTACCTTGTTAACCAGTGCAGGTGCAATTGATGTATTGATATGATTTACAGCTTTAGAGACACCTGCAAGGGACAAGCAGACCATGACTGACGCAGACAGGGGAAAACCATGCAGAGCAGGTGAAACAGATGAACACAGAGCACCTTGTATGATCCTCCATGATGTGTTAACAGTAAATTATTTCTTGTTTTATTCTTTTTAGATCTGTGACCATCTGTTAAAACCCGCAAAGGTTAGTTTTTAACGGCAAACCCATCCTTCATGCAGTAGTGCACATTAATTTCTAAATCCTATTATATCACACTTTATTTACCTGGTTACACAATGCAGGGGCCAAGAAATCATTAATATATTTAACTGCTCTTTTGACCCCTAACAGGAGGAAGAAACATGGAGAAATTGACAATGAAGATTAAGAAAGGAAATGCAGATGACAGTATGTACAGGAGAGCTGAAATGACATGAAAAGAAGTAGCAAAACAGAAGAAATAGACAGAGGGATCAGGGTGGGGGTCAATAAAAGCATTATACCTTTGCCCATGTAGCGTGTTTTGTCATTGTCACGAAGCTCCAGAGCCTCATAGATGCCGGTGGAGGCACCACTGGGCACTGCAGCTCTAAAAAGACCTTGGAGATAGGGAGGAGAGTTTGAAAATCTTAAAAGTGCTGTGTCATGTCCGAGAGGAAGTCAACAAATCAGCGGTCATAAAAACATTTCTAAACAAAACTTCAAATCGTCTAACTATTGTTTATTTTATACAACTCAGAGCCTGCAGACAGAAGCATGTGATAGGAGATACAGTAAAGCTATGGGCTGCTTAACAATAAAGGGAAAATAACAAATCAAACCAGGAACACACATCCCCTTCCTCAGTATTGTGCATACTGCATATTGTGTGCAAAGAGATAAATCAAGCATGTGTGGCGCATGTACTGGCCGTGCTGCAGATGGCTGTGATGTAACAGGAGGAGACAGGCTGCCAACTGAGCATGTGCAGTGTATCTGTGGAGTGATGCCAAGCCACACCCATGTATAAGAGGCTGGCCATTATGGAGTTGCACAATGTGGGGAAAAATTTGGGATAAGCAAACTCTATTGAGTGTGCTCAGTGGTGTGGCAGCCGGCAGGGATGGTGTGAATTGGATAGAGATTTAGGGCTCAAGACAGACGCTGACTGGGCAATGAGCTCAGACAAAACAAATCATCTGCATGAAGAAAACTGGCTGTGGCACAAAAATGCTTGCACCTGTCCATCAGGATATAAAAGATACTGTCTTCATACATTACATAAAGAAAAATTCATCCAAAAAAGAACTGTAAACCCTCCAAAACTAGGACTGACTTAACTATTATGGTTTTTCATTTAGATATAATTCATCATTAAATGTACAAATATACGTCATTTCTTGAGTTTCTATTTAATGCTTTCCATGCACAGGATTAGGCAGGCGCCGTGAATGCAAATATCTGTATAGCTTACCAGAGCTACCTCTGTCTGCCAACAAGCAGAGGATGATTTATAGTGTGCCACTGACTGAGGGGCGAGCTGGTTACATAACATATTACTGTTACTGTGACAGAAATGCTCTTAGTACACCACACTCTCTCTGGTCTGCACACTTAATGATGCCACTGCAGGCCTGGCTGACTTTAAAGAGGATTGCGTAAAAAAAAAATAATAATAAAGGTGCAATTTACAGTAAACAGGAGCACAAAGCAACCATCTGAAGTATTGGAAGAGAACTGGGCTGCAGATTAGAGAAGTCCAGCCGGTGTATTCAAGGCAGTTAAGCCTGTTTTCACTCTCTTCCATGTCAGTAGTCATTCAGGCTGCTTCATTAACATTCTCAGAACATTTCATTGGGTTGAGCTGGTCCTTTGTTTGAGCTCTAACAACAGAGCAGCTCGCCCAAAAACTTCAATCAAAATTGAGCCATTAGCCGATTGAATAAATTGATCTGACTCTAGGAGAGATGTGTTAAACATTGCTGAATTTTGATGGTACATGCTCGCCAGCTTTATTATGTAATCTAGCACACAGTCAAACCAGGCGAGAGCAGTACACTGTAATTTCATTTATCTGACAGCTCTTCATGTATGGTCTATCTAGGTCTCAAAGTCCAGTCAAAAGTTTGCTCGAGATACTTGCTGTATGAGGTATCGGTGAATCCAAACAGGAACCATTACAGTAACAGAGTGCTGTACACCAGTGTGATATTACACAAGCTATTTTCACACATCCACCATCTGATCTGATCCACTCTGGCTGTGGAGCTGGTAATGGTGCAGGGCAACCTCTGAACTAAGTCGTTTTTCCTACTTTACTAAGTGCAATAACACAAAAAAATGATGAAACTTGATTATAGTGTTTATGCTGCAACACTTAATCGGTAATACACAGAGGATAACAGTACATTTGAAGCTACAGATCTGTTTGTTTTATGATTATAAATTAATGTATAATTTATATAGGCTGGGTTGTTAAATATGCAATCTCTGACCCCAACTTCTAAAAACCATACTGTACCTTTTTTGGTGTACAGGTCAACCTCCACAGTAGGGTTGCCACGGGAGTCAAAAATCTCACGAGCATGGACCTTCAGGATGGACATGATTCTGGATCTGCGGATAAAACAATCAAAGATAAAAGTCAATAAAGTGCTGTTCCATTAGCCGAGCAGTTGGTCTACGCCCAGTCATGGTACTCACTGGATAATAGCTTTGAATAAAAATAGTGACCGGCGAAAAGATAAACATTCAGTGACTTAAATTTCAAAATGTAATCTATTTGATAGCTTCAGTTTTTAGTCAGAACAAGTAAAAGCGTATAGTGGATTTAGGTCTATCATACAAGTATGAGCTGGGCACAGGACTTGGACCAAGTGAGGCCGGGCTGGACCAAGTTGCAGAGATATTGGTCCTGGAAAAAGGCGTGGCTTATGCAGCAAAAAAAAAAAATCTGTGCATGCTCATTCAGTGTACTCAGTGTTTCAGATTACATCACAATACTGCAAAAGACTTGCAAAAGCCAAACAGTAAGGTTAGAACTTTCAGTCACAACAATAAAAACTTACTGTAGGTAACAAAAGGTGCCTTAGCACAATACATGTTTGACCACCTTTTGTATTGATAAGAGTGAAAAGCCTGAGCTACAGTCTATCTCATGAAGCCTTTATTATCTCTCTGAATTCCAGTTGTGGAGGTCACACAGAGTTTTAAGCCAAACAATGTGGCCATGACTGCCTGCCGCACTATTGATTCTCAATTGTTTTTTCTAACTTGCCCCGAATCTATGCACTAACCTACTCCACGACCCACTCTGAATGCATGGGTGAACTTTTAGTACAGTCAAACTGCAGAAGGACAACAGCAGCAGAACAAATGGAAAAGCCTCAGGCCCCAAAGTCTATGGAAACTCCTCTGGCAACTGTGAGAGGCAAAATAACCCCAAAATCTAAACAGGCCCTGGTCTTAAGTTGAATGGACTTGAAGTATTTTAGTTTACAGGGGCTGGGTCTTGAACCTCAATACTTAATGATCTCCACTAATTAATATTGGATCACACCAAGCCTGATAGCAAATGAAAACCTGATTTAACCCTTTTCTGATTTCTTTGCACAGGCGCTACATTTCATCCTTTAAAGCCAAATTTCAGGCAAATATGCCAAAACTCACCAACCTAATGACAACAGTAAGGATGCATATCTCATGGCACTGCAGGTTAGCTGCATTTTTTATACATGATAATCCAGGGTTGGGCATTATCTTTTTGAAGCCTCTGGGTATTATGTACTGTACATAAATACCTTTTCTCTTATCTTATTTTATTTTTCTGGCAGATCACAGCAAGCTAGAGTTCAATGAGGTTAGCTGGCAGCACAAAATGGCACCCACTGATAAATAAATAATTTGGAATTGATACCTGATACAGGTGTAGGCATTTCAGATAGGAAAGCTAACTCAAGGTCTCCAAACTTGCAATATGTCTGAGTTAAATAATTAGTTGAATAAATACACTTGAAGTCTTTAAGTTGGAGAAAAAAAACTGCAGTAATACAGTTTTAAAATGGAAGGTAAGTGGGTTCTTGAAAGTATGGGGATTTCCCGAAGGTCCTTTGGTAGAGAAATAACTCATCTCCACAGAAAAAGGACACAGTGAACCTTGATGTTGCTGCACACAGTAATTTTCCTTCAACGGGTGGACACACCCCCATGTCTGCTGCAAGCAACTGGTGCTCTCTGACTGCCTGGGCCTGACTCAGACTGCATCACATCCTTTAGGCCCAGTCATTGAAACACAAAGACTCTGATATTGGTTCTGTAACAACTGGAAAAGGCTGTTGGATGTCAGCTTTGCAACTTGACGCCCCCCTTCCCCACACACCATGCAGTTTCTAAATGGAGTCACAGTCGCCAGCTGACGGTCTGGTTTAAAAATAGACGGTGGGCTACAAATTACTCCATCCAGCAAGCCACAGAAGCATTAAGTTATAAACTAACAAGCTTGTAAAACAAGAAATATCCAACAAAAGCTTCACAGCGGACACAAGTACAAGACTTTGAGAGTATCCTCGTGAATGGAGAACAAAATGTACACACTTATTTCACAGAAAAATAGTTTACATAAACCATTTAGTTTGTATTTTCCTCGTCATATTCTAAAAGCTATCGCCCTGCTCAAGGTCAGAACTGAAAAAAATAGAAATAAGCGTGGTAAAGTTACCTTTTCCGCCTTACTGTGTGCAGGGAACGGTGCTGTCTCTCTCGTGCAGGCAGGCAGAGAAGGCGCTCGTGACGTTACGGGCTCAATGATAAGTGGACGGAATCAGGAAGAGGAGACTAACGGAGCCACGCTATTGGCTGAGACAGACTCACGAGGCAGAGCAGTGCGAGGAGAGACGCACGTTCGCCATCAGGAGTCAGACAGACTTTTTACATCTTATAACGGGGCGAGGAGGTTGATGCGGATTTTCCCAATCCTTGCTGAGGGCGGTTTTAAAAACATCGTCTGGGCTTGTTAGGCATTCTCGGGCGAGCTTATTAAAAGAAAGTTAGTTTTTTTTCGATTGAGGATGTACAGTGAGGACACAATAGGGAAGGTGACGCATTGTGAGTACGTGCAGAGAGGCAGGCAAGGATTTCCGATGCAGTGGTTCGTCGTTGGTCACATGTCCCTCATGATCATGAGTTTAAACAGAAAATCCATCAGTGAATGGGATGCATGCATTTCTCTAAAGATTAAAAACGCAGAGAAGCAAAATGTTGTGACTCCCTACACTTATGCATATACACCCATCTTAAAGCGTTGACCAACAAAAGTGACAAAGATGACAAAATACTCGACAGGTGCAGTCAATACGGGTTTTTTGTTCATTGTAGGCCCTTTATTAATCCAGCTACTTGGTTTTGCACGTGGACTACACCATTCATTCATGCAGTAGTGAGTCACTGCACGAGTGAGTTGTGGGTTTCCCCTGAATATCTGACGTCCCGTCGTACCATGGATTTGATGCAGCTGCGCAGTGCAGAGAGAGAGAGCGCAGCATCACTTGCAGATCGGTAATGATGGAGCTGCGGAGTGATGGGCGTCTGCTGCAGTGACCTTGAGACTCTGCCGCTCTAAAATCCAATTGCGCCATCTGCTGGCCGGTGGCCGGTTTTGAGCAAAACGTTTCTGCAACAAATGCTGTTGTTACCACTGACAGACACCTGCACAAAAGCAACTAGGTAGTCAGTGTATTGCCCGAGACCTATCTGCAAGATCTCAAACATGGTCACTAAGAATCACTCTTGTGAACATCTTTATTTGGTCCTTATTTGAGACTGAGACTGTGTCCGAAATGAATCACTCAATCCCTAACCCCTAACCCCTAACCCTCATAAGGGGTTTCACTATACAGTTGACAATGTAGTGAGCTCAATCACCGGAGGTTTTGGACACTACATGGCAAGGCGCAATGCATGATGCCCACCACCGGTGAGTGTCCATCGGATGGTCACTACATTTTGCAATGCTTTATGGGAAATTTTGAGTCACCTATATAGGGCACTAGAATTGATCGCTGGGGTTTCGGATACCCCTCAAAACGCGCTTACCCCCATTTAGTCACTTATATAGGGGTTATGGACCCATTTCGGACACAGCCTGAGTGTACATTTTATCTTGATGCATAGGCTACATTTCCACCAAAACATGGCAGTCAAACACTAGAGATAAGGCAGAAAATGAAGCAATTACAGTTTAACTTTATCTCAAAGCTGTTTTGAGTCTTTCAACAGTGTCATGGTGAGCCAGCAAACATCCTGACAAGATCCTGAATCTGAAGCAGCTCAGCGGATTTCAGCCATCAGTCGTTTAACATTTATATGGGACTTTTTTAAATGTTACATGCCAAATATGTATTTTTCTCTCTCTCTGAGTTTATATCCTCTTACTTATTTGTGTGTGTGTGTTAGTTGTTTTAGTATCACAACTAAAGATGGACAGGAAATGTGAGGGGAGATATGTAGCTAACAGTAGTAGCCATGGGAGTCCAACCAGTGATGAGGACTAAAGCCTCCGTATAAGGTACTGTAATAAGACATACCCAAACAGGTCAGCCAATGGTGCCTCAGTGTCAAGTATCTTTGGAGAAAAAGTGAAACATTTGGTTTTCTTGAGGGACCCAAACGCAGGTAGAGGAGGCAGAAGAAGCTTTAAGTGATTTTGCTGAAATGAACGATGAAGGATGGTGTGAGGTCCGGGGTCCAAGGAGTGCAGGGGGATCCGTTGTGAGGGGGTGAGGCAGTGTGTGAGCTGAAGGAGACAGCAGGTGAGTGGTTCAGGATAGAGAGTGTGGCAGAGGAGGCAGGGGTTGGGCAGACACTGGTGGCTTGAGGAGGCACAGGTGGAGAAAGGAGGACAGCTGGGATTAGTAACTTGCAAAACATTCACTAGAACACTAGAAGTTCTCAATACTAGAAAGTGTTGACCGTGATACCACTGGGAGAGCGGGAATAATCTGGCGATGAGCAGTCCTCAGAGCTGAGCCTAAAAGCAGGTGGTGATTAGGTGATCAGATGCAGGTGTGGAGGTGCAGGAGGAGCCAGTGCTGCTGAGGAGCTGCCCAACCTCTGTGAAAAGAAGGGGGCAAAACTCCACACAAAAAAAACACTCCACGGAGCCATAAAAGTGTCCAAACCAGCAAAATCATGACTAAAAGATTTATACAGATATATTAAATTTGCCATTTCTCCAACTTAGCAGCCTGCATTCACACCATATGCAATATGTGAGGGGTAAAGGTTGCAAGCACTTTATATGAAGTAAAAATTGCAGTTTTATTAAACCAGCTACATCAAAGCTGTTTATTATTTCAGAGCTATGTTATCTGATGCGCTTGTACTTCAGGAGGATTGAGAGGGTGTTTGCAAAAACCTAAGCTTTACCAGCAGATCTGCAGAATGATCGTAGTTACGGTTCGTAATGGCCTTACTTAATCATTTTAAGCCTGATTATGCCTTACAGATCAATTTTATGCTAAAATTTGAGTTACCCATTTGTGCAAAATCCTGGTACCTTGTATTTAGACTCCTCCTAGACTTCTCAGGCAACTAGACCATTTGACCTCTGACCTTTTGGAAAACAGCTGAAGAGCACAGAGACCAAAACAGCATAACTAACGACTGACTAACAACTGCAGACTTGGGGATTAAGCAATTCACCATAGACTCATTTTACACTTCAAACAGCAGAACTGATGGTTTGTTTGAAAGACGGCCCATACCATATAGTTTCACTCTTGGCAGGGACACACTTTTGCTGCATGTTAAACCCCTTTATTCTTCCCACCCTACCCGTCCCTCTGCACCAGTATAACCTATGAACTCTATGAAAGAATGGAAAAATGACGTGGATCTTAAATTTACAGTATTTGTTATAATTTGGCCTCAAGCTCAGAGGAGATCTTAAAGAAAAAGTCTGGAAAATATACTTTTGTGTTTTTTTCCTGAGAGTTACAAAGAAGATTTTTAACACTCCTTTGTTTGTACGTTGAGTGTGAAGCTACAGGCAGCAGCTAGTTAGTATATCTGATCACAAACACTGGATACAGATGGCCCAGCACTGATCTATGGCTTAATTTGTTCATTCAAATATAAAACATGGAAAATAGCAGTCTGGACTAGGTATAACTTCCTGTAGTCTGTGAATGCTGCCCCACAGCTGTTCAATGCCAAGAATATAAAAAAAAAGTTCATGGTTGGAAAAATGGTTGGAGGTAATGTCACACACACTTTGGTACTGCACGAGAAAGCTTCACCAGGAGGGGAGATGGCAGTACAAGACAGCTGATTATTGGTAGTATGTTGCCATCAGTTATTATAAAATATTTTCCCATACCAAGCATATACCCCCCTGACATCTGAGAGGAAAACCACAGTAACAACCACAGTAAAAGCTGGTTTGCTGATTGGCTTGCCTCAACCTGCAGCTGCATGATCAAGAGAAATGTCTTAAATTTGAGTTCCTTCTTCACTTATGAGAGTTAGAAAGACAAATGTGAATTACTGAGGCTGTTCTCATTAACATGTCATTTTTTCAGAGAGCCTTTTCATTCAGCAAGCACCGAAGACTCATCTGCTCCAGTGGAGCATCTTGCATGAGTCAGACTGGGGTTACTGGTTAGTTTCCAGGTGTAAATATGCATGTCTGTGTGAGCAGGGTGTCCCAGGGCAGAGGATTCATGGACCCTGGTAATAAAAGAAATACTGTTAAAGAAAATATAGAGAATTGATTATCTTTTTAGACTCTTAACGCCCTGATGCAAAGTGTCCTTATCACAACCACTGCGTTGTCATGAATTCAAAATAACTTGCCCTACCTCAAACCTCATTTGATATTCTCTTGATCTTTGACATTTCTCTGGTATTAGAAGTCTCTAAAATCCCCCTGTAAGCTGAGTTTGCATTAATTGTGTGAAAGATAAACACAGTCATGGTTTAGCAGCTTGATGTCTTCACGCAGCAGCAAACATTTGGCATTATTTGTACTTTGCTGCAGTTGTACCATCAAAGTAAACTGACTTTCAGTGTTAAATGAAACCTGTATTCTTTTCTGTGCATCCTGCTCACTCTGAGACTGATTTAGCTTAAGTGCAGAAAACAATGCAAACAATAAATGAAGAAAAATGGAGTGTGGTTAAGATGCAGAACTTCTGTCAAAGCAACAGAGAATGACAGAAAAATAATTGGATTTTAGAGATACTGTGCTGAATGTGAAACAGAAAACACAACAAAGTTAAGTAATTCAGTGTTTAAAACACTAGTTGTCCATAAAAAAGGCAGAGTTTGACCCTAAATCATAAAGAAGAATATTAACATGACCAAATACAAGTGGTAAAATAGGGGAAATAAGTGTTGGGTGAAGTGACAACCATAAAATAAAAAAAATTCACAGCTGATAGTTTAAGATACCAAATGTGTTGCAAAGGAAGAGTAAAACGTGTTGCACAAACATTTGTACACACTTAACTTGCTAAAAGCTGTTGACCATTAGAGGAAGCACATTGGTGACATTATGAATCTTGTATTTGTTCTTTTCATTAGTATGTTTCCTATTGTATGATCAATTCTTAGTAACAGTCTTGGGTAGTTTCTTTCCACTATCAGTGACTTACTCTCCTGGTTTGGAGGCTTAAGTGGGTGAAAAGTCATGGTAATGGGAGGCATATGGTTTGAATTGGCCTCTTGACTGCAAAGGCATCACACATCATCAAAACTAGCATGTAAAGATGGAGTTTTAGAAAAAACATACAGCAAGGACTTGGAAAAAATAAGAGACCAACAGTATAATCAACTCTCATGTGACTAAAGAAATACAAAAGGATACTGTACAGGTCTTATTCAGGATCCCTGTGATCTGTGGGATTTCATATGCCACCTTTTGTAATTTCTATCACATATTTGAGCAGTCATATGAAAGACCACAGAATCCATGCAACTTCTCAAAGGAGAACCTGGATTTTGTCTTGCTTACATTCCATCTATACCCTCCTCTTCTTCCCGTCAACAGGATGTTTCATGACATGGTACATTTACTCCATGACTGCAGCACATATGTTGAGCTCAACATATGTGGCCTTTAAATTACTGGGCTTGCTTTTGGCTGGTACAGTTACATCATTAAAGTCCCAAAAGACTTTAAAACTATGTTTGTACTCAAGGCAAAGATAAACCCAGTGATTTAGTGAGGGAGAGGACAGCTCAAGTCCCGACTAAGTGCTGGTGTAAGTCCAGCACAAAGGGGCATAAAAAATAATGATCTCAGGCTTTGTGTGGGTATAAAATGCTCTCCTGTCTGTTCTCTCTTTGGTTTAGTTCTGTTTTCTACACTTGACCCTTTAAAAGCAGCTTTTATAAGCTTTTAGGTGTGGGTAGTCTAAAAGCAACTATCAAAGAAGAGCAAGCTCCCGGTAAATCCTTGGAGGAAGGATGGAAGAGGAACAATAAGAGATGTCCTTTGATGACTTTAAAATTCAATCACTTCTTCAAGCACAAGAACACAGGCTTTCACTTTTCTGTTGAAGACTTTTTTTCTTTCACCTCTTTTTTTATCTCGATTTCAAACTTTTTTAAATGTACCAGTGTCTTGTTTGTGTTCAGGTGCAGGCCAAAATTCCCCCTCAAAAACATTTAACTTTGCTTAAACTTTAAAATTGAACCCTGACTTAAGAGATTGTCAAACATTTAGGGGAATAGAACTTTTTACTGTCTTGCTCTGTTAGGTGGCAAGATGTTTGTTTGGTGGGTTCAAGTCTGGGATACAGGGGGGTCAGAGTAGCCAGTTAGCGTAGTTTAGCAAATTAGGGCAACTATCTTGAAAGTGAACCTTTCAGTCACAAAACCTACTGTTAAAACCTCATCAGGAACCACATTTGTATCTGTTTTTCAAATGTTTCTTCAACTTTCTTTGTAAAGGCTACTTTTTCACAACCTTGTTGGCATGCCCCATCTGATTAACTGATAGCGTCATAAATTCACAAGTCCTACAGATGAGCTAATCTCCGTAGGCCTTCCTTTTAAAGCACTGCTTTTTGTACAGGACAAAAGAATTCCTGAAAAGGGCTGCTCTGGCTAGCATTCTCTTGTTTTCATGCTAAGCCAGTGTGACTGTATGACTATCATTCATCATTGTTCAAAACATTTGAACTCTTGGTAAGATTATAAAATACTTAATTCACTTAAGTTCATTTGAAAATCATTGAGGATATTTTCTCCTGTCTTAACAAACACTTACACACCTCTAAGTTTGACAGTTTTGGCATTTACTTTTGAGGCATGTTGTGACTGGTGAGTTATACCAACAGGTGATAGCGTCATGGCTTAGTGTCATTTATTGTATCTGGCACAGGTGTTTTTTCATTTAAGGAGGCAGCTTTATCATAAGAATCTGGGACTTTTTTGGCTTCCAGCTTAGTCACTGTGACGGGAATTACGCTTGTAAATGTCACGTCTTTTCTCCTGGACTATAAACATTTTAGGCTAATGAGGTAAAATGGACTAACTTTAGCTCGCAAAGTCATTATATATTATTTCTGTCAGAGTACAATAAACTTGAATTCCAGTTTAAAATCTGCAATGACAAAAGAAAACTGAAGCCTAATTTAGCAACATGTTCCAGATAAGACAGTCAGATAGTCAGTATGAGCAGTTCCCAGTCGCTTTGAGGCTGCTGGGAAGAGCTCTGGGCGTTCACAGAGGAGGTTTCAACACCTCCCTTCACTCTCGGTTTAAATACTGAGGGGAAATCTCCGCGAGTTCGCCTGCGCTGAGGAACAGAGCAACACAGCGATGGAGTTTCTCTGCGTGTTTTTCTGTGCCGTCTTTGTTTGTGTTGTCAGCCCTAGTGGGATACCTCATGACGGAATACACTGGACATATACTGGTAGGTGTATCGTTTAGACACCTAATATGAGTTATTATTTCCCAGATTAACAATTGTGCCTTGTTTTATCACCAAGGAACAAAGTTGTCTAATGCGTAAAAGCTGCGCGTCAGGGTGTCCAATACGCATTTGTTTCTGCGTACAAAAGATGTGAACAAAAGCCCCTCATCCTCAGGTTGCTCAGATAGCATCGTGCTTTTTTCAATTCAAAATGTACCAGATTTTTCTGTGTGAATTACGCTGCATTGGCGAAATACCTCCGGTGTCAGACAGTGGTTTCATCAGGCGCGTGCGAAAACAAACTGAGAGACAAATTATTAGGTGTTGGATACAGCACGGCTGTGCCAAATAATATGAGAGTGAATATTGTTGGAAAAACCACACTAACTCTGGCAGCAATATCCAGTTAGACAAGTCCTGTGCATGCCAGTGCGCTTCAACAACCTGTGTTCTACTTAAGTGATCCACGCACAAGCGCTAATACCCGTGTCTGTGTTTGATTAGTGTCGCTCCTAACTTTCATTTACTTCGGACCAGACTGAGTGGGTGATTTTACAGTATGTCCATAGTTATGTCCATAACTTCCTGCACACAGAGGGAGCTTTGGACCAGATGCACTGGCCAACCAAGTACCCAGCATGCGGAGGTAAGAAGCAGTCTCCAATCGATATCCAGCGGCGCAACGTTAGACACAACCCAGACATGCTGCAACTGGAGCTGAAAGGATATGATGCCCAGAAAGGGAATTTCCTCATGTCCAACAATGGACACTCCGGTAAGTGAAAACAGCATGAAAACATCCATGATTCAGAAACTAAATTTACTTCCTTTTTAGAGGACCCCGCCACTATATTTTAATGATCGAAAAGCCAATGTGATTGATCTGCGTTGAGTTGATTTCTTTTCTGCTTTCAAGGCACTCATATGTTTTCATCTGTTTCGTTATGTTGTAAAACTGAACTTTTTTAAGTCTTACCTTTTTTAAGTTAAGCAGTAGTCTGCAAAAAGTGATCACTAAACTTAAGAAAAAAAATACAGCATGGTATTAGAAAAAAAGTGAAACTCTACATTATTTTACAATACCTACATACAGAATCTGACTGTTTGCAATGACACAATCCCTCCTATACCACCTGATTTTTTAAGAGGAGTTGTTTTTGCCCTGATTTTGATGTTGCCTCACACCTGTGCTTACCTAATGCTTCACTTCTTCAAATTTCCATCAGTTCAAATTGATCTGCCTCCCACCATGGAGATCAGCAAAGGTCTCCCAGGAAAATATACAGCTGTTCAGATGCACCTGCACTGGGGCGGCTGGGACCTGGAGGCCAGTGGTGCAGAACACACTGTAGATGGCATCCGCTATATGGCAGAGGTTTGCTTTAATTTTTTAAAACAAATAATCTGGCTTGATGAACAAAACAAAACAGGATTAAGTTTAAATAACCAGCTGGTGCACTTGTCTTGTGATGACAGGCTTTTCATACATTGTGAAAATATTTTCTTAACGTTAAAAGCCACTCCTTATTAAACACATGTAATATCTAAAGACACAAAGACTAGTGTATTTAAGGTCGCCAAAGCAACATAATTTACGGCTAAGCATGAGAACTGTTCTGTGTTCAGTAATGACTGTGTAGTGATTCGACTCTTCGAGAGGAAATCAATACAGCCTGCAGTTTTTTTTTTTATTCAAAAGGAAATTTACCCCTTTCTTCAGTACAACCTTATATATCTTAACAGTCCTCTCACGTTGACCTGTTTTTCTGTCTTACTTAAGTTGTCACCTGGCATATTCTGTTGCCTAACCTGTCTTTCATTTGCACCTTGTTTTCCAGCTCCATGTCGTCCATTACAATTCTGACAAGTACAAGAGCTTCACTGAAGCCAGAGATAAGCCTGACGGGCTGGCAGTGCTCGCCTTTTTCTATGATGTATGTAAGCCACCAACGCTTCCCCCTCTTCTGTATTCTGCTTTTTCTCACCTTGAGATTTTTCAGTATCTCCTCATGATGCTAGCACTATTTCTTATACATAAGCACTAACAGAGCCAAAGGACAATGACAGAAAGAGTCATAGTGGTGAAAAACTACTGTGTAGTGCCATTCGAAGTGTATGAGTGGACATCTAGCTAGATTGAAAAGCTCCACTGAGTGTTAAGTTGTCTGCAGACGTATTGAAAGAGTTTGTTTATTGAGGAAATGCTCTGGATGTTAAAGCAGTCTGCGGCTCTTTGCTTTGAGAGGTCATTGCTGCATGAACACACCTCTTCTGGCACGCACTGTGAAGGCAGCACTGAGCTGCTAGGATTTCTGCTTACTCATATAGTGACCAACCATTCATTGGCCTGGAAGTATCAATGATTTTTCTGTTCTGTAACTACTACTATGACAATTACTTATTGTGAGATCTGGTAATGTGGCAACCTCTCTCATAAGGTGACTGATGATGGGGCCGGGCATCTGGCAGGGCTGTCAGGCATAATCAAAGTACCTATTTAGAACTGATCAGTCTTGTCTGTAGTGTTGTTGTTCACTTTCATCGCTCATATGTAAGCAATGGTGTTAGTTTCATTACATAAAACTCCTTACAGCAGGGGTGTGTCTAGAAGGGTTGCCAGGGGTGGCATGAACCCTAATCAGTCACCCTCAGTTCCACAACAAAAGTCCCAAAACTTAGCAGTGTATTTTGTTGCAACCATAGACTTTAAATACCATGGACAACTTAGTTCCTCCTTCCGTCTTTATACCAATTTGAAGCCGAATAGCTGTCTGTATTTCTGGGACTTTCTCCACTTCCTGGCACCACCACTTGCGCAGTAGCGTTGCACACATTCGGTGAGGAAGTCACCAAGAGTCGCTGTGATGACACTTGGCGTATCTCCCAGGTGAGCTACAATCTTCATATACCCATAGGCTGTATCAAGTGTCAATTGTAGAAAACATGAACCCCTGATAACTTTTAAAAATGGAGTTGTTCAGAAAGAAGAGGACGAGCACAAACCAGTCTTACAGTAACTGCATGTCAACATCACAATAAGGGGGGAGAAAAATTTATACTCTGTGTAATTAAATTCAAAAGTTTGTCCACAACTCCATAGGGATTGCTGGAGGAGGTGGGATTTATGACCCATACTGCAGCCTGTCACCAGAGGGTGCTGTTCTCATGGCGGCTTCACCCAGCGAGGAGACAGGCAGCGTCCATTCTATATACAGTCTATGATTGCAACCTGCTAATGATAGACGTCTTTACATTCCACTATCTCACATTTTTAGTACTTTAAACTATTAATTAATACTTCATACTTAATCAAATAGGTAGGAAGACGCAAAACCAGCCCATCACATACCTCTCTGATCAGCTGCTCATGAATTTTACGTCTCACCGTTGCAGGACCTTTGCCTGGCACACAACAGATTTTTAAAGCTATCTTGGTAGATATCATATAAGTCTCCTACAGATGTTTCGTTCTCTTCCAGGACGGCCATTTTGAGAACACTTACTACAGTGACTTTATCTCCAATCTGGACAAGATCAAGTATGCAGGTGAGCAACTGCACACAGAAAACTGACTCTATTTGAATCAAGTGTTTGAGTCTAATTTGAGTGATGTAATGATTTTGATCCTGACAGGTCAGTCCATGAACATTTCAAGCATCGACGTACGCTCCATGCTTCCTGAGAACCTCAACCATTTCTTCAGATACGAGGGCTCCCTCACCACTCCGCCCTGCTATGAGAGCATCCTGTGGACTGTGTTTGATACCCCCATCACTCTCTCACACAACCAGGTAAAACAAACAGGAGGAGTTTCACTTTAGGATGAGTAAAATCATCTCAAATTTTCCACCATATTTGGAGGCTTCTTGTAACTACGTTATTTTGAGAGTGTTATGTGTTTTCCTTCTTTGTCTCTCGTTCTCAGATCAGGAAACTGGAAAGCACTCTGATGGACATTGACAACAAGACCCTGTGGAATGATTACCGCATGGCTCAGCCTCTGAACGACAGAGTGGTGGAATCTTCTTTCCTGCCACGCCTCGGGAAAGGAAGTGTGTAACATGTTGTGACAGCGCAATTACAGAATATAAATTACGTCACAGGGTTTTTGTTGAGCCTGAGTTTTATCCAATTTTTGTTTTTCTAGCATTTTGTCGGCAGGATGAGATTGAATCGAGGCTCTTGAAGATTGAGGGTCTGATTACGTCTCTTGGAAAGCATGTGACATCAGGTGAGAGACCTAAGATAAAAAAACGCTACAGATGTTGTCTAGTAGCCACATTTAATATACTTTTATTTTTTCATAAGGTGGAAGTCGTAACTCAAGGCCTGCAAAATACGGTGAGTCTTTCGTTTTCATTCTGATTTAAGGAGAGCAAACACTGGTGGATATTTCTCACCTTCAGTCTTACTCTTGTTACCTCCTCAGAATCCAGAGCTCTGTTTCCCCTGGTGCTCCACTTCCAGGAGAAAAACTTTGGGGCCTATGCTTTGGCTAGCCCGGGCCATCCCATGGAACTGGACTCCTTCACCATCTGCATGCACCTCCTTCCTCAGCTAGAAGGCATCCACACCATCATCTCATACTCCAGCAACGGCAATGAAAACGAGATGACCATCTCCATCCGTGAGGACAGAGATGCCAGAGAAGTCGGCCTCTGGATTGGCAATGAGTATGTCAACCTGCCGCACAACTTCAAGTCCCACGACTGGACCAACTACTGCATCACGTGGTCATCGCACACAGGGGGGGCAGAGCTATGGATCAACGGCAAGGTGGGGGAGCGGCGGTACCTGAAGAGTGGCTACATTATCAATCCTGGAGGTGTTTTCATCCTGGGAATAGACCAGGATGGATTATTGGGAATCTCCAACAGCAAAGCCTTTGAAGGGAAGATGACTGATGTCAACGTGTGGGACCATGTCATGACCACAGCGGATATCAGGGACCAGATGTCCTGCGAGAGGAACAGCACCGTGGTGGGAAATGTGTTCAGCTGGGGAAGCACCAAACTCAGCATGTATGGAGGGGTGCAGCTGGACACTCAGTACAGATGCTCCTGAAGTGTTAGCTTTAATGGTCAAAAATAAACCAAAGTATCAGTGCTAATGAGAGGATTTAAATGAATTTCACAATGAAGGATCTTATGTCCGTCATTCACCTGTGAGTCAATTTCAAATGCAAACTGTGTGTCCATTCATCATCAATAAAAGTTTTAAGTGTCTTGGTTGTTTGATTACTGACTCAAGCACAAAGACATTTAATTTCTACTCAAACAAACGATACAAAAAGAAGTTGTGCAAAGATTTCTTTTAAAATAAACAACAGAAACTTGATCAAAACATTTCCAGTCTGTTATGATTCTCCCCAGAGCGCGCACTTCCTCTCTTCTGAATGCTCTCAGTTTTCTTCAGAAGGCTGTGATCTTCACCGCATCCTCCAGCTTTTCTTTACTCTCTTTCAGTGGCAGATCCCCGTCCCCCAGTTTGATCTCCACTTTGTTCCTCTTGGCGAACATCTGGCAGATCTCCAGGAAGGTCTTGCTCTTGGTTTCAGGGACCACCAGGAAGATGTAGATCAGTGTGGCCAGACAGATGACAGAAAAAATGATAAAACTGAAGGGCCCGAGGCCGCTCTGTGAGGAGGAAAGGGAATATGATCAGAGAGACAATCGGCATGAAACAACATAAACATGTCTGCTAGAAACTCAAAGTTGGACAAAAACATTTTTTTAAGTTGAGGTGAAAAAGAATTTGAAGACTTTTATGTTGGAAAGTTTATGTTCGTTAAGCATATGCCATGTTTGGTTGCTTTTTGGTTTGAGGTTAAAAGAGGGAGTTGGGAGTTTAAGATTATCAAAGAAGATACTCTGTTAGAACAAAAATATGTATGATGGGTTATCCCCGAAAAATGTAAAATAGCTTTTAATGATAATCTCGCAAACTTGTTCATTATGAACTGTTAAAGTTTCTTTGGGTTTCAACTTTCCCACTTGGATAAGTTGCTTACTGGTCTGTGGTCATTTTTAAAACTCTAAAGTTTTGTCACAACATCTGAAGCTTTCATTAAGAAACTTTAGTTGAACTGTAAGTTAAACTGAGCCCCACACAAATATCCAAAGGTTTTCTGGTGTTTTTAGTGTTAAAGTCTGCACATATGCCCCTACTTCATAGTAAAATATCAGGTATTTAAAAAGCCTGAAACCATTCAGTGATTAGGACTGCAGTACTTTCAGGTAAATCTCATTTTTGTGGTATTTTAACAAAGATAACACTGCTAAAATCATGGGTTTTGAAAGGACTATTATTGAGTACATTAAATTTCAAGTGTGTTTATGAGTAAGTTCTTAATTCAAACTTAATATAACTGTTACAGAATCAGTTTTCCTTTAGTTTGCCCAATACACTGGTACACACAGCTCATCAGACACAGGAAACATGGAAGGCAGAGAGAGAGGGGAAATCATGTCATGGCTGGACATCACACCAGTGACCGCTGCACTGAGGTCTATAACTTCTAAATGACGAGGTGCGTAGACTGTTAGGCCATCAGCACCTGCAGTATCAGTTTTTACAGAGGTGATGAGGCAGAGAAATCTCTGGCCAAGACCAAACAAGTCAATCTTCATGATAAACCGCCTGTTTCACTGTACAGTGATTTTTAATGTCCAAAACTACCGGTCTTGTCTGTCTTTGTCCCTGTCCTCTACAAAGATTCTCAATATGTGATTTGTTCACTTGGTACCTAAACATTATCGGTAAATGTACTTTTGATAAGTCTGTATTTATTATATATGTATTTATTCAAACAAAGCAAGATAAGGAATCTCTTCAAGAAAAACATGACTTGTGCATATACAGGACAAAATGTCTGAAATTCGTAACCGAGTCAGGAGAAAGTGAAGAAAACTTTTTCAAATAAAATGAAATTACCATACCGCAGTGGGGATATGACATGAAAAACATCTGTATCTATGACAGTATGAAAGGAAGTCTTTAATCCCCCAAAGTCAGCCCTCTTAGAAGTTATGTAACTGACCTCTAAAAAGGGGAAAACAAGGCCGACAGTAAAGTTGGAGAGCCAGTGAACAGAGCCTGCGACCATGAAGGCGGCGGGCCGGGCCGACTGCCTGAACATCTCAGTGGTCACCACATAAGGAATGGGACCTGGAAAACAGAAACGATGTTATCAACAACCCAAACACTGGAGACACATCATCAGTCTGAGAGGGCACATGTGTCAAAGAGCTGAGTGCAGGTTTACAACATATATCATTACATGTCTGCTTTTTCCAAACAACATGTGAGCTAATGGAGCACCCTGTGGTATGTGTGAGTGTGTGTGTTTATAACCACTGGTGGGATCGTACTCACTGGGTCCTATGGCATGTCCTATAACATAGGTGATGACACAGGCAATGCTGACATAGGGCATCCACGTCACGCTCTCCTGTTGACACAAATAAACACCTCTGTGATCATTAACTAGACGTATTGATCCTTTCAAGAAGAACAAACATGCAGCAGAACCTTCTTTAAATGTGAATGATTAATCGTCAGCTGGTTATTCCTGATTCTCTATAGTGGATCTCCTAAATCACAGACTTATTGGTGCTTGTCTGCAGGTTTTTCAATACAGGTGAGCTCATAGGGTTGGGTTACATGTATGTGGTTTGTGGTTCTGTCTAATGGTCAGTGTTGTTTATGGGTGGGTAACCCTGTGGTCATGTCTCCAAATTCTCATGACCCCAGCAAATAGAGTTGTCAAGTCATCAGAATAAACTCTAATTGTCTGTTTTTGGCTCCATAATAATTGTTGTTTCAATCTTATAAACAGTGTTTCTAAGGGAAAATGTTTGCTCTGATAAATCTGTCTTTGAGCTTAATGATACAGAACTGTGTGAAAAACAAAAAAATATGTGTCCTACTCATTAGCAGCAGACTGTTACTCAGTGTTATTAAAAGCAAGGCTAAAAGACTGAGGTTGACTCCATCAAGCACAGTATTTTAGATGGCATAAAAACAAAAATATCTGTATTCAGATCAAATTAGTGTTTTCAAATAGCCAAAGAAGTCTGAATGGTGCTCTACAATGATGGGCCTTTCACGTCTAGTCAGTAATGCATCCTCATTGTCTTGTCATGCCATCTGTCTTTCCTAGCTTCTAATGCAAAGCAACTTGTTATTAAAATGATTTTATGGTCAAAAGGTTAAAAAACACCATTTATGCAGCATCGGTAAACAGTTGCTTATTCCTAACCCCTGAGCTTTCCATTAGATCCACTGCAGCTCTCTGTGCCTGCCTTCATTATGTGATCAGGGCCTTTGCAGCTGCCTGCAATCAGTGCTCATCCAACCCTGTTCAATCAGTTCCTCATCCTGAGGGAGCACAGATATGTGCTGCACTGCGATGACTATGCTTCTTAATTCCTGCCAAGACTTGCTCTCAGCTTTGAAAGCTTTTAAAAGTTTTATGCTGTATTTTTGGGACCAGTCTGCCACTAACTGAAGTTTAGGGGAGAGTTCAGCATTTTGTGGTTTTGATTAAAAGAGTGTTTTCTTTAATTTTTCATCTCCTTTACTTATCGCTCATCCTCACTAACAGGCATACAGGGTTGTTGGGCTGAAGTGCAGCAGAAAGTAGGCTTCCAATGTGACAACACAACAAGTGAACATTTAAACCTAGGGTTGTGCCGAGAATTGGTTAATCGCATTTCTGGTTGTGTAAGATTTACAAAAACAAAATGAGATTTTCTCCGTAACTTTCTTCGCTGCTCCCCCAGGGCTCCTGTTGTTACTACTACTACCATACATACAATCATCAGAAGATTCAGAGAATTAAAAAAAAACCTCTGTACAAAGGGGACATGGACCAAATCAAATACAGGATGGCTGTGATCCAAGACCCCTGTTAGATGACACTTCATCAAAAAGAGACTTGACACTGAAGTAAAAATCTCTGCGAGGACTCAAAACCACTCCAAAAACACTGTCTTTGGAACAGTTTGTCCCTACTTATGCAACTTTATGTTAAAGCTGTTTTGCGCAAAGCTGGATATATATTTAAACATAATCCAGAGGTGTCTTTGACCTCTCTGAGCCCTTTGAAGTAAAGAGGAAAAATGCCGAGTGGTCGAATAGATACTTGACAGTCCTCACAGAATTATGGATGCCACATTCTTCACTCTGGGAGGAGTGTTACCACCTGTTTTTTTTAGTGCATGCTACAGGAACCAGCATCAGTGATGGCATGAGTATGCAAGAGTGCTAATGGCACCTAAAGAAGTAACACAATAGTTGATATACCCATGTCTTAACTTTTGTGAAACATGTTGTGGACTTAAATTTAAAATGAGCAGTTATATTGTTTTGCTTTCTTAAAATTGATTTCTATTAAACAAAGAGTTTAGCATCAAAACTCAACATGTCATTTTTGCATTACTTTCAACCAAATAAATGTTTAATGATTTGAAAACCATCAAAATCTGTTTGTATAAACGTTTTTACACAGTGTCCGAACTCTTATGGAACTGAGGATGAAACTGAACTGGTGCATCAAAGTTTATCTGTCCTCATCTTAACTTATGTACTCCATGTTGTTTGTGTATAAATTTAAATAAATATTAACATGACCCTATTCATTTTGGAGAGAACAATCCTTCAAATTACCTGACCTCAGGAATCTGTATTTCAGTATGTTGTGTCTTACTACAGTACACCACTAGAGGGCAGCAGAGCAGCATACAGATGGTAAGTGTTAGTCTGAAGCTTTCACGTGATACCTGGAAGTTGAGAGCAATAGTGAGCAGCACACACGCTACACAGCAGATCCCAAACCCAATGAGGAGGAGCAGCTTTCGTCCCGAGGCCTCCACGATGAAAACCTGTGTGTTACAAACCCAAACAGATCAGAAACATTTACTCCTCCTGTCTTGACTATGATCAAACAATGCACTGCTGACTCCAGCTCCTCCAGTCAAGGGTTGAATTATTAGCTGCTTTAACCTGAAGAGGTACTCACAGCTGCTATAGTCATGAAGACATTCACTGCACCTGTGCCCACAGTGACAAACTGGATATCATTCTGTTTGACTCCTGCAGAGGCATAGATACTGTCTGCGTAGTAGTAGATCTGTGGAGGGAAAGAGTTGGAGATTTATTAGAACAACAGTGGGAGTGAAAACAGATTCTATTTTCTGTCCTGATCCTTTATCCATATGATTCAAAGTCTATTTTAGCTAAACCAGTTGTTGATTAAACTAAGCGCTCTGATGCGGCATTAGTCTAAAATAGTCAGTCTGTGCAGTAGTGGGTCACAGACAAGGACAAGTACAACTGGCACGACAGGCACGCCTCACCGCGTTGACCCCTGACAGCTGCTGGCCCATGTTCATGATGATGATGGAGAACAGCTGCCAGCGGAGGGAGCGCAGGGACAGCAGGCTGAGCACCGACAGGTGGCCCTCTGCTTTCTCCGACTGGTCCTCCAGACGCATCTCTGATAGCTCTGAATCCACATCGTCCCAGCCTCGCAGCCGCTGTAGTGCTGAGGGTGAAAATACACAGTGAGTACAGTCGTATTCCTCAGGATCAATTAGTCATTTTATTCTGTATAGCACCAGATTACAACTGAGGTTACAGTAGGAACCTTAAAAGAGCAGGTCTAGACCCTGTTAATGAGCAGGCACATTGCATCTTTGGCCAATGAGGATGCTCTTGGCCAGGCAGACCTCTTGAGCAGAGCCATGATGGTGGGCAGCCATCTGCCTCTTGTTTCTTACATGAACCACAAAGGGATAGAGAGTCGCACAAAGAAATCCTCAAACCAGTTGTGAGGTCTTGCCTTTTCGCCAACATTGTTAGTCAGTCTTTGTGTTTTCATACCTTTCTTTGCCGTCTTTTCATCTCCTTTTTGGATGAGCATGTATCTGGGACTCTCAGGGAAGAAGGGCAGCAGCACGAGCTCTATCACAGCAGGAATGCCAGTCAAACCCAGCATGAGGGGCCAACCTGGACACAGAGGGAACAGGGACATCTCCTTTACTAATACACTGATCTAAAAAATTCATCTGTTGGAGACCAGCCTAACACCAACCTGTACTGTTGCCCAGAATGTTCCTGATGCCCAGCACTTGTGCACAGAGGATGCCGATGGTGATGAAGAGCTGTGGTACAATGCCGAGGGCCCCCCTCAGGTTCTTGGGGGCAAGTTCTCCCAGGTACATAGGCACAACATTAGATGAGAGACCTGCAAACAGAAAGATCTTAAAGGGATAATCTGGCGTAAATTTAAGTTTGGGTCAAACACACTGTAACACTGAGTTAGACACCCCATCAAGAGATGAATATTGCCGACTGCTTGCTTCTCTAGTTATACCAACTTCAGCAACAACTGCACAATATCAATACACAGCGGTCTACATCTCCACGCACAAACCTCAACCAAAAAGCCACTCTATAGCCACAAATAATGCTCAGAACAGCACCTAACTTCATCAACAGTACATATTGGGTCCCAGCCATAGTACTAGCCGTCAAACATCTTTTTAGCTTTGCCTGATTTCTTTAGCAAAGGGACTAAACGCAACTCACCTACTCTCCTCCAGCAGCCACTTTTTTAAAGGGAGCCCTGACGAGTCGATCACCGAGTGTAGCGGATCATTTCCTTGAAGTAATAATCATCATAATATACATTTTGCACTGCAGACGCAGCAGTTGCCTTAGCGTCTCGGTCTGATTGCATTCCCATGAAGTAATCATAAATGTTCTTCCTTGAGCTGCAAATCTCGGCTGCACTCGGTGATCGACTCGTCAGGGCTCCCCCACAAACAAGAGGCTGCTGGAAGACAGTATGTGAATTGTGTTTTGTCTCTTTGCTATAGAAACGTTTGATGTTTGATGGCTAGTGCTATGGCTGGGACCCTAAATGTACTGTTGATAAAGTTAGGTGCTGTTCTGAGCATTATTTGTGGCTATTTGGTTGAGGTTTGTGCGTGGAGTCATAGACTACTGTGTATTGCTATGGTGCGGTCGTTGCTGTTGTTGGTAAAACTAGAGAAGCAAGCAGTCAGCAACATTCCTCTCTCGAGGGCGTGTCTAACTCAGCGTTACAGAGACAGACACATCAGGACATCAGGAAGACTCTTCAAGTTTTTATCACTCAAATAAATCTGACCTGCACAGATGCCCACGATAAATCTCGCCACAATGATGATCTCGTACGACTTGGCGATCTCGCTGACCCCCATCATCACAGCAGGGACGATGGAGAAGATGTTGTTGAAGAGGAGTGTGCCTTTCCTGCATTTGAAAACGTTTTAGACAAACAAAATGTGGAACATTCTCTCTTAGATGGGCGAAACACTTGCAGCCTTACCTCCCTAGTTTGTTGACTAAAGGGGCCACCATCAGAGAGCCGAAGAAACCTCCCAGTGGGTACATGGACACAGACAGGGACCACAGCAGAGTGAGGAAGTTTGTTTCCATTGGTGTGCCATAGCGCTCCAGGTAGGTGGTGTTATAAAACTGCTGCATGAACTACAAGACATGGAAATACATTAAGAGACACAGTACAGTATAGATGCATGTTTCAGTAAAGCTTTATTTTCCATGCTTTGGTTACCGGTGATGGAGAGTTGATCACAGCCACATTATAACCATACTGGAATGACGAACCAAATGCAGATATGAGCGTTGCCAAAGCCAAGACCACTGTTAGTCTCTGTCAGGGAACATCAGTCAAACCTCTTTAAAATACCAACACCATCCATCAGGATTATTTACATGCTGTCACAGAACAGACACAACAAACATGGGTATGACAATCACGCTTAGTGTTCAACTTACCCCTTTCCTCTCCACAAGCTTATCCCAGTCCTCTTTCTCTGCCATGGTTGTGTTTGAGCTTCACTTTGACAATAACAACAGCACGATTAGTTAATACAGCACCGCTGGATTCTGCCTGACCTTTGGACCTTAGATCAGAGAGCACCGCAGAGGTTTACAGCCTAGCTTTGGTTATCGTTTTCTGTTTTGCTGCCTCAGGAAGTTTTTTATGCAAGATCATAAATTGCACTGTAAATTTCTTTGAATTGTTTTAGTGATGGGAAATACAGCTGTCATTAAACACTGGAGTAGACATAAGCCACACGGGTGTCTTTATTGCATATCCACCTGCAGGAAGGTTTATAGAGGAGGTGATATTATAAACTCACACTGAGATCACAATCAGATGGCAAAGACTTCAGTGTTGATCCTCTTGCAAACTAAAGGCTAATTACTGAACAAAAGTCAGACTTGCAGCTACAGTAAATCTCTTTTTAAGACTCATTTGTTATGATTTGACATCGCTGCACTGTCTCTCACTTTAGGAGCTGAGTCTGTTTGTTTACACGGTGGCCCTGAGGAGGTTTTCTGGATGTCGTCTTCCAAAGGGATGCTTCCAAATAAAAAAACAGCAACATACATGTCTGCTAGTGCTGACATATGCTTCCAATTTAAAATAATTAGAAGTCAGAATTATGTCCACCCAGAGCAAAAACAAAACTAAAACAAAGTTGGGTTAATTGAAGCAGAACTTTTTTGAGAAAGCAACTTTTTTGAAAACCTTTTTATGATAATAAAAGAACAGTTAAATTAACATTAAAATTCTCCAATGAACATCACCAGAAAAATCTTTCTGTCAACATTAAAGATACGGTACATGATGTGAATAGTTTGTTTATAAGGTAAGAGCTTAGTGCAATGTGCAATAAAAAATGTTTTAATTTAGTTTAAAAGAGTGTGATGATGAGGAATCACATTTGAAATTACCTTGTACAATCTTCATTGCAACCCATTCAGTGGAGTGAAACTTGATAACAGGAAATTGATGATGACATGATAAAATGAAAATGTAATTTATTCCTGGAGCCAGAAATTTTCAGGACGTTTAGCTCATTTGAAGAAACATTTGAAGTAAAGCACGAAAGTGGACAAGAAGGTTGAGGGTTAGATGCATCCAAGTTCCAAAGGTTGAATAAAAGACTATAAAAAGACAGATGACATGGCAGCTCTCCAAAAGTAAAGCAAAACATGTCGGGCTTCCCGTATGAATGGCCACATTGGTCACAAAACTGGCTTCCCCATTATTTAAGATTATTCAAAATAAATATTTAGCATCTATATTAGATAGATATATAATATCTGTTATGGCCAGTGATGGCTGATACTTCAGTGCATCCCTAGTCAGTTTCTTCCTGTGTTTCATTTGTTCATGACAGGAAAGGCTGGCTGGAGTCATTCATGTTTCGATACAGTCTGTCAGTGAAATCGATTCAGGATTTGCTGCAGCCTTGACTCAGCTCCTGTACAGATCCTGTTCCAGCCCTGACCTACCATGATTACCTTTGGTGGACAGCATGTTTGAAAATCGGCTCAGAAAAGGACTCTCACAGCCAAATGAGCAGCCTGTGCTGTGACAAATATTACATCCATTAGCCTGACTGGTGAATGGACAACCAGTGCAGCACAGTGTGGCTCTCTGCTTCTTTTAAACTTAATGAATTGAGTGGGCAAGGAGCCAGCAGAGGAGAGAGCAAAAACCCCTTCCTGAAGTGTTTCCACAGGCTCCAGTTACTTCAATGTCAGCCAAATACTCGGAACCCACTCAAAGGATTAATTCCTGCAGGAAATACAGTAAGAGTGGGTCCTCTGTGTGGCCTCTGATATCTGCAAGGACAATAAACTGCTTGCTGGCCATTTTGGACGCACGCTTCCTCCATTTTCCCAGACATGTGATCCAGTTGATGTGACGTTTGGTCCTGAGAGGGTGAACTATGTACCGAGTCGCATGACTTTAGGCCACAGATAAATCAAACCGAAGCAAAACTGCGTGTTTGTGTTTAAATATTTTAAGTATAAACAGAATGAAGTCTCTGTGTCTTTGAAATAATTCATGAGAACTAACCGCCCTTGGAGGAGTAGGGTGGCTGCAGTGTAATGGAAACTCTGTTCAACCTGATGTATAGGCTTATTACAACATTATCATCCACTTCTGCAATGCTTAATTCATCAAACACAGACTGTACAAGACTTGAATAAACCTTCTGAGTCAAACAAACAATAAACACAGGAAAATTGGATGTCAACATGGAGAAATTAATCTTTCCTCACCTTTCACCTGAGTGATTAATCTTACTTGAATGCAGCTCATCATTTCTGAGGACTCATTGATACTACAAAAGGTCTGAGGCAAAATTTTAAAAAGCTGAAGAAAGTACAAGAGGGGTCTTTGTTATTGTTGTGAGCCAGGTTCAGTGGGTACATGCGCCACACTCATTGGTATGCATTCAGCCTGCAGCTCAGAGGAATAAACAGGAGCCAACAACAGCAGGGGTCAAAGGAGAAGTGAGGCTCACACAGGAAAGGCTTGGGTCTGCAAGAGGAAGGAGGACATGTGATAATAGGTCATGCATTCTGACCACAATGACAGAGTGATATATAGTCAGCATTGGTGACACGGCGAACTCTGAGGGCCCATTGCAACTCCTGCATGGAAAATGTAGCAACTGTGAAATTAAGCTAGAGTTCGTAGGTTTGGTAATCAGAGGGAATTTATTCTTAAAATGAGCAGCACTAAAAAAAATGTATTGATAAAGATACTCTGTTAAAAACAGTTTCATTTGCTGTATTTTTAGGAAGGAGTCACATTTTGTTTATTTTTGAGCAGGCCCTAAGTTGTACAAAACAAAAACTGGAAAAAATATTTACCTGACAAAATATGTCATGCTCTACTATCAAAAATTTACAACTGAAGGATCTTCTTTGATTATATAAAACATTACAGCCAGTAAAAAGGGAATCATGTGGTTACAGAAGTTTGATTATAGAAATTTCCAAAAAACAGAAGCATGAACGCCAATTGTGCTCCTCGTGTGTTGAACTGCAACTGTAACACTTGGTGTATTGTACCATATTTTGGCTATGCAGTGACTTTGCTCCTTGGCTACTAAAATGTTCAGCACAGACAAAGATGGTACTGTTCATTTTATATTTTTTTCTGCTTTTTACAGACAAAATCCAAAGATACTGTCTTACTGAGGAAAACCTACAAACTTTTCATTATGGGTATTTTCAAACCAACAGACACCAGTGCTTCTTATACTTGATTTTGGAAAGGTTAGCACTTACAGAAGCTCAGAAACAGTGACAAAAGTTCATACTAATTTACAGTACCTTATACACCATTTGTGAGAATGCCAACAGTATTTGCCTTTTCTAAACACATTACACAAACATTAAGGCTCTGTAACATTTACTATAAAACAAGAAGTATTCAAAAATCCTCACATTTTTCACCATAAATACGATGCTAGAATACTGAACATCAGTTTCACAGTAATAACTCTGAATGTAAGTGAAGACACACAGCACATAATAAATAAAGCTGTGAATTTGTCTCTAGTTATGAACATTTGCATTTAGAAAACCTGTGCAAAGAGCAATTTAAAGTTAAACTGCACCATAAAGTGTGATCAACAGCACCTTGCCACAAAATTAAAATATTAATGTGCGAAACATTCTCTCTGAAACAGGCCAAATGCTCCACCAGATGCTAGCTTGCAGTCAACCAGGATCATCTTCATCACCCAGAGTGCAGGTAAGTGACCTTTTCCTGTGACAGAGCTATGCATGCACCTGCAGAAACTTCAGCCCCGCCAGCAGATACTTTCTGTAACGAGCTCCGCTGCTTCCTTCATTTCAATCTTTATATCCACAGATTCATTTATCAATCAGAGGTCGGCTAGTGCTGTCCTCCTCTCTGTGCGTGGAGGGGTCCTGTCCCGGCAGCAGCCTCTGAGGGTCGTCATGCAAGTGCTGCCCTGCTGCTGCACACTTACAGCAGCAGCAGAAAGCAGTGCAGAGGCGTGTGCGAATCGGCTGGGTGAAAAACACGAACATAATGCAGTTTGCTGTTCCCTGTGAGGTGTTGCCAATACCCTGTGGGGTCCAAAATAAAAGCATTAAAGAGGGAGTGTACCAGCAGCAAATAATTATACAGGAATAAAATGTTCCCATGTGGCAAATAAAATAAAACCAAACTTCTTATCACTATAACCTGACAAAGCGATAACATCATACAATGAGTACAGCCAATAATTATCACATGTGATAATGTAATAAAAGAGTAAAGTTATTTATTACATAATAAAAATCTTGGGATGTATTCAACTCTCTTAAAGGGAAATTTACAAATGTTATGATTTTCAGATGCTAAAAACAGCAGACATAAACTTTCATGCTGAGGGTGTGATGATTCATAAACTTGACCGCATGCAATCTCACCATCACAAGGTTAGCAGCACATAGACTAAAGAAAGCACTATTTACACCCACATGTATGTCCAGTCACATTTGCACAAAAAAACTCACTCCCACGTAATCTCCTCAGAGAAGTAGAAGCAAACAGCAGATAGTGACAAAGAGACTTTAAACTCACATGTAAAGTGACCAGCACTGGGTTGAGTCTGGCTGGAGAGCTGGCCAGCAGCAGTATGAAGCGCACCGTGCTCCAAATGCGCAGGAAGATGAAGATGATGGGAATGAGTGTTAGCTTCATATCAGCCATGGAGAAGAAGGAGTGAGACTGAGGCCTGTTGGCCAGGATGGGACGGTACTCAGACAGAGCCGCATGCTGCATCAGACAAAGGTTTCATTTTAGCAAACATGATAGAGAAGAATAAGGCAAAAAACCAATAGTATATATGCCACTGTGGAAAAGTGGTCATTTTCTAACAGCTGGTATTCTGCTGTAGTATAAAAGGGGTGCTTTTGACACAGAAGTTGAGTTAAAATGCTAACTGTACAGCATGTTATCACAAAAACCCTCATACTTTTCAGTTAAATTTGGGGATTATAGGCCAATGTACAGCTTGTAAATTCTTAGTGCAGATCCTGACCAAAGGGTTGGATAAAGTACTTGTTAAAACATTCCCACAGTACTTTTGATCTTGATTTAGAATTAGAGTGATGACAGTGGCTCTCAGCTAATGGCCCTAGAAAAAGCAATGTCAGTCTGTTGTTCAGCCAGTCCATCATTACACTGCAAATCATTAGAAAATCATCCAGTTTTGAATCAATCTCCAGAATCTGTCCACAGAGTTTTACATTTTTAGCGAGGAGAGTTTTATATTTTTTGCCTGTAGTCAGAGTAATATTAACCAATCCTGTATCAGCAGGTTTTGACACATACAGGGAAAACTGTCCATGTGGAGAGCCACAACGGGATGGATTGCTGTTATATTTTGTTAAGGTGTCATGATGTTCCCTTGCTGATTTCTATTGTTGACATTAGAGATAGGACTGGGTGGCTGATTCATTTGCCTGATTTACAGCCCTCTGGCATAATTAACATCATATTATTGGCCCTCACATGGCTGATATCACTGGTACCTTTTCTAAAGAAAACACAATTTTGCCATCAGCAAAGAAAGTTGTGTTAAATCTAAACATGACCTCTTTTTTTAATTTCCTTGTATTTTTTTCCCTCAATACTATATCTCAGTTTCTTGTATTTTACTGAGCAAGTCCAGCTAATTTGTTTCTCATTAGTTAGTATCAATCATTTGTTCTATTTTGTGAAAAGCAAACTGAAACAACAACCATGTAACATATGCATTAAATAGTCTATCCCCAATAGAGTTTGCTCCTCTTACATATTGTTATCATTAAATTGGTAAATATTCTTAAAGACTGCACACTGGGAATGCTGCTGATTCATAAATGCATACTTTTTTTTGGTAAGACAATCCTTAATTCCACTTTTTTCAATGGCATTAAGAAAAGCTAGTACTATTTTAGTTTAATTCTCACCGCTACATGGATGTGCCTTTTGATCAGGATGTAGAGGACAGGGAGGGTTAGATAGGCCAAGAACTCCCAGATCTTTCCAGTCAGCAGCATCCACAAGACACGATCAGGGGCATGGATCCTCACCCAGCACCAGCCCACTGACACCTCTGAGGCATCGTAACCAATCTTACTCAGGGACACAGCTGCAGTAGTGATAGCCAGCGGTACACCCCAGCTAGATCACAACAAAAAAAAATACAGAAAGTTAAGTGGATTAAACATATCGTCCTTACAAAAAAAATGACTTCCTGTCTTTAAACAAAAGTTTTTCTGGTTTGCTGGTTTGGTATTCTGCACAAACATTGCAAAACATGTAGCATCATGTGGTAGATTATCTTGTGCTGGAGGTATGTGTGAGAGTTACACACTGCAGAGTCATACCAGTTGCTTTGCTTCAGTACAAACAACAAAAACGATTTCAACATTTATGGAAACAATATTGGTTAAGCACCCCTGAAGTGTTTTCTATCTTAAGACTGCAATTTTAAAGGATAACATTTCTTCTTGGCAAAACATAGCGGATCATGTGAAAAAGTAAAATGCCTAAGGCAGTGTTCTTAGTGCATTCTGCATTGTGGGCTTGTGAATGGCTCCTGTGTGTGATCTTCAATACAATGGACCATGAGAGAATGGTTACAACTAGGGACACTGCTGTGAGGCGTCCCCAGGGGTGAATGTGTTTGTGTGTCCAAAAATAGATTAATTATACATCACAGTGACAGAACCCCCTATACTTACATGTTCACAATTTAAATGGGAAGCTTATTGAAATAGAGAAGGAAGCTGACACAAAAGATGAAACACACAAGCTGATCTGGGCCTTCAAAGACAAATATAGCTTCAGTCAGCACTTTAATAGATGCATGTTAAACAGTGAAACTAATGACGGTTTGATTCTCAAACAAGCACAAGAGCTGTTAAATTTGGCCTGTTTACTGTTTCTGCAGTTAGAGCACATTAAAACAAATTTACCTGAAATAGACTTCTTTGCTGTCATTTTGGGACCCATTAAAATGTGGTCCATGAATCTTCTAAGCAGTAAGAATGTAATATAAAACCATACTAAAGATGGGAATATAATTTAGCCATCTTCAACTGTGTCTTTTAAAAACCCTTGTGATCATTAAAATGAGTTAATTATCCTCATTTTGTTATTAAAAACAGGTTTCTCCTTTAGGCGGGACTGTAACAGCATCTTAATGGGAGAGAAATGCAAAAGCAGACAAGGTGAAAATAAAAACAAATGTTCCGTGGCCTGTTCATTCAAGTTTATGTTGCATAATTTGTGTGTGTGTGTTTTTTCACAAGTTAAAGAAAGCATGAAATTAATCATTAATGCATGTGAAGAAAGGTTACAACGGGGTCAGCATCACTACATGTGATATGCACTTGTAGAAAATGCACATCACCCCTTAAAATGTAGCTTGAAAAATGATGTTTGTAATTATAATGAGATATTTTCATATCCTTATTTTTATGTATGTATAACTGTACAAAAACAGCTATATGGAATTTTGAAACCTATTTACACTAAGCTTACTCCAGGTATTTGGCCTTCAGTATAAGTGTGAATTGTTTATTTTTATTCTATTTTATTATGATTATTTTTATTAGAGGAAGACTTGAAGTCAGCTCTTACTCTCTGGTAATCCTAGTCATGTATAGATGAGGAACAATCATCAGCTTCTATGCATACTTTTAGAGCTCTCCTTAAGTTATAATCGGCTGCTTCAGTGGATGACATAACAGCCTCCGTGCAGTGGAAATATCCCTTAAGGGGCGGAGCCTTAATAATACTTAAGCTTGCATGATTTATGTCAAGTTAACCGACCAACCCCTGAGTTGCTTCTTGACATTTTTGTGCGTCACATAATTTTTAGTTCATGAAACTTTCATACTTCTGTTATTTAGTAGCTCACCATGTTTGTTTGTGGTTTATACGTGAACCTTCACCTCTGTTCAGACCTCTCCCCTTGCAATGTTACTCCATGGTCGACCGGAGCGGTTGAGCGTTACCATGGAAACAAAACTCTTAAGCTTGCTCTTAAGAAACCAGTGTTTTCAATGTAAAGGCTTGGAGTTTGTCTTTAATTACACAAAAACACAGCTGGGATCAATTTATTTATCCTTTCACCATTTAATAAAGTTGATATCTAAACCGCTGATAGACGTTGTTGAGAAAATATCCCAAGATGCATCGGTGTCAAGTCATACAAATGCCGCTTAAACTTGTATCACCGCCTAAGTCAGCTCACCATTTTTCAATAGACATCTTGAAAACAGCACCTATCCTCGAAGAAAAGTTCTTAACCTACCTTATAAGGTGGAAAAACAACTCCAAGCTATCCGCGACCCTTTGACTTGACCTGACGATGAAAACATACAGGTAAACAGCAATGGCCACCGTCCAGAAAAAGGAGCTGGTGTTGGCGAAAGTGGATATCGCTCCTTGAACGATGCAGTCCACTGAGTCAGTGTGGAAAACTCTCCAGACCCCGAAGGCGTAAGAGACGGCGGACAGCCAGTCAGACACCGAGAGAAAGACTAGGAGCCTCCTCGGAGTTGTCCTCAAGTCTTTGAATATAATGTAGGTGAAGATGATAAGCGACGAGCCTAGAAATGACAGCGCGCATGAAAATAAAACCACCACCTGCTCAGAAAAGTAGATAACAGTCTCATTTCCAACAGCCATGCCTTATTATTGTAACCTGCTGTCACCTCATGGACGCGAATATCTCTGTAAAAGTTACTGCAATGTTTACAAAAAAAAATCCTCAACACAAACAGACTAGTCTTTCATTTCTGACAGACAGCGAAATTTCCCGTGAAGTTAGGAGACGTGCAAAACTGATTCCACGCGAACCATATGGATAAAAGTGAGTTCATTGCTGTTACAGACGCAAACAAACTTTTCTCAAGTGTTTAACCCCTCCTTCTCCGCCCCTTGTCTCCTCTGCTTTCGTTGCACCAACCGGAATTCAAAGCAGAAGTCAGACAGTCAGCTGGTTGCCTGATGGGCAGTCTCATGCAGCTCTATTTATGGCACTGATGGTCTCTGTTTGTGTGACCCTAATACATGTATGACAAGCTTAAGAAAACAGTTTTTTTTTTTCATTTCAGGCACCAGAGTAATCCTATTATACCACACCATAGTCTGCTGCTCATTTCAGAGTGCTGGAGATAGTCAGGTAAGTAAGCTGTCAAGTGCATAATGCATACTTTTTAAAATCAAAAGAAAATACCATCATACATCTGGTAATAAATAAGAATAACTAAAATACCCCCCATTTAAGCCTAAGAATACAGTCAAATGGCTTTACAAAATGCAAAGTAATATAAGAGCCATGAAAAGATGGAATATACGTCTTTAAGAAAAAAAGTAACATCGAGAATAAATGAGTACAGAAATTCAGATTTGATAACATGCTGAAAAATAGTCAGTAAATTATGAAAAAATTTATTTGAAGACAAGTTTATTTTATAAACTGGTCAGGAAAGTGGAAATTTGAATGTGTAAGTGTCAGTGAAATAAGGAATTTAATTTTCTTTAAAAACCTTGGCAGTAGAACTGGAAGAGTTAAATTACCACGGTTGTTTTTTTTATCTGAAAAGTAACAACAGTTGTACCCAAATGTTATTTTGAACGTAACTGATGAGTGTGTTCATTATAAAGAGACATTTCAAATAATTCCAGTCTTATGCAAGGTAATGTATTCACTAAAACTGGCTCTAATAAAGAGGTGGACCTGCAGAAAAATATTTTAATTTATTCCGTACCATATTAATAAAGAGTCAAAGTTATTGTTAAATAATTTACTGTTGTTGAATAATGAAAACATTGACCTCTAATTGCAAGATAAATTATAGTGTTTTCAGTATCCGAATTTCTCGGTATTCCTTAGCCATGTTCTGTACTGCCAAAACCTCTGACATGATCAGTTATAGCCTAGTGAAGATTAAACGGATTTCTACATTTTCTTTGCAGCAAATAAACATATTACTGATTTAATTTAGAAATGCTACAGTTCACAAAACAGCTCATTTGGTGTTCAAGCCCTCTATCATAACAATAACATTTGTGACATTTTTGAGTGATGAGTAATGATGTGCTACATGTCCAGCAGCTCTTCACTCTGTGTTGGCCTAGTTGTGACTTACCGAATAGTTAAAGCAAAAGATTTAAAGCTTTAATGCAGTGACCTTGTGTCAGGGTAGGAATTTAATGCTTCTGCAGCGCTGCAGTCCACAAAAACGGCAACCCCCCTTTTTTTTTTTTTTCTCCATGTTTGCAGCAATGCAGTGGCACATCGTCTTTTACTGCAGTGTGCAGCAAACACAAAATCACACATGACCATCAGTCAGTGATCACAAATAATTTCAGTTTTTAAATTGAATCAGCTAAGATGCAGTGTGAAAAAGTACAAATCTAACCTTAGCAAAGTGAAAGACAATTATAACAAGTGCTTCTGTGGAAATACAGCTTTTTGAACACCACACATTCACCTGCATCCTTGTTTACTTATATCTGAGGCAACTCAAATTACTGTGCACCTGGCTTTCGGGACGCCCTGCCTCATTAGCACTCGTTATATGTACCATGTACCACCAACACAATATTTCAAGTCCTCAAAGTGGCTTTTTTTTTGGTGCAAATTGCAAAGTGTTTTGTACTGCACAAGTTCTTTAAAAATGATGATATGCTTTAAAAAAAAAAAAACAAGACAGACAACCATATCAATTTTTGTGTGACTTTTATTTACTGCTTTTTTAAATATATGATTCATCAGAGAGATATATGAATTAACTACAAGTTAGAGAGCAGGAATCAAACATATGGCTGTTTTGTACAATACTACAAACAGGCGACATGAACATCATGCATTTGCAAATTAAAAATAAATAATTTCATGTTATCTTTTCCATTTAAAAGAGATTTTAGTGTTTTCATGAAAAAGTTAATGTCAGTTTTACAGATTGCTGCAGTGTACAAAAGCATGCCTGGAGGTTTCTCTCAGTCACAAGATGGCAGCAGAGGATCAAACATGCATTACAGTGTAGAAGTTTGATGCAACTGTAAATATTGTAGAGGTGGTTAACCATCTATCTTTTCATATTTCTGTATCAGCTTTTCTTCTCATGGGAATTTCTACAGCGTCAGCACACATGTAAGAACTTACAGTAGCAGCAGGATCCACGTTTGCACCAATGCTGACGCCTTTCTTTCCTCTTCTTCTCGTCATTCCAGCAGGGCCTTTTATTGCGAAGAATTTCTGCGGCAGTATACTTGCTGATTGCTTCGTTCTCACTCCTCACAACAACCAGCTAAGACACTGCCAGAGAAACACCCACAGGAGCCATGTCCAACCAAGCAGCCATCCATGCCCACCACCTGCCTCCCCCTCAGCAGGATCCTGACCGCTCTCTGCCACGGACTTCCACCTGTGAGTCTGGCACACTGTGGACACTCACACTTTTTATACCCGGCTTCATAGTGAAATGGCCTCACACTAAAAAGCCCCCAGGGTTGGTGTGCTCGTATGCCAACGGCCAGAAGCTCTACAAGAGAAGTAGAAACAGATAAAGTTAGAACAGCTGAAAGGAATAAACCTCATAGTCCTGATACATGTAAGGATAAAACTCTGCTTCTTCAAAAATCTTATATCTGGACTGAAAGGGGCACTCTTCTCTGTCCAGCTTAGTTTTAAATAACTGCAATGCAAAAATGAATTTATGCTCCACTGCATAAAGTGACCCAAAGCTTGTTCCAAAGCAGATCCCTGATACACTTCTAGCCTCTTGTGCAGCATCACTTTAAGTGCACACAACTTGGGCAAACACAAACAGCCCCCCCAAACTAAGAATAGGCTTACCATGACTCATGATGTTGCAACAAAAAGCTCAGTTTGATTCAGCCCTTATCTACAAGCCTGTGTCTTTGGGTTTGTGTGAGTGTGTGTGTCTGTCTACAGCTATCTGTTCACATGAGTAGCACATAATGCGAGCGTCTGCGTGGTTGTGTACCTAAAGGGCAACAACTAAATTCCCCTTGCTATCAGTTGCGTTTGCTTGCTGCAGTGCTATTTTTGGGCCAGCTGACCATTCCATACTGTCCTCCCCCTGTGGACTCTACTTTGCTGACAGGACAACATGGATACTAGAGAACAATCTGCAAATGAACACAGGGAATAATGAAGGAGACAGAGAGGTGTCAATACACAAGAGACTTTCGGACATCAGACAATTTGAAAAAATGTCCTTTACTTGGCATTTCTTCACAGTTGAATCAGCAAAAAAAAGCCTATTTGTAGCCCTCCATGATGTCTGCTTTTGGTGTTTTTGTGACGCATTTTTGGTTGCATAACAGGAAATTCCTCGCTAAATTTGTGGTTTGAGAGTTTTCGATGTTATCTCCTATCAAAGAAGGAATTTAGGTTTTTGTAAGAAAAATGCTATGGGTGCCCTGATGTGAGCTTTGACACAATAGGCTTCGATACAAACAAGTTTTTATTTAGCTGCCTCCAGACCGTTTCACACATACAGACACAAGCAGTGTCCACGGACAAACACACAAACTCTTCTTGACCTGCTTTCAGGTGCCAAGTTGCTGCAATAGTGTCTCTTTGTGGCGAGGCCAGACTCTGCCTTCACTGAGCACATGATGACAGGAATTCCTTCTTGCTCAGAGCTTGACGTAATCCCTAATGCAGGATTGAGGAATGCCAGGGAAAAAACACCCAGCTTGCTAAATGAATTAGCGGCCGCCTCCCTGCATCACACAGCAAACAGCAGCAGCGGTGAGTCTGGACTCACAAAGCCTGTCAACAAATACGGGTCAGGCCTCTGGCTGGCTACGGCTTCTCTGTCAAAATTATGTCTTATATTTTTTTGTTTTACTGGCCCAACATGAAAAAAGGTCGTGAGACAATAAATATTGCATGAGTTGTTGGAAAATGGCTTTTCAGGTGTATCAATTTGAGACAAAAAAAAAAAAAAAAAACAGACACGGATTCATCCTCATCTTTAAAAATAGCTTTCAACTGTTACATTCAAAATAAGGTAATCACATAATCTGAAGCGTGATTCCTACCCTAATATGATTGCAGGAGACATCCTGAGGACACAGCCTGATTAGGGCCTCAACGAATGATTCCTTTTATTATCAATTAAACTGAAAATTGCCTGATAATAGATAAATAAGTAACATATTTTCACAAATCCTTAGTGGCCCCTCAGATGTCTGGTTTTGTTCTGTCAATTATCCAAAAATCCAGATATACTGTTTTTTAGTTTAGAGGGTGATACAGATGAAATCCTGGAGCTGAAATCAGGACCAGAGATAAATGTGTATCTCAGAAATGAGATGCTGTATCTCAAGACGCAATCCTTAAATAAATTTAAATAACAATTTACAATAATATATTTTATATTCAGATTTATGTTTGTAAGACTCCGAACGAATAAAAGTAATTAATTATCTCTGTTTACTTATCATATACCGAGTGTGCTACTAAATATTTTGATCGGGCTCTTAGTATCCGTTCCCTAATTTCCACAGACGCTCCCTATTTTCTCTCATGTAATTCATGCATGTGAGGAAAAAAATTTTACACCACAGCAAAGTGTGTTGGCCTTATTTTGTTGGACAGTTAATAAAAAAAACTCAATGAGTCATTGTAGCTGTTAGATTTCACATTACATATTTTATACACACATTATAGAAGTGTTGCGTTAAGTGTTGAGTGTGAAAGCAGACTAACAGTGTAAGACTGGCATTTGTTTTGGTAATCATGTGTCTTCCCCTCATAAATCTGTAGCTCAGGACCTGTTTCACTAACAACTTTCCCTCAGCCAGACAGTAGATTTTTCACAGCGTAAACTAAACACAAAAACACAAATAGACATACACATACACTATATTGTCTTGTACACAACCCCAGAGCTGAACAGACTGCAGAAGATACACAACACTCTGATGCAGTGTATCTGACGCCCTCGTTTCTGTCATTTTCTCTTTATTTTACCCTCGTCCCATTCCACTGTACATTTCATACTTGCTCTGGAGTCAGCTAACAACGTTCACACGGGCATGCTTCCCTGCTCCAGTCTCTTTCCACAGACCTAATCATCTTATGGCTCACAATGACATTAGTATTTACTGTAGGGCCATGTTTCTGAACAATACACATGACACACACATTGATGGCATGCCTGAAGCTGGAGCTAAGCCTCTCTCAGGGTTTACAAAGCACAAGTATGTACATTGATTTTGCTTTTTAGATGTTGTAATTTCAAGATCAGATTTTAAAAACTGTTTTGAGGCATTTCACTTCAGCATCAAGTTGTAAAAATCTGTCTTAATATTTATTAATGTTTGCGGTGAATTGTGTAAAGTGGATTGTTATCGGTATTTACGTATCAGGTTTGTATGTCAAACTGCAGTATGTTAATAATTCAATAGTTTTGAGTCTTAGCCACAGTGCAGCAGCCCTGGTTACCAGAAAACAGAGTTGCCCCAGTAACTACTAACAGGCGTAATCCCGCACAGTTCTGTAAGATACACACATCATAGTTATAACTACACAAACATATTTGAGCTAATTAGTAAATTTTCATTTTATATGACACAGTGTGGCTTTGCAGTTTTCCCTGTACCTGCTTTTCTTATGTACAGTGTGTACAATCCAATCAGAATTTTTATCATCTGCTGCCTACCGATAAATCTGCAGTGGCCATTAAGTAAATCTTCCTCTGTGATTTTCAAGAGGAGAAGGCGGCTTGCTGCATGATGAGCTAAGCTTTGATTATGAAATTGAGTAAACAAAAACACATTAACAGTTGTCCATAAAGAGCTGAGGATCAGATTGTTGGGGGGTCAGACAATGATTGTGAAAGGGTCGTCTGTGCAGGGGGCTCCTGTGCCACTGTGTGATTGGTTACTGTGTTAGGCTGGTTACAGCTTTCTGTATTCATTACCTTTAGTAGTTTCCATAGCATCATGTTAGCATCAGGACTCAGCTTGGATGCTTCCATAATGCTGAGAGCTGTACGCTTAAAACTAACATGTTCTCATTTATACTTCGATCAAGTTACACACCTTTGAAACAGATCTGAATATCTCCTTTCAGCATCTTTTCATTTCCCAACACTCATTAATTTAACTGAAGTTTTGCTCAAAAGTGGAAGTTCGCTGTGCTTCCCTCCACTATAACAATTAACCTAGATGCTCACAGAAGTGCTCAGCTGTAATATTATGTGTCAGCAGCTTTAATTCAAACTCTTTTATGCCACTCACCAAGCAGCCGGGCAGCAGAGCAGCTCCTCCATCCACGCATGTCTCCAGCGAGGGCACCCTGGCGTTGACAGGAGTGTGTCCACGGGTGCTGCAGGGTTCTCCCATCATGTGGGTCACTTCACACTGGCAAACTGTTGACCACAAGGCTCTCACCCTCTCTCCCTCTCTCTCTCTCTGTGGCCGTTGCTCTCTCTGCTTCATTCAGGAGGAACGACAAGTCAAGGCATGTTCCAACACGCCACCAGCAGTCAGGCTGGGTGCATGAGCCTGCTCCTAGATCAGAGGGGGAGGAGCACAGGATCAGAGAGGGGGGAAACCCAGAAAAAAAGCCCAGCATGACTCAGCCTGCTTTAGTCGGTTAGCATACACTGCAGTCACTTTGAACACTTAAACACATAAAGGAGAAACTGTTCAAAGATACATGACAATTAATTCTCTGAGTGGCATTTGCTAAGTAGATTTTTGTGCCGTAGCACTGTTAATAAGAAGACATGACAAAGGAATGCAGAAGGGTTTGAAAAAGAGCATTTTTAAGTTGGACCGAGCTGTCAGATCAACTTTATTCCGTCATAGATCTTAAAATATTTGCCTGCAGGCTGTGACCAACGGATGCCCACAATGTTGTCTGTCTTTTTCAGCTTATGCTGAAGACTCAGTCCTCACAGGTTGAAGCTGTAGACGCTGTAAACGAAATTTAACCACAGCATCGCCATCCATTCATTTTTTTTTATTAAAGCTAGTTGTCCTGTGTCTTGTTTAACACATCATAGTGCATAGTTCACAAAAGCTGCAACTCTGCAGCTGCTCAGCATGCTAATGAAAGCTGCTGATTCATCAAATCGCCTCACTTGGTAGCCCACAGTAGGTCACATCAATTACAGATGAAGCCCATCATGCATGCTCAGAGAAAATATGTGAAATATTCATATTTCCCTAGATCTCGGGTGTTAAATAATATGAAATCTGAATTTGAAAGCAGGTTATTAATGCAGCAGGGAAATAATTTTCTTCCTGTCGGATCACAGGGATAAATTAAGAAATGTACATTTCACTCCATTTAGCTCCTGACACATAAAACTGAAGCAAATGTGCAGAATCATCACCATCCATATGTGCTAATTATGCAGAGCTGCTCTGATGCTTCCTTTTTTTTTTACTAGAGGAGGGGTGATGCCAGTTCATCACTGCTGTAGTGGAAGTTGATCACTAGGCAGATTCTGGGTGCAGCAGCAGGAACCAGCTCAGCAAAACTCACCTGCTACAATATGGTCTGAGTCTAGCTGCCTGAGCATCTCTGAAGCACTGTGCTGTTTATCACTGGTGCTTCTCTCCACTGCAGCCTGTCAACAGACTGATGACCTTATCAATGAAAGAGCAAAGTCACTATGATGTTACACCCAGAAAGAACTCAAAGCACTTTTAGCTCCGCTTTGAGGTTCCTCTATTCCCCGCTGATTGCAACGAGAAAAGTGGTGCAACTTTGTAAAAGAGCAGAAGAGGTGGATTAGTGTGCAGATAGTCCCTTTAATTTATTAGAAGCAGTGATGCGGCACTGCACTGCACAGCACAGCACCGCGTTGACTTAGCGCCAGCAGTAGTTTCACCAATTGAGTTGGTTCTTAATTTATGGACACATGAACTGTGTGTTTGCACAAGAGTGAGATATGTATCGTTGCTGAGTCGGCCCGTTTATGGGGAATCATGTTCTGCACTTTTAGAGCAAATCATCCCATAAAAGTGTAATTTATCCCTCTTCTTACCTGGGACACACACTGCAGCGGAGGCCTCACTCTTGCATCTGGGAAGTCAGGGGGGAGTCGGGGAGTCGGGGAGAGAAGGAACCCCTAGCCCAGCAAGTTCAAAGCTTGCTGCATTGATTACATCATCGGAACTGGAGTGCTGGAATGGGACAATGCACCATTGGGGGGGTGGGGGTTGGGGGGTGCAGGCTAATCTAACCATTGCTTCCCTGTGAGCTCCATGAGCAAAGTGTGTGTCTTCTATATATATATATATATGTGTGTGTGTGTGTGTGTGTCTGTGTGTACGTCTTTGCCTTTCTACTGTCTCTGAACTCGGCTGGTCCGGTCCAGAGTCAGATGGCCTGCTCTCCCTCATATTCACCACCACTGTGTCACGTGACTGAGGGACCGTCTGTGTCTGGAAGAGACCGATGTGCATCCCTGTGTGCCTGTGTGATTGTGTGCACGTGTGTGTGTGTGCGCTATTAGAGGCCGGCACTGCAGGAACTCAGCTGCTGCAGGACACTGCAGGATTGCTGTTCTGCTGCTGGCTCACTGGCTCACTGGCTCCTGCTTTTTTTCCTCCCTTTTGCTCTCTCTCCTCTCTCTATTCACTCAGGCAAATTGCTCAAGGAGGATGGTGAGAGCATGTGCTGCATACTTTTTCAGCAGGGGAGGGGGGGAGGAGGTGAGGGGAGGAGGAAAGAGGAGGAGGAGGATGAGGGGGGGGGGAGCAGAATCACAGAGGTGCACAGCATGCTGGTGAGGTGCTGTGCTGGGCAACTGTACCTCTGAGAGGGACTACAGTAGAGAAATTGGAGATGAGGAAGGAGGAGGAGGGAAGATGAAGAGAGAGGAGGGGAGGTGGGGGGAGGGCAGAAGTGAGGTGCAAGGAACATCAGGTGAGTGCGGCAATTTCCTTTGCTGGCGGTGCAGCACCCACCCTCAGTGAAAGTGCGAGCAGGAGAACTGCAGATGTTCCAAGATGATGTCAGGCTCCGGATGTGGCACGGGCCTCATGTACAGTTCTATATCACTTCGATTCCCTGCGCTCACCCGCACTCGCTCGCCTGCAGCGGGGAGAAACCCAAAGGCAAGAGAGAGCTTGGGACTTCTCCCTCACAAAGAGCCAGCTGGCGACGCAGGGCCGGCTTTTTTTCAAGGTCTTAGCACAGTTACCTGAGGTGAACTCAGAGCTGACCGAGCCTGTGTGCAGGCAAACTGACCCGACTAGATCCATCATCAAACCTCCCAGACAGTGTTCAAAACACATTCCCTATACTGACTCACTTTTGTATGAAGCTTTTTCGCCCACAAACTATTTTTACATGGCCTTTGAAAAGGCTTGAAGTTGAGCAGAGACAGCGCTATATGACATAAAAGACAAAAGTAGCTTCATCGACTTCTAGAGCAAGAGAGTTGCTGAGAAACTGCTGCTGCACGGATATTAAATGCGAGTGGTTCTTCTCCCACAGACTTTTCCATTTCTGTTTTTATCCAGTAAAACACAAAAAAAAACATCACATCTTAAAACATTCAAAAACACCCCAGCACTTTTTCTAAAACTGTTTTTCCTTATCTCTCCAAAAAGAAGCTGAAAAAGCTTCACCCTGACCTGACATCTACTTTTAGGACGGTTGAGAAGTCTCAGCAGCTACAGCACAACTTCATGACTGCAGCACAGCTCCCCTGTCCCATGCAGGCCACTGTAGCCTCATTCTCATTTCCGCATTCAGACACTGACAGCCAAGCGCCACTGATACAGTAGATCCTTCTTAGCAGTTTACAGCATCATATTCACAACTAACACATGCTTCTAAATATAAACACTGAACAGCCAGAGAAAAGTAGCGAGCTGGGACTAGGTGTACTCTCCTCTGAGCTAAATCGGCAGTGATTCAAGTCTCTTCTGGAGGAGGAACTCTTTGCGTCCTGGTTAGTTTTTTTTGTTTGTTTGCTTTTTGTCCTTGTGTCTAACGGCAAGCTCTCTCAACCAGCCGCTATCTGACACGCCGGCTGCTATTTCCAGCCTGTACCATGTGTTAAACATGGATGAGGGAGCAGAGGAGCCTGTCTGCTAACTGGCTGGCTGCTGCCTGGTTATTACTGGTGCAGAGGAGGCTGACACTGATGAGACAGAGGCAGCCAGGAGCTTCAACACTGCAGGCATGCACACCGACACACATATATCAACTCCTGTTTAGCTGGTTGAAGAAGTAACATCCCATGCAAAGAGATAAACACACAGAGTGACAGCATACAAGGTGAATAATGTCAGAGGAGAAATAAACGTATACCTACGGATGAGTCTCAGGCCGCATCACACACGGGGCGGAGAGGAGGAAAACTTCTCTGCACTCACTCTCAGCCTCATGGTCGCTGGTGATGTGCTTTCATGGCGCGGCAAAGTTGACTGCAGCATTGCCTCCTGAACAGAATGACATTGTTTGCACTCTCTCTCTCCCTCTCTCTCTCTCCCTCACTCCTCCTCCTCTTCCTCCTCCTCCTGTACGCTCGCTCCCCCTCCTCTCCTTTGCACGCTTGCTGGCAGCACAAACTGCACAGCTCAGCAGTGTTCCCCCACTGCCGCAGCAGATCCTGCATGAGCTCTGCGTATCTGAGTGGGATGGGACTTTTAAAGGGGAACGCAACCTCCAGGGTCAGTGTGTGTGCACATCCTCAGTCTGCCCTCCTCTCCTTCCTGTCCTCCTCTGCACCCACCTCAACCCCCCCAACACACACAAAACACCCCCGAGGATCATCGGTGTAAAGGACTCCTCATAAGAGAGACCCCCTCCATGCACACAGCTCTCCGTCCCCCTTTTATTCATTTTCACACTACAGCAAAAGCTGCTTTGAGATATGAGTGTGCTCAAACCTCAGTAAGGAACAGCTCGCTCCTCAGAGAGTCCATCTCCTCTGATGTGCTTTAAAACTTATCAAATTACCTCTGAAATGTTGTTTTCTTTGAAATTACCTGAAGGAATCTCATGAGAAAAGAGTTTTGTTTAAGAGATGATTTTTACGTTTTTGTCAAACATGTCAATAAAAAGTTTAAAAATGTGACGCCCTCTCGATTTGAATGAAAGACTATTTTGAACACTTTTTTTTATTAAATGGCAGGTTATTAAACTTTGAACAATATTGAAGAATGAAATGAAAACAAATAAAACGAGGTAAACGGCATTATTGAACATTTGAACAAACGAGAAATATTCCTGCGATCAGTAAGCGGCTGACTCGATTTAAAAGCTGCTATCTCAGTGCCCACTCAAAGTTTCTCCATTCTCACAGGTAAAAATCTCCTTCAGTTAGGGAAATGTCCTTCATCTGCAATCCTTGTTACCTGCCTGTTTTTACCCAAGATGCATTGCTTTACTGGTGCTATTCTGCAGTGCGCTAGGAAACATCTTGACTAACCAAATTTTTCTTTTGCGCGTTGCACAACTCCGCAAGAATGAGATCATCAATCATTTAGTCAGCCAATGAGGTTGAACTTCCCCTTCTGCAAGGTCTTTGATTCACTGGATGGTTCAGTGCATGGGTTTTGCATTGATAATGGTGGCTCCATTATTAATTCTGCTCAGTTTGGCTGATCTCTGCAGCAGCGCAGCGCTCTCCTCCTGCATCTCACTGCAGGAGTGCGGCTTTTTTCTTTTTTTCTTTGCATGACTCTTAGTGCATGAGCCCTTAGTTGAACTCTGGGATCTGTCTTCTTCTTCTGGTAAAAATCTATTGGATGAATAGATGAAGTATTGACCCTAAACTCATGTAGCTACAGTCTACTCTACCTGTTTTAGGCACATTAGAGTTCATGAATTGATTATCTTGTAGCTCTGCTGATCAGATGCACCACAGCTGTAAGAAATTGCTGAATCAGTTGAAATCCCATTATTGAGCATCTCTGAGTGTTGGGGACACATAAGGCCGTCGACATAAATCAGTGTCCGTTTGAGTCATAGATGGGCACCTTAGCATCTTTCCCTGCATGTGCAATCTGCAATCTGCATGCAGTGCTACTGCTGCATCAGACTGCTGAGCCTCACTGCAGCCGTCCTCTCCTCTGTACTCTGTGACACCAGGGGAATATGCCCCCGCCAGCATATCCCTCACATAGCCCACGCCGTTCTCCGTAATGGCATCCCCTGTGATGAATAAGCCATGAGGAGGGGCCCTTTTACACGTCCTATTAGATTACCTCCCTGTGCTTTACCTGGCTACTGTCACCTCATTGCCTCTAGCTCCCCACTCTTCTTAATATTCCCTCTTGTTATCCCAGCCAAGGGCACAATGTGTAAATGTGTGTTAAGGCTCATAGATCATGTGAGTGTGGAAATTCATTGTTGGATCTTCAGTGCGGTTCATTGAATTCGCAACTACATGCCTCTCGCTTATGTTTATGATTCGCATAAGGTCCCTGAAAACTGCCTGGCTGTTAGCGTGTTAGCAGTCGACGGGAAATGTTGACCAAAAAAGGTGATTGGCTTTTGTGCGTGTTATCAAAGAAAATCGACACGTGTTATCAGGCACAAGCTGTGTCAAAATTTACTGTTCATCGGAGGGTAAAAAGGTTTCTGTCAGGTATGGACATTCTTGACACACGCAGATAATGGAGTGGAGTCCAAACATCAGCTGGTGGGTTTGTGTGTGCCTTTTTTCCTCTTGCCATTCACAGCCCATTCCTCGGCTCCATTGATCTGTCCGGAAAAGATAATAGACACATTGATTTACAAGCTCAGCAGCTTGCCTGGTTTACACATCACTTCAGACTAATTCTCAACAGTCCTCAGTCAAGGAAGAGAATCGCTTGGATTGACGAATGACTCCTGGGTCTCCGAAAGTGTGTGCACAGCATTGCAGAATTTATTTTTGCAAATCTGATGAAGTTAAAAACGAGGGCTTGGTGAGAATAAGAGTCTAAAAGTGTAGAAATCTGTCATTCTGAATTAAAAGTCTTTTATATGAGTTAAATATCTTGTACAAGTGTGTATGTATTTCATGTTTAATGTTAATGTTTGTACAAAGAGAGCTAAGTTTACTGGAGTTAAGTTCCTTGTAAGTGCTCACATACTCAGCCAATAAAGCTGATTCTGATTCTGAAAAATAAGAGTCAGGGAGGAGGTAAAAGAGGATAGCCAGTGATAAATTCACTTCACAAAATTCTCTCTCTCTGCTCGATAAAGTCAGTCTGGCACCGAGAGAGTTTGAATGATGGGAACTGCTCCTGTAGAAAGGGGGTGAGAGGTGTGTTTCACTGCACCAGAGCTTCTTTGTTGACCTCATTTTCGTAAAGCTGAGCAGATTCTTTCTCTCAAGAAAAAAGATACACTAAAGAGGTGAAATCTGTTTGAACAGACACGACTGTAAGCACACAGCAGTACAAACGTTTGGAGATAAATCAGTGTTTATTTCACTCTTTTCCATTTTATCTTACAACTACTTAAGACATTGCTCTGCATTTAATTAAAGATCCTGCTTAGAGAGGCAGATCTGCGAGGTCTCTTCTCCTCAGTATGAAAGAGAGAGTCATAAAAATGTGGATTGACATCCTGGTGAATGGGTGTATTCTGACAGCTGGCTGCTCTGTTGTGGTGAATGAGCAGTGTCTCTGTCAGAGTCAGCAGCAGACGGTTTTTTCTCTACAACTGAGCGCAACACACACACCGGCCTTAACCGAGGGAGACTGCAGCTCGGAAAATCCTCGATTCAGCTTTCATAGATTTCACAGAAAATGAATTTCAAGCATTTCTTTGTAGTATTTAAGAGTGAGCAGTCAAAAGTAAAGTCATTAATAGAGTTTTCATCTCTATTCCTCTTATGCATTTAAAGGCTGCCGTTTACTGTAGACGCTGTTGGGCTGATAAAGCAAATATATCTCTGTACAGACAGAGAAGACTTTGAACTTTGTCTTCATTTTATCTATGGCTAGAATATTTAGATGCCCATTAAGCTGTAAACCAGCTGAAGAACAAGCATAAGTGTGCACGATTCACAGTAAAATTGCACTTTCTTCACTCACTTTAAAGGTAGGGGTTGTTTGCACTGAAAAGCTGAAATGATCATCCTAAAAACCCTCCAGGACCTCACTTTGCTGAGAAATATCCTTCAAAAGGAGCTGCCACAATCCATCACTGTAATGCTGCTTAGCTTTTTGAGGAACCATTTATTTGTGTTATAAAATGTAGGAAATAACTTTGCCTCTGCAGCTTTACTCTTCTGAATATAGTTTCCAATGCTGTTTGCATGTCATTCCCATCTAAAGAGATGAGGAATAGCTTGTTATTTTGGTCTTTTTCTGTTGCATTATTACCTGCGCTCCAGGTTCTTGGAGGATTGTTGCATATCCTCAACAACAACAACTCGTGTCACCTGGAGATGTGTGTTGACTCCTGGCCTACATTCTCCGCTGCCATCTGTTACCGTCAAAAACAGGTGAGGCACGCGGGACAATGATAACTGATGGGCTCTTCCAGCATGGCCTTATGATGTCTGTATCATCTGCCTGTGAAGCGTTTCAGCACCAGCAGCAGCAGCAGCAGCTCTGAGGTGATGCCTGATATCTGCACTGTCTTCACCAAGAGCCCAACAGCTCTGAAAAGTCTGCTGCTTAATGAGAGAGTGGTACACTGGAGGAATGGACTCATATTCAGAGATAGTGTGGAAGAAAAACAATAAAACTCTCTTTTATTGAGTATACAGTGTGTTTGGAGGTTAAATGTAGGGTGGCCAGTTTAATCTGGACTCATGTTGAAAGTCTCAAATGCTGACAGCTGTAAAAAAAAAAAAAGACAATCTTAGGAAACCATCAAATCATTTCAAGGATGGCATTGGAAGGTAATTGATAGAAACAAAAGATTGTGAGGCACACAGTTTAACTTTTGGTGCAATAGTTTTGATTACTCCACATATCGACACAGTATTCGTATTTCATGGGAATGCATTTTACAATTTTCATTACAGTCCCTCTTTCCCTGGTGAGATAGAGACAGAATTTGAATTATTTTTTAGTTCGGTCATTGTCGACATACACATCTTTGACATTGCTAAGAGAAAAATGCAGCTGAATTTCATTGTGATTCTTTTGAACAGAAATAAACACAAGATAAGTTTCACCTAATATCGAACTAAAGACTAATAAATAAGCATATACATAGATGCTAAAAAATCATCAGTGAACATAAACATCATTGCTTATTTCATCTGCTTTGGCTCAGACTCATAAAACTGGACGGGTAAGTTATTCAAAATCACACCTGGCTAAAAGTAACAGCTAATCCATAAATAGAGCTGCTTAAATCAGTTACAATCAACCCTTGCACAATGCACATTTAAGCCCAATGTTTATTGAGAGGTGAAAACCAAAAAGAAAGGAAGCATTGACGAGAGGCTTTTTCTCAGTTTACCACCATCAGTAGCAGTCAGACCTCAAGGATTCAAGGAATCTTTATTGTCCCCGTGGGGCAAGTCGCTTTACAGCCAGCAGTGCCACACACAGACATAAGACAACTAGCACAACAATAAATAAATTAAAAAACGATAAAACAGAGAGACTAAAAAAAATCACTTGTTTAAAAGACCTATGGCGGCAGGAATAAGAGAGTTCCTCAGTCTGTTTGTCCTCAGCCTTACTGCTACCAGTTAGGGCTGGGCGATATGGCCTAAAATCAATATCACGATATATTGAGCAGTTCAGCTCAATAACGATAAATGGACAGTAACTACTCCACAAGCTGCTCACCCCCTCCCACATTAACTTTGCCTACTTCAGCCTGGATGGGGTGGAGGACAGAGTCTTAAAGGGACATGAGACCACTGCCTACCTACACACATCCAAAACCAACTTGTATTCCTTTTTTTGACACCAAATACATTGACATGGGCAAAATGACGGTTATTTTGGTAAATTTCTGTATCTGTAAATTTTCAGTTTATCGCCCAGCCCTACTACCAGTGATCACATTATTCTTTAAAATGGGTCACAAAAATTGACTTCTAACAGTCTTAATTAAGGTAAGGCTCAAATCTAATTTTCTGAAAAAGCCAGGCACAAAACTTGATTGCAAACAATCACATTTGTGTATTTGTAGGGATCTATACACAGCTGCATACTGTATTAATACACATCCCCTTGTGATGGCAACTTTGCATCTGTAGATCAGATTGTAAGAAGTCCAAGAGAGGATTTAGGTACACCAGGCTTAACACACACAGAACTGTCTGTCTGGATGGGCTCTTTTGGGGTGTGAGTTCAATAAACAAGAAACGGGAGATCACAAGACTTACTCCTTAAACTTCTGTATGGAAACAAAAAGAAATATATCTGAGACCCAAAGTGAATGAATGTTAAACTCCAGGTGAATGCAAAAAAACCCACAAATAATCAAACATGGACTAGTTTCAAACTAACAGAAGTTATAGTTGTTTGTTTAGTTACCTTATGAATACATTTTCTATGTGGGCGCCTTTCACAACACTCAAGGTCACCTTACAAGGCATAATAAGAAAAAGCAGCTGTGTAAACCAAATTGAACATCTATGAATATAAACTTAATCAGAAACAGCAAAGGGAAACACGAATCTGCAGAATAAAAAGAAGACAAACGTGACTTGAACCATAACTAGCACTTTGTTTTCTCTATTTATTTAAGGTATACCAAGCGCACACTGTCGTCTTATTAAAGACCTGGCCTCTCTGAAAGGGTTGGATATCTCTGAATATGGGGGTTACAGTACCTTTATCCACCACAGCCCAGAGGGGGTGGACCAGCTGGGGTGAGTTTCTTACATATTATCAGTTTATGGCAACTCAGTTATGTTTCACAAAGGCTGATTTATGTTATAAATATTAAATATCATATTGGTTCATTCATACTTCTCAGTATTATTAAATTTCATTAGGATGGTGTTGCCTCTGCCAGTTTCCATACTTGATCAGTCCCATGCTGGACTGGTGGACAAACACTTGCCTTATGGAGGCAGCCGAGAGAGCCTGAGCCACGTGAGAGCCTGTATCCACCATCTGCCAAACCACTGTGTGAAGGATGCGAAAGGCCGGCCTGTGTCCTGGATGCTCTCTGATGAGCTGTGTGAACTAAGGATGGCCTATACCCTCCCAGAGTACAGACGGGCTGGACACCTCCTGGCTCTGTCTGTGGCTCAGATCCGCAGCATGAGCTCTGCGGGCCTGCCTGTCTACTGCCACGTCAACCAGCGGAACCAGGCTACGATTAACGCTGTGACCTCACTCGGCTTTTCCGCTTGTCCTGGTATGGAGAATATCTCAGTTCTGCTAATATGCAGGGACAGAGTCTGTTGAGCCGAACTAATGACAGTCTATTTTTCATTGAGTGACTGACAGTACACTGAAGAAAATTATGTTTTATGGTAAAAGAGGAATATGTAACACTCAGTTTCCTCGTTCTATGATTCCTGTTTCACTACGGAGTTCAGGGGATGCTGTGATTTAGACAGCTCTGATAACATACAGCAAGTAGAACAAACTCAAAATAACGCTTCAGTGGCCTAAGGGTGGCTTCTATGGATATGCTAGACATGCTGCTCTTTTTTTACTCATCTAAAAAAGGTACAGAAATCTCCCTCAGTATAGAATAGTTGTATAGGAGCAATATAAGCCAGTTCTTAGTTTAAGCCAGCGGAGTGTTCTGTGCTGCTTTTCCAGAGAAAAAGACTCCTTAATCTGCAGATCACCAAAGGAGGCTCTCCTCCACCTGGGACCCCTCCCCAGAGGTGTGCTGTTCCTCTGCTGATTGCCTCTCTGTATTTTAGCAGCAATGCACCATTCAAGTCTGCAGGCAAACTTGACAAATGAGCAGGGATCTGAGCAGAGGGGATACTCGTACTGCACCACACATCCTGTCCCATTCACATCCCCCTGTCCCGCAGTGGTGCACCTCTCTCCACTGATGCCCTTTCTTTTTCTCTAAACCGGCAAGAGCTCCTTTCAAAGTCACACAAGTACAGAAAGCTTAAAATACACATTTACTGATGCATCTGCACGTAAACCCGACTAAAAGAATAAATCTGTTAACACGTGCTCATATCTATTGATGCGTCTTTGTAAAACTAAATTACAAATTCAAATTTAGGATGCAGGATGCACCAATAATAATTACAAATCCTATTAGCACGGAAATATCCAGGAAGCATTTCATTTCTAATTTTGGAACACATTTAAATGATCATAAATGCACGTTTGTTCATGTGTGAGTGGGACTAGAACCACTTTTGATGATCACATTTGCAGCTTCTGTGATAAAAGACTGTTAAAGCCACATTGAAAGATAGAAAACTGATTTGCTGATTTGTCAGTTTTAATATTATTGTTAATTTAATCTCATTTGATTTCATATTATTCGTAAGGAAAAATGACATGATAATTGTAAGCTTTGGCTGTATGAACAGAATTTTTATAATTTATGGCAGTTTGAGACACAAGAAAATCGAGGATAACAGAAACAGACCATCTTTGCTAAAAAGTTTAATATAAGAAAACATGGCCACTCATTGTAAAATTGCATGTAAAGCTTAAATCAAAATTTAAATGACTCTGTCTTTGTTTTTTAGTGAGGTAAAAGTTGATCAGACTCCACAGAGGTCAGCAGAGGCATTAGAGAGGACCTTACTATCCTTACACACTTCTTAAATAACTGGTAAAGAGGATTTTGTCCTCCATTCAAAGCTGTCTGCTCCACAAAGCTAGACTGTGCGGTTCTTGTATTGCATCCAGCCATCCACTGAAACATGAGATGTCTCCTCACCTACACCATGAATCTATTTAAGTGCTCACCCTTCAATACAGTCAGAGAGAAGAACAATTATAACGAAAAGCAGCAGGAGGGTTTTCATCGGCCGTAGATCTTTAATCATCTAAGGGAGGACTTGAGAGTCGGCTAAAGAGCAGAAAAACTCAGAACATGAAGTACCTGACAGCTGAGCTACTTCTGTGGCTTCATCACTATGTTGCCTGCAACTGCAACCACCACTTGAGGACAGCATCCACCCACTGGTCCTCTTCAGAAACTGCATCCCAGAATGAGCGAGGAGCTGAGTGTCTGACGCAGCATGCGATCATTCACCTTGGCTGCGTGTGCTGCTCGGACTTGCCTCGGTGCAGCTGTCCACACATTCCCTCACTACCCACACCCCACTCACCCCCACCTCTTGCCCCCACCCTATAGAGACAGTGCACTCTCCCAGCCATGGAGTGGGACGTACTATCGATCCTGCTGAAATGATGGTTTCTAAAAGGGAGGCAGTAAGCATGTCTGCACTCCCCTCCTCCTCTGTGGAGGGGCCCTGAGATATCACCGAGCTCAGCACATTGCACCATCGCCGTATGGGAAAATGGGATTTTCACTTCGAGATGAGCTGAGGGGACGGTAATTCAAGTCGCAAAACTATATTCTCAACAGAGGATGTAAACTGAGCCTTTTTACCTTCATAAGCCTCATATAGTGGACAAATAAGGTCACTTCAAATGTCCTATTAATTCCTGTCCTTGTGACAGAGAAATCAGATGCTGTATGGGAAAAAAGCACGAGGGCTGAAGTACAGAGGGATTTTCATTTACTATTCAGACACTTATCTATCCAGCTTTGTGCATGTATTAGGATGAAGCACACATTCCACCATATTTCCCTTGTGTTGTTTGATTCTTCAGGGGACCAAGTGTTTTCTGAATAATTGATGAATTAGTAGAGTAGAGCTTAACAGAGACTGGGTTATTAACCTAATGAGATGCTCTGAACCTTAAAGCAGAAGCTGTTTATCCCAGAGAAACCACTAGATGGGGATAGAGGCCTGGTGTTTCCCTACCAAAGGAGGTGAAATTTGGAGCGTGTGTGTACTGTCATCCACTCAGGACTGCAGAATAAAAAGAAATTCTGAGCAGCCTTTTATGGTTGTTAGTGTGTAGAAACTACAGCTACATTGAAGTTGTAATTACACTGTGCTTTTATGATAAAAAAGCAAGCAAACTTGCCAAAAAGTTAGGCACATTAGTTAGTGTGCAAGCAGCATAATCATCCAACTGCCTGTCGGTCACCATACCTGAAATTCCCAGTGGAGTCAGTCACTGGGGATTGAATGTGACACACTGAGCTGCACTGACAGATGTCAAAGATCTTCGCTCCTCTGATCAGTCTCCGCTCTTTAACCCTGTCAGCGAAGGACTGAATGGCCTGAAGGTCAAGATGTAAAAACCAGTGCCTCTTTGTATCTGCATGTGAGCTATTGTGGCACACTGGTGCTGAAATAATGTATTGCTCTTGTTTAACTCGGTCATATAGATGTTTGTGAGTGTGGGTGCGTGTACTTGACAGATTGGAGTGTGAATGATCAATTATGGTCCCTTTCACCATCACACATCACATGCATGCCCTGAGGAAAGTCTATAATAGCATGATTCTGTCCTTGAATACATTTAAGGACAAACATGCACACAACACAAATGCCCTTCTGTCTTTGCCATTTCAAAGACATTTCAATTATCACTCATGGTGGATATAAAACACATTACAAAGTAGGCTGGCACAAACATGGAATTTACCAGAGCATATTTCACTTTTTTTTAGCTATAACGAATCTATTAGTATTGTCTCACTGTAAGACTAAAAAAGGTGAATGAGTGACAGTGATCTCTTACCTAATTTTCTTACCTTACTAGCGTCTGTCTGCAGTCTGCATTACACAGTTGGTGTGCCATAAACCGGACTGAAGTTAGTTTTGTATTAAGGGTCAGTTATTTATTTATTTATTTCAATCATTATCAATTTGGTTTCAACAAACTGTAACTTCGAAGGTATGTTTATGGATCAGTTTTTACATATGAAGACTGTGTGTTTGCATTTTTCTGTATTTTTGCAAGGGGATATATTTTTTATCATGCATTTTTGGTCTTTGGAATTTTAACTGGGAATTCTGTTTCATTAACGTTTTATCACGATGATTATAAAGCAATATTTATCAGCAGATATATTTTTAACGGACTTAACTCGATGTTTAAATATACCATATTTTGATAATATTATTGTCATTACTCTTTTAATCATTTTTACTTTTATTACTAATTGTATCACTTTGATGACACCAATGAGCTTTTTAGATGATGGAATCCCCTTTTTAGAAAAATATATAGAATAATTCATGGAGCACAATTTTTAAAGTATGAAAATATAAGACGTACATTTTACATAGAGGTCTTTTTCAAAACAAAGGGGTTTTTAAAATTTGCTTAGTTATAAAAAAAAACCTGTTTTGTGTTTCATTTAGCTTTTTATGAGTTCAGAATTTAATTCAGAATTTTATATTTCGGTAGAAATTAAAAAATACATAAACTGTGTGGAAGGACCTGCGCGTCAACGGTGACACCAATGCAAAACTAACTTCGTGTCGCTCGTCAGTAGGGAGGTCCTAATCTAGTATAGCAGCTGGGAGCATTTTACCACGTGATGCGAGAGATGTTAGAGAGCAGCCATCATCATTTCACCTAATTCATGACCAGCCTGAAATGGTAAATGGTAAGACGACAAGGGAACGGAAAACTGCGATGGAGTAGTTGAAGACTGAAGCCGCTCCCGTTTCACTTCCTCACCATCTAAGAAGGTCTGTTTGCTGTTTGATTTACACCCCCCTCTTCTCCTGTTTTCTGCTGGCTGCCGACGCGCTTGTTTCGGTTTCTGTGTTCATCCTTACCTCTTATTTATGTAACTGATAGCGTAAACGGCACCAGTTTTGGGGGTTACACTCCCCAAACGTTTATTTGAGGTGGGACAATGAGCGTGTTGGTGTTGCCTGCATATCCCAACTCTTATTCGCCGTGTTTTGTTGCCGTGTATGCTAACACGGTTTGCGCTACTGGTTGTGTAACGAACGTTTCGAAGGCGACGAGCTCCAGGTGAACTGGAACAATGTAACAAACCAACGGCTAGTAACGCTCGATTCACGCGCTGCTCCTGTCTGCGGTCGCGCGTGGAGGTTCGTTGAGTCGGGGGCTTTGGCTTAGCTGGCCCGCGAGAGCTTGTTCGAGGATTTTGCTAGCATGACAAACTAATATGGGTTAACAATTCACAAGGCCTGCGAACACTCACTTGCTAGTTGATCAGGTGCCATGAAAATCCACTCCATTACAGCTGGAATGTAGAGCAAACGTGAAATGACGCTTTGACAACTATAATGGTATAATTTCAACACTTAAACTTATTGTTGGAGGCTGCCTTAGCCGTCATTTTGAGATTTTTCACAAGCTCTTCTCACCCAGAGAAGTTCCAGTCCTGTATTTCAACCACTTACACCATTCCCTGAGACGTGCTTTTCACCAGAGAAAAGATCAAATGAGTCACATATCCTATTTTTGTTTGATACATTTTCATGTAACAGGGTGACCAACAGGAGTTACGTTTACATTTCATCATAGGAACCAGGGTCTGTTTTATTTTTAGCAACACTTTTCAACATAACCCATTCAAGCTATGTTTCCATACAATGACTACTTTGTCTTGGGTGAACCTTACTAAGCAGGTCAGCAAACAGGCAAAGGTTTGAGTTCAGGTGGGCCCAGTCTAAATTGGTCCTTACAACACAAACAAGTGCTTCCTTGGCTCAGCAAATCTAGCAAACCCTTCCTCTTGCATTTTAATAAGCCTCAAACCAACCCAGGGGCCCAGAACCCCAAACCAACCTAGGCCAGGATCCTAGCCCAAATATGCTCCTCCACAAGCCGCCTTTCTACTACTAATGGAGAGTATTTGTTTAAAAGCCTAAGGTGTATGTGGGAAGACCTTGTTATTGTTCTGTTAGTTTTGATTTACTTGTTGTGTGCGTTGTAAGGTGGCCCTGTGCCATGGCGAGAGGGGATGGTAAACTCTTGGCTGTGAGAGTGTGCAAATTAACATGTTTCACTCTCTGAATGCTGGACAGGCATTGAAAAAGAGATTGTTTACATTCAGATGCTGGCCACCCGCCGCTTGCTTTTTCTTCCCTCCTGTTTTCCAATCACTGAAGAGACATGACCCATTTAAATGGTTGTTTACTTGCATTAGAAGAAGAGCCAAAGCACTTCTCAATGAACTCTTGTCTACAATTCAATTAGAGTGGCCTTCCCAGCAGCACAGTTTTCCACATTACACAATGCTCTCTTCAGCCTGGCTGCAACCCGGGTAAAAGTACCAGAACCAGAGAGCAGCAATAGTCAATCACACCTGCGCATTACATCAAGTCACAATGTCCCCACTGGTTATTGATCTTTAATTCAGAAAGTGGATTATCAAAGAGAATAAGGATTGAAGGACAGGGCAGGTTGACCTTTGGCTTGAAACTCATCAGTTTGCATTTAATTTAAAATCAAGCAAAGAAAGTGAAAGTAAGCTGAAGACGGATATCATCACACAGAAAAAGCACTGTTACAGCTGCGGGCCATTGAAATGGAGCAAGTTAGAGGAAGCACATCAGGTATTTCCCAAGCTTTTTCTGTCAAGTTTCTGTATTTGTGAATCAGTCTCTGCGTTAGAGGAGCTGTGGTCAAGCAGAGTCTCCCTCAAACCCAACAGAACGTTTTTTATTCCTTTAAACCAGACGTTTTATTACTGCTTTCCTGTTGCCCTCTGACTAGCCAGACGTATATTAAGACATGGCTGGAGTGTTTCCCCTCTTTTTCTTTCGCCTATTTTTGGGGATTGTGGGAAAAGAAGCTGAGTAATGTGTCAGCTGTGAAGGAGCCTGGGATACAATTTTCCTGCCTAGCTTTCCTTTTACATCCACTAGCTTTCAAAGCGAGTACAAGATGAGTCATTGTTTCATATAATCAATCAACCTGTTTATTGTTCTTTATCCTGCTTCAGGGTGTCTCCCACCTGTATTTGATCTCTTGATTGGGTACTTTCTTTCTTACAGTTGTCAAAAACTGCCTGTTTGACTGCTTTCAAGAGCTTAAAATTGGCAATGTCATACTATCCTGTTATCTAGGGTTGACTTGGGACTTTCTTAAAATGCTTGAGATTAGATAATGTGTTAACTTGAGGACAACTAATCAAATAAAGATTATATTTGTTTCTTTTTTTTTGTCTGTGCACCTCAGTCCCAAATAAATCACTGAGCCAGTGCAGTGCATAAAAACATGGGTGTTGACCAGTTAATCATGGTAAACCTGAGTGGAAACTCATGATGATAGCATTTGGATCAGCATGTTAATCTTTAAGCAAACTTTCTGTATGGATCCAGAATTTGTTCATATTCTGGGTTCTTAAGAACAGATCCTTTTTAGATTGATGTTAAAATTCTGTAGGTCACATTGTACCCCCTGAAATGTTTTTGGTCTTCTTTAAGTCTACATTATTTATCTCCAGGCGCCACAAAGCTCAGAATTGATCACAACAATTATATGGTTTAGTCCTCTGTTTTGAGTCGTAAACTGCTTTTCTGAGAAATTATAATCACGCAAATTGAATTCGAACCGGCCAATGAAGATGAACAAGGTCAGATCAGATGGCTTATGTTTTTCAGCTCTTACCGCAACAGTGTACAGCTGAACAGAAATGCTCAAAAACAGAACAAATCTAATTTTAGGCTGGTGGACTACTGCAGTGCCTAAGAGATTTGAGTCAAAATATAGCTATTGTTGTATAATTTACACTGTCTCAAAAGGAAACCCTGAAGGAGCACATTTTTCGGTACCTTGTTAAACTTCAGTACTGACCTTGTGAAATATTTGAGAGGACTGTAGTGAATTGATTAAAACTCCTGTTTTATGTGATTTGTGCTGCAACAACTGTGATGTAATACATGGGTGGGGAAATAAGATGAGTAACTATGGACCCAATAACTCGACAGGAATGTCTCTTAGATACTCTAGACAAAACAAACAGCACAAATATTTTCCATTTATGAGTCCTGCTCACCAATATGCAACATTACCTGCAGTTTCAGAACAAAATACATGAAAATGACGAGTACCAGGCTGATAAAGAAATCTATCAGTGACGTAATCAAAGCCACATAAAACCTGCTGGTTATAAAAGGCTGAACTGTTGCGCTACAATCTTACATGTACACTAAATTGGCTGAACTGTTTTCTCTAAATAGGTCAATCAATTATATACAGCCCGTTTAGTCTCGCAATGATTATTTTTGAGTGGCAGAAACTTGTCAGTCTTGTCTTTCCTGGTAGGCACGTCATTATTCAGAGCTAGTGAGGGAGAGGAGCAGCTCCAGACTTGACATCATTTTCAGATAAAAGTGTGCAGAAGTATGTCACAGTGATAGTGAAGTTGGTGAAGTGTTCATTATCTTCACAAAGGGAATCAGGGTCATGGTCGGCTGATGTATGCTGTGTCATGATAATGTTATCCACGTCTTTGATTATAAAGGTTTACATCTCAACTTTGCCTTCTTTATGTGTCATACACTGAGGATCACATGAGAACAAAGCCCTTCTTGAGGCAGCTGCACAGCCTCCCAGCTCCAGTTATTAGTTGTGAACAGATCAAGATACAAGATCAAGTTAGAGCACTATGTGAAATTTCCATGAACTACAATTCCAGAAAGAACTGTGCTAAATGGACAAATTACAGCAGATGTGCCATGTTGTCACTATCAAAGGACAGGAATGTGTCCTGCCAACCAAGCCGGCTGCTGATGCTTGGATCTGAATGAATGAAAGAAGTACTGTGAGAAAACAGTCTTTATCTCTACAGTAAGATCATAGTGTAACGTAACTTACAAACAAAACAACATTCAAAGTGAAGACACGAAAAAGAGCGCTTGGAGTCCTTTGCATCATCCAATCCACATGACCCATAAAAAAGAAACTTGTTTTTAAAGTTTGGGAACACACTTGTTTCATAAACAGCGAGTAGCAAAAAGCAACAACATGGGGTCAGTGGTATCTTGACGATTTAGTTCCTAGATGGAGAAAATCCCTCAGACCCTTGACCGAAGGTGGGCTATTGTCCATTATTTAAAAAAAAGAATTTACACTTAAAAAAAAAAAAAGTTAGGGTTTACATTAAAGTTTGCCCACAAAAATAAATGTTTTTTCTTGCTTGGTAGCAGTCTGAAGTAAAAACCTGATAGGAGCAATTCAAATCTGATGCAGAATGATCCCAGTCCACACAGAATGATGGCTCATGAATAACCGTCTCATTTGTTTCTTTCTTCGTTCATTTCTTTGATCTCCTCAGGTGGGTTAAACCAAGAACTGGTCGCTCCCTGGCCGTTGGGATCTATAACACAGGAGCAGCAATCTGCCTCCTGGGCTACAGGATCACAGTGGAGGAGAGAGTCTCAGGCTGATTACTCCCCCCATTGTCTCTGAGGAGGGGGGAGGAAGAGAAGGAGAAGGAGGAGGAGGGGGAGGAGGAAGAAGGAGCTGTTATAACTACCCAGAGCATGGGGCAAAAAGTCCCAGGTGGCATTAAAACCATCGATATGCGGGATCCGGCGTTCAGCCCCCTGAAGCTGGAGCTACAGGCCCTGAGTCACACCAAGCCGTCTCGACTGGACCTGCTGCTGGACATGCCACCTGCAGGCCTGGACGTGCAGGTCCAGCACTCTTGGAACAACGACGACCGGTCACTCAACATCTTCGTCAAGGACGACAACAAGCTGGTGTTTCACAGGCACCCTGTGGCGCAGAGCACAGACGCAATTCGAGGACGTGTTGGCTATACGAGGGGACTGCATGTGTGGGAGATCAGCTGGGCAATGCGTCAGAGGGGTACACACGCCGTGGTGGGAGTGGCTACAAGTGACGCCCCACTACATTCGGTGGGCTACACAGCTTTGGTTGGAAGCAACGCCGAGTCCTGGGGCTGGGACCTTTGCAGGAGTAAACTCTACCACGATGGCAAGAACCTCCCAGGAAAAAGCTACCCGGCCTTCCTGGAGCCAGACGACACCTTCATCATACCAGACTCCCTCTTAGTGGTCTTGGACATGGATGAGGGAACTCTGGGTTACATAGTAGACGGACATTATTTAGGGGTGGCTTTTAGAGGACTTAAAGGCAGAAAGCTGTACCCTGTGGTGAGCGCGGTGTGGGGACACTGTGAGATACGAATCCGGTACATAAATGGGCTTGATCGTAAGTGCAAACGTTCTTTGTCTTTTTCTTATTTTGTCCTTTTTTACACTTTAGACATGGTTTTAACTGTCTGTCAGGATGTCTTCTGCATAGCTCTTACAAAACTGATGACAGCATTTATTAACACAGTAAACAAAGGTGTGACAGTTCAGGGTTTGTCAGACTGTCCGAGCAGGGTAGTTTGCTGCACACAGGCTTTCAGCGTTTACTGTCTATGACTCACATCAGTTTGCCTTACAGCCTGGCTATTATGTAAAGCAGTACAAGAGATAGCATGACATTTAAATTCTTGTTTTAGCAGTCAATGTTACAGTTAAATTAATGTTCAACTTCATCCCTGAATCTCTTTAATTCATATGACAAATAAGATCATGTATCCTCCTCCAGTCGTCGTCATTTTCGTTTTTTTAAGTCTGTGGTGCCTCCATTATGGATCGTAGTGCCAAAAACACCCGGTCATCTGTAGTGTTGATGTAGAAAGCAACAAGCTCTCCCTGAACAAACATAGGATGTACTGTAATTGGATTAATGCCAATTATTCCACAGCAAAAGGGTCATGAGCTTTAAATGAGGAGACAAAAGTGCTTATCCAAATGCGCTGTGCTGCCCACATGTCCCATGTGCTCTGTGCTCATTAACTTTTATGCTCAGCTCAGATTCCTCGACCTAGTTTAGTTTAGGCCTGTGGAAGAGAAGCACTACAAATGCAGTGATATGCATCAACCCCATCTTTAGTCTGATTTGTTATTTACCATAATAATGGTGATGAAAAGAAGGAGATGCCTGATCATGTATACCGTTGTGTCTCACAGTGTGGACATGATCTTGTGTCTGTTAGGATCCAGTAACCAGTATTCAGAGCTTGCACTGCAGCAAAGACCGACTGCCAGTAAAAATCATAAACACCCTTTGTGTGTTCTTTTTTTTTTTTGGCTCAGTTTTTACATCTAAAAACAGCATGAATAGTAAATACTTCGATACTTCTGGAGGCCCAGGAATAGCTTTAGTTAAAATAGGAAAATTGTCAAGAACCAAACTATCTCTATCCTTGTTGCATTGTTCCTTTTTCCTTGCTTGACAGTTTACATCCTGATACATGGCCATCACAAAAAGTGAAAGAAAAAACGTGTTTTTACCTCTAATCTCAGTGTCCATTAGTTCATATTTTTATAGTACATCTGTTCTGTTTAATTTGCCAGTATAAGGTTCATTCCAGGTCACTCTCTATGCAGGTGTGACAGATTATGACAGACTCATTCAGGAGGGTTTATTATAATGCAGGATTTGTGGTCAGTGAGGTAATTTAAGGGTGAACAGGGGGGTTTCAATACTATGTGGAGGCCCACTTCGGAGTTGCTGTACTCATCAGATGTGAAAATAAGGATGTTTATGGCTCTAAATCATGTTTTCATATTTTTATTCATCCATACCATTCCATTTGATATCGTCGGGGCTGCAGCTGAAATATTAAAACTGTCCCACACATATTACGAGAATAAATCACAGCAAAGATCAATTTCAGAGAGTCATTACATTTTATCACACACCAGTGATGGAAAAGGGATTTGATCTATGCATAATCTTTTTATTTAAACCAGTCCTTCCATTTTTGCAAACACAGCTTTGTTGATTGTTGTCTGGATTATGTGTTTAACTTCTTCATAGTTTATAGGTCTGAGTTTGTAAAGTCTGATCATCTACGGACCACAGATTTGTTCTTGTCCATGATTGGCCAGATGTGAGATCTTCTCCGTCAGAGCTAGTGAAACAAGATAACCAAAAGAAAAGAACATTTTGAATGGGCTTTATCATATATTCCTAGATATGATAACACTCATTCTTGGAGATGTTTGTCCATTGTGTAACTTCAGAGGAGACCGTGAAACCTTTTGAGTGTAAAAACTCTCCTTGAATAAATATATTAGTGGACCTCGATGCTCTGAGCAGTCATGATAAAGATATTTTCAGTACTTCCCAGCACCAGTTTTTGATTATTAAAGCCCCTGTTTTTTTATTTTTTTTAAATAAAAGGCTTTTTTGTCCAAGCAGGTTAGGAATACATCACCTCTCCTCTTGCTTTTATTAAGGCTAATGTTTATATTACACTTAATTCCTGACATTTTTAAGTCATAATACTTTACTGTCATAAAATTAATTTGCTGCTTCAAGCTTGCTCCTCCTCACCCTTCTTCCCCTCTTGTCTCCCCCCAGCTGAACCCCTCTCTCTGATGGACCTGTGTCGGCGCTCGGTGAGGGTGGCATTAGGAAGGGACCGTTTGAGTGAAATCCATAGACTGCCCCTGCCTGTCTCCCTCAAGAACTACCTACTCTACCAATGATGGCACTGATGGCCACACTCACACACACACACACACGCTCAGCACACCCTTTTCTCTCTCTCATGTTTCTCTGGGATCCTCCTCGGGTTGAACCTGTTCGACAACATTGCTCAAGACTTCAGGGCTGACTCGGCCTTCAACAAGTACGCTTCTGTGTCAGCATTTCTTATCCTGTTTTTATGACTCTTTGCAATTGTACTCTCTAACTTTCTTAAATCAGGAATCACTGAGCACTATGCACATGCTGATCCAGACGATGTCCTGACAGTCACCATAGTGGTTTAACTCTTCCAGTTTGTAAGTAGATGTGGCATATGTATGTGGTCAGTATCTCTGCTGTGGGCTCCAGACTTCAAGATGATGATTTTCTATACTGTAGTCTTTTTGAATCTTTTATCTAGTAGGTTGTGCGAAAATGAAAAATGTGAAAAATATGAAAATTAAGGTTGGTGCAGAAGTCCACTGCCAGTTTGTGACCACAAGGTGGCAGCACATCCACGTAAACTCGATGAAAGCTGTGTCATGAAACTCTTGTTTTAAAAATGTACACGGGTCACTAAATTGATTTTCATACAACACAGAGATGAGATGCTGACCACTTCATAGTGAGTCTGTTGTGCAGTGAGGATGATTGCACTGTGAGGAAGCTGAGGAGCAGCCCTGACCTCTGCACCATCAGGTTTCACTACGGTGTGGAAGTGTGCCCTATTTCTTACCTTTAAGGCATCGGACAGGAACATCATCAGCAGAAATCTTAACAGAAGGAAAATGTCACTGTGATTATTTGTAGCATGCATCTGCAGGAAGTCTTTCTCAGTACAATCACAAAGTCTGTTGTTTTTTTAATCTTTTCTGTCACTCCTGCTTTTAGTTGTGCAGCACAGTAGTTTGCAAACACATCATGAGAGCCCAAGAGTGCTGTTTTCCTTCCATTATCGTTCAGACAATTTCTTCATCAGCTGATTTCACCGGTTCGCACAGGTTCAGCAAGAGAACAAAACTAACCAATGAAATTGCAGGAAACGTGTTTTTTTTTTTTTCTTTTTAAATGAAAACATGCTATTTTGGGTCTTACTGGCACATAGCTGAGAACCATTGATGTAGTGTTCGTGTTTTAAGACATGTAAAGGGAGGTCAAAAAGGTTCAGGTTGTATTGGTGAATATTGTTCTTTTATCAGCAAATTTATGAATTAAGGCACCATGACAACATTACAAGACAATCCACAAAGTGCTGCACAAACGTAATGAAAAAAGCTGAGATTGCCAACATATTGTCAAATGCCATATCATAGACCTGTTGACTCTAGTATTTTTCAATGTGCAGACATGGTCCTTATCCAGCGCCACGCTGGTGGGGGCTCACTGTGCCACACATTTTTCTTTTCCTCGCTTGCAGATTCCATTTTATTTGTACTCCTTGTTAAAGATTTGTTTGTAAGTGTCTAATAAAGTTTATTTCAAAAATATGTTGTTTTTTTTTAACACTGTTCTCCTGTGAAGAGGTCCAACTGCAGATGCAGTTTTATGGTTGAAGTACACTGATGATAAATTATAGAAGTTTCTGACCTGAGATGAAAAACCAAAAGCTGTAGCTTATACAGACTTGCAAGCTTGCTGTTTCCTTGTTCATCTCCTGTTATCTGAATAAAAGGAAATAGCGTTACTTTAAATCATTAAAAATGAACAGCTCCTTGTTCACATTTACGAAGGCAGTCTTTATCCTTTTCAGACAAGGAGCCCCACTTCATTTGGAAGTGTGTCCTGTGCACAGTGTATTTTCTTTGTTCACCAATGCAGACAGTGAAGGTATGCAGACAGATGGTGCTTCAGCACCCTTTGACACTCATTGAGGGTTTGATGCTGCAGTAGAGCATGTACATGTATTCCTGAATGCTGCATCAGTTTCAGTGCCATTATATTTTACTTGCTAGCTGTTATGAAATACTGAGATGCTTCGACTGAGCACAGTCCTCAATTATCTACGAAACACCTGTGTGTTTTACATACTGTGGCAAGCTCTATGCATGCTGTGAGACAGACCTATTATATATTGCATTAACTTGTGAATGAAGTTCCCACATTCTACTTAATCAAGGGTCTAATCACCAAGAAGTATTGAAAACACCTGTGTGAATGTGCAGGGCTTCTCATTTCTCAAGGCCAAACTAGTTTGTTTTTATGGTTCCTCAATGGGACTATCCCAAAGTGTTACATAAGAGTGCTGCATAACACAGAAAAGTGTCACAAAAAGACACAGGCTCCAAGCAAATTCCAGACACATTTTATTAGATTAATTCAAACTGGATGCTAAAATGAAGCAAAAATAGACAAATTATGGCCAGAAATTTGATTAAATTACAATTCAAGTATACATGAGAAAGCCACAGGCCTTTAATTAAGATTACTTAAATTAATGTAAGAGCTCAAGTTTCTCTGAAGTTTCTTTTCAAAATGCAAAAAAAAAAAAAAAAAAAGTGAAGCTTCTGACTGCTGTTCCTCCGAGTGTCGCGGGAAACTGGACAGACATTTGACAACACTGCAGCAGATAAGACACTACTTTATATGAAAAACCTTCCCAGTGTTTTTCAAACCAACTTCAGGATTCTAAATCATGCTTTTCCACTGCCAGCGGAACAGATCTGGGGACCTCATTACCCAATGACTAACTGCTGACAGTGCAGGAGGGGTAAACCTGACACATTTACACAATTTAGAAGACTGAGGAGGCCCTGCAGTAGATAATGACATGAAGGACACTATGTACTCGCAAGTTCAGACCTGTTGAGTCCTCTCATAAGTGTAACACTGACTCATTTGGCTCCTGGCTGAACTAAAATACATCCCTGCAGAAAAGTACCCATCCAATTCTTCATATTTTCTACTTGCATAACAGTCAAATGTCTTATTTGTTACATCATGGGAGGTAATTTTTCTATTCTGTTGGAAAATGGAAGATACGGAAATGAGTGAAGTTGAACTGAAACAAACTGACTTCAAATGGTTAAACCTTATACACTTAAAAGAAGTGTCTGTCTTGCAGCAGCATGGCTTTGTCACATGGATGCAAGGAAAGAAAAATATAAGTGGGTTTAAGTTTAATAATAAATATTGAAAAGAAGAAAAAGGTCTTTTCTCTTGAAAAAAAGTATCCAAATGTAAACAAAGACACATGCTGTCATCTCTAGTTAATTTAAGGAAAACTAGAAAACACCCAATTGAGAAGTCTGTTGCAGCAGTAATGCCCACCACAGCTAAAATTGGGATTCAAATATGAAGAGTGACTGGAGAGAGAAATAAATAAAGACAACTCATAAAAAAAAAAATAACTACACCAGGTTTCTAATGTCTGGGACCAAATCTTCAGGTTGTCCTGCAAGGAATTGTCATGTAGCTGCAGAATTGAATCACTTGGTGTCAGCATTTCCAACTACAACATATCTACAGTGTTTATCTATCATTATTCAGTCTTATGGCTGAGCACAACAATCCCAATGAGACTGAAAATCAGTGGTGAAAAGGGTATTCATAGCCATAAGTGAGGAAAAAAAGATTGATTGCAATGAGAAAAAAAATCAATAAATAAGGAACAATAAAGATTTACACCAAAAAAATCCAGTTAAATTTAGAATACTGCAGAAAAGTTGATCTGGTGATAAGTGATTTTAAAAACAGTGTGTCATTGTTATATTGCCTTTCTGATATTATAGTGAGATTTTCTCTCACCTTTATCACGATAGTTATAAAGGTAAGAGAAATCCTCAAGTAAATTTTAAGTATGTCATGGCTTACAGTAAAAAGTACAAGCAAAGTATAAACAGAGTGTTGTTATATTTCACTAATTTACTTGCTCAGGTTTCATTTGAACTCAAAACTTGATTTGCGCTTTTGTTTTAGTAAGACTTCTACAGATTTGCACTTGTTATGTAACAGTTAAAGTTCAACCTCATGCTTATAAAAACAAACTTCACACCGATCGGTACTAAGTAAACTAAGACCTAATATTCAAATAGAAGATTAAGTAGAGCACAGAATCAATGTGAACCATCAATAGAGCACAACAACAACAACAATGCTGGTATGGTATGAATGAGGACAAAAGCAAGTACAACAGGTTTGGCAAGCTGTTTTGACACGATGGCACAGTTATTGTGCAGACATAAGAACAAACAGGCTGCTATAGGTGACTATTCCCCCTTATCTTTGTCAGGTCAAAGCCTAGATATCCTCTGAGGGATAAAGGGAGTCATATTCCAGCTTTTATTACTCACTAGTGGACAGCAAACACCATAACATTGTTTGTCCTCTGAAGCTAGCACACATTCATATGCTGTCTCTATCTGAAATCAGGGGCCTTGTTGTTTCCTGTCTTTTTGCTAAAGGAGGGGAGGTCCTGCTTTTTATCTGCTTCTTATCAGAGTAGGAACACCATAATAAATGGTAAACAACTTGTTAAAGGGAGAGTATGTAATAGCTGCTCTAACTGCAAAGGGAAGCAGGTGGGAGATAAGAATAGGGACCATCGTGTTCCATTGTGGTCAGTTCAGGACAACATATTCAAGGCTTTTGCAGATCAGATGCAAACAAGTCAGGAGGAATTGTGCAGTTTGCTTTTGCACCTCTCCAACCAGACTTTGCAAAATGGTAATGCTCTAATTTAAGATAGCCTATTGTATGTCACATTCTTTTTAATCGTTTTAATGAGCTACTTTGATTATTACAATTAGAATTTTAAACCTTTTAATTTTTATTTTTTGACATTTCTATAATAGCTCTATATATCTACCAGCATTTACTTTATCAACACCTGGGCAATCCACAAAAATCTACCTTTAAGAGCTTCTCAATGTTCAGTTTTTATTTACATGATCAAACTGTTCTTCATATTATATATTACATTAATTATTAAATACATACTGGTCGGGCAAAGTGTTTTGGCAAGGTGCTCTTTATATTTTGTCCACTCCTCATGGTCTCATTTTATGTTGCATGGTTCTTGTATTATCTGGGTTCCTTATGACATGAAAATGGCCTTCACTTTCGTTTTTACTGAGCTTTTTGTTTTTATTTGTCTTTTTCCATGTGCTGTACATCTACATGTCAAAGCACTTTGTAAACGTCTGTTTTTTAAAAAGTGCTATACAAACAAAGTTATTATTATTATTATTGTTGTTATATATTGCACTCCTGCACCAACACCTACTGTAAACAAAACTTGTGTTTTTTTACTAATTCTAAATCAGCAAGATCAAGTCAGTCTGTCATTGTCACCAGTAATGGTCAACAAATTGAACTTGTATCCACTTTTAAAAATCTGGGGTTCTTGATTAATGACCACGTGTCTTTTAAGGCACATATTCAGTATACTGTAAAGAAGCTGAAGCTTTACTTGGATTTTACTTTGGAAATAAGTCTTGCTTTTCTTTCAGGGTGAAACAGAAACTAGTGGAGTCAACCTTTCTTCCAATTATTGATTAAGATGATGTGTTATACGTGAATGCCTCTGTTCAATGCCTCCAAATGCTGGATAGTGTGTATCATGGTGTATCATGTCTTATACAGTAAAGTAAATTGGTAATCTCTACATGAGCGCCGGCTCGGCCATTGGTACGTCTTGATTTATAAGGCTATACTTCAGATGACTCCATCTTATTTATCATCCCTTTTAATCTTGAATAATAGGGCCTACAGTCTCCACTCCCAGGACTTTTATTATTTTACTGTTCCTAAGGTTAGAACAGAAATGGGAAAGAAAGCTTTTAGATTTTCTGCTCTAAGTACATGGAACATCTTGCAATCAGACCTGAAACTCCAAAGTCTGGTGTCTTTGAATGTATTCAAATCCATGATAAATTCCATTACATCCAGGCTTCAGGAGTGCAAATGTTTTATTTGAGTACAAATGTTTGACCAATCTTGTAAGTTCTCCAAACTAATTTTGAAAATCTAATTATTATTAGTATTCTATATGATTAATGTGATTATTGTATTGAAACTATATGTGCTGTCATTCTTGGCCAGGTCTCTCTAGCAAAAGAGATCTTGGATCTCAATTGGACAAACCTGGTTAAATAGAGGTTATAAAAATAATAAAAATAATAATAATAATAGCAGTAGTAGTAGTAGTCGTTGTTTATTCAGTCATGACAACACCAAATATTGTACACAATATTGACATTTCACACAAAATCGCTAAAACCAAGAATCATGTGTTGAATATGGACTGAAAAGGCATAGGTAAAAGCAGACTGCTTTTAAAAGCCTATCCTGTGTTGTCAACTTTTTTTTTTAAGGCAAACGACCTCCAGAAAAGCAAAGAAACCACAACAACAGATAATTAATCACACTTATGGGCTTCAAAAATTGCTTTACAAACCATTTTCTTAAAAACCAAAAAAGAATGACATGTTTCAGATTTGTGTTGGCATCATTCCAGAATTTAACTCCAGGAACAGAGACACATCTCCTTTTCATACCTTTTTTTAGCTTTTTGTACAATAAATTTGCAAGCAACTCTGAGATTATATGGACTGTCCTGAACTGAAAAGAACCTCTGTATTGAGTCAGGGAGCATTTGCATTATTTTATAATAAAACAGATCATAGAATTTCATTACATGAGAATTTAAAAAAAGTGGCTCCGTGTGATCACAGTAATTAGTCTTATAGATAATTCGTATAGCTTGTTTTTGCAGTTTTATTTTTGAATTTATAATGGTTTTACAGGTGGATCCCCACAGTTCCACACAGCAAGATAAATAGGGACTAATCAATGAGTAGAAAATCAAATGCAAAGCCTTCGAATTTAACACTTTCCTCGATTTGTACAGGATTGCAAGTGATTTTGAAATAATAATAATAATAATAATAACAATAATAACTCATCAATTGATTCAAAGAATATTTTTCACCTGTCTGTCCATGTTAACAAAGATGCAAAATGTAGAATCTTCCAGAAAGTAGTTTTTTTTGTAGCGCCGTAGGCCCACTGTTAGGTTCCATTAGATTGCTCAGGTGTTCATTATATTGTGGCTGGTTGGAATATTTTTGTTACTGGTCCTGAATAAGGTCCTTCGCAATTTCTGCAACATGCATGAGTCTATATCAGCCTAACTCTGTCGTGCAAAAACCGGAGTTCAGGAATAACGTGTTTTTTTTAATGAAAAAGTGAAGGTCATGCGAACTTACGGGTTCAAAGTTTTGTTTTTTTGAATCACTGCGGCTGAGCAATAATTATGCAACGTCTCGAAAAGGACACAGCACAAGGTGGCGAGCACGTGTGCCTACGTCACAGACAACACCCCCGCCTGGCCCACTGACGTAAATGTGAGCAGCAGAGCTTCAGGTCACCCTGCCTCTCCGCTCGGCCCTAGAAACACTCAACCACCGGCAGGCAGAGAAGGAGAGAGGGAGAGACGCACTAACAGGCGGTGGTGGCACACGTAGGACCTTAGAAACTTCGCCGCACTCTCCTTCGTCTTTTCGAGAATATCAACTCGATGATGGTGGCTGTTTGAGAGAGGGAAAGATGCCGCAGAAAGACACGCTGCTGCATCTCTTCGCCGGGGGGTAAGTTATACTCATGTCAGGCTTTACATGTAGTGATAATTCACATGTTTTGGAAATGTAAAAGAAGTACAACTTAAGGTCACATTGTGTGTTAGATAACTGCAAATTTCCCTATTGCTTATCATTCGAAAAACGGTTCCAAAACACTCGTAAAATTATGAATAGTTCGCCTGCTCGCCAACACGCTCAGGTTAGATTCATGCGGCTAGTTGGTGTTAGCACAGCGTGTTCTTTAGTGTCCACCTCTGGATGATGATAGACATCAGTTTCTCTTTCACAGAGCTTCACCTGCCGCGTTACACGGTGTTCAATGTCGAGCTGAACATGGTAGCCAAAATGTCTTGAACGCTGGTGTTTTGAGTTGTATGAAATTTTTAATCTGAAAGCTCACAGCGCTGTGGACAATGAAACACCCGGCGCAGCATCTCAAATTTCCTCTAGCCGTCAGTCAGGAAGTCTGCTAATGTCTGTTAGCTTCCGCTAGCTAGCGAGATATCAACAGACACTCTTCGTCTTTGTCTCAACGCAGTGTCTAATACTATAAACAATCTGATATCAAATATGATCCGTCGTTGTGTATTAATAGACTCAGATTTCGTGTTGAGTTTGACATTATGTCGTCTTGGTGTGTTTGACGTGGCGCAGTCACGAGAGTCGTTCGCCTATAGCCACAAGATGTTCCGACTGTTACATAATACTGACGGTATTGACATTAGTCTCCATGCTGACTCCACCAGCAGCTCAAAAACCACTTGGACAGATATTTTATCAGTAAACCTGGAATAATAATATTCCGTACTGTGACAGAACGATGAGCTTGATGATATTAAGGTCACATCAAAACAGATTAAACGCTTTGAAATCGACGCCATTTTACCCTTGAAGTGTTGTGATGAACACTCTTAGGGGGCTCGTATACCTCGAATATTAACGTAGATGCCAGCAAACATACAAGTATACGTCTTCTAGCAATGCGAGTTTTATTGTTTGCTTCAAGCTGTATCGTAGGGTGCTTTATTATGTGGTATGTCAAATACTGAGGGTGTTATTTTCCCTCTAGACTGTATAATTGCTGAGCAAACTAGCTGAGCTTGTATGACTGCACAAGGAACTACGCACTTCATGAACAACACAGGAGCTCATCTGGTCGTGTCAGGTTTTATAATAGTGTTTGTCATTTCAGAGGGCACACACTGTTGTACCCATTCCCCTAGATTTCTTATCTTCTTGGTCAGTGGTCATGGACACTCATTATTTAAACATTGTTGCGTGTGTTTGTTGGATTGGTTGCGTAATGTGGATAAACTTTGCCCACAGTTTAATTTCTTCATGGTAATTTAAAATGATAGATGGCGTAAGGATGGACAGTTAAAAGAGAAATGGGTTGGGAATGACTATTTTTAGGCTATTTAACTCTGCCCTTCAGATACATTAGAGTACCATAACAAAAGGATTAGTTTAATCCGCACCACTCCTCAAAGTTTGTCACTGCTGAGCCAAATGAGAGGAGACACAGCAGGTCGTTTAAGATGTATTAGTGAGAACTGTACAGTACTAAATAGTGTAGTTCCTCACCTTTTCCAAGGGGTTTGAAAAAGTCTGAGTTGTAAAGCCCTGTGCACTATGTGTTAAGTTCTCACAGTATTTCCATCACAGAGCAGGAGACCGTGTTTGACCATAATTGTTCATTTCACTTGGCTGGCAGTCCCAGAGCTGTGTTGTGATGGAAAAACACCCTTCTGCTTATAGGTAGTCCTCTAGATAATAGAACTTGGTACTTAAGCTGTTGTATAACACATAACGCATGAGTAAACTCATGGGCTATTGCACACTTGACTCCAAGACATGAAGCTCCTCAAGGCCCAGAGTCCTAACTTGTATGTTATTAATTTGCAGGTGTAGTGGTACGGTGGGAGCCATCGTGACCTGCCCCCTGGAGGTGTTGAAGACACGGTTACAGTCGTCTGGCCTCGCCCTGCGACCCGTCTTCCAGGTCCAGTTGGGGACACTAAGCGGTACCGGGGTAATCCGACCCGGAACTGTTACACCAGGGCTGCTGCAGGTCCTAAGGTAAGATGTTGACATGTTATTGTTGTTAGACAGCAACCAGGACTTTCCTCTTGAGGCTTCCGTGTTTTCCTACCTGCAAACCCAGAACAGAATGGTCCATGATTGCAGCTGGGGCTCTTCAGTGTTTGTAAAAACTACCACTTGGAGAGTGACATAATTAAAGGTTGTGATTTTAATGTCACAACCTGTTTTAGCCTGCAGAGTGCTTCGTGTTTCAACATGTCATAGATGCTGATATAATAAATTGGTCAAAATAACTGTTTTGGTGTGGTAGTTGTGTACAGTCTTGTGTAGTAAAGGGATTCAGTCAGTGGGAACACATTCGAGAAATCCTGACATTTGCTTTATGGCTTTTGCACTCCGCGAAGAAAGGCCTTTAATCCTATCCCATGAAAAGTGAGGATTAAGCACACAGTATCCTGTTTGTGTTTTGACTTAAATGAGCTGTTTGGCACAAAACCCGCTGTTGAGGCCTTGTGATGTAATTGTACTTTTTTCACATTTAATTTTATTTAATTTTCTAATTATATATAGCCTTTTGGGAACTCAGCTTGGATCGAAACTTGCTCAGAGCAACGTCATGGGGCCAAGAGGAAGGAAAGAGCATTTTAACAAGGGTGCTGTACCAGTGTTATATTACATTCGCAAGACTGAGCTGGTTTGAATGAGTGTCTGCTGTCTCTGCAGACTGTTCAAGTCAAGAAGTCTGAAGACATTTTCTTTAACAAACATATTCCTATGCTAGCTGTGGTCCCATACTAACCTAAACCTTAATTAGCTGAGACAAATACTTTTTTTTCTTGCACATATAGGATGATATGATATCTAATATGAAAAAAATATATAACATGAACTCGAACACCTTCTCTTCAAGTATTTAAACTCAAGCTCAGACTCTATTCAACCTGTGAATAAGTCATCATTGTGGTTTGAACAAATCTTTGATTAAGAATTGATGTATGTAAGATATCTGTGAGAGAGAACGGACTGCGTGACAAGGTGTGCATTACAGAAACCAGCACCAATTGCTGCTGTGTCCTCCCCCTTTGCCTGGCCCCCAGGCCCCCAGGCCCCCAGACCAGACTGTCATCTGGAGAATAAAGGTCACTGCCTTCAAAAACGCTTTGGGGGTGTGGCTGAGTGACAGGCTAGGCACTGCAGGAGAGACAGGGTGACATGCAAAATCTTATGTAAAGCTCGCTCAAGTGACCAGGACTGGCACTTGACACTATCTTACTCACTCCCATTATAGACATGGGGATGCTCCACCATAGGCATCCGTTGTTTAAATTTAGACCTGGTTAAATGTATATGTATGTGGATAAAAATAGTTGAATACATGTTGTTGTTTTGATAATTACTGTGTGTTTTTATCTGTTGCAGATCAATCCTAGAAAAAGAGGGACCAAGATCACTTTTCCGTGGCCTGGGGCCAAACCTTGTTGGTGTTGCCCCTTCAAGGTACATTAAAATCTGTGTTAATACTTAAGGTGTTTTTCCCTTACGTCTCTTTCATTTGGCAAAGCTGAGTGAAAAAGACCCAGAACTATCTGGTGATATACATTTAGATTATATGAACTATAGAATTTATTTAATAATTGGCTTCTTTGCTTTTTTCTCTCAAAAACACACGGTTATGTCACAGTACAGTTTAGTTTCATGTACAGAGCACTTTATTCTTATCAACAGGGACAAAAATAGAAAGGCCTCCAGAGCTCCATTGTGATATCCAGAGTTTTCCTTTTATGTCTCTATCTCTCTGCCCTGGCACAGCTGAAGTAAAAAAGACAAAACAAAACTCAAACTGGGAAGTGAACTCAAATACCAGTGTACCGCACTACCTGCCACAGCAAACCAGAAAGAGGCAGACGATTTCTGTGTGTTTACTTCACATGGCGGCTGGCAGCCTTACAAATGGCTTTGTAAACAGGAAGCTTTTGTCATGGCAACAACTTCTGAGTCCCTGTCTGACTGTGCAGGGTTCAGCTTCAGGGAGTGACTACAGTTTCTGTCAGTGTTAGCAGAACTGTGAGTGCATTTCCTGAACTTGAGATAAATAAGAGTCAGGCACATAAAGAAGGAAGTTTGTTTGAGTCATGAGGTTCACGAGTTTAGCAAATGCGGTAATGACAATGGCTGGATAATTACTGAACCGGTTTGAACTTGTGTGTGACACCAAGTCATAATAAAAGTCACCAGTGTTTTGTTTTTATTGTCCACAAATGGTGTCAACCTGGCACAGTTTCTTTCTGGATGACAATCTCGGAGGATAATTTGCCTATATGATCGGACTACCCTCATAAACTGCTGATAAGACTTTGAAGCGGGTAAACTTAAATAAAAAAAAAAAGGTCATGGGTTACATTGACTTTGCCAGTGGTTAATGAGTAGCTGCAACATTATCTTTTTCCTTGAATCCAACTTGGATGGGCTCTCTTCACAGCAGCTCAGTGGGCTTCTGTGGTCAACGTTGCTTATTCAGCCCATTCTGGTGCAGTGACAGTTTGTTCCAGAAGTCAAGCAGGGAGACAGAGACAGAGAGAGAGAGAGAAAGAGGGGGAGGGAATTTAGAGGGAGAGAGAGGGAGAGAGAGAGAGCAGGCGCCGGGGAACAGACTGCTCTGGATGCACTCTGTCAAAGGCTTAGGTTACATAATATCCCAGCTGTTTATAAAACAGCATGCAAATATTAAAAATGCATTCAAACCGTGTGTAAATCCCCACTGCTCTAACCAGTTTTTTCCTCTGTGTTTCAGGGCCATTTATTTTGCTGCTTACTCAAAATCTAAAGAGACGTTCAATGGGCTGTTCGTGCCCAACAGTGGAGTGGTGCACATGTCCTCTGCTGGTGTTGCAGGTGAGCAGTCAGCATGTTAACCTGTGACGTATAACATATAATGGACAACACAGCTGTAAAACACAGTAGGGCTGTACGCTACAAATAATGTCTATGGCATATGTTTTTTTGCTACCATGTAGAAAAGTGAAACAAACACACTTTATTGGTTTCAGTCAAATAATCCTGTTGAAAAATAGGAAAAAAGACAAAACAAAGTTCAAACTGTTGAGTGAATTCATACCAGTGCACTGCAAAAGAACATTTCCTTGTGAAATTGAATCAGGGGAAAAAAAACTTCCTGTCAGATTTGATTGTGAAACCATGTGCTTCTTTTGCCCTTGTGATCTTCAGCTTTCGTTACTAACTCTCTGATGAACCCCATCTGGATGGTCAAGACCAGGATGCAGCTTGAAAAAAAGTGTGTACCCTCTTGACTTCACCTTTTTTAGTATTCTGCTCTGAATCTGTGTAAAACAATCTGAGTTATTTTAGGGACGATGTGGTTGGAAAGGTTCTCCTTATAATGTGCCCTTTATCAGAGGCCTCCCTCACAGCACTGTCCTTGAGTTATGCAGCCTGAGCGTGTGATCTGGATCCATAAATACACAGAGCTGACGCACTGTCCTGCTTGTAGAAGAGTCTATATTTACAGAGTGCAGGGTAGTAGTGCCATGAGAGGTCAAAGAAACGTGTTTACTGTGACTTTACTGAAACACCAGTTCCACTAAACCAAATGGCCTCTCTCTAAATGATGATGAAAACCCATAAGTCAAGGTTATGATAGTTACTTATTCAACCCGATGAGGAAATGTTGATTCAGGCTTGTTTACAGGGTTGAAAGCTTACCAAACACTGAAATAATAAAAAAGGAAATAGACGGGTCCTGGACCTACTCTCCATAAAAGTTAATATTAAAACATGAAAAGTTTGTCAAACTGTTCTGGCTCGAGTAACTCATGACAGACCTTTCCAATATTTTACAGGCCACATGTTTACTTGAAAAGTCTAAAAGGAAGGAGCTTCATTATCATTATTACATTTTAAAAAGTTGTTTGTTTTGACCAATATTTGTGTACTTTCATGTGAACTAAAGGACTTTGTTTTGACCTTGCAGAGCCCGGGGAGAGAAGAAGATGAACGCACTGCAGTGCGCACGCTATGTTTACAGCACTGAAGGAATTCGGGGCTTCTACAGGGGCCTGACTGCATCGTATGCTGGCATCTCGGAGACCATGATCTGCTTCCTTATCTACGAGACACTGAAGAAACAGTTGGCCAAGAGCCAGCTCAGCTCCCGTAATAGTGAAAATGAGAAAGGAGCTTCAGACTTTCTGAGTCTGATGTTGGCAGCTGCTTTTTCAAAGGGTTGTGCGTCCTGCATAGCCTACCCACATGGTAAGGACTCGCATTAATCCACATTGATATTTTATCATATGGAAGTATATTTTTTCAGAATGACTGATCCCGTTTTTGTCTCCTCAGAGGTCATTCGGACACGGCTGCGTGAAGAAGGAAGCAAGTACAAGTATTTCTTCCAAACGGGAAGGTTAATAATGGTGGAGGAAGGCTATGCAGCTTTTTATAGAGGACTCATTCCACAGCTCATTAGACAAATCCCCAACACGGCCATCGTCCTCTCCTCATATGAACTCATTGTCCATCTGCTCGGGGACTCCAAGTGAAGAAATGTGTGAAGGTTTATTTTTCAGACAATGGACACCTCACAAAACCTGACACAATCTGGGCGAGAGAGAGAAAAAGGAAGCACATACATTATTTTATGTGGTGCCACAAAGACTTTAATGGTGGAAGTGAAGCTGGTTGTGCTGTCATCCAAAGAGCTAAAGGCATAATTTCATTCAAAGCTTATCATTAGGAGTTGAGAATATTCAAGACTCATGGTACTTTAGTCAAACTCTAAACCTGTATAAAAGGTCATCTTCTTGGAGGATTTGTGTTAAGTTAACTAAATTATTTGATGTTTTGTTGTTTTATGACTGTTTGTTTCCTTTTATCAGTGGTTAATGTACAAACTCACATGACCATGCAGTTTGACTCATTTGCTTTATGATAGGAGGTTATTCAGGGGAAATGCTAGATAGAGTTCTGTTCCGTGCATTTTTATGACTGCACCTATCATTTGAGCTTTCTGATTCACAAATACAATGCTCTGGATTTTAAGTTTGAATTACAGAGAGATGATATTTTTCATTAATATATACATAAATGTATTCTGTATATATAAATACAGGCTTATCTGTATGTTTTCTTTGTGAAGAAGATAGTTAACTTTTACAAGATAATGAGAGGTGTGATGCTTATTTGACCAATGGCTCAATAAAATGCATCGAGAAAACGACTGCTTATGACTCTCAGGTCAGATCACTTGAAACTTTGTACATAGTTCCTCAATGTTTCTGTTTTCATACGTGTCCATAAAAGTAGTATTTTCAGAGACTGGTTTCTATTGATCACAGCTTGAAGGACAAAATACTCCCGGTGACCTACATAAAGGGCAAACATGTGACTCATATAAGTCACTGTGTGTTTGAATTCCTCAAACAGTGTTGAGTGTAAAGGCACGTTTGGCAGCTGATCCAGATGACTCGGTTTGATTGGCTGGTTTGAATCAGGTTGGGTCCCGTGAAGAGTTACACTAGGAAAACATGAATCATTTTACCTCCAGGGGTTATGAATTAGGTCTTAAAGTTGGGAAGAAAACTTCTAAGTCTTAGTGAAAACTAAAGCAGATTTTCTGTTTCATTACTTGTTTTTTAGTTTATGCCGTCTTCCTGTGTGTTTCTGTTCTTAATGACTAGTAATTCATCATGTAAAGAGATTAGATATGATAAAGAGGCATTTATATATTCTATATAGCAATAAAATCTCTTGACAGTATGGGAAAAGGACAAACTACAACCGAAAGAGAAACTTCTCATATGTTACTGGAAAACTAGGAGGAACTAAGAAAAAGGGTATTTACTGAAGTAGTCATCTGGTGTGTGGAAAAAATTTGACGACACAGACATGAATCAGCAGGAAAGTCTTCTCCCTGCTGTGGTTTTGGTTGATTCATGCACATTCTTCCTAATGGGAAGTTTCCGGCCAATGACCATATGATATCCGATTGGAGGACTGTAGCAGCAGAATGTGTCTGTGTTCGATCTCTGAATGGTAGGTCAGATAGTGACAGAGGTGCTTAGCCTGAAATGACACCTTTTTTCATGCCCTCTTTGAAAAGGCACAGCAGGCTAACACTTCTAAAAGATTTCCAACAACAAAGACAGGAGTGGATCCAGACTTTTACAGCTGAGGTGGCCCAACTCGGGTACTGATTTATTCAGGGCTGGTATAAGGTTTATGTGTGGGAGTTTATACATGACTGAATAGCATTTATTTACCCTTTGCATCTCAACTAATCACATCTACTAAGTATTTCAAAAAGGTAATACTCCGAGATATTATTTCTTCTTTATCAGGGTGTAAGCAAGAGTCAGTGTGAAAGTATGACAAACAGCAGTTCCTTAAATGTCCAAGTCTGACTCCAGAAGCCCCTGAAGCCACATGCTGACTCTAAAAAGCCCATCTATTATACATGCCAGTGAACTGTGTTACGCTGACAGGTAAAAAAGTTGCCACAGCCTTTTGCATTATACCCCAAAAAGCAGTTTTATCACTGATCCCATTTTTTGCAAGCTAATAAGCCAACCATAGTTGATGAACTTCGGTCAACACCAGGGTGGCCATTCAGACCTAAAGTGGTAAAAAAAATCAAATAAAATGACCTTTTCTGTATGTGTGAAGCCACAGTAGTAGAAGTTTCCTAGCCTATCTTTAAATTAATATCCATTTCAGTAGCCACATTTTAACCCATCTATCAAAGTTTGAATATTTATCTGATTTTGTATTTTGAGAAATCCTTTGTGCATTGGTATGTAGTCCAGTTTGTCCTTGCTGAGTGGCAGCTATGAGATCTTAAAGATTTTGGTAGTCAAACAATCTTCTTAATGACCTATATAAGTAAATCAGATCTTAACGGCAGACTTATCAGATCTGTACACAGAGAATTGAACTAAATATGAGAGGAATAATAATTTTTAAAACTTACATATCTCTGAAGCTGATATGCACAGTAAGGGTGTTTTCAGCAAACAGGTGAACACATAGCCTGTGGTACTGCATCCTGATAAGACTTTGTAAATGATCTTCATTACACTGGTAAGGATAAATTAACCATTAGTAAAACAACTTAGACATGTATCTGCAAAGGATGACTTAAGAGAAACTTGTGACCTAGGAACAGACTGACTTGAGCCAGATTTGCCAACACTAATATGATGGGACAGCTAGATTAAGCCACTGACATTACATAACACAAAAAGGCCATTTGGCTGGCGACCAAGGAGAGGGTAATACTATTGAAATCACAAAGGCAATGAGACAGGTAGCGCTGTGAAAACCTTTCTCATAGATTGCCTTTCAGATAAAGTTTTTAAATTAAATCATATGTAATTAGAAAAAACAAAGCATGAAAGGTAAGAAATGGTGGTAAACTTCTTTATAAGTTGGTTTGATTCATTTGGTGGCCGAGAACTGCCACTTCTGCAAATAAAAAAAGAATGCAAAAAAAAAAAAAAGAAGTCACAATGGCAGAGTGGCGATGGGAAAAAAAAGTTACTTCCTGGGAAAATAAAAGGATGCAAATAAAAAAAGTGCCTACGAATGTGAGCTTCTGGGGACCAATAATGATGATGCACCGGTGTTTTATGATCTAGGCACCGAAGACGATGGCGAGAAGACGAGCGCAGAGGTTAGTGGAAAGGTTATTGTTTGATTTTGCTTTGTGTGCTTTTCAATGTGTCATTTGGTCAGGCCATGTTGTGCCCGAGTCGTTATGAAGTTGAACTGAAGCTAACACTACACCAGCATCCTCCAGATCAACTTCATACCTACTCAGGCACAACCCGGCCTGACCAAATGACACAATGAAAAGTTTACAAAGCGAAATTAAACAACCTTTCCTCTTACTTCTTTGCTCGTCTTTTTGCTGTCATCTTCTGTGCCTAGATCATAAAACACCAGTGCATCATCATTATTGGTCCCCAGCAGCTCCATTCCGTTGGGCCTTTTTGTATTTGCATCCTTTTATTTTTGCAGTAAGTAGTTTTTTTTATTTTCTATTTTTTTGTATCACCACTTTTTTTTGCGCCATTGACTTCCATTGTGTTTTTTTTCTTTTCTTTATCACCATTTCTCTTTTATTTGCAGTGGGCTTCGGTTCCCCTTTTTTTTGCATCAGTTATGGTTTCTTTTTTTTAGCATTCTTTTTTATTTGCAAAAGTGGCGTTTTTTTTAACATTCTTTTTTATTGGCAGCAGCGGCTTTTAAATTTTTTTTTTAGCATCCATTTTTATTTGCAGAAGCGGCTTTTTAAACACGTATTTAGCATTATTTTTTATTTGCAGCAGTGGAATTTTTTAACATTCTTTTTTTATTTACAGCAGCTTTTTTTTTAAAAAAAATTAACAGTCTTTTTTATTTGCAGCAGTGGCGGTTCTCGGCCACCATATAGTAAAGTATACATTTATAGAGACACAGATAGGGGTGACTTTGTAGGGCCCAGGGTTTGTAGCTACGCCCCTGTGCAGAGACACGACCCTCCCTAATGAGGAAGCTTAAGGTGTAATGCAGCTCTGCGGCTTGTGCTGACCTCTGTCTGCTGCAGGGAGAACGGCTCAGCCCCGGTCTGACTGTTGACGTGAGTCTGGCGTTATGACGGCATGTAGCTCTCCTCCTAACACTACCTGACCAGTCCCGTGGACACCATGGTTTTGTGAAAGCGAACGGATTCATCGACACTCTCGCTTCATCCCAATACACGAAGTTATTAGTTTGTTCATGCGCTCCGTTTTCCAGCATGTCTTTGGAGCAACCAGCGCCGTAGCTCAGTGTGATCTTGCTGGAGCTGCTAACCCTTAGCTCTTTCTTTAGTTAGTCCGTCCGTACAGACCTCTGTAGCACTCAAGCTAGCTGATGTCTCGTACGGCCACTAGTTTTACACGGCTGTCAGCATCGTCACTACCACGACAACCGGCATCCGTCCCAGCCGGCCGACTGATGGAAGGCTGAGGGGAACCATGCTGAGATTTCTCCAGATCCTTTTAACAGGTAATGATAAGCCTCGGCTGCTATTAATGCTCAGCTAAGCTTGTTTGTGCGCTAGCTCTGAAGTAGGACCGGAGAGAAAGCTCATGCTGCTTTGGATTATGTAACAGGACAACTCCTCCAACAATCATTTCAACTTCAGTCAGCAGTCATGAATTTTTCTAACTACACTAAGTTGATACGACAGAATTTCCTCCAGTTTTGGAGACTTGTAATGAGTTAGATCAGAGACCTGTAATGTTATAACCTCACCCTCAATACAGATAGCACCCTCAAAATATATGTGGTGTGTGTGTGTGTGTGTGTGTGTGTGTGTGTGTGTGTGTGTGTGTGTGTGTGTGTGTGTGTTGTTTAGTTTGCTTTTGGGTGAAATATTGTAGTTTTTGAGATGTAGTTGTTAAGGTTTGAGGAGCTCTTCTATTATGCTGCTGCTGCTGTTGAGGAATGCCAACATCCCCCCTGATTGGTTTCCATACTTAATGACAGCATATCTAAAACAGTTACTAGTTAGTGTTTGCTGCAGTTTTATGATGTATCTATTAAATAATGCAGTATAATCATCAATCTTTTAGCTGCTCCACACACAGCATGTAATGCATGGATATGTACATAGACTTTGATATCTATATGTGGAGTTGGAAAATTTCAATAAAGATTTAAGTTTAAAAAAATAAATCTTATTTTTGTCAAATCTATTGTAAAACCTCGGGCTGGGCGATATAGGAAAAAGTTTATCACAATATATATTTTTTCACATCAATCAATATCGATATGTATCAGGATATAAAAAATGAAATTTAACAGTGCTTATTGGTAGCTTGTCTTCTGCAATACAATAAGCTACTGCATCTCTGAGGTCTTTGTGTCTCTTCAGCTCCCCTTTTCATTGGCTATTCGTATAGTCTACCAAAACATGGCAGAATGCCGACTATCGAAAATCATATTGGTCATGTTTTATATTGATATTGAGGGAAATTAATTCTTGATATATATTATCGTTTTATCACCCAGCCCTAGTAAAACCGATAGTGTTTTTCCTAATTTATGTATGAATAAAGTGGTTCTGAATTCTGCTGTTTGCCAAGTTAAGTATGTATATTAGATTGCAGTTAGCATGGAGTAATGGATGATACTATTAAGTTTAACAAATTCAAAGAAACAACAATAATACCATGATAATAGCATTGTTTATGGGCCATGGACTGACCAGCTTTTATATTATCAACATCGGACTTTGAGACACAACACCAAGATAATGAAACTAAGATATTGAAACACCTTCAATGTAACTGAACAATATTTTACAGAGCCACATGTTGCAGCCCCCAAAAGACCCAGTTATCACTGAATGACTCACTGCGTGCCACATTAGTTTTCCTGGAGTTGTTATGTTTACCAAATAAACAGAGACCTGAGTATAAAAAGCTGCTATTGATGGACTTTTAATGCATTTGTGTTTGATGGGTCATAAATCTGTGTTTGTAATCCCTCCCCAGGCCTGTTTGGTTTCCTGTGGGAAGGAGTCCATGCTTTTGGTAAGCTATACACAAACCTGCAGCATCCATTGCTAGTCCTACCTTTTTTCTGTCTAAGCATTTTTCCTCATCCACAGGAGGGGTCAGACTGGTGAACGGAGAGAACAAATGTTCCGGCAGAGTCGAGGTTCTCCGCCATGACCAGTGGGGGACTGTTTGTAACCATGGCTGGGACTTCCGGGAGGCTGACGTGGTGTGCTTGGAGCTGGGCTGTGGCTTAGCTGAATCTGAACATGCATCATTTGGTCCAGGCAGGGGAGAGATATGGCTGCAGCATGTCCAGTGCTCAGGACACGAGTCCAGTTTGACACGCTGTGCAGTTGTCCTTCAAAGTAACTCCCACTGCACCCATGAGAATGATGCAGGAGTGAAATGCTCAGGTGAAACTGAACTCTGCTTAGAGTATTACGAGAGATGGTTGACTTTGTGGCATTTATTCATGGATCCTTTTTTAATTTTATGGTCAGTTTACATCTGCTTTACTGATCTGTGATACACCTGTCTTTCCTCTCAGGTACCCTTTTAATGCCCACCCTCACCCTGCTGTCACCTCACACTGTGTTCTCTCCTGGGGAGGCCGTTCGCTTCCGCTGCAACATCCTGCTGGGCCACCACCTCAGTGACTTCCACCTCTACAAGCATGGAGTGTCCACGCCGCTGGTCACACAGAGAGCGGATCAGACCCAAACCGGAGTGGAACTCACCCTGTCTGACATTGAGACTTTCCACCAGGGCAGCTACAGTTGTAGGTATAGGATCAAGGGTGGCTTTCCTTCTCAGCTCCTCAGCTCTCCACCCAGCAACTCCATCAACATCACTGTGGGTGAGTCATACCTGCAGTGTCTAATCCATATTAATGCACCAAAGTCCACGTCCATACCTTAGTGTCTAGCTGTGCAACAGTGGGAAAACATTGTCATTCCTCCCTGACTCAGGCTGGAACATTCCTTCACTTGAATCAGGTTTCATAAAGTTGTATGACGGGTAAGGTGTCCACCCCTGCACAGTCAGCCTGTGTACTCATCAGGCTTGTGAGCTAGATTCACAGGAATAGCAGCTAATGGTAGAAGGAAACCTGTAAATGGCTCTCTCATGAACTTGTTGAAATATGGAAGAATGTTAAATTTTAAGCTATGGAGCACAAACATGTTTATTTTTGTTGCACAAAAAGTCTAATGTAAATCTGTGAGAAGTACAGGATTCTCTTGGTTTGGTTGTTGCTGGAGTCGGGCTTCTTCCTGTCTGCTGTTGGGTTCTGCTATGTTGTCCTTCACATAATCTCCCAGGCATCCTATTAAGATGCGCACACTAGATCTATGTATCTTGCAGACAGACTCAGAGCAGTAGCGAGAGAGAGAGAACAATATCACCTTGTCTCATATGATCATCAGTCCCTACCAACCTTCAGATTGTTGACAAAGAGTGTTCATTAGATGTCTGCACTTAAAGAAAATTAGATATCATGGACAGAGAGCACACAAGCAGCAGACACACATAGCACCACACACTCTCTCTGAATTATGAATGATGTTTTAGTGGAAACGTTTTACTTTGGGTGAACATTAATCTTTGTGAAAATGTTATTGTGCCTTGCAGTACTGACGGTTAATGTTTGGTCTGTGTTCTAAGACTTTTTCTCTACTAGAACTTTGTGCAGGTTGGAAATCAGTCTGCCACCATGCCAAATAAGGTTTCCTAACATTGATCTATTATTTTTATAAAAAAAAAAAAAAAAAAGAAAAACAGTTCCTGAGTCATGTAAAGTAAGAGTTATGGAAAATCTTATACCATGAAATATGATCTATAAAACACACATTCAGTTTCTTTTTATGTCACATTTAAAAAGTGTGCAAAAATTAAATATGAGTCAGCGAATTGGTTGCACCTGTACTACTGCTCAAATACTGTATGGGTTGCTGGCAGGGTAGTGATTAATAATGGTACTAGAAAGAGCTACACATCTGCATAGACACTGCTTGTTGCTGAATTCGCCTTTTGGGGAAAAAAAAGAACAACAAAACAGACAAAATCTTATGCCCGTTTTACTGTATGTTGTTAGCTGTCATGCATGTAAAAGGGAAGAACTCATGATCTAAGCATCAAGCTACACTTCAAAATGATTGCACTGACGTTATGCGAGAGATCCAGGAACCCTCAATTGTCCTGTGTGAATAATTTAATTTGCTAAAATAAATACTTAAGTGATCTGATTCATGTGAGATGATCACATGATGGTCATTACTGTAGTTTTGACTGCTCCTGTGTCCTGTTTTGATACTTTGACCCTGACTAACCCGTTCAATTCTCCTTTGGTGATCACAGTGGAGCTCCTGACCCCCCAGCACTGGTACAACACGTCCACTGAGGCTCCTGCTGGTTCCGTCCTTAAAGGCCACAGCTTTAACATCACCTGCTCCACTCTGCAGCAGTACCCCGGAGGCTCCTTCCAGCTGCGTCTGATACGTTCCAACGGGACAGTGCGCCAGTCTCTGCCTGCCCTCACTCCATCTGTCACTTTTACTTTTTCCAACGCACAGAGCTCTAATGAGGGCTACTACTACTGCCTGTACCGGGTGCAGCTGGGTGGACGCACCTTTGTTTCCAGAGAGAGTCAGCCCCTGCCTATAGCCATTAGAGGTGAAAAAACACATACAGTGGAGACAGACAAATACAGATGAGACACAAATCAGACACAATGACTCACTGAGTGTTTTTCTCTTCTCTTCAGACCCAGATCCAGTCCTGAGTCCAATGGTGATCAGCTGGCTTGTGTCTGGTGTGACATTTGTTGTTGCTGTCATAATTATTATTATTGTGGCCAAGGTGCTGTGTAACAAGGAGAAGAAGCCCTCTGAGTTGGAGAGAGAGACCAGAACCTGTATGTTCATTTTCCCTCGTGGACAGAAATGTGGTTTTTAGCAGAGATGTAGCTTTTGTGCCTGAAATAACACGTGTGTTTCTGTTCACAGGTGTGGACAACACTTATGTTGCCTTATCAATCAACAAGCTATGACTGAGACTTCTGGCAACAAACGAGAGGTAAAGAAAGTCTTAATACTTGCAAATACTATTGCTGTAATACTGGACAGTTCAAGTGTGTGAGTTAAGGTGAAGCACTTTGTCTATCTCATGAACAGACTGAAGGCTTCATGGGTAATTCAGGCAGCAGTGGATGTAATCCTGAACAAAACAGCTCGGCTGGTTCTCCCTCATCTCTAAGGAAAAGGCGCCGCCTGGACTCGGTTTGTCTCAGTCAAGATGTGGCGCAGTTTTTAGTAGACACTACCATAGACAAACCTAAGACCACACAGAAGACTTCCAGGACACAACTGTACAGATAGAGTAAGATGTACGCTTAAGAGACAGACATGGACATTGAGAGCTGTGCTTGCTTTTGTTTCTTTAAATGCAGTTATCTCCAGAATATTGTTCAGTTATTTTCATTATCTTTGTTAGAACAACTTATCAGAAAAAATATGTTTTCTCAAAGTATCAAGAGAGTTCTGAGAATGATTACAGTTCAAATGTTAAGATTATTGGCTACTCCTAAGACAAAGCCCTTTATGTTTAAGACTTAACTAAAACACAGTTGATGCAGTGATCAAAAATGTCATTTTTAGTTTAAATCAGTTTCTAATATTAAACTTATCATCTAGAGATAACTTCATATAAAGAAAGCTAGTATGGATGTTGACAGTAAAAAGGATTTCCTCAGAATGTGGTTTCATCTTGACTTCAGGTTCACTTTGACTCGCTGACTGCTCTGGTGTGGAATGTGTTGAGAAAACTACGTCTGAAAGTTAAACTGTGGAAACTCATGTGCTCCTCGGGCCTATGTGTGTAATCGCAGTTAAAAAACAAACAAAACAGTCTTTTCTATTTATTACCAGACCACACTAATGAAAGCCCCACTAGCTTGTAAGGTATTATCTTCTACTGATCAATGATCCTTGAAGGATTAGATGTTTTTGTATTTTAAGTCTTACCCTACTATGCATCTTTTGTTGTTTAAACTATGTACATTATTGCACTTTTAAGTGTGTAAATGGGAGATGTAGTCGATTAAAACGCTGTTTGTAGAGCTGTTGGGTTCAGCAAGTTTTGTTTGACAGATAGCATTATTGGCTGTACTGTTGGGATTTTCTGTAGCATCAGATCAAACCTAAAGAAAAAGATTGAACATACTGCATACTTGTGTGTTTACTTTTATACCTCTCAGCATTGAAAAATCCTTCCCCTGAATAAATCACCCAAAGCTTCAAGTGTTTGAATGTACAAGCTTTTTTATAGTTTGAGTACAAACAGAAAAACGTGAGACTCCACAGGATGTAAAGGTTGTAAAATGTAAAAAACTTTATGACTTCAACAAAGGATTAACGTCTTGCTATGTAGTCAGTGTCATATTTTCCCCACACAATAAAGCTTTTCTTAGATAATATATTGAACACTGAAAAAACATCAACACCAATTAACACTAAAAAAACAACGAGGCACTTTGATGAAATCGGTCTTAAGTGTATTCTAGTATAATTATTTCTGCCTTTTACCATTTACTTACAGTGGGAAGATTGTAGTACCCACCGACAACGCAAAATACAAGAATCAGGTAAATCATCCTATTAGTGCTATGCACAACACAAAAGATTACACCATTTTTAAGAAGCACAATGAAATGAAAATAGGTTTGGTATGCTGTTGCAGCATCTTTGATATGAAACTGCAGTCGGTTGATGCGCGGTTATAGAAATGTAGTGCTGTGTGGTCTTTGGAGCAACTATAAAAAGAAGAAAGTTCACATACAAGTAAAATGAGAACTGTTCTTCTCATATCACATAATATTTAATGTAATGAAAATTTATACGATACTGCTGTCAACAGATAATGTCTGTTAAGAAAAACAGATCCACTGTTAGCAGTTGGTGTGTCAGTGGAGGTTATTGTTGAAGCTTTAGGGTGTGAAGGAGTCGACTAAATTGCTTTGCCGTTTGTAGTGTCCAATATACCAACTCTTCATACAGCTGTCTAAATAGAAGAATGATAAAAGCTGCTGTTGTAATTGTCCTTTTTTTCCAGTGACCTGTCGTTGTAAACTTCTACTTTCATCTAAGTTTTGCTGGTTATGAAGATTACTGACAAATATATTTTTACCTTTAAGGAAATGAACTGCAATCCAATTGCACCAAGATATCTCAAAAACCTTAAAATGACTTTTGTCCAATATAAATGTAAAAATCAAAAATACATTCTCCATTTTAAAATGCATAATGGAGTGTAAACACTCCAACAAACTGAACAAGAGTAAAACCAAAATCAATCGATCACTTTGAGCTGCTCGTTCGTCTCCATATTGGAAAACACGATATAGAGGAAGACGGCCACAGCCAGGAAGAAAAGAAACTGAACCCAGAGCGGGACGAGGCGAGACGACTCGGCTGGGGGTGGTGCTTCTTGGGCAGGTTTTACAGGTGTTGATTTCAAATAGGAAGATCTGTAGGTGGAGGGTGTGTCGTACATGTCAGGTCTGAAAAGGGGACAGAGATATTACTGCATACCAGAGGTCAGATTCTCCACTACAAACTAGCACCCTTTCAGTTAAAAATGAGGTGCTCTTTGCCACACAGATGCTGCTGTTACTTTTAGTAGTTACGTACTTACTCATTGGCAAAATTCCTTCGGCTGTAATCAGGCTGAGGCCGAGAGAAGCTTTTGTAGGACCTTCTGTTATAGAATGATATACATTGTTACACGTGATGAAACAGTTTGTATTTCTAAAACAGCATGTGTATGAAAAGCTTACTCTTGTTCTCTCTCATCATACACTGGTCTTGACCTCAGAAAAGACCTGCTGAATGAACAAGAAAAAAAGGAATTGTTAAATACAACATTTATGTGATCTGATGGGGTTGAAATAATGGGGCTATCGCCCCACAAAATTCACATCAACATGTCTTATTCCAACTTACTCCTGCTCTCTTTCAGTCCACTCTGGTCTTGAACTCCGGAAAGACTCTCTAGATAAACGATAGTCAGTGTCATTTTTTCCCCCAAACAATAAAGCTTTTCTCAAATAATGAACAGAACACTAGAAAAACATCAAAAACAACTAACACTAAAAAAACTAATGAGGCGCTTTGATGAAATCTGTCTTTAGTGTATTCTAGTAGAATTATTTTTATTTTAATGCCTTTTTCTGTTTATCCACAGTGGGAAAATTTGTGTTCCCACTGACAGATTATATTCTCAGTCAGCATCTTCTAAAAAAAAAAAAGTATGCGTATTTAAAGCTTACTCTTGTTTACTCTCATTCCACTCTGGTCTTGACCTCGTAAAAGACCTGCTGGATAAACGAAAAAAAAAAAAGGATTGTTAAATCCAACATTTATGTGATCTGATTGGATTGAAATAATGGGACATCGACATGTCTTAATCCAACTTACTCGTACTCTCTTTCATTCCACTCTGGTCGAAACCTTGAGTGTGACCCACTACAAAAAGCAAAATAAGACAGGATTATTTTATAATCTGTAATTTGTGTATGAGGGTTGGAAAAAAGAATTTTGAGGGAACATACCTGTCTCCTGAGCCATCACTCCTCTACAATAAGAAATATAGAAAAGATGAAATATAGTTTATATAATAGTGCTGATGTACACAGTGCACACCCAGTTACTTCAGTTTACTGGCATATGTGTATCTCTGGTCCTTCTCAATCAGATTAGAAACAAAGGGGGAAGAAATACATGGATTCTCATCCATTTGTGTTTATATCTGTAGTTAAATGTCTAGGTATTTTTGTGCATCTTATTTCACAATGGTCACTTGCAGAATTCATCAGAACGCAGTCTGAGGTACCAAACTAAAAAAACAAAACAAAACAAAACAAAATATATGGAGAGAAATACTTACAGGTGTCTTGTATGAGAGAAAGGTGACTTCCTCCTCTGAAATAAAATCACACACACATTGAGACTGAATATCAAAACAAGCAGGATACCTACACCTATATCAGAAATACTTTCAGAATACCAAATCCAGAATCTTATTAAACTCAGAGAAAAAGAATCCTGACATACTGGTTCAGTGTTAGTCTACTGATTGTGGTTAAATCTAGTTCACACAGTGTAGTATATAGATCACAGTTACCCTCTTCTCTGTAGAAAGTTTTATCAGATGGTGGTTTCGCTTTTTTCCCTTTGGCCATGGCCTCTCTTATCTTCTTTTCATACAGACTTCTGGTCGAGTCTAAGAACAAACAAATCAAACATAATCAGTACTTAAAGGAGTTCTGGAAAGATGGAAACAGAAAGCATGATCACATTCTGTCACAGTAAGAAAACTGAATCAAGCTCCACGTTGAATCTGAGTCACTCACCGACCACAGGCCCGTGCTTTATCCCCATTTCATCCAACAGATCCGCGATTTCCTGCTCAGATTTGCTGCTTAATGAAGACATTCTGGTTGAAACGATAACTTTCTACCGTTTTTGGTGTTGCTTGGGGTTTTGTCGTCTTGTCTCGCTTAAGCTTCAGTTTCAGCTGCCAAGAAGTCACTCCTCCCAAAGAGAGGGAGTGCGCGCTCGTTTTATTGTTGGGGGTGGCTGAGACAATGCGGAGTCTAGTCTAACGAGCGCTTTAAGACCTTATGAGACTTAACCCCGCCTTTGTTTGTAAAGACGGTGAAAAAAACATAGGCAGCTTAAGTCAACTCCAGCATCACTTCTGTTTCCGTTTAGCACAGTCTTCTTCTACGGTTCTTTTTGGTACAGTCTGATTTGTCTAAAGAAATGAAGAGCAGCGCCATCTGTGTGTCTTTGTTGTTAGTGATTATGAATGCAACGAAGCAATAATTATAGTTATTTTAAAGGTTAACGTATATTTATATTTTTATCTATATTTGTAAATCCAGCTTGAGAATTATTGTAAGAGATTTTTCCTGTTTTTTAATCCAACTGTAAACATTCTAAGAACTCTTTTTGAAATTTATCTCTCACGCTTAAATTCTTATGAAATTACATAAACAAGTAGAATACAGTGGATAAAAATATTCTAATAAAATAAACCATTGTGAACAAAAACCCTGTCCATTATTCATAATGCAACACATTATTCATTTTTGTTTATTTTTTAAGAGTGCATTAGCATATACAGTACAAATGGTTATATTTTATACATAATGTAGTTTTAAAATGTAAAAAAAAAAATATGGATATGCAGGTACAATAAGTGTCATTTTTTTTAATTCAATCTTCTATGTAAATCCTAAAAGTACTAATCCCTATGTGTAAGGAGTTGTAGAAATACTCAAATGAAGCACACATACGGTATTTACTTTGACTTTTCTATTACATTAAGTTTAAATTCTTAGGTTATTTTGAATCTCTGTTACATTATAGTAACTATTCAGGGCTATGCTCATCTACAGTTTAAACAAATAGGTCTGCATCAATGAAATAAAAGTTAAATCTTTATTTAGCATAATTCTGCAAATTACAGATAAAAGCAATTCATGATTAAATGTTAAACTTTTTTTTCAACAATATTTTATAGTCAGTCTGGATTTAATTTTTTTTTTTTTGTTGTATCACACAATTAGGCTTTGCCCTTCAGAAGAGATGCAGGACTTGGCATTTCGTCATGCTCTGTGACCAACCAGAACATTACGAGTCCCATCAGTATCACCACAGCCATCTTCAGAGTCAGCTTCAGTATGTGGACACCCTGCAAGAACAAAGAAAAGGACAGGAAGACACAGGTAAATAGATAAACAATCAAAGTGAATGCTAGGTTAAAAAACAAGTGGATGCTTACTCTATGTTTCGTGGTACTTGTCAGTTTGGTTCTAAGATCTGGCACATCCTCTGGTACCTCTGTGATTGGGGGCTCCAGAGCAGATTTTGTTTCCATGTTGTTGTTCACAGGCTCCTGTAAATCCTGCTAGAAGACAGACAGGTACTAAAACATCTTTGTGTTGTGTTTGTGTGTTTGTTTTTTCTATTTGTGCGTGTATGAATCTGCATGCACACCTCAGATGTTTCTGCAGAGCTGAGGTCCTCCTCCACGTCTGTTGAGCTGCTCATTGAATCTCTGTCACTTTGAGGAAAGGAGAAAGTAGATGGTTGGTCACGCTCAGATTGTAGTCATTGTTTGAGAAAAATAGATCATCTAAAGTCTGAGATGCTTACCTGTCAGATTCAAAGTGAATGACTCGAGACAGAGGATCTTCACAAAACTGAACTTTAATCTGCCTCTCTGTTAATAATAATAAAAAAAACAGCAAACAGGTGAGATTCAGAATTTGCTTAACACTGAATCAGCAAAGATTCACTAACACTTACCTTCTCCTCCTTCGTCTTTGTCGCTGTCGTCATAAAACTTATAGAAAGACTTGATTCTCTCCTGGTCTTGATCCCAGTTTCTCTGCTCTTCATACTCATCATCCTCCTGTTGTGAGAGCTCCGTAATCCCGGAGGACTCAACGCCAGTGTTGAAGAAGAAACTATCATCTAGAGACCCCTGGCTTGAAGAGCTTGAGGTTTTCTTGTCTTCTCTCTGCACAGCTGAGTATAAGTAGACATCCTCTGCAGGATGAGTCACGTCTGAGTGTAATGTTTCCGCTCTGTTTGTGCTCTCTGTGGTTAAAAGCTCTTCAATCTGAAGTGCAGAAGTTGTCAACACGCCAGGATTCCAGTCTGTGTGGAGATCTGCTGGGTCCTCTCTGAGGTGCCCACCTGATGTGCTCCAGGTGGAAAACTCTGTGTTGCTTCCACTGTGAAGCGGAGACTCTTTGTGCTCCCTGTTTTCTTGTAGACCCAAATTTTCTGTGTAAATATTTAGCTCCTCATTGCTCCTCTTTGTCTCCTCCTCCTCTTCCTCCTCTTCCTCCTCTTCCTCATCCTCATCATCATCATCGCTGGAGCTGCAGGAACCACTTTCATCTGTGTCACTTTCATCATCATACCCTGCATCAACCCTGAGGGGCTCCAACTTTCCTCTTTCTTTCCCCTCACTCTCGACATCCAGGCCTAACTCATCCTCGTCCTCTAGATTTCTGCTGTACAGATACTCATCTCCGTCCTCATCTGTGTTCTCACCTTGTTCCATGCCGATTCTCTCTTTTTTCAGGAAGGTGTTTTGATCTGTAGCTGAACTGCTTTCATACAGCTGGTGTTTTTCCTCCACATATTCACAAGAAGAAAAGTCCGAAGGATACTCTGCAAAGCTCTCACCTGCCTCTTGATGCTCCTCCCCTGAGAAGTCCTCCACTTTCTCCATGCACTCCTCTCCCTCAACCTCAGCCAGGAGATCCTCCAGGTTTTTCACAGATAGTTCTGGAAACTCCAAGCTCAGTTTCTCCCTCTCGTGAGGATTTTCAACCTCCTGCACATCGCAGCGATCCTCTTCTTCCTCTTGTTCGATTTTCATGTCCTCACTCTCAGAATCAGATGAGTCCTCTTGCTGTGCTTCCTCCTTCTCCTCTTCTTCATCATCTTCATCATCATTCCTGTCACCTTTTATCCCCATCTCACCACCATCTTCAGGGACTCTCTCAAAATAGGACACCTCCTCGTCACCTTGCTCTTTGTTCCTATCTAGAGCGTTTTCAGCACCCTGAGGGGCCAGAGGTTGTCCGTCTGCAAAGATCCTGTCCTCTTTATAACCACCGAAGCACACTGACATCAACAAATCTCCTGGTTCCTCTCCTGCTCTGACATCTTCTTCCTCTTCCTCATTATCCTCACCATCCTCAGAGACAGCAGACCCTTCCTGTTCAGAATCTCCCTCTGAGCTTGTGTAATCCTCCTCCAGTGTTTGATCCCTGCTCATCACCTTTACATCTTGAAAATCCTCCTCTTCAGACTGGTCTTTATCATAACTTTCTGCCATGTCTACATCTGCACTTTCAGGCGCAGAAGTGGTTTCCTGCTGCAGAACATTATCTTCCTTTGTCTGTCGGCTGTCATCAGAGACGTCTGCTTTTTCCTCTTCACTGAAACTTAAATTCTCAAAATCCAAATCTCCATCATTAAATGACGGACTCGATGTTTCTGTAACAACATCATCATTTTTAAATGGAAAAACTCTGCAAATGGTTTAAAAATACGGAGTAAACCCACAAAACGGAGCCAAACTGCTTACCTGGGAAAGCATCGCTCAGAAGATCAGCAAAACTTTGTTCCATCTTTGCAGAGAGCAAAAACAATATCAAATAGAAGAATTCAACCCAAGACAACCATTAGCACTTCACCACAGACGATCTCTTCACGCAGTAATGAAGACAATGCAAAGTACTGCTCATCTGCCGTCTCTGCAAGTGGCTTCCTGTCAGACAGACGCTGCAAAAATAACACATTGAAGATAAAGGTAGATGTTTGAATATATGACCGAAAATGCTTACATGGTTAAAGCCTACCGTAGAATAGAAGAAAATCAAACGCTGTTCAATAAGTGCCTCTGAAAAAGTGAAGTATCCAAAGTTATGTTTTGTGTTGCTGCAGGGACGTACCTTCATGAGCTCATGTCGTGACAGCTTTGATGTGGTTTTGGTTTCAGATGCACAACTCAGACTGAACATAGAGCTCCTTCACACTGAAACAACCTGTGCTTATGGGTCTCATATCACTGAGATGTGTGCAAATGATTTAAGATGTTTTAAAAAGAAAACCTGCTTTTAGTGATCTTCTTTTAGTCACTTTGTTTATTTTAAAATCTTAAATAATGTAAAAGTTCAGTTAAAAATCAAGCATCCTGGTACAATGACGGCCGTCATCATTGGACTACAGCTCATGGCGGAGAAGGTAGCGGTGGTTTGGCTTCAGGTCGACTTCTACTGGAAAGTGGTCACTCACCTCAAGAGCCTGAAAAGCAGACAAAAACAAGGATTCGTGTTTGGTTAAAGCTCTAGTGGGGAGTTTTCTGACATTTATGAAATAGACTGAAACAAATTGATGCAAACAAGACCAGTACTGACAAGACAGACTGTTTTTATACTGTAACTTTGAATGTCTGAAGTGAGTGGGTAGATGTCAGTAGTAGCCGAATAGAGAGCTTCAGTTTTACATTTAACAAATTTAATATTCAAAGGAAGGACTGTTTTGTTTACAGGGGTGCCAAAGTTGACACAAACTGAGTGTTACTCAGAGGAGCTTTAAAGTTAAGAGAAAGACTTATTTTTATAACATGTTTACCTCTTCCTCAGTCAGGTGAAAACTCTCCTTAAAGTTGAATGGTTGAGCTGAACCAGGAACTATACAAGAAATAATCTCACGTCCATGGACAATGATCCTGTTTGAAAAATTAGATAACAGTGCTGTTAGTTTAAACAAGAGATGTCTGCAGCTTTAGGCCCCTAAAAGACTAAAAAAACACAGTATCATGGAAATAATTGTAGTTTCTAGTTGAGTCTAACCTGTCATATGCACAGTGAGTCTTCTCACGGACTGTTGTGTCTTGTTCATCTCCGATAAGCCAGCGAAACCTGGGGTCACTCCTCAGGCGCACAGCTCTCCAGCCCTTTATGGTGACATAGCTGCAGTCTGCGTTAAGGTCCCCTAAGATCACCACGTTCTGGGTGAAAGTTGAACAGATCAGAATCATTCAGAGAGAAACCACTGTGAGGCTAAACCGGTGCTCTACAGAGAAAAGAACAAAGATGAGAAATGAGCAGGATGGCTAAAAATGGATGGGCTCACATCAGTCTTCCACTTCTGGTGGACCCCTTTGAAGACAGTATACAGCTGGTCCATCTCCTTCATGGCATTTTTGGGACAAGTGTGCTGTCCAATCAGGACAAAATCCTTCACCACTAAAACAACAACAACAAAGAGTGAATGCTCAGATATACTGTATGTTATATCTCATGTTTTGGTTTTGATCTTACATCTCTTGCGGCTTTAACAGTGGAATGAAAAAAACTAATTGTTCACACCCATGTTAATAAAACTCTAATAATTTTATACAAGCCATTTGACCGCTGTACGGGTGTCAGAGACTCTCTCTTCTCTCCCCATCAAGTACATTTGTTATTTGAACTAGTTTACCTTAATCTCTCATCATTCACATTTATCTCACTTTCTCACTAGAACTGCATGATGACACTGACTCTTATATTTAACTGTTACAGTCAGTGTCTGCTTGCCTGACAGCCAATTCAAAATAACCTTGATTATCTGCCTATTTCCTCAAACAATTCCAGGTTTTTCTTCTTACATGTGGAGGGGGAGTGAAAGCGAACGATGAAGGGCTCTCTGGAGAAAATATCGCTGTCATTGGTCCCTTCCACCTCTACTTTTGGATACTGATAATGCTCTTTGACCTCCAGCACATTATTCCTAGAGAAGATGAGAAAATAGGGATGTAATTCTAATTTGTAGATTCACGACAGGAGATTTTATTTGACAGATGTTACCTGTAAATGTAGACGTATTGCTCTTTGTAGGTCTTCCTCCCTAGCCTTTCACTTGCCACATAGGAGTATGAGTTCGATTTGTCATATCTGTAAACAACATTGAAATGATACAATGAATATTGTATTGATTAACCGTGCATTCCCTCTTTGGGGTGTTTTGTACAACATACCTGTTAAGATCCTTCACCAGAGCTTGGACTGCTTCTCCTTTAGAGTCACGAACCTCCTGAATGAGACACACGTCACATCGAGAGAGGATCTTGGGAGCCAAAGAAGAAAAAAAAAAACTATTAGGTGTCTAGTTTCAAGTAAATAATGCTCCAATTGTGGTATAAACTCAGCAGATCACCTTTAATAAAATCCCCATGACCTTCTTGTTGTGCGCCTTTGATTCTCCAAAGCTCTGAACATTGAAGGCGCAGATTTTCAGGGATGATGTGACGTGTATAAAACACAACCCAGCAAACAGTAGAACTGCAGTCCTCATCTTGCAGAAGGTTACAGCTCTGTGAAAAAAAACGATCACTTTAGTAACATCCTCTTTGTGAAATATGTTACACAAACCTCCTCACTGGCCTGCACTCACAGCACCCACTCACCTTCAGGCTCACAGGGAGACTGATCTCAGGCCAGCGAAGATCCATCTCTTCAATGGTCTGCGGTTTGTTTTGGGGAACATGCAGGTAAATGTGGGTGAAAGACCGACTCACAGGTGTGTGTGTTGGATGTGCTGTGTAAGTGCCCAATGAGAATGGAGCTTCATCTGGAACAGTTAAAACAAACAATGGCTGTGTCCCACTCAGAGCTGCGAGTGTTTTGTCTCTAAGTTTGAGTGAAATCGGACAATAGACATAGCCATGGGTCATCTCTGTCACTTTCATGAACATTTGAGCAGAAATGAGCATTATCATGCAGATTATTAAGAGCAGCTGGTTACAACACAGTGTTACATCAACAGTGTCAGGGGTGGTAGTCCACTGCTGAATGATGATCCTGGTATGTGGTGTAGAAATCATTATCAATTAACAATTTTTTTTTTCTGACACTTTTTATATATCATATGTATTTTTTGTTGAAATTTTATGACCCCCCCCCCCCCCCCCCCCAAAATGCATAAGTAGCACACTATAAAGCCTTTTGTACGTATATAATAAGCTATATACCTTTATGAGTGATTATAAACATTTATAACAGCTTATAGTAATGTTTGTGAAGTGTTATAAGCAGTGAGCATAATGCCTTATAAGTATGTTTTTAAAACTTCATACATTTGTACAAAGTAAAATGAAATAAAATTATAAAAGTGTCTTATTTTACGGTATACTGTGTATACGTTCTTATAAATGTGTTATGGAAACATGTAAGTGTAAATAACTTAATACAGTGCTGTCTCTTTAGAGACCTTAAAGTGCCTTAAGTCCTTTATAAGTGAGTAACGTTGAGAATTATAATTTGTTATAAAATCAAGGATTCAAATGACACAGTATTTTCTGTTGCATTAAGGTATAGGCTGATTCATTATTGAGCATACCTTTACAAGGCATTATGCCCAGTGGTTAAAACACTTCATAAACATCTATAAAGTCTTATCGATACATACAAAGGCCATATAATTGTGCTGATGATGAATTGAAGTGGGTTCATAAAATGTGTTACCCTATATCTTATATGTATTAAATGTTGACATGTACAAAAATTTATTTCAGTCATTTTTTTACTGTACCACATTTGTTTTGTTGCCTCATAATTTAGATTTTATGTCATTTCTAAATGTAAATAACACTGTACTGAAGATGTGAAATCCTAGAGACGTACATGTGATTGAATATTTTCTCATTGTAGTTCTGCTGCTTTATGTAATGGATCTATAAATTTAACATTTGTGACAGTAAAATGTAAGTTTCTACAACACATTCCATTTCATCGGTTTGATAGTATGATATGGACTCTGTAAAGCAAGACCCTTGAGTCTTCCCATATGTGATGATGTTTTAAATAATTGGTTCATGTTTTTTCTATGTGGATTATCAAAACCAGTTCATGTGGCCAGTTTATTTCAAGCACAGTGGCACTGGTGATTTACTCTCATTGAGAAAACCACTCTCATCACCAGACCCAAAATTTTATCCAAACAAGAATGAATGTTGGGGAATTATAAAGAGAGTTTTCAGTTCAGTGACACCTTTGTGGAGGCGACACAGTTAATAAAGAAACTGATTTTAGTTTCTTTGTTTAATGCAGTTCAATACATCAGAGATACCTTTGGCTGTAAATACTACATTAAACTTCATCTGCAGCACTATGAACAAGGAACTTAAACCACTAAGACTAAAAACAAGACGAACATATAACTTAAGTAAAAAATATTCTTTATTTCTCAAAACATAACACACTAAAGGCTCAACTCTCTGAGGCTAGATCCATCACCACAAAAGTTCTTCACCGTGTTTTCCCGTCATTACCTTTTGGCTTTTTATGTTTTACATATTTTAAATATTCAAGATGGTGCTTTTGACAAAAAAGTGTTATACAGTATTGATAAAACATCCTGCTTTTACACTAAAAATGTTTAATTTTTTCACATTGACGTTTTCTAGCTCTGTGCAAACATCACACATATAACAATATTTCCCACACTTTAAGTTTCAAGTCTGCCATTGCATGAAAGTAAAAATCTGACACAAACCATATCAAACAAAAGTCGTACTTTAAGAATTTGTAATAAAACTAAGTATTCTGATACTATCATATTGGTCTGAAACAGCCCGAGTGTTGAGGTGAGGCCATTTTCATGAGATAGTCTTCAATGCGTGTCTCTATGTCCGAGTACAGGTCTTCAACTTGCTCTCTGAAAGGAGGATACCACATCCACAACATGGCAACTTGAGTCACAGCAAGGAACAGTAGAAAGAAAACCCACACCTTCCACCAGGAGCCACACGGGGTCTAAATGATGAGAGAGAGAAAAAGGCAGCAAAAAAAGATAAGAGCAGGGTTAATAGTATTTTTACTCATAACCATCAAACTAGTCAAATGTGAAAGTCAAGAAGAAGATCTCAATGTTCCATTACTGTATGGTGTTTTTTATTATTATCATTATTAATTTGGTTGTGTTTGGTGCGTGTGTGGTGAGGTTTCTGCCTATCTTTCATTTAAATGTGCTATTGCCTGATCCTGATTGGCTGCTCCGGGTCCAGTGCGGACAGGTAGTAGACTGCTGCAGAGTTCAATTTTGATTTAAAGAAGAGGAACTAGTCAAATGTGGTAGTCAAAGAAAATCTCAGTGTTACGACCGCGGTTGTAATTTTCTATTATTGCACATAGTGTGTGTGTTTTTTTTTTTTAAATTGGTTGTGTCTGGTGCGTGTGAGGTTGCTGCATAACTTTTAGTTAAATGTGCGATTGCCTGCTCCTGATTGGCTGCTCCGAGACAGGTGGTAGACTGCTGTGGGGCTCGATTTTGATACAAAGTGAAGAAATGACATCTCGTTATGTCCATTTCCCAAACGGCACGTCACAGCAGTGTGGATAGCTCAACTTCTTTAGTTAGTTAGTTCTTAATTTGTCAATTTAATCAATATTTTTAGATATGTCTTTTGTAAATAAAGTGTGTTATTGTTAAAACTGTGAACGTTAGTATTGTGGCTCTTTGAGAGATGGGTGAAATGGGTCATTTTTCATATAGTGTACTGGCCATCCCTAGACGGGTCATAACATCAGTCACAAGAAGACTATGTCCACATACACACACACACACAGAGCTCACCGGTCTACTGCGGTGGGTTAATTGTCGGAGCTCGTCTCTGCACTGCGACAGCCGGGCCTGGCTGGACTGACACTCCTGCTCCATGACACACAGCTCAGTTTGCAGCTCCTCACACTGTGCACACACACATACACACACACAAACACACACACATACAAATGCACACACATCACAATGGAAAAGGACACAGGAATTATATTTTCCCTCAACTCTTACGACATCTTACTCTGCTAATGAGCCTTGAGAGACAAACATGTTCAGTATGCCATATACAAATAGTTTATTACACTTACTCATTTATTTCTTTTGTGGTTTTCAAAATATGAATCCTCATGATGCATTTTTTGTAAGATTTGTGAATATAATATTTTGCGTAAATCTTTTGTGAATGCTTTCTCGAGAACCTTAAATTTTCAGTCCAGAATCAAACATAACTAAAAGGATTGTGAATGACGTTCTGTAGTTTGCTAAAAGAAATCCCCAATTTACCTCTTTTTCTTTGAGTCGTAGTTTCTCCTGAGTGTGACGGAGCTGCTCCTCCACCTGAGATTCTCTTCTTTCTGTCACCTGAGGCTTTGCTTCCTCTAATGTCAGATGCTCCTGCATAAAAAAGTCCTGGGTCTCATCCCTTCCTTCTGTGAATTAGAAAAAAGAAAACACTTTAGGTTAATATTTTATGTGTTCATATTTAAATTCTGCAAAAAAAAGTGGGTGTGTGGAACTAGAAACACTTTTAGATAAAGCTGACAATGGCTTCATGTGGGACCTTTAGAAAGTGAGAAAAAAATTTCACCTGTGAGGTGCTGCATTTCCTCTCGAAACACCTGGTTGTCCTCTTCAAGCAGAGAGATGTTGTACTGCAGCTCCTTGTTCTCTCGTCTTAATGACACCACTTCTTTTCTCAGCTCGGCCTCCCTGGCTTTGGACAGCTGCACAAGACACATATGTTTTTAAACATTAACACTGGAACCTCTTACAATTAAAGCGGCCAGTATATGATAATGTCATCGTTACCTCCAGTTGGCTGTGCAGCTGTCCCAGCTGTTCATTGTTGAGACGCTGGTTCTCCCTGTCTTGTTCAAAGCTCAGCTTCAGATCCTCATACAGACTCTGCCATCTCATGGACTCTGTTTTTGCTGTGCTTAGTGCTTCCTGTAGTGACAAAGTTTCAAAGATGATTCAAATGTTGTAATACTGACACTGTATAAAACTTATTACATTATATATCAACAGAAATATTGCAGTAACATGATGTGTCCATTAGAAACATAGTGGTTGCTATTTTTTGGATTCAAAAACACATATATGACCTGCAGAGTTTCAGCCTTGGAAAGGGCCTCAGTCTTCTCCTCTGTGGCTTTCTGAAAGGCCTCCAGCGCCTTCTCCTCATACACCCATCTCTGCTTCTCCATTTGTATCACCACTTTCTTCACTCCATCCTTTGGGTAGTTCTGTGAAAAAGATTAAACTCTGTTGAGTTAAATTTAAAAAACACTAACAAGGCAGTTTGCAAAGGTTTAGTCTGTGCAAAAATAAAACAGCTGAGAGAAAAAGATCAAATTTCTTCATACAAGAGTCAGCGGTTGCTTCTCAGCTGCTGTTCTTACCTGCATGCAGACTTGCAGCTGCGCCTCCAGAGCCTTGATCTTGTTTCTCAGCAGATCTTCACGGCAGCAAGCCTGTGTGGGTAAGAGAGGAAATGACTGACTGTCACGCTGCAACCTGCAGATGGAAAATTAATGGTTCATGTACCAAAATATGTGACAGCTTGTTCTTTCGCTATCTGTGCTTAATGATGCACAGACGGTACTTGTGGCAACTGTGAGCCTCAAATATGAACAGTGTTATGCATGTGCTGCAACACTAAAGCATGAAAAAACATGTTACCTAAATGTGACAAACCTCAATAGTCTGGTGTGAAAAAGATTTTTTAAATAAAATATACTTTTAGATCTTCAAACTGAAGTTCAAAAAATATCAAAAAAGGGAGACATCAATGGTTTATCTCATTCATGAGAGCTGGAGGAACTAAAATAAAGCAAATAAAGATGTATAGCAGCTGTATTCATGACAGACTGTCACACCCTTCCTGCCTAAAAGTGACAGCTTACACTCATCCTATGCAGTGCAGGCAGGAAACTCCAAACCACAGACTGCGCAGGCCTTCCTGAGATAGCAGCCGTTGAACACTGTTGAGTATGCAGCTGTGACTGACATTTCAGAGCTAAGCCAACCAGAAACCCAAAACTGTATCTGTGGAGCTAGGGTGTTGTGTTTTAAGTTAAAAATTCCATGCATACAAATGAAGAGACCTACCGTCCATATTTTGCTGGAGGAGTTCATGAGGTTGGTCGTGCTCTCCTGGAGGGCCGCCAACTTCTTCTTCAAGGCCTCCTCTCTCCACAAGGCCTCCTGACACACAGCAGAGCAGAGATACATACAGCAACATGCTAACACTGAAGATAACCAAAGGCAGTCAGAGCTAAGGCTTTAAAACTGACTATAAGAATGAATCATAGACAGACAATATGTCACTTGTCTTAAATAAAAACATTTATATTCTAATATGCAGCTAAAATACTCACTTTATCTGTAACTATAACTTTATTTTGTCACAAAGCATAAAACCAGCTGACAGGTGCTAACATTAGCCAATCTAAGCTAGCACTGGCAGGAGATTATGTAAGGCTGTATTTAAGTGAAACCCAGCGAAATGTGTTAAGCCTGGGTTTATTTAAAATAACACTTCAAAATAAACCCTTTGTTTATGGTGAATTTCCCTTCTCCGCATTAGGCACCTATAGGTGCTTAGTATGAAAGTAAACAACTCAATGACATTAGCCTGAAATAAAAAAACAAATACAGACTATCTTCAAGGAATCTCCTATCTTTAAGGAAAAATTGGACTTTAAATAGCTTTTTTAAAAAGGTGCACGCTGATACCAAGCAACACCCATCAAGTAGCTACTTGAAGGAATATGCACTGCACATTGATATTAGCCTATTGCAAACTACTGGTTATGTAGCAAATATTTTTTTGTTTTGGTAGGACAACAAAGATTCTATCTTCTCTATAATTTTATTTCCAAAGGAACAGTGTTACAGTGTACAGAGAATATTTAGCATAGCAGTGCTGTTAAGTCTGATTCCAAATTGAAACGCCATCTTGCTCACCCCAAAGTCTGAAAAGACAAGGAGCTTTGGTAAATCATGTTAAACATGATCCTCCATTAGACACATTTTTACCATCAAGAATGTATAACAAACAAAACAAGAACCTCTCTTCCTCTCTGACAAAATTCTCTGACAAATATTGTATTTCATATCTACCAAGTCTGTTCACCTCAGTGCTCCTAATTGCTATTCACTGCATCTTACCTTCCTCCACAAGTATCTCATCTTCAAACCCCAGTGAGTACATTTTAACTTGTCATGTAACAGTATAAAATTGATATTCATCCCTTTATATAAATTCAAAAAAGCAAACAAGACAATCAGCAAGGGGACAGATTATTTCTACACAGGCATTCTGACACCTAAAACCACTGCCAGGAGGCAGGTGACTTTCTCCATTTCTTGTTCCACTATCCTATTCTCCAAATAAAGGCATGAAAAAGCCATAAAGCAATCAAACAATCAATTTGTATTTGAATAAAAATCAGGAATTTGTTGGCTTACCTGTAAGAGGTCAGCTAGCAGCTGGATATCCTGTTAAAGTGTCAAGAGAGGAAAAACTCAGTTTAACTGGATCATTTTTAAAAGGTTTTAAAACTTTAAAACCACACTTGAAACTTACTGTTTCTCTGACAGTAACAAGACCAGACCTGCACAATTGAAAATATCTTGTTAAATTGTGTAAACACTAATCACAGATGCCTACGGTAGTGGAGAAATTGAGAGAACTCACTCTGTCTGCACACTGTTGTCTCTCAGACTCACTTTCTGGAGAATATTTTCATTCACATTAGAGAGTTTTTGTTGAGTCTTCCCTGTCTGGGTAAATGTTTTGATGCTTTTCTTTTGAGCTGTAAGAGTGGACACACATGCACACACAAATCACCACAGGCATGAAACGTCAAAGATGAATTATCAGTTGCTTTTGTCTAGAAACTATATGTCTGACAGGAAGTTTACCGTTAACACTGTTCATGTTTTTATCCATTCCTTTTGTCCTGTGCAGGTTTGATTCCTTGGCTGCTGGTGTGGAGGTAGATGCTGCCTGCTTTGCATGGTCTCTCTCCCGTCTTGTCAGTGTAACTTCTTCTGGCCACAAATATGCCTGAGAAAATAATGAGATGGAAAAAGTTGCTTTTAAACTCTGTGGAAAGTTGAAAATCTGAGGTGAACGAACACTGTGCACTCTTATGCAGTTCAGGTTGAAAGTACTTACCCATTTGCTGGTGCTTGGGCTATCAGTTAAACTGCTGTTTGGTGTGAAAACCATCAGTGGACGCCCATCAGAGGTGGGAGTTTTTTGCACATTTGTATGCAGTGTCTCTGACTTGCTGTTTGGACTATAATATTTCATCGAGAGCGTCTTTCTCTTCGGTTTCTTCTTTGAGATAAGGTTTGCAGACGGCTCAGGGCTCACTGATCTTCTCCTCTGAAATTCCAGATGCCTTTTTTCCTTCAGCTCACTCTTTATGCGTATTGGTTCAAACTCCCTCGTAGGGCTTCGACATGATGTCACGTTGTTACGTCCTCGCAGGTGTTCACGTTTCTCTGCTCTGTAATCCACTATTTGGTCGAAGTCTTTCATTGGAGGACACTCTATTCCATAAACAGCCAGAACATCCATGGCAGTGTGAGGGCTCAGCAGACTTAACACAGGAGTAGAAAACTCAGACATTAGTGCAGTCTGCTGTAATATACTCTGCAGTCAAAAGAATGAACGTCTAGGAGCTGGCTTGAGTTGTGACAAGCTCTTCTGGTTGATACAGTGCCATAGTAATCCATCAGGATATGACATATACCTATCTGCATTGATTGGATTCAAAGTAAAAAAAAACCAACTGGGTCAGAATTCTACCATATACTGATGTATATTGTATGTTAGAAGAGGCTGCAAAGTATGGTTACAAAAGAAAAATCATAGCTCAGATCTGAAGATTAAATTCGAGTTATCTTAATATTAATGTGAGATGCTCACAGAATTTCAGACATGACCTCATATTAGATTGGTATAAAAGTCCAAAAAAAACATCTTAAAGAAAGCACATTTAAGAAAGAATTTAAGATGCACAATGCTGCACCGAAAGTGTCTCACTAACCTGGGGTTGTAGTGAATACATGAAACTACTTTGACTTGTATTGTAGAACTTGGAGTTGTAGTATTATGAAATGTAAATGCTGCAGTAATTGCATGGTTGTTTTTACAAGGGAAACCTACTTCTAAACCAAGTAGTAGCCCAACCATTCAAAGATAGACTAGACCCCGGCAAGTGTTCCTTGAAACTGTGAAGGAAAAATGTAATGTAAGATAATGCAAATGCAAGCAGTTCCCTGATAAGCAGAAACCATGATAAAGCTTACCTAAAACGCCATCCCATTCAATGGCTCAAAGTCCTCATGATTTGTCTGAGAAGTTATCCATTGTCTCGCGCCTCTGAAACAGTGTGCGGGAGTTTTGTCTGTGTTTCACATGTAGCTGTTTCTGTTGAGCATAATTTTACAGGAAGTGAAGAGAACCACAGCGTCATATGTTCCTCTATCTCAGCAGCCACTCGCACCAAACTGATGGCATACACGGGTGGGCCCCAAGATTACACACAGACCCGGCCAATTCCCCCTGCATGCAGTTTGGGATAAAGCCCACCACACTGGGGAGAGAGCTGTGCAGTGGCTGTGGTTACCTCTTGGAAATTATTTTAATAGCTGTCAAAATTTCCTTAAAAAACACTGATCTCTCATATCTGAGCGTGTACTTGACTCCATTGAGCATCAATAGCTTCATGCTCTGCAGTTAGTGTGGATGCCTGAGTTCATGCAGTGCTTTCATTAAGATGACTGTTTACATTTGTTCACTTTAACTTGAAGTTTTGGTTATCATATCTAGGTCGTGAGCCACAAGCCTCTTAATTTACCAAAATGTGGACATTTTTATAAAATCATCCCAATTTGATTCAGAATTATAACCACAAATCAAAATACAACCACTGAAAACTGACAAGCAGTGTCTTTTTATTCCATACAGCGCCATCGAGTGGCTAATCCCCTAAACTACTGCATGTAGAGTTCCCTCTCTAATCTCGCGATGCTTCAGAGGGATATCTCGTGTAATCCGCCATCCTTGTAGCTCTTTGCAGAAGGGCACGGAGAGGCCGAAACAAGGGTGCCCGGTGTAGCAAGAACTCGGCACTTCATCCTTCAAACATGCTGTCCAGGCTCGTCTTCGTCTCTGGTATGCATTAAGTCTTACTTTGGAGATTATTGACAAACGCATAAGGTTCTCTTATCACCAAACTGTGAAGCGGGAGCAGCAAAAGTTTAAAGTGTCTGTGAAGGGTAAAGTGAAGGCCGCACATTGAATGAGTGACATGCTAACCTGTAGATGTACATGCTGTACCTGAACCACATTGATTAAACTCTGAAACTCGCACTAGTTTATTCTCTAAATGTTTGGGTGATGGTAAAACTGTGGGTGGTGCAGCATTTTTTGTATTTAAAGTACACACCAATAACAGATGACTACGGCTAACACAACACAAGCTAATCAAAGCTACATATGTAGCTCTTAGCTCTCAGCTCTGCATGTCTGTAAATGTCACCTTTTTGACAGCTGACATTGATGGTTTTCTGAGCTTTTTGCATCGTATAAGTGCAAATTTATCTGGTTCTGTTATGCAGGTAAACCCACATGATTATTATTGTAATGCATTCATAGTTTTCTCTAATGACTGCATATCGGTTAATAGCAGCAGTTCAATGATATTAAGCTTCTTGGTCCCATCCTATAAATGTTTGATTTGTAATGTACTACTCTCAGTTTTTGTAAAGTAATTGACACTTTATTTACTGTTTTTAATCACATAAGACTCAACATTTCCTCTAGCATATCCTTCATGAAGGTTAAAATGGTCAACCTCAGAAGAATTGAGAGGAATTTTATTTCATTGTTAATAAAACAAACTGAAATAAGAAATAACCAAAAACAAATACTGGCTCTGCTGTTGAGTTTCTCTTTCTTGTTTCTTTTGCAGCCAATGCCTTGAAAGGCAGTGGCCCCCTTGGAGCTGGGTATGTGTCTTCAATTGTCTTATTTTACTGTTTTGTTTGTCACAAATTTTATGCAACAACACCTGTATATGTAACCAAGCCTAATCCTTATAAGCCTGTTCACAATAATATTCATATTGTGTCTCACAGTCTGGTCCAGGCGTCTCGCTCCCTGCACACATCATCCCAGAATCTGGCCCCAGTCCCCCCTCTGCCAGAGAAGGGAGGCAAAGTTCGTCATGGTATCTTCCCAGAGGAGCTTTTCCAGCTTTTGTATCCCAAAACTGGAGTTACAGGTCAGTAGTCTTAAAAGACAGTCATTGCTCAGTTTTAAACACCTGCTTTTTGATACCTGTGTGTTTGATTTTGTTTATTCAAAGTAAACTTTTCAATTAATGAAGCTGATCAGTGTTCTTGCATAGATGAGAGCAGGGCGATCAAGTTAGACCTACAGAGAAGACTGGTATTGGCAGACAGCAGTGCTGCCTAAAGTTGAAATCTTTTGACAATATAATATGAAAGCTTGGGAGAAAGCAAAGTTTTAGACTACTTTGACATGTCTTCAGCTTATTGTGATCTTTGTAGGGGTGCAGTTATGTCTGCCAAATACCTTGGTGTGCATAAATGCAACATGTCTTTGGGTTTTTAGGGAGGGAAAATAAAGTATTGTTGCAGAGGAACAGGGTGTACCCATTATATGACATGAGGCAAATAAGAAACTGCAAATCAGAATGTAGCACAGAAATATTTATCTTTTGATTATCGCTATCAGAACCAATATCAGATCAGTTACACAGCTGCTTTTTTCTGTGCTTAGTTAAACTTCAGGGAGAGTCATCTTGGGTACTTACACTTTGGCGTTTTCAACAGAAGGCCAGGTTATTAATTTTGCAAACAAAGTCAGCGCTCTGCTGATTACTGCCAGTCAAGTCAACTGAAAGTCTTTGTTAACTTAATCTTTCGTCCGTTCGGCTGTGGAGATGTCAACTGTGTTGGACACGTAGTGCTGATTGTGCAAATTTCATCCACGCCAGATTTGTGTGAGATGTTCTGGAGTTTTAAAAAACATGAGACACAGACTTGCATAATTTAGTTGGTTGTTTGTCTTAAATGGCAACATAACTGATGAACAGTGACACTAAGAGACACACTCATCCATAGACTCTTATCTAAAACAAGATGATGGTTTTATGGAGTGGTTTACAAAAGTCCAATTGCCTGTTGTCCCTTTCTGCTTTTATTTTGTTTTATAAAACTAACATTCAAGAGATGATTTGCTTAAAATGAAAAACATTTCCCCTTCCTCTTCAGGACCCTACATGCTGGGCACTGGACTCCTCATCTATATGCTGTCAAAGGAAATTTATGTCATCAACCATGAGACCTTTGCTGCCCTCTCCATCGGCTCCGTCATCGTCTACGGTGTTAAGAAATTCGGTCCAAGTGTCGCAGCTTTTGCTGACAAACTGAATGAGGTGGGCTGGTGACTGGATTTGTGTTTACAACTTAGAAGTAATTGACAGATTTTCTGTAACTGGGCTTTCCTTCTCAGTCTATTGGCCTCCTCCTCTTTGCCCAGCTGTGTGTAGCACCTTTGTGACTGTGTTTTTTGTGTGTGTGTGTTTACAGGAGAAAGTGGCCAAGGCTCAGGAGGTGAAAGACGCCGCTTTGGCCAGCCTCACTCAGGCTGTTGAGCAGGAGAAGAAGGAACAGTGGAGAGCAGAAGGAAGAACACTGCTCTTTGATGCTAAGAAGGTAGACAACAGTTTTAATATTTTACAGCCTCTTCACACTCAACAACTTCAAATTTATAAATAACTCTGTCTGTTTGCAACTGCATAGTTGCAAACTTGCACACTTTTACCTTTAAGCCTCCGGGTGCAAAAAGGGAACCATTTTTTCTTTTTTACAACATTGATGACCTCTGTTGGTAACAAGTAGATGTTGCAGCAATATTGTGATCAGAACAAGCTGCAGCATTTGTCATGATCGTGACGAGCAGCAGAGCCAAGAAGAAAAGAGTTAAATCTCTTGTTAAAATAAAAGTTCATGTCTTTAAACTCATCATGCATAATAAATGTTCAATGTCTATTGCATCTCCCTCTAGTATCATAAGTCATATTTGAAACCTTTTCTTTTTACCACAAAAAACTGCATGAAGAAGGAATTAAGGCACAATCTTAGTAGTCCTAAAAAAAAACATTCGTCATAAAGTTTAAAAGAGAGCATTGTTGTGTCTTTCTCTCAGAACAACGTGGCCATGCTGCTGGAGACAAACTACAGAGAGAGGCTACACATGGTGACCAATGAGGTGAAGAGGCGTTTGGACTATCAGATCGCTCTCCAGGATCTCCACCGCCGAATGGAGCAGGAACACATGATCAACTGGGTGGAGAAGAGTGTCATCGGCAGCATCACCCCCCAGCAGGTCAGTCTTCATGTGCCACTGTCAGAGGACTCAAACAAGTGCTACTTATCCATCAAGTTGTTCAGTATTTGAGCATTTTTCAGATACACCTTGTAATATTTTTCCCTAGGCTCGCTTTGCCACATGGTCTGAATATTTACTGAATATTTCATCATGACAGTCAAAGTAAATGTGAAAGTAAAATACGAAGTCTGAAGTCCTGAAATGCAACTTTTTAAAGCATTTCATAACCCCTCATTAGTGTGGCTTGACAGTGAGGCTTTCATATAAGTGCTGAAGCTGATATTCCCCCCTAAGTATTTATGACTGATAGCTCCAGGTTAAATGAGCAGTTACAAACTTAAGTCTGTCTTTTTGTGCGTCTTTTTATTTGCCTTTGTGTTCGTGTCTGACACCAACTGTTCTCTGATTTAGATTATTTAAGCTGTATTTTTTTTAATGCCTAAGTTATTCTTCAGCATTTCACAACTTTGGCATTTTCACTTATGGAAAAAAAAAAGTTAACAAAGACTAAGAAAAAATGTCTTTTAACAGCTGTGTTTTGACTTGTTTTTAACCAGGATTCACAATAATTAGGTTATTTTAATCTGGTTTTTAACTGCAGGGGTTGTTGTTCTTGTTCCTGATGTCTCCTTTGTATATCAAAACGTTAAAACCTCCTTACTTAACGTCTGTATTCGTGTCTGTCTTTTTTTTTTTTTCATTTGTGTGTATTTCAGGAGAAGGAGAGCATCGCCAAGTGCATCTCAGACCTGAAGGTGCTGGCCAAGTCCACTAAGGCTACGGTCTAATGTGGTCTAATCCATCAAGTCTTCAGAGAAGGCTGTTCTTGTCCCTCATTCTTTGCCCCAAGACGAGACGCTCACATTTTTTCTTTACAGAATAAACTATTTCCTCCTTTAAAGATTGTCTCTGTCAATAATATGGGTGTGTACAGTATTTACACGTCAGCTGATGGTAAAATAAATGGTTCTTTAATTCAACTACCGCTGCCTGATGTCTATTCTTAGACTTTGGTGAATGCTCTTTCACTTCTTTCAAGATTATTTAAAATTTTTCCTTTCTTTTACAGACACTTAAGTTGTAAACATCTGGTATAATATGAATTTTTATAACTACGGTAAATGAAGACTGAGTTTAATTATTGCATAAGTGTGTTTCCTTGGGCACGTCAGACCTTTGATCCCCTTGGAAGAGATACTTAAAGCATTTTGAACCTTTGGACTCATAATGAGCAACAGATTATTCCCCCCCTCACCAAACCTCAAACACTGATGTTTCAGTGGCAGATTGGCCCACCCCTCCTAAACCGTCACACCCGTCACATCGCTGCACTTTGATCCTGATGATTTCAAGCAGGAAGTCAAGGAAATTTTCACACTAAGCTGAAAAAGGAGCAGATGCTTTCAGCTCCAAGGTAGAGGTAGAAAATCGATTTCAAGGAAGAGGATGGTGACGGCTGAGAAGAGTTGACACTGACAGGTAAAAAGCTGAATAAATCATGTCAAGGATATAAGAGTAGACATTTTGTTCAAATGAGATTATGAAACATTGACTTCTGGTGGTGTTTCACGGTGTTTATTAATGAAAATGTCAGTTCTCGCAGAACTACTTGCGAGACAGTAAAGACCTTCATTCCAGTGTTTAGATTAGAGAGAATGTGACATTAATTAATTTGAAATGCTGTGTTTGGGACGTTTTTGCTTCATTGTGAAACTGACACTAAGATAACTTCCGACCTCGTCCTTTAGATACTTAGAAACTGATCACTCTTACAGTCAAAACACCTGTTAAATTAATTAAAATCTAAAGATCTGATCCGGTAGTAGGAGCTTTGGGATAGCTATACATGGTATTTTTTTAAATCCTGTTAATCTTTGCTGTGAATTTATGACGGTTTGATTATTTATGGCTATTTGTCCTCAAGTGTTTTATTGTTGGATTTGTTTGCATTTAATTTGAGTTCAAACTCGGTCACTTCTGCTGAATAACAGCCACAGAGGCTAAGACTTGCATACAGGAAATATTGGCAGATACCAAAACCCTGGAGTGGGTTAATTATTGTCTGTTGTTTGGGCATTAAACTGTTAATTTGTTCAAGAAGATTGTGCATTTATTCAGGATTTTCCACTTGGATGAATAAATCTTTTCCCCCTTATGTAAAGAGTATCCATGCAACCATCTGACCTGGTTTAATATAAACCTGCTGTCATTAAACTCACTCCCGCGGTCTCATTTTCACTTACAGGTGGAGCTCGAGTGATTCTTGTTGATTAAAGAGGACAGACATTATTGGACAATGTTTGGAAATCCTGGACCTTTCTCTTACTCCCCCAGGTAAGCTACCTTCATTCAGTTTCAGGTTCAGGATAAAACACAACTGTGATTATTCCTGCTGCTGCTCTGAATTGTGGACTCTGGATGGGTTATCTTGAAGTCATAGCACTGGTCACATTGGTATTTATCTGAACACTGTTCAACTAATTTGCTGCCCAGTTTGACAAGTTGGATTTTATTGTGATCCAGGGGTTTCTCACCTGAGGACATCCCTCAGATGAGACGAACATTTCCACAAGATGACCACAGGAGTTCTCCATTACAGAGAAACAACACGTCCAGACCCAGTGGAAAGTCGATATATAGTACGTTGACACAAAAAAAATTTTAATACCTCATTTTCGGTGAGACATCTTGACTTAAACAGTGTTTTCTACACCAGTGCAGAGAAAGGAATACTCAGAGGAGCTGAACAGAAAACCTGACAACCTTCATGTCAGAGTGGAGGTAAAATACATCGAACCGGCACCAGAATGAACACACAAAGATCAAACAGTAAGAACTTCCCCTCATACATGACTCTCCATCCTCACTCTACAGCACCTGTTCACCTGCGAGCTGGACGACCAGGAGGTGAAGACGGTGGAAGGCTGTGTGGCCAAGCTCAAAAGGCTGGATGCCAAAGGTCGCATTTGGTCCCAGGAGATGATCCTGGAGGTTCAGGGGGCAAATCTGCTGCTCTGTGACATTGAGACAAAGGTGGGGGGCTTTTTTTTAGATCCAACTCTTGGCTTTGGCTTTGTACTGTGGGGCATTCCTCTTTTTGAGATACAAAACAGTAATGAAACGATCATGTGCTTTTGTCTAAAATAACACATGTACACTTTTTTATTAAGTTTTCTCTTCTAAACCCAAACCTGGATAAACTTCCCCACAAACACAGAGATGAAGATAAGATAACCCTTTACTGATCTTGAGGGAGGATATTCGGTATAATTTAGAAGATAAGATAACCAGATAAGATGTAAAAGGATAACTAGAGAACTGTGTAAAATAACAAAATTACATTTTTTATTATGACAGTAGGTGGGTTTGGATCTACAATTGCAAAACAAACAAACAAACAAACAAACAAACAACAACAACAAAAAAAAACGCCTGTCCTTTAAAAAAATGCTCTGGGATGTAAAAGGAGGGGGAAGGTTTTTGGTCTTGACATTTCAATTATCTCTGCAGTTGATCATTATTTCAGGTCATAAAAAATCATTTCTGTGTTATTTTAAGTAGCTTTGCTTTCATTTTCAGATGCAGTGCTGATAAAAAAAGGAAAAACAAATTGGCCCTGATTTGGTTTATTGATAATATCTGATGTCTAACACAGTACAGGCTACAGTTCGACTCCCACCCTCATCCCTCATTGGCCTCATGTCATCGTCAGTCTCTCTTCCATGTTTTGACACTATCCAATGTCCTGTCTTTTTATGAAAGGAGCAAAAAAAAAAAAAAAACAATAAAAAAAAGCATAGGAAAGTTTAAAACATTTTTGTCAGATAGCAGTATTAATTGTGTATTTACTCTCTTTAATCTGCTTTCACATCTGTCCTGTTCGATCTGACTCTAAAGGCTGAGCTGGAGATGCTGCCCCTGAGCTCCATACTTCAAACCAAGGCTGTGAAAGACAGCTGCGCATACAACTCCCTGCTCACAATCACAGTACAGGGGCGAAATAAACCCTTCTCCCAGGTCTACATGTTCCAGTGCGAGGAAACTGGGGTGAGTCACATTTCACCACATTCCACAGTGAACTCCTAATCTTAACTCTGACCTCCTGAGGTCCAACAGAGACAGATGGGTGTGTCATGGGTGTACCATCTCTGGATCCATTATCTTTATTTCATAACACAGTTATGATGTTAACTGTTACCCGAGTGTTTTACTGAGAGCCTCGTCTGTGTTACCAGGCGGAGCTCATCAAGAGTGACCTGGATAAGGTTCTGAGAGGAGGTGTGGATGTGGAGCCACGCAGAGAAACGCCTGACATCAGGTTCAAAACCTTGTTATGTTGACAGAAATAAGGACTGAGAAAGACACACACAGTTAAATGCCCTCATTTCTCTATGTCACTAATGTTGTTAGGAGTAATCTGGAGAATCTCATTGGGCAACATGCTCCAGGAAGTTTCCGGCACACTGGCCCTGCCATGCAACGAGAGAGAACCCCACCACCTCTACCTGACCACCCGCCCCCAAAGTGGTCCAACAGAGAACCAGGTACAAGTTGAACCGAAAGCAAACAAAAGATGCTTACCAGCCTTATGACACGTGCAGAAAAACTGTTCAGTGTGTTTGATGAAGTTTTATTTTATATTCAAACTACACGCTGCTTACCTGTAGAACAAGTATCACCTCCATGGAGCTACAGCCCACGAGAACCACAAATCCCACAAACCCAACCTGATTTCCGTGATCAACAGCTCACTCAAGAGGTCCCCTTTACTCCTGAGCTATCAGATGAAGAGAGGAACACAGTAAGTGCTCCCATCTAATCAATATCTAATCATCCCTCTGTTATCAGAGGACAAATCTGTCCGTGTGTGATGGTTTTTTAAAGCTCCTTCAAAGTTAAGTCTCTTATAGAGTTTTCTGGTTTTCCTTTCTTTCAGGAAATTTTAAACCATGTCATCACTGATATGGAGATCTTCATGGAAAATGTTAAAGCAGCAACAACTGCACCAGTACAGCAGGAGAACAATAACAAGAAGAAAATGTTTAAGAAGAAGAAACCAAAGACAAACAGTAATTGACTTTCTCAGTTTATCTTTTGTGACATTTATGGCTGAGGGAGTTATTGCAGAAGATTTCATGTCATACTGACTTTGCAACTATCTGTATCTGAATTTCTCAACCGGTAGTTCCCCGTCTGCCATCTTGGGAGGAATACACTTCTTTTCTTCAGAAAATCAAATATGGATTCAATCTGCTGGTAAATACGCCTATTCTTTCTCCCCAGAGTGGAAAACGATCACAGTGGTCATTAATGCTGTGATTTGTTGATGTAGTAGATATAGGGTTGAATGCTGCAGAAAGCAGTAGAACTTGACTGAAAAGAGTTTCATATTTCAGGGTCAGCTTGATGGGACACTGACCAGCATCTCAGCTGCAGAGTATGTCCACATCTTCTTTTCAAGTTTAGGCATGGTGAGCTCATCTACACTCATTTCTGACTTTGAAAAAAAAAACAACCTTCAAATGCTTCAAACACCTTTATCTTCTTATTCTCATGCCCCCCTTTTTTCCACAGGTAATATCTCATTATCCTGCAGACCTGCCTCCCACTGTGCTGTCCCCCCTGCTGACAGTGTCTGCCCTGCGGCTGCTCAGTGATGTGGTCAGTCCGGAGGAGGACGCCCTCTGGAGGTCTCTGGGAGACTCCTGGAACATCCCCAGGTATGTCGGCCTTTGTAACCCTCAACCGGTTACACAAGCCTTTCATAAAGCTTCCCATATACAGCCGAAACACTGTTCATAAAGCAAATCTGCTCTGGCCCACCCTTTTTTTGGGTGTGTGTGCATTTTCTAACATGTAAAAGTAGGACAGAGTTCATGTTGTTTTTTTATTCCTGTGGATAAAACAACATAACAAGTACAGACAGAGTCATACTGGTGGTTACCATTAAGAGGAGTGACACACACTGATGGCACAGCTATCTTCTGGTGTATGGAGTGGCATCTCGTCGGCCATGTTACCATCTCTTCAGATTTCCCAAAATGTCATACTTTATTTTTGATTTAAGCTTTTCAGCGCTTCATTAAACCATATCAAAAATATCTTGACACATATGCCACTATTTTTCCTTTTGTGTCAGTGCTTGTTTTGTGTATTGCTTTTCTTTGAGAAAGACAAATCTAATAAACAGATATGTATTTTTTAAGTCAAGAGGTTGCCTCTGTGTTTGATTTTAACAGGCTTTTACTCTCTTGCCACCTCACAGGTCTCATTGGCCAAATGATGACATCCCAGTTTACATCCCAGAGTTCTACGATGGCTGGCAGCCGCCTCCCCCCTCAGGTGTGGCCTCCCGGCCTCCTTTTCGGAATGGTCCAATGAGGAACAGCCAGCACTCACCACCTGACTATCGCCAAGAAGAGGTACGGCTGTTGGAGTGTACTGGTTCTGACCATAATCATCTTTTTAAAGATTTGAATTATTGATATCATAGAAGAAAAATAAAAACCTTGTGTAAGTAGTCCATAGTTGTTCATGTTAAGTGGTTTTTCATGCTAGTTGCCACCCACCATATATTAAAGAGGGTCTGACAGTTAAAAATTGATGTTCTGAGATTTGTGAATCAAGACACAAAGTAAGAGCTTGTGTCTCTTCAGGAGGTGCCAATGATTTGAATGTATATACTTTTGCCCGTTCAGCAGTTTTTATTCAATTGTCAAACTTATGATCTGTTTGGACTGGCATATACCTAATTTCAAATTAAAGGTTTAATTTTACAATCCAGGAAATCAAGCAAACTGCAAGACAGTAAAGATGAGAAAATAAAAGCATATAATCATTTTATGAAGTAATAATAAAGTGTATGGAGTAAAGGGTCAATACACCTTTGTCTGATGTATAGTTTTTCCCAAGGTCACATGGATATTGTAATATTATCATAAATGTGACTTTCATTACTTCACTAATCATGAGGGGAAGATGTGAAGCGATCTGTGGTTACAATACTATTAAGAGATATTTTGTACATATTTCAACTGCAAAACCGGCTCAAACTAAACTAGTCAAGTCATAGTTTTTATATGAAACTCTTTATTTTAGCTTTAGTAACAGTTACTAAATCACTGTTGAAGGCTATGGAAACGTTAAGAATGTACGATTGTTTAGAACAGCGTAATAAACTCATTGAAAAGGATGATCTGTTTTAAAATCCGTCACCTTTTGTTTTAAACCTCAATTGCATTCACTTTCACCGTCTTGTCTCTTACAGCCAGTGTCCAATGGTCCATGGGCCTCAACGCCACCTCCGCCTCAGCAGTAAGCATTATTGCACTGTTGTAAAAACTGACATTATGATCGTATTTGCTGCAGGCATTTTTTCTAACCAGTGCTCACTGGACTTTATAATGGTCATATACTGCATCTCTTTGACTAAGTGTGTGTGTGTGTGTGCTCCTGTTTTAGCTCCGCTGAGCCTCCCCTTTACATGCGGGCCATGTACGACTTCATGGCCAGAAACAACCAAGAGCTGAGCATCATGAAGGGGGATGTGGTTGAGGTGAGATAAACACCTTTTTAGGCATGTCACCCCCAAAGAAAAAAGACTTTTCCAGTCTACCTATCTGCTCAACACTACTAGGCCTATGCACGTATTTGTAATCTAGGATAACGGTGCTAACTTCTATGTTTCTTGTATGAATTTTGCAGGTGGTCCAGAAAACAAGGCAATGGTGGGTCATTCGTAACTCCCGGGGTGAGGAAGGGAGCGTTCCTCAGAATATTCTGGAGCCAATGGAGAGCAGTGAGCCCATGGAAGATCTTCAAGTGAGTGAGGATTTCAGAGTAGCTGCACTGGGCCATTGCTCATCAATTATCATTCCATTCTCATTCTTCTCTCTCTTACAGCGGGGAACTCGTGGTGCAGGGAATCTGGACATGACTTCCACACCTGCAGAAGTGGGAGCTTGGCTGAGCTACAAAGGTTTCTCCAACATGTGAGTGACATAACCCACAGAGGGATTTGAAACTTTCAGGTGTTGGTTAAATAAATAAAACTTGTATTGTATGGTTTGTCAAATATTTGGTGCCTCTTTTGTGCAGCACAGTGAGGTCTCTCGGGGTGCTGAGTGGTGGGCAGCTTCTCAAAATGACAAAGGATCAGATAAGAGCTGTGTGTCCAGAGGAGGGAGGAAGGGTCTTCTTTCAGCTTCAGGCTTCTAAGTCAGCCATTGCAGTAAGTAATACATGACATTATTATCACACTCACAGACAACTGTAGCACTCTGACAGTGTTTGACCTGTTCCCTACACTTACAGCTCGCCAGTGAGCCATCAGGTCGGTACAACAGTGAGTCACCAGGTCGATACAACAGTGAGCCACCAGGTCGTTACAACGGTGAGCCACCAGGTCGATACAACAGTGAGCCACCAGGTCGATACAACAGTGAACCACCAGGTCGATACAACAGTCGCTACTGAAGAGGAGCTGCATCACAACACCTTCATCTTTTCTCCTGAAGCATCTCAAACTGTTAGTGTCTAATCCTATTGTCAAAAGTTGTTAAAAAAAAGTGGATTGCTGCTTTCAGCATTAGGGTAAACAGATTTTGATCAATTACATATAGTATAAAAATGATTTGTATTTCAATTTATCTTGATAATAATGCACTTTATAGTGGTCCATGTATGTAAAGTTAAATGTGATTAAACCAAACATGTAAATCAACCCAACACAGTAGTTGGACTGAAACAAAAAACTGTCATTCTCATTGCTTTACAAACCCTATCATTTTTCCTTAATAAAAATAGTCTGAAATAGTCAATTCTGAATGAGACACACTCACTCCATCAATAAAACACGGTTCAAGACGCTTCAAAAAAATTAAGTGCTTTAATTCAAATGAAAGTTGCCATATTTTCTTTGTAAAAATACAAAGTTGGGGTTCTTCGGTGCAAAGAAAGTTTCACATGTTACTAAAGGACACGAAAACTACACAACTAACTAGTAAACTAACCGTCTTCTTTCTGATCTTGAAACTATAAGACCGTTTTTAGTGAACTTGAGAAAACTGTCCTGCCCAACACTAACTTAAGGCGGAATTAAATGCATCCTCTTCTACTCTTTCTTGTTTCCCCACTTGGCCATCTTGTTGTTCACAGGGGTCTTCATGAATCTGTCTGATTTCATGTAGGCAGCAATCTTCTCCAGAGCCTGTGATGAAAAAAACAAAAACACTATCAAAACAGAAACTCACATGCCATTAATTACATTTATACATCTTACACTGAGACTTTCACAAAGACACAGGAGGCCAAAGGTCAAGTGTCATTCCTAAATGTTATTTTCAGCAGTGACAGATTATCTTGTTCTTATTTTATAAAGAAAACAAGAAGAAGAAAAATTAAATTGAATTAAAAACGGGAGTGTCATCACCTCAAAACGACTTAGAAGATCTTTGAGATTCTTGAAGTCATCCAGGCATTCAGGATGAAACATCCTGTGTTGATCCAGCAGCTCATACATAATGAAGTCCACAAAAGTGATCTATTGTAAAAAAAAAAAAAAAAAGACTCATAGTAATGTTAACAATTTAACAGTAAAGAAAGGCGAGACTTTGAAAAGCTGCTGACTGACTGTTTTACATCAGTCATTAGTCAGTTGACCTGCATGTGAAGTCATTAAAGGGTTAACCCTACAGGCTTTTTTAGACATGAATTAAAAACTGTTTTTTCGCTACATCAGACAACAAAACATCTGCTGAGTCATAGCTTTATATGGCCATATCATGTCAAATAGGATTTTTGGAATAAGAAATACAGTTATAAAAATCTCAAGTTCAACAGTCACCACACCTTGTCACCTGCAAACCATTTCCTGTCTCCCAAAAAGTCTGAGAACTGCTTCAGTACACTTGGCAGGCTCTTGAGGTACCCCGGCTTGATCGCATCCTGAAGATGCAGAGATGATGTTGGTTGGGGTTAGTGCAAATTCAAAGGAGTGAAATGACATATTCAATGTATTCAAATTTTAAATGTGGTGCTCACGAAGTCAGAGTAGCACATCCTGACAAAGCCGTTCCTGAAGTCCATGGACTGGTTCTCCAGGATGTCCACACGGGTCTTTTCGTCCTCCGTCTCTCCACCTGTGATCAGAAAATGGAGAGAATGAAAGTGAGATTTTGCACTTGAAACTGGAATTCTTCAGATACTGTCATTAGGTCGATCAAATTCTACATCCACGTTTCTTATTTTGAATAAATCACCAGGTTAGAAACACTACTACTTACACATGTTCTTTTTGCGAGCAATGTACCGCATGATGGCATTACTCTGTACGATCTTCTTGTCTCCGTCCACCAAGTAGGGCAGCTATAACCCAAAAAAAATCTGTATCAGTCGACAGTTTAACCAACAAGCTCAATACTTGAACACTGAAGAACATTACTCAGAGCTTAAACTAACTTACATTAGGAAAATCCATTCCAAGTTTGGGTTTTTCATCAAACCAGCAGCTCTTGTCATATTGAGGAGCTGTGTGATTAAAATCACAAGAATTAAAAGGTGTGCTGTGAGAGAGTTTTTTCACTGTTAAGATGAAAATGATCAAAACTGTTTAGTAGTAACATGAAACATAAACTCTTTACCTTCACCGCAAACATAGAACTTGTTCTCGTACTTCAGGCCAGTGTACTCCAACAGCAGGCGGATGGGCTGGGCGAGCTGCACAAGATTCAAAATATATTAAAATAATAATGATAAATAAGAACACTTTTTAACCCTCCTCCTGCGTTTGGGTCTGCACCAACCTGTTTTTGTTTTATAAATGCTTAAAAGAACCACTTAAATTAGTTTTTCTGCATCAAGACTTTTTGACTTTGTCAGGAACCTCTATTTCAACAAAATAAAAAAATTAAAACGACTAAATTATAAAATGCTCTTATTAAAATTATGGCACTTGTCGTGTTAGGGTCGCTGTTGACCCGGTTAGATTAATATCTATAAATTAGAGCAAAAACTAAAATTATATGTGCACTGTCAGGTAGTGCACATATGATTTAGGAAATTCTCACTTTGCCATGTTTTTCCTCCATGTCCAGACATGTGAGATCACTTCAGTATAGATGTCTGTATGAGGGGTATACTGACAAAGAAAGACCCAGAGGCCCACAACAAAAACTATTATAAGCAATATTTTCATTGATAATGAAGCCTAACAATGTAACCCAAAGATGAGAACAAAATTGGATGATAGAGAATTGTTTTTAGTGTAATTTACAGCTGATTTAAGACACGGGTCGAAACCAAGCCAAAAGACAGTGGGTGTGTAGTAAACATAGACTATATATACTGGATAGAGTATATACAGTATCCAGTATTCATATACTTTACACAGTCTATGGAAGTAAAAGCTAACACAGGAGGAAGGTTAAAGGTTGTATTAGTTGGTTATTTCAACTTTGCTTACACGTTTCTGTCCCTAAGAACAATATAGACACGTGTATTCTTGTGCATGTCATACATTATTTCTCACTTTCTTGAATTTTGCAGACTGGACCCAGGGGACATATAAGGCCCTGCATGATGCGAGTGTATACAAAGATCTGACAGTTGACCTTTGACCTGACCTGCTTAATAGTTAGCTATGTAATCGGGATGCGCAAGACGCTGCATGATGAACTGGTCAGGTTTGGGGTAATTTTATGACTACAAGAGCTGCTTTTGAAAGCCATACAAAAAGCCCACAGCTTTATATAAAAGGCACATTTTCTGCTCATTGAAGAACAACATCCGGTCAGTCGTGTTAGTGGAGTTCACGGTCGAGTAGCCGGATATTCGGTACACTGGTCATTGAGAGCAAGTGTAACTGTGCTACCACTGACCTCAAACAGAGAGGGGGGTAAATATATGCCATAAGTTTTATCATTCAAATTAGGACTCCTGAATCTGTTCATCATAATTATAATATCTGAGCACGTGTACGTGGACAACGTCTGTTACGTAACATTTGTAGCGCAAGGTTCTCAATCACAGACACTGGCTTCATACACTCCTGAAGAAGTGAACTCAAAGTACTCGAATAGAAAACCGCCTTAGCTTATGCTAACAGGTCTGTGAACCTGGTGAATGTCCAGCTGCAGCCGGGAACGACCACAGCGCTGCATCACGAGCTGTAACAAAGACACGGACCAACTTACCCCACGGATATCCCAGTAAGCCAGTTGCATTGTCATCTTGAATTGCTTTTCGGCACTTAAGGTGTTTGACCGCAGTAAGCTACTTTCCACGCTGGTCGGACGGACGGACGAGGAGGAGAGAGAGACAGGGAGCTGTTCTGCTGGTTTGTAGCAGACGGCGGAGTGGGAGGGGCGGTCACGCGGCTGCAAAAACCGGGTTCATTGTTTGTCTGAGCATAGAAAAATGCACATGGGGTGCGATTGTGAGGACGATAAGCACACTGGCTTTTCATGTCTTACAGTCAAGGTCGGTACAATAGTGAGCCACCAGGTCGTTACAACGGTGAGCCACCAGGTCGATACAACAGTGAGCCACCAGGTCGATACAACAGCCGCTACTGAAGAGGAGCTGCATCACAACACCTTCATCTTTTCTCCTGAAGCATCTCAAACTGTTAGTGTCTGATCCTATTGTCAAAAGTTGTTAAAAAAAGTGGATTGCTGCTTGCAGCATTAGGGTAAACAGATTTTGATCAATTACATATAGTATAAAAATGATTTGTATTTCAATTTATCTTGATAATAATGCACTTTATAGTGGTCCATGTATGTAAAGTTAAATGTGATTAAACCAAACATGTAAATCAATCCAACACAGTAGTTGGACTGAAACAAAAAACTGTCATTCTCATTGCTTTACAAACCGTATCATTTTTCCTTAATAAAAATAGTCTGAAATAGTCAATTCTGAATGAGACACACTCACTCCATCAATAAAACACGGTTCAAGACGCTTCAAAAAAATTAAGTGCTTTAATTCAAATGAAAGTTGCCATATTTTCTTTGTAAAAATACAAAGTTGGGGTTCTTCTGTGCAAAGAAAGTTTCACATGTTACTAAAGGACACGAAAACTACACAACTAACTAGTAAACTAACCGTCTTCTTTCTGATCTTGAAACTATAAGACCGTTTTTAGTGAACTTGAGAAAACTGTCCTGCCCAACACTAACTTAAGGCGGAATTAAATGCATCCTCTTCTACTCTTTCTTGTTTCCCCACTTGGCCATCTTGTTGTTCACAGGGGTCTTCATGAATCTGTCTGACTTCATGTAGGCAGCAATCTTCTCCAGAGCCTGTGATGAAAAAAACAAAAACACAATCAAAACAGAAACTCACATGCCATTAATTACATTTATACATCTTACACTGAGACTTTCACAAAGACACAGGAGGCCAAAGGTCAAGTGTCATTCCTAAATGTTATTTTCAACAGTGATGGGAGATGATCTTGTTCTTATTTTATAAAGAAAACAATAAGAAGAAAAATTAAATTGAATTAAAAACGGGAGTGTCATCACCTCAAAACGACTTAGAAGATCTTTGAGATTCTTGAAGTCATCCAGGCATTCAGGATGAAACATCCTGTGTTGATCCAGCAGCTCATACATAATGAAGTCCACAAAAGTGATCTATTGTAAAAAAAAAAAAAAAAGACTCATAGTAATGTTAACAATTTAACAGTAAAGAAAGGCGAGACTTTGAAAAGCTGCTGACTGACTGTTTTACATCAGTCATTAGTCAGTTGACCTGCATGTGAAGTCATTAAAGGGTTAACCCTGCAGGCTTTTTTAGACATGAATTAAAAACTGTTTTTTCGCTACATCAGACAACAAAACATCTGCTGAGTCATAGCTTTATATGGCCATATCATGTCAAATAGGATTTTTGGAATAAGAAATACAGCTATAAAAATCTCAAGTTCAACAGTCACCGCACCTTGTCACCTGCAAACCATTTCCTGTCTCCCAAAAAGTCTGAGAACTGCTTCAGTACACTTGGCAGGTTCTTGAGGTACCCCGGCTTGATCGCATCCTGAAGATGCAGAGATGATGTTGGTTGGGGTTAGTGCAAATTCAAAGGAGTGAAATGACATATTCAATGTATTCAAATTTTAAATGTGGTGCTCACGAAGTCAGAGTAGCACATCCTGACAAAGCCGTTCCTGAAGTCCATGGACTGGTTCTCCAGGATGTCCACACGGGTCTTTTCGTCCTCCGTCTCTCCACCTGTGATCAGAAAATGGAGAGAATAAAAGTGAGATTTTGCACTTGAAACTGGAATTCAATCAAATTCCAGTTTCAATTCAAAGGTCAATCAAATTCTACATCCACGTTTCTTATTTTGAATAAATCACCAGGTTAGAAACACTACTACTTACACAAGTTCTTTTTGCGAGCAATGTACCGCATGATGGCATTACTCTGTACGATCTTCTTGTCTCCGTCCACCAAGTAGGGCAGCTATAACCAAAAAAAAAGAAAAAGAAATCTGTATCAGTCGACAGTTTACCCAACAAGCTCAATACTTGAACACTGAAGAACATTACTCAGAGCTTAAACTAACTTACATTAGGAAAATCCATTCCAAGTTTGGGTTTTTCATCAAACCAGCAGCTCTTGTCATATTGAGGAGCTGTGTGATTAAAATCACAAGAATTGAAAGGTCAGAGAGTTTTTTCACTGTTAAGATGAAAATGATCAAAACTGTTTAGTTGTAACATGAAACATAAACTCTTTACCTTCACCGCAAACATAGAACTTGTTCTCGTACTTCAGGCCAGTGTACTCCAACAGCAGGCGGATGGGCTGGGCGAGCTGCACAAGATTCAAAGTATATTAAAAAAACAACGATAAATCATAATACCTCTTAACCCTCCTCCTGTGTTAGGGTCTGTACCAACCTGTTTTTGTTCTATAAATGCTTAAAAAGAACCACTTAAATTAGTTTTTCTGCATCAAGACTTTTTGACTTTGTCAGGAACCTCTATTTCAACAAAATAAAAAATGAGACTGACTAAATTATAAAATGCTCTTATTAAAATTATGGCACTTGTCGTGTTAGGGTCGCTGTTGACCTGGTTAGATTAATATCTATAAATTAGAGCAAAAACTAAAATTATATGTGCACTGCCAGGTAGTGCACATATGATTTAGGAAATTCTCACTTTGCCATGTTTTTCCTCCATGTCCAGACATGTGAGATCACTTCACTATAGATGTCTGTATGAGGGGTATACTGACAAAGAAAGACCCAGAGGACCACGACAAAAACTATTATAAGCAATATTTTCATTGATAATTAAGCCTTACAAGGTAACCCAAAGATGAGAACAAAATTGGATGATAGGGAAATGTTTTTAGTGTAGTTTACAGCTGATTTAAGACACGGGTCAAAACCAACCCATAACACAGTGGGTGTGTAGTAAACATAGACCATATATACTGGATACAGTATATACAGTATATCCAGTATTCATATACTTTACAAAGTCTATGGAAGTAAAAGCTAACACAGGAGGAGGGTTAAAGGTTATATTAGTTGGTTATTTCAACTTTGCTTACACATTTCTGTCCCCAAGAACAATATAGGCACATGCATTCTTGTGCATGTCATACATTATTTCTCACTCTCTTGAATTTTGCAGACTGGACCCAGGGGACATATAAGGCCCTGCATGATGCGAGTGTATACAAAGATCTGACAGTTGACCTTTGACCTGACCTGCTTAATAGTTAGCTATGTAATCGGGATGCGCAAGACGCTGCATGATGAACTGGTCAGGTTTGGGGTAATTTTATGACGACAAGAGCTGCTTTTGAAAGCCATACAAAAAGCCCACAGCTTTATATAAAAGGCACATTTTCTGCTCATTGAAGAACAACATCCGGTCAGTCGTGTTAGTGGAGTTCACGGTCGAGTAGCCGGATATTCGGTACACTGGTCATTGAGAGCAAGTGTAACTGTGCTACCACTGACCTCAAACAGAGAGGGGGGTAAATATATGCCATAAGTTTTATCATTCAAATTAGGACTCCTGAATCTGTTCATCATAATTATAATATCTGAGCACGTGTACGTGGACAACGTCTGTTACGTAACATTTGTAGCGCAAGGTTCTCAATCACAGACACTGGCTTCATACACTCCTGAAGAAGTGAACTCAAAGTACTCGAATAGAAAACCGCCTTAGCTTACACTAACAGGTCTGTGAACCTGGTGAATGTCCAGCTGCAGCCGGGAACGACCACAGCGCTGCATCACGAGCTGTAACAAAGACACGGACCAACTTACCCCACGGATATCCCAGTAAGCCAGTTGCATTGTCATCTTGAATTGCTTTTCGGCACTTAAGGTGTTTGACCGCAGTAAGCTACTTTCCACGCTGGTCGGACGGACGGACGAGGAGGAGAGAGAGACAGAGAGCTTTTCTGCTGGTTTGTAGCAGACGGCGGAGTGGGAGGGGCGGTCACGCGGCTGCAAAAACCGGCTTCATTGTTTGTCTGAGCATAGAAAAATGCACATGGGGTGCGATTGTAAAGACGATAAGCACACTGGCTTTCATGTCTTACAGTCAAGTGACATGAAAACCTGTTATACATATTTTTAGTTTATGGAGTTTTTCAGATCAGGAGTAAAGGTGATGCTGATCCTGCTAGTCCAGACTTTTCCCCACCCTGAAAGACTTGAATGAATGTAACATGAGTGCAAAAGAGCATGCATGGATTACACTGCTAATCTCCACTTGAAACTGTGGAATGGTTACAGTTAGATATTGTGCAATCATTTGCCCAACAAAAACTACCCTTTCCTCCCATAGTTTGACTGTAAATAAAATGCTTGAATGTGACCACGGGAATGGCAAAATAGCAGGCCCTATTCAATAAAAAAATAAAAAAAACAAGGCCTTTATGCTTATCACATTACCATATCATCCATATTTATGGTTCTTTGTGTGCAAAAGTTGACCTGGTGGACATTGAGTTTGGCTATACAGTTACCAAAGTAACAGTTGTTATGCATATTCATATTTATAGTTTGTCATAAACTGATTGAAGTATTAAGGAAGCCCTGATTGGGTATCCATATACCCTATTTTTATTACTCCACTTTCTCTGTGATAAAGATTCAAGGTGGTTTGGTTAAGATCTTTATTCTCTTGCCTCATTATTCTGAGATAACATTGCATTTTTGTACAGACCTCAGCACATTTTTTTCTTCGTCTCTAGATAACTGGTCTGGTTTTTCTATAACTATGATTAAATCGATGTCATGATCTCAAAGAAACAAAGCTGGGTTCTTGTGATAACAGGATCTCAAAAACAAAACACTTGGCTGGTCACCTTGATGGGTTAGATGATCATCTGCCATGCTACCTCACCCACTATAGTAAGTTGAATGACCCCTTTTTTGTGTTTGTGTTGTGTTTTTGCAATTTAGGAAATCACCTGATGTTAAAATGAGATCTCAAACTCAACCAGACACATTAAATTATTAAAACACAAAGACACCTGTTTTTCTAATCACTGGTATGAGCTAGTATTCAGACTAGTGCAACTGAGCACCTTTACTTTGATTCTTTTAATACAAATATTGAGGTTTGTAATTAGTCTGAATTTAGAGTTGAACCCTCTGCTCACTTTGACCCTCTGCTCTCACTTTTACATTCAAGTGTTATGTGCTTCTGATGGATCCACTTCACAATGCACTCTTTGTTTCACTCTCTCACTCAGTCACATTTACAGACCCCATCAACGGTCACTCTCCCTACAACACATGCAGACATTATTTGTCAAAAGGCTGTTTTATTTTTGTAATCTGCAATTTTTTTTTTATGTCTGGAAACATTTCTTTGATTTCAGGCATGTACAAACTACATTAAGTCGAGAATTGTGATGTAAACGCATTTTATTTTTTCTTTGACACAAGTATAATTAAATTATATTTCACAAACAGCACATATGATTCTTTGGGAGTGACACGCCATGCTTTGAAAAGCAACAAACAGCCCAACAGATAACACCAGGACCCAACTGGAGGGGTGTGAAAAGGGTAAGCTGAGTGCAGTTCTCTAAAAATAGATGAATTTGGCAACTTGCTCAACAAGTGAAAACTCAAGAACAGATCATGCACGATTCACTGTAACATGACTCAGATGAAGTTTGTTGCTTCACATTTTCAGACACAAAGGATCAGATCAGTTAGGCTTCAGACAGTCAGTAGAGACAACGCCACAAAATAAGACTCAAAATAAAATGCTACGACTACGTAGCATTACTGCACACGAGAGACAGAAACGTGCCATCATGCAAAAGACTAAAAACGGCAACAACATGACACAGAGGAGCAGTGGGGACTATGGTAACGTCATTCACAGCAGCAGGAATACTGAAGTTTTGTCACAGGTTATAATGCATGAGGTTTTGTCCTGTGTAGAAAGTCAGGGTCCAATACTACAATTTAGGTTTAAGTCTGAGACATCTACTGAAACACAGTTGTCACAGTCTTAATGTTGGTTGCTAGGAAACAGCCAATCAAAATGAAGTGTAACTTTGACACCACAAGTCTTGAAATAGCTTCAGTTCAGTTGGTATTTAAAGATGTCAGTTTTTACATAAAATAACTTTATTCACATGCCCACACGTTAAGTATAGTGTTAGAGGTTTTTCAAACAGTTTTGTATGGAGTGTAAAATCCTCATTTACTAACTTCACTTAAATGTAATAATTGACCCATCATTTCAAAAAGATAACATAATAAACTGTTTTACTCTAGTCTTTCAACTAGAAGCAGCTTTAGAAAATGCTCGTTATGTGTCAGTATTTAACATCAAAGTATTAATTCCCTCTGGGTCACTTGAGCTCCATTTGCCCGTAAAGTCAACGATAAAAAGACGCTTTACTTTGATTAACTTTAAGATAATTTTTCTTTCAGTGATTTTGTGAGTGTTTGTTCCATTAAGTTTATTCATGTGTTTTATCTTAATGTTTTTACTGTTAAGAGCTTGGTACAAGGAGATGGACAGAGACTGACAGAATGTAGCCATGAGGCATAAAAATATAACAATAATTTAAAATAAATAGATCAAGACACACTGTGCAATCACCATGATAAATCAAATACAGAATGACTCAGAGAAACTAGAGGAGGTAAACACTTAAGTTACACAGATTGTAGGTCCTCTCCCACACTGCCACTGTAATGACTCTTACATAATCATCTTGTAACAAAGCTTTTCTCTCCTCACAGCTGTGATATGTTGATATGCAAATCTGTACAAAGTCCTTATGTGCAAACAGAGGATGAAGCTACTGCAGTACATCAGAGCATATTCACATTTCTCCTTGCACAGCTCCCATACACAGACTCCCCTCCTCCTCGATGGTCTCCAGCTCATCTGTGCGGATGGCCTGTGTGATTAAATTTAGCTCCTCACACATGGTCTCATACCGGTATGCCACACGGATGTCAGGGACATTTGTGCGTCTGATGTCGTTACTCTCCTGTCCTTCCTCGATGTAGTTTGGGCCAAGCCAGGAGCACTTAACCTGAGCCAAAAGAGAAGTCAAAATAATCACTACAGACCGTGGAGGATGTGCTGCAGCGAACACATTTAAATTTATACCGTAATGTAATAAAAGATATATTTCAAACCTTATGAGAAAATCCACTCATCAGCACACTGTTTCTGGCCAGCTCACACATGTCACAGGAGCTGAGTTTCCACACCTGAGCAGCAATGCTGTACTCCTCCATCAGCGGCTCCTACAGAGAGAAACAACAATTACATACTTCTCACTGGAGGATTGTGTTTAAAGTTTTGATATTTGGGTTTGAGACATAATCAACAATCTCATTACATGGGGTGCATGGATAGAGTCAGAAGAAGATGGTTTAGGAGGTGTTAGATAAGGCAGTTAAATCATGTCTAAATAAGGAGAAATAAAGTCAGCTTGAGTCAAAACCAAACTAAGAAAAACTGTTGAGCGGTAAAGCATATAGATGATTGAAAGAAGACAGGGAAGTTAGAGCTTGCGTGAGAAGCTTGTTTAGGTTAGAGCTCATCACCATCAGGTTTAGCTCTAACCTAAACAAGCTTCTCACGCAAGCTCTAACTTCCCTGTCTTCTTTCAATCATCTGTCGTGTTTTGCTTTGTTGGGGCCAGCCAAGCAAACTATGTTGCATGAACAGAGCCTGGGTCGGCTGAGTGTGGCAGTGCTGCATGTTTGTGTTGTGAGATAAAGATGGGCGTTAGCATAAAGGAGAGGTGGCTCAGAATAAGAGTTAACTGATAAGCCTCCTCCTCAAGATGTGATTGGCCTAGTTTCACGACGATAACCTTGGAGATATACGGGCTCTCATTGCCAGTCAGTCCCCATCTGTGAGGGACTGCTATCAAGCGTCATGTGATAAAGTATTAACATGTCAGTAGAGAATGATAGATGATGGGAGGGGTTTGTGCACGGAGTGCTTACTGATTTTATGACAGAACAAGTACCTTGTGTTTTTCCACAAGCTAAGTAGTTATTTATTGAAGATAGACGTGCAAGAGGAAACAAATGAGAAAGCAACTATACTCAGTGATAGAACAATTGTCTACAGTATGATATGGTTCAATTTGATACGATTCGATTTGATATGATACCATTCAATATGATACAATGTGATTCAATACGTTACGATATAATATGATATGAGTACTACAATAGTACCCAGTATCTCTACAACAGTGTCAATGACCTCCACAATAGTCATAATAGATTAAAACACTACAGAAACAACAACAGTCCACAGTCAAACACAGACACACAAACCTCAAACAGCATACTATAATAACACAAATTATCACTAATTTGCACAACTTGACATGGAAAAGAGAGAAATATAAGAACATCTTGACACTATTACAGGATTCATATGGCTTCACACAACATTTGAGCAGCATTTTGATTCATGAAGATTTCATAAACTATAAATAATGATAACTAAAACTCTCTTTCTATTCAAATGCCCTTTTCCCCAAATCTGTTTGCCTGGCTGTGTGCACTGACCTTGGTGAAGTGAAACTGCAGAGGGTCATCTGTGGACAGAGAGACCATGAGGCCTCTGGACAGGTACTCTGGCAGAGGGTTACGATGGTAGCTGAGGAACAGGCTGTTATTGCTAAGAGGTGACATGGCGATACCGATCTGAGCCAGGTAATACAAATACTGCAGCACAGGCGCCTGGAGGGACACAAAGCATATACCATGAATAATCAAACACTGCACTATATCAAAGTCTGAGGGCGATACCGATCTGAGCCAGGTAATACAAATACTGCAGCACAAAGCATATACCATGAATAATCAAACACTGCACTATATCGAAGTCTGAGGGCGGGGTTGGTCTGGCGCCTTTTCCTTTTTATTGTATACATTTCCTCATGAGCTCTTGAAAAACAATCTTTTGTGAATAGGATTCCTAAGGTTGTCACGGTATTGAATAAGAATAACGTTATTATTAAGAATAAGAATAACTTTATTAATCCCCAAAGGGAAATTCAATCGCACCTTTCTGAGCAGCAGTCCGTGAGAGATGTTCTCTGATAGCATGAATCCTGACACCAGGTGATGGATTGGCCCTGCCTCTCCACAGTGAGGGCGTAGCACAAGCGTGTGAAACCCCCGCTGCCTGAGTTAAAAGGACACAGATACTGTAAAGGTGATTGACAGAACAAAGAAGGGCATTACATAATTTTTGCCTTGTCATGTCACACAATGAAGAATTTGTTGTAAAATGGGGCTTACATAAGCTGAGAAAGGTCCAAAAGTCTGTGATTATACAATGTGGTGTTGGAAGAAATTTACATTAAACATTCATATAATCTTAGTGAGGAGCAGTGTCATACCTGCGCAGGTGATTCAGCACAGTCATATTTGCATACATGTAGTAGAGGTAGTATGAATAGGGCGGGTTGTCTTCCTCTGTCCAGTTCACTGGCAGTGGACTGTCCAAATTAAAGATATGTTGTTCTGGTTTTGACTCATCATCCACACTGTCAAAACCCACAACCTGCGAAAGGAACAACAAAGGTGATGATATAAGCTCTGAAGTCTGGCTTCAGGTAAAAATCATAGACGCACATGCCCACAGTACAGTTTTCATACGTGCTGGAGGAAGAGGTGCAGCTCTGGGTGGCTGCCTGGGTTGATTGTGACCTCGAACAGAGGCGTAAAAATATTCTCCAGCATTTCTTGAAAGTTGAACAGCTGTTTCTTTGTGTGGTAGACATCACTGTGGGAGTAAAATAGATCTTACTGTATATTACCTTCTGATTTTGAGAATACTCAGAGGTACAACAGAGGACAGGTCTCTTACCCTGGTGCATAAAAAGTGTCATGACTAATTAAAATGACTATTAAAATAATCTATTTCACTCTAATAAAAAAAATTGAAGTAAAATACTTTAAGTTAACATTTTGGTTCATCAGACTGAATCAAAAAGGAGTTTCAAAATGTAAAATATCATGGTCTAATAGCTCTTCTGCTCTATCATGTAGACTGTTATCATGTACGAACTGTTCCTTTAATTTATTATGCTTTCTTGCTCCATCTATATGTAGGACTTATTTCCAAGTCCATCTTATTAGGTGCATTTTACAATATCTGTAGCAGAGCACCATTTTACAAATATAAGTAGGAGGGAAATTGTGTATTTAATTCTATTATGAATATTAATATCGTAAAATAGATCATTATGTAGTTTTGAAATTGTTTATTGTGGAGCAGGGATAAAACGCTGCTACCAAAATACATCAAGGTTGTTTTATATCCTTGTACTAAAGTAAATATTTTTTCATAATTTCCATCAAAGGTCTCACTCACAATAGTCGAGGCACTTGCACCAGCCAGCGCACATTATTCGAGTAGACATGATGTTTGACGGCCCATTTTGCCAGTTTGTCCCACTCATCTCTGGAGCGTCCGTAGATGGACAGTCTGAGCTCCACGTTCTGGTACTTACTCTCCTCCAGATCAGCCATCACCTCCTGAGATACAACCACACAGACAGTCAGCAGGGGGCGCCACAGGTACACAGAGTCATAATGCAGATATTCTAGTGTGACAATTGACCTTAATGATGTGACCGAAGTATTTCCCCTCAATGTAGTTGTCTGTTTTGATGAAGATCTCTCTTAGGATGGACTCTCCGATGGGATTGTATTTGGCATTGAATTTGTCAAAGCGATGAAAAGTGTTTCGGTCCTGCAAAAAGACATATGACACTTAACTGTGCATTGACAATCCCAGCTGATTTGACTATCTATCGTTTCAATATTGTGGCATTTCACATTTCATTTATCCCTCACAGGTGTTACTCACTGCATGCATGTCCAGGGTGTCCACACTCAGGTCAAAGGCGGTCAGATTCATGCTCTCAAACACCTCCATGAGTGTCTGACCTTTTCCTCTTTCCACATGAACAATCTCTTTGGGGTACTTTTTCATGGCCCTCTTTATAAAACGCAGCAGGTGCTTTTGGTTCATACAGGAGGAGGCGTGTATGTGCGTGTCGACCTGTAGATCAATTCAGGGAAGTTAAATTTGAAGTCTGACTCTGGATTAAAACAAATAACTGTGTTTAGGTGCAGAAGAAGCAGCTGTCTAGTTCACCTTACGGATATTGTAAAAGTCTCGATGTGGGACTTTCTTCTGTGCTGCCAGCTCCTTCATCTCATTCAGGAGGATGTGCATCTGGAACTTTGAGCTAAGATACTGCAGGCGTCGGTAACAGAAGGACTTTCTGTGGCAAAGGGAAACAAAGTAAAGTCATGGGCGCACTGTGACAGTCTGGAAAGACCGAAGAAATCTAGTTGCTAAGCTTTGGTACACTTTGAATACTGGACTGTTGTAAGAAAATAAGGTAAACCTACACCGGTCCGTTGATAATAAGAGCCATCATGACGTTCATATCAGCGATGTACTCCTGCAGGTCTGGATATGGCAGCTCCAGCTCTGTGCTCCTGTTTGCAAATCAAAGCTTGAGCAGAAAACCCTCTGATAAACACAGACCAGCACAGTTAAATATAACACATGCATGCACATAGCGATTCATCACTAATGTCTCACTTCTCCATACTGTTCCTCGTCGTATACACATGCATGACACCATCCACCATCTTGCAGCCGTAACCCATGTCAGGTGGCATGCTGGTAGGGTCCTGGTTCTCATAGGGGTGAGTTTCAGAAACAGGTGGGTGCACTGTGGAATCTGAGAGGAGATAGAATGTGGCACTGTGAAGGCGATGGAAACGAACATGCAGCCAAGGTGTGATGGGAACAGGCTGCCCGTTGTGACAGCAGGTTTAGGGGTGTGTGACAGATGGAGTGTTAAATTATGGGGGTGCCACTTATGTCTTAATGTGAGAGTAAAATACAACTTCCATGCCAATAATACCATAAACTTTCCCCTTGTGGGACGAATAAAGGAGTATCTTAATTTAATAACACAAGATAATTTCAAAAAGCAATCAGGAACCCCGTATAAACACTTTAAATTTTGAGTTTTGTTCATAGTCAGTCAATTCATAGTCAGGTGATAATGACAGAGATGGAGTCGAGGAATCAAATTCTTAAATATGTATATAAATAAATAAATATAAATAAAGGGATATTCCAGTGTAAATCTAAGTTAGGGTTAAACACACCGTAACACAGAGTTAGACACGCACTCAAGAGATGAATATTGCTGACTGCTTGCTTCTCTAGTTATACCAACTTTAGTAACGACTGCATGATAGCAATACACAGCACCCAATGTGTGTACAATGTACTCAGCCACTCTCCTCCAGCAGCTGCTTGTTTGTGGGGGAGCCCTGACGAGTCGATCACTGATTGCAGCGAAAAGTTTATGATTATTACTTCATGAAAATGCAATCAGACCGAGATGCTAAGGCAGAAGAACTACTGTGACTGCAGTGCACATACAAGATACACAACAACTCTGATTGCATTTCCATGAAGTAATCATAAATTTGCCCCTGTACTCGGTGATCGACTCGTCAGGGCTCCCCCACAAACTCTCTGGAGGAGAGCGGGTGAGTTGTGTTTGGTCGCTTTGCTATAGAAACAAGGCAAAGCTAAAAAGATATTTGACGGCTAGTACTATGGTTGGGACCCAATATTTACTGTTGATGAAGTTAGGTGCTGTTCTGAGCATTATTTGTAGCTATAGAGTGACCTTGCTGGTTAAAGTTTGCGTGTGGAGGTGTAGACTGCTGTGTATTGCTATCCTGCGGTCGTTATTAAAGTTGGTATAACTAGAGAAGCAAGCAGTCAGCAATATTCATCTCTCGAGGGGGTGTCTAGCTTGGTGTTATGCTGTGTTTGACCCTAGCTTAATTTTATGCCGGAATATCCCTTTAATATAAGTAAATCTGAGGAAAATTTGAGCTATTTTGCTTGATTTAATGTTTTAATAATTTGGCATCGATCAGTTGTCACATTTTTTCCAAAAATAAGTTTGCATGGGTTTAATCTTTTTGCTTCACAAGTTTGCAGGTGTGTGGTCAAGACAATGATGTGATATTCATGTGGTGCAGAAGTACACATGTTTAGTACCAGCAGACGCAGGGATTTCTGAGATCTCCTCCTCCTCGAAGATTTCAAGGTCAAGAGGTCTCTCACTCAGCTCCTGCAGGTACCGAGCAGTGGTTCTGCAGAAACTCTGCAGCGACAGACCCATATACTTCTGTCTGATGAACAGAGCCTTCACCACACATTTAGCCGCGTCCAGAAGATCTGTGAAAGGGACCTGATGGAGGAACAAAAGAATCCAAAGAAAGAAGACAGACACAAAAGAAAGAGAGAGGAGGTGTTATTTCATGGTGAGAAACATGACACATGAAATTCTTTGCCAACAGATTCTACTGAGAAAGGCTTTTACTTTGCTCTTCTACTGCCTCTGACTTACTCCACATTTTTCCTCCCCAGATATGGTGACCCTCTGGTACTCTCTCTCTGGAACCAGCTCTCTCTCCTGCAGCTCCGGGACTTGACTCTGCTCCTTCATGTATCTAAAACAGATGAACAAATGCCTCACATCATTGTCTATCCTTGCAGCTTAAAAGCATAATAACTCCACTGTTTCTTATTGCGCTTACTCCAAATCTGTGGCGCTGTCAGTCTTCATGAACTCCTGCTTGGCTCGGAGGAGGATGTCGGGTTCAAACCTGAGCACAGAGAGACTGAGTTCACTTATGGATCAACATTATCAGCTTCTTAATATTAACTCCTATCTCTGTTTTTCTATATCAGCACTTACTTAACATCCTGGCTGATCTGTCGCTCGAGGCGGTGGCGTCTCTCCTCCAGCTGTTCAATGGGACTGTCCTCGGGAAATTCATAAGGCGCACTGCGCATCTCACTTTCTGCGAGTGTGCGGGAGAAAAGCTCCTTCAGAAGAAGACAAAAAAGTGAGCAACAATACGAAAATCTACTCAGCAAGAAAGATCAAACTGAATGTGAAAGCAGCTGCTAAATCACAGTTTCACCTCCGCTATCTCCTTGTACTTCCCATCCATGGATGTTCGCAGGTCAATGGATTGTTTCAAGGCCACAGGGATCCCAGGCAAAGAATGCTGGGTAGTGAGGAGGTGGCGTGCACCACGAAGATCAACTGGAGATAAAAAGAGAGAGAGAAAGAGCGAGAAGTTAGAAAAAAATATATCAACCCTGCAAAAACTGAAAGATATGATGTAAAATATACTTAGTTTTGATTTTAAAAGCAAGATACATCAACGCCTCAGAGCGACAGTGACTCTTTTCAGCTCAAGGGAAAGATAACTTAATTTAGCCGCCAACAGCTGCATCCCATTAACTGTCAATGAGCTTATCAAACTTGGTAAAAATAGCAAATGTCTGCTCATTTTACTCTGCATAGAGAAGTAGGCATGAAAAACACACGAATGAGAGAAATAAGCTCATTTAGAGTACTGCATCTGTACAAGTCTTTCAGCATATCATTAATTCACAGAAACCAGAACAGTCTGCAGAAGCTTGTTGTCCCTGCATCAGTGGGTCTTAGCTCAGCGACTGTTTGTGCGCCCAGACACAATGGTGCATTTAGGTGGAGAGCCCATCAGCACACACCGGCTAATACCCTCCATTGTTGCCATCCCAAGACTCAAGTTTTATACAAACCCAGTTGTCATGGAGAGAGGAGGAGGAGAAATGAAAGGGGAATGGTGGAAAAAGACTGCAGATGAGGACGAGTGTGAGTGGAAGCTTGTAGTCATGATTTTGAACATTTATGGTGGAAACAGAAACAACGGCTTCAATGCTGTGTGTCTCCCCTGGGTGTAAATTTAGCAGCCTACCTGCAATGATATTAATCTTTCCCCCGAAACTACACACCTGCCACTGAAAAATTCATCATCCTGCTGAATATTTCATCCTGTGAACACCAGAGTGTCAGCCGGCCTGTTGTCTGTCAGTATTTATAGACCATACGCACAGAACGGTCAAAGAGGGCAAACCAAGTGGTACATGCAGCCTGTGCTCTCTTTGTAGTGTTGAGCCCAATCTAGATGAAACCTGATTTACGAAACAGACCATGACTTCTTCTGTCCACTCAACAGGAGCAGAAGAGGAGACAAGAGAGGCCAATTAGCTGAGCCGATAAGAAGTCCACAAACAGCTTCATTGAAACGTACAAAGCACTTCGTGAGGCACAAAAACGCACAAAATACTCTTTCTATAAAGAGAGATGAGGGGATGTGTGGCCATGTGTTTATCGCCTTCTGTCCAATCAACACATCCCACTCAGCACAGAGAAGTTTGCCTGCACCTCGTGGAGCAACATTAAAATAAACACACTGGGGAACATGTATCTTGGTCTAAAATACTTGGTGGTCTAGCTTTATGCAAAGATGAAGTGCAGCAAGAATCACAAAAGAAGAGTAATATTTAAAAAGGAATCAATACACTCTAATTATACCTATTTACTCATTTTTTCAACAGATAAATACTCCTAATTGGTCTAAACCCTTTGACAACTGTTTTTGCTTACTTTTCTCGCTGTTACATCAAGGTTAATGTTGGCAAGTTAGTTTACTTGAATAAAAACTCAGAGTAGATTTTTTTTTTCCAAGCAGAAGTTGGACAAACTTGATATGTAGGAGTATTGCACCATGTCCGAGAAGAATCACCAATATGCATTTTGTTAAACATGTTTCAGAGATACTTAAAATGACCTTAATGCATAAAATCATAGCTCCTTAAAACACAGACCCAAAACTGAAAAAGAATTCATGAAATAAAAAATTTGTTAGAGAAATCTGGTGTTTGCTAATTCTTATTTTAAACATCAGTATCAGCCTGAAGTGGACAAAACACAGCACAATGTCAACTTCAAGAAAAAAGAAACATCAGACTAATCAGACTAATTAAAGTAATTGTTGCCATGTTAGCCAAATTTTTAATTTCTACAATAATATGTGTCATTTGCAAATATCTTGGAAGAATCTATACTGGACACATACAGTAAATGAAGTAAATAAGTCCTCACTTGGTTGGGCATTAACCAATAAAAATACATCACATGCTGTGAGACCAAATCGTCCTCTGGTCTCTCCTACAAAGTTAAGCTACAGTTAGACGCTGATGGGAAGGAGCACATCTGTGTAATGTAATGGCAGGCAAAGATGTAATCTCTGCTGCTCTTTGGAGGCATATCATTTCACGGTGATAACAGCAGACACTGGTGTGGAGGGCAGGGGGAGGTGACCAGCGGCAAAGACACCCATGCTGGGCCACTGTAAAGCCGAGCCTAGCCAAGCCTGCCGGGCCTGGAGCTAATCCCCTAATGGCAGCTATATTTGGATCAGTAGCATCTATGGTTACGCAACAACTCATCTCTCCCCACCGTTGAGAACAAACCACTCAGAAAATAAAGTCGGCCATGTTTCACTCGAACATAACCCAGTTGGCTTAAGCCCTTATTGATCCAATTGAAGTAGCAGAGGAGCAACATCAATTACAAAGTGTCTAAAAAGAAAACGTGTTGAAACAGATACAAACTTTAGATCGAGGTTAAATGTATCAGTTAGCCGAGAGACTTCCACTGCATGCATATTTCAGCAGACCTCAACTCCAGTCCAACTCAAACCGGATCGTGCGAAAAATAGGAAAGGTCCGTAGGGATGAGATCACAAGCGAAAAGTCATCTGAAGCCTATAGACCACGGAAGGGTCAGAGGTCAAGAGACATCCTGTGAAACTTAATCCTCAGTACTGCTTGTTTTTTCGTCTCGCCTTTGTCCCTCCTGACCGAGTCTCATAATGTTAGCATAATTCTGCATGTTTACACTCCATTATCAAGTAAATCCCCTTTTTTACCCCTCCTCTTCCTCTCTTTTTTCTATCATCAGGGATGCCACGCATCATCCAACTGCTCCCATTGACTGTGCAGATTAGGTATTCAGCCCACAGGGAATGCCAGTGACTCACAGTGCGAACCAAACTTATGAACAACTCATGCAGACATGTGTCAGTGCAGCTGAAAAGCCGGTCTTTCCTGAAACCTGGTGGTCTTTAAAAAAACTTTTAAAGACTCAGGCCATACTTCTAATCCTGCAAAAACATTCTGCACACACATATCGCAAACTGTGTCACCAGTGCGAGCCAAGCGAACACCACAATGATTTCATTTATTGAAACAATTAATCCACAAATTCATTTACATTCAATCTCAGATCAGCATAAAACATAGGGAGATTTTCTATAAACCAGTTTCCTGTATCTTAGCAACACCTCCAGTTTAGCTACAACTTCTTTGCAATAGAATTATCAAGGTTCAACACAATCCTACTGATCATGCAGCTACAACCAAGACAACCATGAAGTCAACATCACAAAATTCAGCATCCCAAATGTCCCAGCTGTTTTTCTTTTCACTTTCCAGTGACAAAAATTAGATCTGGCAGCTCAGCGTCACATAGCAAGTCCTATGTCCAGGAGTCACAGACACATGCTTGCAGCAGGATTTAACAAGTCCCTTGCCCCTCTCAGGGATGCCTTCTTTTCTGGCATCTCTCTCTCTCCAGCTCTGCATCAAACAGCTGATGTCTCCATGGATGTGGAGTCAAACTCCCTCTCCTGTCAGAGATGTTTTAGTTTCTGCAGCTGCATGACCCGTGTGTCTGCAAGTCCATGTATGTATTTTTGAAAATGATTGCCTGGTTCTCTTCAGCAGCTGTCAGCCTTCTCACTTGAACCATTAGAAAAGAAATGCCAGAACAACAAAGAAAGATGCCCACTGGTCTTGTAAACAACCCTTTGATCCAGTCCCACAGCTACAGCTGCAGTCAGCACAATTTATTGACTTGTGTGCACAGTTGCACCTTTACAGCATTTCCAAAACACATGAGAAAGCTAGTTTGTGGGATGATCAATCAGCACACATTCTCCTCTGCACTACAGACAGTACAGCTCAGGGCTACTGTATAAAACCGTCAAGGGACAGGCAGAGAGTGGCAGTGAGTGTGAAAGAGAGAGAGGGAAAAATAAGGGGGAGGGTTAGGGAGAGGAGAAGAGAGCGTTGTTTGTGCTTTTGCACAGGATGGGGGTAGTAGAGCGTACCTGTCTCCTCAGAGCCTGTGTTAACCAGCAGCTAGCAGGGTGAAGAGAGAAAGGAAAGACACAGAGGGAGAGAGAGAGAGAGAGAGAGAGAGAGAGAGAGAGAGCGGCTGTCCTGGCGGGGAGATGGAGCATGCCCAACAGCAAACAGCCCAGGATGGCATCTGCTGTCCTTTCAAAATGGGTTTAACACCGGAGGAGCGAGGAATGAAGAGAAACAAGAAACACTCACAGTCTCATGACACAACTGGCTAACACACGCACTTACACTGAGAGATAAAAGCTGTCAGAGTCACCTCCTCTATTCTTTGTATTCTGTCCCTGTCATACATACAAAGAGCAGGTCCAGCAGATCCATGAACTCCCCCTCACATCCCAGTGTGTGTGACCCCCCTCTGCTCTCTTCAGGCCAGCTGTCGCTGCACTCGCTGCCTCTGGAGCTGATCCTCCTCATTTAAATGCCTCTGACATCTATCTGGGATGTACCACAGGAGGGACAGGAGGCGGGGGGGACACAACCTACATCATCAGTAGAAGTGTGGTCACCCGCAGTGAGTCCCGCTAATAACTCCCCCCTCTCTCGTACTTTATCCTCCGCGCTGTGTTTTGCTGAGGAGACCATGTGTTTGGGATGTTTGTGTCGTCTGTGTGTATGCGTGAGAATAAAACCGTGCTGTCTCAGCTGTATAGTATGAGATGTCTGTTTTCTTGCCTGCTGAATAGCGGTAATCTGACTGTCTAATAAATGAGCCCCTGCTTCCATTTCCCCTCACGTGAATAAAATTAAAGGGCCAGCACGTTGTCCCCATTAAGGTTGCAGCAGGGATTTCTGGAACATGCTTTCTCAGGCTATAAACACAGAACTGTGTGTGCAAAACATGATGTCATAGCACATTAATAATTTGCAAACTGATGCAATTTGATTCCAAAGAGTGATAAATGGTAAATGATGGAGAAATCCTTGAGTGTCTGCAGTGTCAAAATCACATCTCTCCTCTCACTGCACTTTTTCACTGCATGTAAATTTACTTTAAAATACAATGACTGCAAGGTTGGCTTGCAAAAAAAGAAAGAATGAAGGAATTAAGAAATCTGTGTGGTCTATTGAGCCTATCAGAAAGTGTTAGAAGCCATGCTGACTGATTGTGCTGTTAGCCAAGACTTAAGAAATCCCATGAACGTGTGAAAGAAGCTTTTAAGGACTGTAAACGTCAGTGTGTGTTAGGTATTTGTGTGACATATCTTATCTTCTCTTGCCCAACACTATCAATAGTTCAACTCAGGCTGTCTAACTGTAACTTGGAACTCAAGGATGAATGACATTTTTCACCTTTACCTCCGATTTTGACATTTTTTATAAAAAGATCAGACTGGTCAATCTCTCCCCCCGCTTTCTGGCTTCACTTTCCTGTCTGTGGCACTCAGGGGTTCTCACTGAAGATACTAAATTTCAAAAGTATGTTAAATAACACAATAATAAAAATATTTCCTACAACAACTGAAAACTATTACTTTGCAAATGTGATTAAAAAGGAGGTTAATAGTGAATTTTTATGGGTATTAATGCATGTCATACTGGCAGACAGGTGCATGTGTAGTCAAATGAAAATAAACTACAACCAAGATGTCCATAATGATGTATTTCATCAAGAGACATAAAGTGTCTCGCCAGTGTAATTTCAATGTGTTATTGTGCAACAAGGGGATTCTGTCAGCTATAAATAGGAATTGGCTATGTAAGTTTAATACACAATTCAGTAGTCAGCTTTGTTTCTCTGATGTTCATGTCTTTAATCTGTTGCCATCATCTTTTATTGAATACATAATGTGCATCGGTCTATTCAAGGCCTGTGAGCGTTCCAGCTGAATTTACATAAAACATACAGTATGGAAATATGTACTACTTGATATCCTGAAATTGTGTTCAAGTGTTTATAAATGGGTGGCTTACAACATCCCAACAACCAGTACATCATGAATGGCAAATAAAATACATTACCTTCTATTATCAAGCTTATAGTAGAGCTGCACCTTAACCAGAGTAATCCAGTTCAGAGAGAGCTGCTGCTGACAGACTGAACAGAAAAACCTCAGGCACTGCAGTGTCGTACGCGATCGGACAACAGGCACATTACTGCTCAGCCTTTCGAGGTTAAATCATTGTGTCTATGTTTTCAATCCACTGAAAGCCAAAATTGCTTTCAAGAGGGCTAATCAAATTATTGTGGCCCCAGGAGAGGCTCAGCAAACAAGATTGCTGTTCATAGACCTGACTGGTCTGCTGTATTTACTCTGACCGTGCTCCCTCTAATGGTCAAATGTATGACACACAAACTAATGCAATCTAATCACAGAGGAAGACCTTCAATCAAATGAGAAATTAAAGCCCTGATGCTGAAAACAGATTAAAGCCCCAACCTCCAAAGAGAAGTGAGTAAAATTGTGCCATAAAAAAAATCACAATTCAAAACGGCGTTGTAAAGATAAAGCATTTAAAATTTAGACTACTTATAAAGTACATCAAAGAAAAGGATATATTTCTGTCATTTTAGTTATTTAAATTGTTATATAGAAATGTGTATTGTTGCAACTGATGCAAAATATGTAACTGTTCTTTTTAGATCTTGCAGCTGGACCAAGCCAGAGCTAAATTATGTATTCAAAGAGCTGATCAAGTTGGATATCAAATTTTCAAATAAATAGTTGAGCTCTATTTTACAACATGATGACAAATTTTGTAGGCATGTTTTTAGGGCTACAAGTGGTATTTCAGTTATCACTTAAAACAACATTTAATCTCAGACGTAACAATCTGCAGTTTGCTTTCTTCTGGCCAACACTCTGAATAGCTTCACAAAGCTGTGACAAATTTATGAGGCTAGTCTTCACATGTAAAGCCATAGACAGTTAATACCTTCCATCTTTACTTTCAAGAAAAATGAAAGATTATTTTTTAGTTTTTAATTTTTTTTTTGTCTTGACTTATTGGTTTATCAGTCTGTTTCAGCTTCAAACAATCAATCTGTGGTGCAGCTATAGTGATTAGCCATACAATGAATGTGATGGAGGAAAAAGTTTAACAGTTTCCTTATTAATGTGGTGTAAAGGGTGTTAAATTAGCATTAAAGTTAAAGTGTAAACCCCTTAACACTCAGCTTAGGAAAAGCTGTTCAGTCGTCGTGTGAAAATACTCTTAAATTTACATACACTGTACCTTTTCAACAAGTCTCTGGCTTACCACAGGTCGCAATGTTGCAAAGACAGTTCTGCACCAGGTGTTCTCTGTATCTACTGCATCCCTTTACCATTAAGAAGGAGCAATATTGCAACAGAGAGGGGGCCCCACCCACAGGGCACAAGTCCAACAGACCTCTGACGGGGCAGATGTTGGTCAATATGACTAACAGAGGAATAGACAGGTCGTGGTGTTGAGACACACATGGGCTGAGAGTTATCACAGGTTGGTGTGTTGGGGTGGGACTCCCAGGACTTTGTCAATCATTAATTACATTTTAGGAGCCTTCCCATGTAATGACTGTAAATCAGTTCATGAAACAGTTGATGACATGTGTTGAGTGTGCAGAGATGTCAAGGTGTGACCCAACTAAAAAGGGTGCAAACAGCATGTGGGCGAAGTTCAGTGAGTTCAAAGGTGAGTTATCACTGGTCTGCTTAAATTATTACTTAAATCAGGGGCCTGACAGCAGTGAATCATAGCTGTTTGATGTTTAGTTTAACTGGACTATTTATTTCCTGCAGGGGTTAAAAGTAATGCCTTACCTCTATGAAACTGTGTTTCTGAAAAAAATATTGCTCGTTTCACCTCCCTACATTTCTCTGAGAGACATAATCAGCTGTTTATTACTCTGCAAATTGGTTTCCAAAAGACCTTGAGTTCACATGAGTCATAGCTGTTATTCCTTTATTTATTACAACATCTGTAGTACGTATTAAACGTAGACTTAGTTTCTAAAGCCCCACAACGGTTGGAGCTGCACTGGAACTACTATCCAACTAACTTTTGGTTTATTTAGACATAAGTGGAGAGACTGAATAAATGCCGGAGCTGAGTATCCTAGCTAACAGCAGCAGCATGACCATCTATCACTTAAATCAGCATTGCCCATGATTATGTATAAGTTCAGGTTCCTGTTAAGAACCACTGACAGTATCAATTTTGGCATCCCCTGAAGACAAAGCAGTCTTTGCTCATCTTATCCTCCACATGCCTAAGTAGTGTCATTTAGGAAAAGGTCCTCTCCAGCTGGCTTCAGACAGTCAAGTTTATCAATTTATTCAAATATTCAGTGTGGAAAATGCTAAAATAGGGCTGTGTCTTCAGCTGCTTGGCTAACACCTAACCCCTTACCAGTTTCAGGCATTAAAAGTTATAGCAAAACACTATCAGTCTTATCACTAATGGTTTTGTTGACTATTCTAAATCATAAAAAAACATCAATAATAATTTCAGTCTATCAAATAAACATTTAAAAAACTCCTAACAGGAGCTTTAATCTAATTAAAAACAAATGAGTTTTGAAATTTTACACCCTTTATAGTTCTTACATATAAGGAATAAAGTACAAAACCCAGTGCCATTAAAGTTGGGAAATAGTGATAAATGTAAATAAAAACAGAATACAATGATTTGCAAATCCTTTTCAACCTATATTCAATTGAATACACTACAAAGACAAGATATTTAATGTTCAGACTCATAAACTTTATTTTTTTGTGTGCAAATAATCATGTGACAAAGAAGTTGGGAAAGGTGGCCAAAAATGATGTTCCAAACTCCTATTTGGAACATCCACAGGTGAGCAGGCTAATTGAGAACAGCTGGGTGCCATGATTGGGTATAAAAGCAGCTTCCCCAAAAATTCTCAGTCATTCAAAAGCAAGGATGGGGCGAGGTTCACCACTTTGTGAACAACTGCGTGAGCAAATAGTCAAACAGTTTAAGAACAACGTTTCTCTAACTACAATTGCAAGGAATTTAGGGATTTCAACATCTACGGTCCATAATATCATCAAAAGGTTCAGAGAATCTGGAGAAATCACTGCACGTTAGCGGCACAGCCGGAAACCAACAGTGAATGACCATGACCTTCGATACCTCAGGCGGCACTGTATCAAAAACCGACATCAATGTGTAAATGATATCACCACATGGGCTAAAGAACACTTCAGAAAACCACTGTCAGTAAATACAGTTCGTCGCTACATCTGTAAGTGCAAGTTAAAACTATACTATGCAAAGTGAAAGCCATTTATCAACAACATCCAGAAACGCCGCCAGCTTCTCTGGGCCCCGAGCTCATCTAAGATGGACTGATGCAAAGTGGAAAAGTGTTCTGTGGTCTGACTAGTCCACATTTCAAATGGTTTTTGGAAATAGTGGACTTCGTGTTCTCTGGGCCACAGAGGAAAAGAACCATGCAGACTGTTATCGACGCTAAGTTCAAAAGCCAGCATCTGTGATGGTATGGGGGTGCATTAGTGCCCAAAGCATGGGTAACTTACACATCTGTGAAGGCAACATTAATGCTGAAAGGTACATTCAGGTTTTGGAGCAACATATGCTGCCATCCAAGCAACGTCTTTTTCATGGACACCCCTGCTTATTCCAGCAAGACAATGCCAAGCCACATTCTGCACGTGTTACAACAGCGTGGCTTCGTAGTAAAAGAGTGCGGGTACTCAGCTGGTCTGCCTGCAGTCCAGGCCTGTCTCCCATTGAAAATGTGTAGCGCATTATGAAGCATAAAATACGACAACGGAGACCCTGGGCTGTTGAACAACTGAAGCTGTACATCAAACAAGAATGGGAAAGAATTCCACCTTCAAAGCTTCAACCATTAGTCTCCTCAGTTCCCAAACGTTTATTGAGTGTTGTTAAAAGGAAAGGTGATGTAACACAGTGGTAAACATGCCCCTGTCCCAACTAGTTTGGCATGTGTTACAGCCATGAAATTCTGAGTTAATTATTATTTGCAAAAAAAAAAAAAAAGTTTATGAGTTTGAACATTAAATGTCTTGTCTTTGTAGTGTATTCAATTAATTATAGGTTGAAAAGCATTTGCAAATCTATAATATGTAATAATATATAATATGGAAAAGATCACTGTGATGCTTCAGATGAAGTACGACACATTTCTAAAAAACTGGGCCCCACTGATACATTACCTTAAGCTTTCTACATGAGGGTAAACGTATGAGCTATGCTAATACTGAGCAAGATGAAGTTGTAAACCCCTAATTCGAAGCCTGCCCCATGTGTATTCCCATTCAATGTATCAATTTACTTAATATGTTTGCCGTGTTTTTTTTTTTTGTTCTTTTTTTTTGTTCTGTGTCGATGTTCTATGTTCTTATTATTTTACTCTGGTTTGTTTGCTTGCTGAGAGATGTCTTATACTTTGTAATTGTATTGCAACATAATGGCAAATAAACACCTTTGTTCAAAAAAAAAAAAAAGAAAAGCATTTGCAAATCATTGTATTCTGTTTTTATTTACGTTTATCACAATTTCCCAACTTCAATGGAATTGGGTTTTATATAAAGACTGTAACCTTTTTCATCAGGCTGTATATAATTGAATTTCCCTTAGGGGAAAAATCTAATTATTTTTATTCTTATTTATTTTTGCTTATTTGCTTATTTATAAAAACTGACATATTAGAAGAGGTTTCAGTGAGTTTGCTCTGAACTTTTGCAGCCAGTATCAAGTGGACACTCGTGCAATTAGTTTCTTGCATGTTGGCATTGCCATCATTTTTCAGCAACTTCACCACTTCATGACATGACATGCATTGATAATAATGACCATGCAATATGTTACTGTCACATTACACTAATAGGACAAAATGAGCAAAGACAGAAGAGGTACAACAGTGGTGGCGAGGGGTTCCAAAATCAACACAAAGCTAAAGGTCATAACAGGAACTTCTTCTCCTTGATTTGGTTGTCCATTTTTATCAAGTATACCAATATGACCTATTGACCAAGTGTTCCTGTGAAAAATGCAGTTTTGCCCTACTTACAGCAAAAAGTCTATATCAGTATGTCAGAACCTGCTTCTACATCGTCTCTCTTATTTACTCTGATTTCTATTGTTCAGTCTGTAAAGAATAGCATAGGCACAGGGCAGGCTAAATGGTGAGTGGGTGGTCTCAGAACTACCTTTTCACAGCCAGAGAAATGATTCATGCTCTGCTGAGTTCTCTCTACAAACCCTACAATAATGTGCTAAATCTGGACAATGCTGTGCCACAGCTCCTCACACTTATGTACAACAGAGCAAAAGTCTGTCTGACTGTCGTGGAGCAGCACATAATGTGTGTAAAGAGGTTTATAAGGTACAGAGAAGGCTAAGCCATGAGTGACTCAAATCAGTTCGAGCTTATTAGATAGTGCTGTATCATTCAACATTTCTTCCTCTCTGCTGTGCTGATGGGTCTGCAGAAACCTCATTAGACTGAATTTAAAGGTTAGGTTTCTTATTAAAATAATCTAATAAGCTAAGCTCCTCTAGCATGCTTAGTGTCAATTAAGCTAATCGTTAACCAGACGAGTGAAATCTAAATGTCAAACAAATAGTTTATGGCCCTATTATAGATGGCTTCATTAGATTTGAGGAGAGCAATGTCGCAATGCCACAAGCAATCGCTCATTCAGCTCTCCTCATCTCCTACCATCGAGTGATCATGTATCTGCTGCCGTCTCCACATCACATACAGAACTGTTTACATGGACTGTACTATACAGTGGGCTACAAGATGGATTAATGCCCTTTTGAAAAACAAACAAAAAAAGATGAGTCACCTAAATGTCATCTTTGCTTACTCAGAAGGTTCCCTTGGATGCTTGAACAGCATCAAATGTGAATAATGATATGCCTCTGCAGAGATTGTGCAGACTGCCTCTCCAACAGCCCTATGACTGAAAACAGAGAAATGTCTTCATTGAATATTAAAGCAAAGCCTGCTTCTTATTATTCTTGCAGCTTCCCCTGGTACCCAGAGCAGTTTTTGTAACAGCTACACGAGCCGTAAATGAGGGTAATAATCACAGGGAGCATCCTGATGAGAGGGTTGGGTGGGTGAATCACATGTTGTCAGGGTTCAACTGAAGATGTGACAGTCATGGTGCGGTCACAGCATGTTCATTTCCCTGTGCATCATGACCTGGGTAAGGCTTTAAAGATACAGCAGATATTCTGGGCAATATTTCTGTGTATTTCATAAATCTAATATTTTCAAAAACGTGCAAATAGGGGGAAATAAAATAATCTACTTCTCATACACATTTTAAAATGCCATGAAATATCTGCTTGCCATAGGTGCAATCATATTTGTCTCATATCAGGACATAAATAATACAACTCTGAGTGTTTTTATTTTTTCAGAGGGGAGGGGGAGAATTTTTCTCACCACTTTTGCATATTTTTTCACCTTATAGATGGCATAATGAGTGGACATTAATGGTCACATTCTGCATTATATGATCATCAACATTTGCAAGTTATCTCTACAAACTCAACATGCATCTTTAACATTTTAGAGAAAGTGTGCACAGATTGAATGAAGGGCCAGGAGGGAGGCTGGCATTTCGTTCATATGGACATTACACACTCTTTGTAGTTTGGATGAAAGGCTGATCGAAGTGTGCATTCATCATAGTACAGGCTAATCCCCTCATTCAGCTGGGGATCATGTTGTGAGGTACCAACCTACTACAATATTCACTCCATGCCAAACACAGCCATCAGGCAAGTGGAAAACACAGCAAACAAGCGCCACATTGCTGTTCTTCAGAGACATGCTATAGGAATGAGGCAAAATGCATTATGTCACTTGATATGATTTCTTTTGACAGGATCATATGAGAGTAAGATCTACATATCATAAAGTCTGAATGTTCCTCTTATGGAAAAAGTCCTGTTCAGCATTTCAGAATTCAGGATGGGCTGTAAACTGCAGTTTGTCAGTGAGGGTCAATGTAAATCTAAACATTGTATGTATGCAAATGTGTCATTAAAAAAAGCCTGAGATTGAGGGCTGACAGGACAAAACTGTCCACATGCAGAGAGCATCCTCTTTAATCAACAGGTTCCCACAATATCCACAAACTACAAGCATGAAGTTGAAGTGATACGCCCTGTGCCTTCTTCTCAAAAAACAAACAAAAAACCTTAATGAAATATGGTTCAAAATGTAGGCTTGTCATTTCAAATGTCTGAATTCAACTAAAATACATCATTCACAACCTTAAGATCCCGGGTTCAGTAAGCAGTCCCCGTTTGGATGCAAAACAAACCACTCTCACACTCCGCAGTCCACTCACCTGTGCTGGCTGTGTACTGTAGGCTGCCCCGTTTCCTGAAAGGCGACAGGGGTTTGCCTTTGGCCCCCGCTGCGGTCCCGGGGGGCAGGTTGGAGGACATGATTCTGGGTTGTGTGGTTCGGCTTAATGCGGATTGGAAAAATAAGCACTGAATGAGTCAGAGCTGCGGAGGACGGAGAGCCACGGAGTGAGAGAGCACGAGGAGGAGGAGGAGCTGAGGATGGAGAGCAGAGATGGAGCACAGATGCTGGGAGCTTGCGGGTGCTTGACTGCAGTCTGCGCACGTTTATGTTGGCTTTGTATGTGTGCGTATATATGCTACTGCTACGTGCCTATGCGCAGGGATTTCCACAGTAGTTGGTCCGGCGTGGGGCTGCGGAGCATCCCTCTGCAGCGAAACAGGTCCCTCCCACATCCGGAAGAATCCTGTGCATGAGTTGCAGCACTTGTGTGTGTGTGTGTGTGTGTGTGTGTGTGTGTGTGTGTGTGTGTGTGTGTGTGTGTGTGTGTGTGTGGGGGGTGGGGGGTGATGGAGAGGCACGGCTGCCCCCCCTGCGACACACAAACTCACACCCAAAAGAGGATACTGTGCGCAGTCCTGCTGTTGCCGTGGCAACCACAAATCTCTATGAGGGCTAACCGGTGGGGTGAAAAGTTGTAGTACGCTTACAGTAGCCTAGAGTAAACAAAAGAACTTACATACTTAACTTGATGGTAAAAAAAGAAATAAAAGCGAATGAAACACACCATATAGTCATAATTGTTCACAAACTCAGTTAAAAACCTGTAGCAAAGTGAGTAGGCCTATTAGAATAGGCTAGTTTTATGCTAGCTAGAGAATCTTATCTTTGCCACTTTGACAGTAAAACACTTCCACACAACCCAGACAGGAAAATCACAATAGGCCCATAAAATGGTCGGCAATGAAATAACAACAACAACAATAGTCATAATAATAATAATAATAATAATAATAATAATAATAATAATAATAAGAAGAAGAAGAAGAAGAAGAAGAAGAAGAAGAAGAAGAAGAAGAAAAAGAACACTGGGTAAAGTCGTTATTGTGTGTATTGTTCTGTTTGTGGCCTGACTATATAAGACGAGGCTATAGCCGGGCCTATTCTAACCCTAAAAAAAATCTATATAACATTGTCACTGTCATAATAATAAGAATGTCTGTGTTTATACTCACTGATTGTTTTAATACTTCTACTCTGTCATTTTAGGCTGTGTATGGGAAGTAGTCCAATTGAATACTGTACCAGGCTGGATAATGTTGATGGAGCCATAATTTTTTGACCCACATTTTAATTTTTGAAAATCACCACATTTATGATCTTAATATAGAATCATTTTTTGCTTTAATAGTCCCAAATTTGAAAACAAGTTGACCATTACATAAATAGAAGTTGTGCAACAGCTTAGAATCTAATTGTCTTGGGTAACTGGATTATCAAACAATCATTTCAAGTCTTATTTTGCATCCAAAAATACACTCAACAATCACCCTTGTGTTCCACTTCTTCTGCAGGCCTTGTAATCTTTTCTTAAATTCATGGATAGACACAATTATTTTAATATGAGAATAATCATTCAGAGAACATGGTAGTTTGTGGGTTGTCTCAAGGGGTTAAAATCATAAAGTGAATCAGAAGGGGGGGCTTGAGTGTCCTGCATTTTACTTAAGGACAAAAACATTTAATTTGCAACATTTGCAAGCTTCAAACCAAAAACATTGAGACATATTCAGGCTTCAAATAAAGGGGTATGTTTACTGGGGAGCCAGTGCCCTCTTGTGGTTTTGCCGCAGTCCTATCCATTAATGATACGGTAGTCATTACCAATAGAGTATTGCGTTTAAATATAAACATTTACAACACTTACGTTATCAATATTTTTATTATTATTTTATAAAACAAACTGTATAAAGCTTCATAAATACATACCATTCCACATATTAGAACAGAAATGAAGGGTTGTGTTACTAAACAGTCTTGTTCCAAAAACAGACCATTATGTAATCTTCCTTAGGCATTTCTCCCATATGAATAAAGAAAGATGCAAGGATGCTTTGCTACAGACCCGTTTTGTTCCAACTTGTTTGAAACATATCTTTATTTATTATGAACATAGTGTCAATAAATACGCACTATAGGGCCAGGATGGATTAGGAATAATTTCACCATGTTGTCTCTGGTCTCCTTAAAGAGGAGAATAATTGTGTTTGTTTTGATGTTTGCTAAAAAATTCAAGATAAATGCCATTCAGTATACTCAATTTACTATATTATGATTACCTTTATTTTGATTTATTAATCTGAAATCCCATCCAAAACAGAAAATATGTATTGTAATGTGACACATTGGTAATGATTTGCACTGGAAATAACAATGATTACACCATGTTTATAGATTTGTTCTGCATTGCACATTCCAGAGGAAATGTTGATCCAGCAAAAGTAATTGTTAAATTAATCATTCAACATAAAAAATATATATGGATAAATCCCATTTTGACCAAACAAATTGCATTGGTTTGGTCTGGTCAATTCATCAGAGCTTTAATAAAGTTTCTTCAATCCCCTGAAATAAATTAATCATTATCTCCACATCAATGAGACAGAGATCAGTGTTTCTTGAGATGTTCTCACCACAGATTCACCTTGAAACAGTCTCAGGGGTAGGTGGGACATTTTTCCTTAAGATAGTCAAGGGATTAATGTTACAGAAACTGAACCCTGTTATTCAAATACAGTGTTATCATGGAGGCAAATACAACAGGGCTGTGAGGAGGACCTCTATTGTATCAGCAGGGAACAACAGATTGTACATTTAAAACAGAGAGAGTATGCAGATTTTAAAAGAACTGTTACTGAATCCAGAGATTGTGATTTTTTTGCAGGTTGAGCCCAAAGATGAGTAGTGATTTCAATGTGATAATCTCTCTCCCTCCAAGGACATCTTTGGTGTAGGTGGAGATATGGAACCTGTTTACGACAGATGAAGTGTATCTATATCACAAAGCTGCAGAGCAGTGAGCAGATGAATGGGGATTAAAAGCCTGAGGTACTGTGTCCAATGTCCATTAATAAAATCACCTTAAGTCCACTCCTCTGCTGCCTGACTTCTTTTCACTTGTTTCCTCTCAAGTTAATCTGTCTGTGGTTAATCCCTCTTCAGCTGCAGGAAAACGTTGACCTTGTGTACTCCGCGTCATCCAGAGGAGGCACATATATACATAGATAGCTAATAACAAAAGTGCAAGGACCTGATTTGGGTTGAATTAACCAAAAATAGGCCTACTGTGCAAAAAGAGTACACTCTGCAGACTGTAGAAGGGGCAGGAGGTGGAGGAGGAGGTGGATGAAAACTGAGGAATGAGAGTTGATTATCTTGAGAATGAGAAGTCTGTTTTTTTGTGTGGTTTTGATAAACTAAGTAATATTTCTTTACTTTCAAAGGGGATTAAAAAAGTATTTTTTTCATGCTAAAATTCAGTTCAGAGCTAAATCTTTATTTCTGGAGAAGACTTCTATCTCCTCATTTTGTTGTCATCATATTGCACTCCTTATTGCAGATTGTAACCCTAGATGACAGATAAGTTAAAAAATAAAAAATAAAATTAGAAATATAAAAAATACAAAAAGTGGATATTTAATATTGTGAATAGTAGTAAAATGTTCTTTACAAGATTTTTCTATTTTTGTTTATGCAGGGGCACCCATCTACAGAGGTTTTTGACCCATACTGCAAATGTTTTGATATTCTCTGTCAGACTTGAGATCCCAGAAACCTCCTCACCTTTCTCCCTTGCGTATATGACTTTCTTTGCATGCTGTACAGGTACCGATACCTGTGACCTGAGTTTATAGGAAACTAGTCTGTGTTGATTACGGCATGCCCAGGATAACTCGTGAGAGCAGCATGAAGTTTGTGTGAGGGTTCACGAACCACAACACCTGGTGTGTAAATACTCTAGTGTGGCGTCACCCAGATTCCCTCCTGGATAATCAGTGGGAGTTCACGTTTTTATTTCACACACTTGTTGAAAAGCTTGGAGACTAAACCACATGAGCTCATCAGTGGGTGGGAACCTCCTGTAATGGAGCCTGCGGAGGATTTAGAGAGTAACATCGGCACACATAACACTCAGGAAAGTAAAGAGGATTTATCTGTCAAACACACATTACCTTTATGTGAGGATACACTCAGGATTTCAACACAGCTTTGAGGGTAAAATAATTGATTTAGCAGAGATGTTGGTTATCTTTTTTCTTGTTATCTATTGTGTGTTTGCTCATAGAGGTGCAACCTCAATTAAATGCATTAAAGCTGGAGAGTCAATATTTTTGACTGACGTGTGTTTGAAAATTAATTATTGAGAAGAGGAATTATGCGATAAAGAGAGACACCTTTTGTCTTCCTCTGATGCTTATTACTTAAGCCCCAGGTTTGACCTACCTGGATAAATAATATAAAAGCAAAGCTGCATCTGTTTTATTTCTCTGCACAATCATAACCAGCACTAAGTTACTGAATAACAAGCTCTACATATTCAAATACACTACACTTCATAATTGACCCACCACCCCGAAAAGTGGAAATGTTAAGCCCCTGCCTCTTGAGTTGATCTAAGGCTCTGTGGGTAATCTTGTCAACAGATCAGAGAGGCAGAGACTGAACACAAAGCGGGGCTACGCCATCCAGCACCCTAATGGGATTGGCCGCCATCACTAGATGCGCTACCGTGATTAGCCTCCTTGGAAGCGTCCAGGGATTTAGGCCTCAAGGACCCTGCCCCGGGCAATTAGCACTACATGCTTAGGCAGAGTGACGTGAGTGTAATGCTCCGTACAGGACAGGCTAAACTCTGACACCGTCAGAGGTTGTGGCAAAGGGAAAGTGCTTTTTTTGATGCACTGGTGATAAACGGTGTGTGTCCCTGTGAGCTGTAATGGGAGTTAATTTTGTCACAGATTCTGCAATGAGGGTTCTGTGAGCTTGATGTCTCTCTTACAGAAACATTTTTAATGAAAAAAAAAAAAGGATTTTGACACTTTGAAGCCCCTGTGAACGCTCCTGAAACCTTTTATTTTCACCCTCACACCTGTCACATTTTTCTCCTCTTCAGAGGTCCTAGTCTGGCAATCCTTTAGCCGCCTGCTGAGCCTATCTGACCCTGACATCAGTAAACTGCGTTCGGACTGTCTGACTGAAGGACTGACCAAGCTCTGCTAAACCTCCTCCGCTTACACTAAATCTGCACAGAGAGTCAGAAATGTGAGGGGGAATTAGATGCAAAGTTCACATAAAGCATCATGAACAATGTGTAGAACACTAGAATATCAATATGATGAACAGTCTCAGAAATTCAAGTGTTTTGAAGCTATAAACTAGTGTCCCACATTACAGCCAGTGCTTTACCCAGATTAGATAAAGCACAGTTTCTGGTCATTTTGACACAAGCAGCAGTAATCTGTGTGTTTTTTCACTTTAGAGAACAATATCACAATTTGATTTTTGTACATGTAGAAGATATAGAAGATTTTTGTACATATAAAAGTCAAAGTTGCAAAAAATGTACCACTTTACCCCAGTCCACTATTTTGAAGGCGGATGTTTTTTTTTTAAATCAAAACTTGTCAAAACAACTTGTCTTTGTCAGTACTCAAATGACTGTTTAAAAACTCATATTTGTCTATTTTGGGATTTTCTGATTTTATTTTTTTTACACTGCTTAGATTTTGACACACATCGATTGTTGAAAATCACTATTTTCTTGAAGTAGATGTGAAGTCTTTACAATCAGATCTCCATGAGGACATGTTCTGCCATGAAACATTACACAAATCAGTAATATAAGACAACCAATGAATAAAATAAAGGATAAAAAAAAAAGATTGTATAAATGTAAACGAAATCTTTTAGTATCCCAAATGAAGTCCTATTACTCTGAAACAGAAACCAGGTTTTGCAGAACACTCAGTGATGTTTATTCTACAGTGTCTGCAGAACCACAAACTGGTTTTAAACTATCCCAGATGCATTCTGCTCCTGTGCCCCTCCAAAGCAAGTGCACACTCCTCTCTCGACTGACTTTATGACTATGCCAAGTGAAGTGAAGTGATAGCATGGCTCTGAACTATAGTGCAGCTAAACTCTGCTCTGACCATAAATCCATGTATGAGCAAGGACCAGCATCAGGGTATCAACTTTTTTCCAGGCAGAAATTATGAGCTGAACCAGACTTATTGTAGAAAAGCCATTTGCCTTCAAATGTAGACATTGTCCATTTCAAACTTAGAGTTCTGCAACTTGAAAACAAGAACTATGAGTGTTGGCAAAGTCTTAACTTTGAGATGAGTTGTGGATGCTTTTGGTCCTCAGTAACATAATCAGTGACATATCACTCCCACTCTCTGTTTCCATTTTCCTACTCTATTGAGTATCGTATGGTCTCTAAAAGGCATGAAAAAGTCCCCAAAATAATTTCAAAGACAATGTTTTACAACTGAGTAATCAGCTCAACTCATTTAGCGTTAAGAGAAGAAAAAAGATAACACCGGTAAAATAAAGTGAGTTTATTGTAGAATGAAACTTCCGGTTCGTGTGTCCTTAGAAACTTGATCAGTCTAATTTAGGCAGAAGCCTCATTATCAAGAGCTTAACTTTGCATTACATAATCCTGTAGATTGAGGGCTGTGGGCCTTTGGGTTTTCTGGGTTCACTCCAACTTTACAGTATGCTTGGGCATAAAGATAATACAAAGATATGTATGTATTTTTTTTAGAAATTCAAAGGTTTTCACACCAGTGTCTGCACATTTATTAATCAAATACCTGAGATATCTGGAAAAAAAGTATGACTCTCTGATGCTTAAATTTGCAGAACATAAATATCTTTACCCCATCTTTGACTAAAACCAAGGGAGCTATGGTTTTAATGGGAAAACGTCCTGTTCTGTGTGACCAACATACCAGTGCCAAAATTTAAGATAATTAAAAAAAAAATTAAAAAAATGTTTGAGCTGTGCTCATCTCATTTGGAAGTGAAACTGGAATGTAGTCTGAGTCTATGAGTCTTGTGCCAAACAGAAAGCTTTACACATTTAGTGGAAAAAAAAAGAAAAAAAGAAAAAAAAGAAAACTGCCTTTATAAAGAATATAAATGCACTATGAATGGTATCACCCAATGGAAAATAAAAGGACAGTATTAACTTCTGTTTGACAACACTTACTCCAAATGTAGAATTTACAAATCCTCCTGGAACCTTTTTTGGGACACTGGTGTTACTAAACTAGACCAAACCAAACTCCTGGGGTGTTCCTGACGCACATTGTTGGCCACATTAAACTGAGGCACTCAGTCTTCTGACTGAATTAGTAACCTCAGAAACAGTATCTCACTATAAGTCCTCTAACACGCGAGGGCAAGAACAAATCAGTCCTGAAGACAAGGCCCAATGACCTCCACCCTTCAACCCTGCAGGCTGACCTGTTCACAGATCATCTGCTCTGACACTAAAACAACACGCTTCCTGTCTGCTGCATCAGGCGACAGCTTTTTCTGACAGACAGTATGAATATTTCGAGGACCCTCGCCAGTATTTTTGACCCCTGTGCTCCTACCACTGTAAATAATGTAAGGAAACACATTTAGGTCATGCTATTGCTGAGAGCCCACCAAACAGCACAGAGCAGTGACAGTTGCTTTATTTAGCAGGCACCACACCACCTGGGATTTAACCGTCTTAACTGTAAGAAGTTTATGAGAACTTAATGCCTGCCTCCCTGCTCTGTCCATGTGACTGACACTGAAGTCAAGAGTCCAACAGTATACAGGGGGATGAAGAGAGCAACGCCTGCTCTGTGACTCCAAAACACACTTTTATTTCATTCGTTTCAATACTGCTAAGATGATCTGCAGATCAGGGTGTCTGAAATTGTTACCACAATGATATATGTACAGTGTGTACATACACCAAAGCTTTGAATTAAATTGAAGGTGTGTTACCTCCCTCTTGTATCAGTGTAAATATCCAAACATTATCCACTCAAGTTAGTTTAAACATTTTGTGCCCATTACGTCTCATGAGTTCATCCCCGTTGATGATGATGATGATGGTTGATGGTTGAGTCTGGTTGGTGGTTGGTGCCCAGGTATGGGTGTGTGTTTATTTTCTCCCTTTCTTTACATCATTCACTATTGCCCTTATTAGGCTAATTGGATTGACTGGCCAATCAGGAAGAGGCACCTCCTAAGTCAGGGGTTTAAGCAGAGGGAATTAAAGAGTGGATCACTGCTGAATAGAGCTGCTGAATTGATTTGATCCTGAGAGGGTCCCATCTGATCATCTAATCGAAAAGAGGCCAACCAAGCCAGCAAAGCTCAAGCACCTCCCTCCCAATCCCCTTCCGCTAGGAAATCGCCTTTCAGCACGATTAGTGTTGCACCCAGTTCTCTGCAGCTACTCACAGAGAACCGTCAAAATTTCCATCCTTGAGGATCTTGAGTTTGCGGAGGAAGAAAGCATGGGTGCGGGAGCAAGCGCCGAGGACAAAAAGTCCAAGGAGTTGGAAAAACAACTTCAAGAAGATGCTGATAAGGACTCTAAAACAGTCAAGCTATTACTGCTTGGTAAGTGAAATTGAGGATTGTTTTCTTGCAATAAGTCTGCCCTTTTCCAGACTTGCAGATGCTGCAAAATGCTCATGTTGACTGATTTCTACTTTAAAAGATGCTGTAAATTCCAAACTATTTAAAGTCCATATGTGAGATCGTACTAAACCTGGAGTGCAGGCTCAGGTCTGCAGAGGAGAGCAAGAATCTGGTCGTCTGCCAACTGTCAACAGGTGTTACAGAATAAATAACAGACTCTAGAGTTAAAAAAAGAAAAGAAAAAAAAAACGTAAAAAAATAAACAAAATAAGACAGAAGCTTTTGGAAAATTAGCTGTAATTTATTCCAGAAACATAAATATCTGATTCAAGATGTCAGTTATGTAACAGATATGAAGTTAAAGCCATGCAACAAAGCATGCTGTAATGGATATCTCACTTTGTCTGCAGCACATTGTATTTATCTGGGATGTGGTCAAGCTGAGGCTGCACTGACACACCTGAGTGTCTGCAGAGAGCGATGTAAGATATGCTTTAATAATCAGTGGACTTACAGGCTGTACAGATGGTTTGTTTCAGGCTAAAACCCTACATTAGTTTATTAGAAAGATGGCCAAGTGCTAAAGCTTACACAGAACTGAGAGAGGAATTAAAGAGTAAAGCAAAAGCTGCAGAGGAAGATAAGAGAGATCAATCTCAGGGCTCAGGAGCTGTTTTGATGCTGGAAAAAAAATACGAGAACATTTCGTAAGGGTCAAGGACCCAGATTTTAAAAATACAGAACTGTGAAATTATTATTTGAACTCATTTGAAATTATATTTAAAGTTAAACATGAGTCGAGATTTTCAGCATTGTATCCTTATGTGCAACAACAGTAGAACAAAAACAGATTTTGATTTTAAGTGTTTTCTGTCTCTGAATTTTTCAATGAACAGGTGAAAACCAATTCATCAAAACCTGACAAACTTGGTGTAAAAAAATGTATTCATTTTTTTCTTTGCTGTTGTTTAAAATTAAGAGTGACTTTTCAATTCTAGCAGAAGGACGTTGGTGCTTAAAATATATGTAGCCTTTGGTCTAAATGAATCACAGCACAGTGGTGAAACGTCAATCCGATTAGCTAACTGGTTTAGTGCAGATCCACTTGGTGAGGACTTCGTTGATCCCTCAACCCTCAATAAGTATAAAAGTGTTTCATCGCAACCACTGTTTGAACAGAAATATTCACAGAGTACAATGCAGAAGCAACTTTTGGTCAAAATGCATCAGTAACTGTTGAAAAAAGGACTTTTGAATCATTATAAATTCTTGTAACAGTTGCAGGAGAAAGGGCTTGTGGGAAAGGGCGAGTTTGGATTGATGACTTCTCTTGTAAAAACCTAATTCTGTCTTTTTTCTGCAGTCAAAGCTTGGTTAAATCTAGACTGTCAAAACGGCATCATTCCTGCAGAAATAAGTGAATTCACGTTGTATATCCTCTTGTTATATAGACAGAGGTGTTGCGTCTGTCTGTGGAATTGAAACACATACCTAGAGTGCCATCTTGTGGGCTCAGATAGATGTTGTTTAAGGCACAACAGCCTCAAAATGCTCTGCAGGTTTCATTGAACCTTGTTTACACCTGAACTCAGAGGGAAGGTGTGTTGAATCAACCAGAGAAATAAGTGCTGCAATGGCAAAGTGCTGAATCAGAAAACTAGCTTTGTAAAAGAAACCAATCCAGATGATTACAAAGGAACCTCAGAGTGGTGCAGAAGGAGCAGGAGAAGAAAACTGTTCTCTCTGAAAGTCTCCACAAAACCTGAGCAAACAGCTCTAACAGTGCTCCCTGTTTGTTCTCACACTGCATTGACTGAGAATCTCCCGTACACACTGTATAATTCTCCTGCAGCAAATCTTCAGCCTTAAAGCATGGCTGCTCTGCACCTCCTTTTAATCTTAAAATCTACAAACCAAGTCAGAGAAATATCTCTCATGTATCAGCGGTATCTTGTGCAGGATAAACATGCATACTGAACTCTCCTTTGGAGGGACCAGATTTAATGTCCCTGTAAACCTGGAGGTGTAGTCACTGATGAGCATGAGTATGACTCCCCAAGGAGGATACATTCTTTATCAAACGCCATCCCTGCGCTGTTGCAATGATACCTTTACTTCCTCATTACCAAATAGCACAGACAAACTTATTATTGGCCTGTAATGATTGCTTAGCGGAGGCAATTTAGTGGTTCCTTCCTGAGAGGGCCAGAATACGCCTCATAATGTCTTTAAACGCTCAGCAGTAAGTCTGAGATGGAGCTTAATGTGGCTTCAGTGAGTGCAGGATGGCCAGCTTGGCCTCCTTTGTGAGGGGATAAATGCTCTCTAACCTGAGCTAGCTTACTGCGCAACTGAGAGTCGGATCTGCCTGTAGGCTTTACCTCAGCCTATGAATGCAACAGTGGCATTTAGGATCTACATAATGCAGAAAGCATGTCTTATTCAGAGAAACTGCATCCACGAAGCAAGACCTGGAGTTCCTGAAGCTTGTATTAAAAATGTATAAACAAAATGAAGCCTGTTATAAAACACAGGGACTCTTCTCAAACAGGAATTTTCAAGGTGGAAGATGAAGTGCTGGCCAAGATAACATAAAATCTTGCAGTTTTACAATGAAGTGTTGGCTGATTGAGTGTCCTTCATTAAAGGTGAAAATGATGCCTCATGAAACTGGGAGCCAGAACACTCCAGAGAAATTTCACATGATTTCAGAGAGTGGCTGAAACTAATAATTGAATGCACACATCTACATTTGTCCCTTTCACTGTAGGGGACGCCACTAACTCCTCTTGTTTCTTCCAAAATGACATAAGATGATTGCCTGTGTATGCTACAGAGCGCATATCTGTCTCTTAATGACGTGTGTGTGTAAGTGAACATTTTAAAGAAATTAGTCACAATCAGTGATAATTTTTCCTTTTTTTTTGCACACTTAGCTCATAAAGAGGTAAAAATTTGGAAGGCCTTGTGATGAATTCCAGAGAGACATTCAGCTAATCTAACAGGCGTCTAAGCATCATTCTTTGTGGCAGGTGAATAACTTGAGCATATGAAATCTTGTTTAAGTTTGTTTCTGCAGAAGGACAGAATAACTCTGAAAAACTTTGGAGAATTTGCTCAAATTATGCAAACAGACAATCTTCACTGGAGTCAAAACATCAGCTTTTCCTTATTTTGTTGACTACACCTCTGAATTAATGCTTTATCATCATCAAACAGTCTCAGTCCGTAAATGTCACTGTTTCTATGCTCGGTGGCATGTACTAGGAAAAGATCAGTTGTGATGATGTTGATAACTTTTTTTCTTCTTTTCCAGGCGCTGGAGAGTCAGGGAAAAGCACCATCGTAAAACAAATGAAGTAAGTAATATAAAAAAAAAATGGTGGAATTAGTCTTCAGTGCCATCCTCTTCCCATGTGTGGCAGTGGAAAGCAATCAGGGTGGAGCTCAGTTTTTTTTTTAATCTCGTTGGTCGGGCACAGAGCCAGGAGGTCAAAGCTCTGTCTGTTTCACTTACACTGAAGCCTGTTACAAAAGGTCAACGGGGCAAACATCCGTTTAACTTTGATTTGTCAGCACTTGTTTTGTGCAGTTAGTCTGGTCATGAGAGCTGAGCAAGTTCAGAAATGCACCACAGGAGGGTGCTGTGACTACTAGACACTAAGGTTGTTCCTGCTTTCAGAGAGCTTTTATTTTCATCCATGGAAAACAACATGAAGTCAGTTTATGTTTGGTCTAATCAGTCCTCTTCTATCTTGATTGAACAAACTATATGCAGCGATAAGGGTGACACTTCAATCATCCACCAGAAGCAGAGGATGATGTTGCACTGCTTGACATTTTCTGTCTTTTCTACCTCTGCAGGATTCTTCATCAAGGTGGTTACACAAAAGAAGAGCAGTTGGAGTTTAGAGCTATCATCTACGGCAACATCCTGCAGTCTGCTCTGGCCATCATCAGAGGAATGGAGATGCTGGGCATTGATTTTGGCGCACCCTCTGCACAGGTCTCATATGGCTCTAGAAAGATTGTTGACCAGTCATAATTGACTTTTGGAGTTGATCTTCCCTGATATTAAATCATGCCATATATACTCCAAGTGCTGTCTTGATGCTAATGGCTGTTGTTCTGTGTGCATGGGACCACAGGAGGATGCACAGAAGCTGCAGAACTTGTCAGACTCCATTGAAGAAGGCACAATGCCCACTGAGCTGTCTGATGTCATCAAGAAGCTGTGGAAAGACTCTGGTGTGCAGGGCGGCTTTGAAAGAGCTGCTGAGTACCAGCTGAACGACTCTGCTGGCTAGTGAGTCTACATCTACAACTAGCATTAAACAGCAGTGGAGTTAGATGTAAAATTTAAGAGTCATGGGCTCAGTGTTTGTGACAAGTCTGATTTGTGTTATTGTGTTTCTGCCATCCTCAGCTACCTAAATGAAATGGACAGAATCTGCAAGCCAGATTACCTTCCTACTGAGCAGGATGTGCTGCGATCTCGAGTCAAAACAACTGGTATCATCGAAGAACAGTTCTCCTGCAAGGAATTGCACTTCAGGTAAGTCACAACAGTGGAAAGTACCAAAGTCTAGACCTGAAGGAGTTGTGAAAAACACAAAAACATCTGACACTGTTTGATGAACAGGATGTTTGATGTGGGCGGCCAGAGGTCAGAAAGAAAGAAGTGGATCCATTGTTTCGAGGGTGTGACCTGCATCATCTTCTGCGGAGCTCTCAGTGCATATGACATGGTGCTGGTAGAGGACGATGAAGTGGTGAGTAGATGCTTCACTACCTGATCCTAAAAGCGCTAGACCATAAGCATACCAACTCTAAACTCACCCTGTCGCTCTGTGACTCTTTTTTTCCAGAACCGTATGCATGAGTCCCTCCATCTATTCAACAGTATCTGCAACCACAGATTCTTTGCGCTGACCTCCATCGTGCTTTTCCTCAACAAGAAGGATCTGTTCGAAGAGAAGATCAAGAAAGTCCACCTGAGCATCTGCTTCCCAGACTATGATGGTAGGACCAAGTGATGCTTTTTCATAACAAAATGATTCAAACTGCACTTTGACAGAGCCAGGCTGCAGAAGTCTCTAATTCCTAAACAGCATCCAGTGGGATCCATAGTATTCCCTTGATTCAATTATGAAATGAAATTGTGATTATTAAACCGGCATGTTACGATCAGAGAAGTACTTGTTCAAACAAAAAGCATGAATCTTGTGAAATCAACTCCTATTTCTTCACCCCTGATTGTTTTAGGCCCCAACACGTATGATGACGCCAGTAACTACATCAAGACACAGTTCATGGAGCTGAACATGAAGAAGGGTGTGAAAGAAATCTACTGCCACTTGACCTGTGCCACAGACACAAAGAACGTCGAGATTGTGTTCAACGCTGTGACAGACATCATCATCAAAGAAAACCTTAAAGATTGCGGTCTTTTCTAAGCAGCTCCAGAGTGAAAAAGAGGTACGCAGTGACCACATGATACACTATACTCCCAGGGACTTTGTTGATGCAGGGTAATAGGGTCCAGATGAGGCAGACCCCTGGCAATTTAATTTAGCCATCCTGTGTTGCTAAGAAACAGCTTCTGACCAAAACATGAGCTCACATAAACTCAAACTACACAGAAAATGAAGAACCTCAGGGAGTCTTAGGGGTGAGAAAGAAGAAGCAAAAAAAAGTTTTTCTAAATCAGAATCATCTCCCTTTTTATTTCTAGAGAAACTTTAGAACTTTAGAGATGTTTCCCTGTAAAATCATCCAAAGAGAACATGATCCAAGGTGATTTCAGCATATTTGAGGCAGGTTTTTCCACTCTTCTCCACTTTGCAGACCTTCCTTTCCTACCTTAACCCCTCACATTTTGGCATCAACTGAGAGAGTACTGATGGAGCTCAGAGGATCCTCAGTTTGTTGTGTTCATGCCATCGCGTCCATGCCAAGTCCCGGTCCTCGACTGCTCCTAGCACACCACCGTCTCCAACAGTAGATTTCTGCAACAAAGTGGACGACCACCAAGATACCACGCTGTTGTTGTGGAAGTTCAGCTCACGTCTGCAAGATTCTTCAGTGTTTTCTAAAGTACAGATCGTTGCTGGTTTGAAGGTTTGAAGATGAAATAGCTGCTCGAGCAGTCCTCGTTGCTTCCTTTTGACTGCTTTGTTGTGAGTTATATTTACTATTAAAAACCAAGCTCTGTAAATTAAATAAAACCATAAATCTTTGGGAAAATATTTTGAATAGCAACATGGCAACCTTGTTTATGTTTTTGAGTACAGTAGTCTCTGTGGTCTTGATATTTAAACTGTAAAAAGTTGCTGAGCAAATATCGCAGATATTCCCAGTGCTTGCAGTGTATCCAGATTACAAACCAAATTGTAAATGTATCTAATATAAATAGCTTTGATGTATACAACTCACTAAACATTTTAATGTGATGAATTTATTTCAGAAGGTCAAACATGGTAGAGAAACTTTGTACATAAGAGTAGATAATTCAATATATTTTGAGAATAAAACTATATTGAAATATACGAGAGAGAGGGTCAAACTAGAGGGATGTTGCTTTATTATGAAAAGGGAATGAAAATCTACCGACTTTGTCCTTTCTTATGAAATGTAGAGGCATGAAATAAAGATGCATTAACTTCACTTTTATCTCTGTTTCTTTTTTTTCCATAGAACTGTAGAGCCACACAGTAAATCGTTGAATAATGTATATCAAATTAGGGGCTGTCAACACTGATGAAGAGCCTCAGGCTGTCACTCTCCTCTCACAATGATGATGTTATGTAAGCTCCCATCTCTAGTCAGAAGGGAAATCGGAGCGTATGGAAGTTCATTTACAATAAACCAATTGGGGGAGCAAAAACAAATTAGCCGGGTAATCTGCAGGACAAGATTTATTGCACGATTGTGCAGGGACAGATTCTTTGAGATGTGACAGCCAGCAAGGACAACTCCGAGTGCAGCGAACAAGAGGAGATAGGAGGAAAGGTTTCAGTCTGCAGAGAAGCTCCTGTAGTTATGTTCTTGGTTTTTCTGCTTTGTGTTTTTTTTACTCATCTTTGCTACATAAAGTAGAGCAAAGATCAGCTCAGGACATGTCATCTTGTTAGAACACAGCTTTGTAACATCAAGTCTGTTCCCAGTGTGGTTCATTAGTTTATCCATCTGTCCATCAGGATTATTGCTGTCAGAAGATGCAGCGTTATCTTTCGAGCATGAACCACTCAGGCGTTTGAGCCACAAAGTACTTTTTGAAATATGACTCTACCAAAAGAAACAGACAAGATTGTTTGAAGTTATTCTTAATGCTTAAAAAATAAAAATATTGAACGTATTTCCTGCATAGTTGGCAACAAGTCTTAAAAACGTCTTATAGAGGATGAAATTCTTAAATATCTAACCACAAGTGTATTAATGAATTAGGTCTAATAGACAATAAACAGACCTTTTCAGTGAAGTGTCTATCTGGACTTCAGTGTGTGAGGAAAAAACAAATCAAGCGAACTTTGAACTTTTTATATTTAATATGTTTGAATGTCTTCACTGATAACCAGAGGCTTCATTTTAACCTCAATAGGAGTTTTCTACATGGACTCATCTGTGTGTATAATATTTGTCATTTTCACACTCCTGTGGAAAAAAAGGATTAACCTCAACAGTTTGATTTGCACTAATGTGTCTCATTTATATAAAAACATGTTTGACTACTTAATGATTAAATTGGCAGTGTTGCTACTGTGTTTATTAGCCTCTCAACTGATCCTAGACCCAAAAAGGTTATCTTATTTACGTCAAAACTGCTCACACAAAAATTTCTCACTCAAACATCCTAAAGTAGAAATACTAAATAGCTGCAACAAAAAATTAAAATAATATATAACAATTGCAGAGATTCAAATGGTGGGATAAAAACTAAAAGGGTTGTAACACACAAAAGAGTGAACACCATTTACATATGACTCGTGACACTGTGAAATGCAGTCATGGATTTCATTAAAAAAAAAAAAAAGGCTCTTTTGGTCCTCGGACATATGACAGACAAACTCTAAATGTGTCCCACACATCACAGGGGCTTTACCTGCCAGCCCCCGACTGATGCAAAGGTCTCAAATATGACAGGACTCCACACCGCTCACAATGATCGCTTCACAAGCTTCCCTCACTCCTCACTTGCTCTCAGTGATCTCTGCATTAAGAATCAGTTAAGACAAAAGTGATCACAGCATCAAGTCCCAAAATAGTGGAATTAAGGTCCAGCATTCAGCATGACCACCAGCTCAGTCTTTAGTTAGACCTACTTTACAATGTGCTTTCTGCAGACTCCACATACCAGTCCAAAAGTCCTTATTTTCCTCCTGACACCTGCAAAGAAAAGGAAAACACCATTAACCCATTAACCAAGTTAAAGGAGATGACTTTTAGTATTATAACTATGAACCCCCTTAATATGTCAGTTTAACTCTATTCAAAAGCTCAGAGGTAATTATGACATACAGTGCATATATATGTGGAGGCGGTTTTAACTCATCAGTCTGAGCTAATATTAGCATGGATGTATGTATATCACTTTATCACTGGTCACTTTAGTTAAATGTACCTTGGTTTTTTAATTGCACTGCACTGTTGTTCTGTATTGTGTAGTTGTACATAGCCTTTTATACTTTATATATGTCCTGCATGCTCTTATTATTTTCTATTCTAGTATTTTATATAATATTCTCCGTTTAATGTTGCACCATCATGCCGTAAAAAATTCCTAGTCTGTTCATTGACAATGGCAATAAAACCCCTTCTGATTCTGATTCTAATTCTGATATGGTTTCAGGCTGACATGAGTGGCTGTAACATGAACATGTTAGCATGCTAGCATAAGCATATAAGTATGCTAGCATTATTATCAGGCATTCATTGGTTGCTCTTGGTAACTTGATAGCAAAACTTATCATATGTTGGCGTTTCAATGGTAGGACACTTCTCTTCTGGCTGATTCACTTTATTTCGACTGTGTAAAGCGTAACAGTATTTTTTATGGTTAACTTTTGTTCTGTGGTCACAGCTGACACTTTGGCCGTTGGTTTTTCTTTGAGCTAATATTTTTCATTTTTACTTTATTTGTTTGCACGCAACTGTTGGCTTGGACATCTAATTTGGAAAGCTGGTTAATGAGTCATACCAGAAATGACAACCACACTGTGAGGGTGTGTGGGAAGGACTACTTCTGTTTTCAAGATTTAGAGGCTCTTAAGCATAGGGTAGGCTGGATTTGTTGTAGGATTGTGTACTTGGCTAAAATACCAAATGTCAGCAATGTACTCAGTACTCGGTTTTTATTTGTGGATTGACGCTGCAGTCATTTCAATGAAGTCCTCACTCAAGGTCCGATCACTGTTTTCGCATTTACTTCGCTCTAAACTTCACAAAAAGTGTTTCTTAACTAAAAGAGTTAATTATCACTTATCAAACATGATGTGTTTTTCTGTTTTGACAGATTCATTACACGTTATATGAAAAAATGTTTCTCAGCTGAGTCGACCAAAGCAGCTGGGACTGATCCTCTGAGTGAAGCTGCATAGTTACCTCATAATCCTCCCCCCTTGTTATCAAGCCAACTCTGCTAACATGACATAAAAAAACTCTCTCTCTGGTTGTGCAAAAATCATCTGTACATTTCAACTGTTTGCTTTGTCATCTACATGAGCAGCAGTCAAAGTCCCGTCAGTCTGCTGACCTGCAGGGCCTGAATCTTTAGAAGAGTCCTATCTCCCTCAGGTTGATCTTGATGATGACATCGGTGACGGCATCGAACACAAACTGCACATTTTCTGTGTCTGTGGCACAAGTGAAGTGGGTGTAGATCTCCTTTGTGTCCTTTCGCTTGTTCAAGTCCTCAAACTGGCACTGGATGTAAGTTGAAGTCTCATCGTATCCATTCCCACCTACAGCAGCGAAAAAAGCAAATAACAGAATAACAAATTTTCAGCGATATCTTTTAGACAATCTAGAGTAAAAAAAAATAATAATAATAAAAGTATTTTTTAATACATGTTTTCTATTTTGTGTAGTACAAAAATGTTGTTTAGGAGGAACGCTGCAAAAAATGCGAAACTCCAACAGAGGAGCTTTTGAATGTTCCTTGCGTGAGAGCGGGGAATCTGTTAAAATTATTAGGTGTAAATAAACTGGCTTCACAACAGGAACTCAGTCTGTTATATTTGTAAGTCAAATGTGTGTAAATTACTCCACTGTGGGATGAATAAAGAATGAAGGATGAATATAATGAAAACATATGCCTACACATCTAGGAAGTGTATGCTCCAACACAGCACACAGATGTAAAAAGATGTCCCCTTTTGAAAACTGTTGAGTGGAAAAGACTCATTTTAACCACATTTATTTGTCTCACCAGAGTATTCGGGGTAGCAGATAGTGAGCGGGCTCCTACTGATCTTCTCTTTAAACAGGTCTTTCTTGTTTAGGAAGAGGATGATGGAGGTGAGAGTGAACCACTTGTTGTTGCAGATGGAGTCAAAAAGCTTCATGCTCTCGTGCATCCGGTTCTGAAGATTAAAGCAGATAAGAATAATCACACTTCAGGCAATTAACTCATATGGCATTTTGACACGTCATGGCAAGACAATAGAAGTGTTAATAATCAAGCTAGAGATGGCATAGCGCTCTTTAAAATGAAGGCACATAAATTAACTAACATGCAAATCATGAGCAATAAAAATAAAGACTTATTTAACCTAATTTTCAGCGTTTGTGGTGTCTGTCTAAATGAAAAGGGTTCTGCTTTGTTTCTGGCCAGCATGAACGAGCTTCAGAAGAAAAGCTGGCTCCCTGTCATGGCTTACTGGGACACTTGAATAGAAGCCATCCTTATAATCGTATTAGTAACACCTGTGCTTTTCCTCTTCGGGGTAAATCTAATTGTGTGCTGTGAAAAAAGGCTGCTCTCAAAACATAGGATGTGTTTTAGCTTTTATGTTAGGATTTAGTGATCCTTAATCACAGTGTTTCTACCACCTACCATCTCTTCGTCCTCAGCCAAGACAAGGTCATAGTCGCTGAGAGCCACGCAGAAAATGATACTTGTGACTCCCTCAAAACAATGGATCCACTTCTTCCTCTCTGAGCGCTGACCCCCGACATCAAACATCCTACAGAGGCAAACACAAATAGACATGTAAAAGTACTGACAAGGTTTGTTACTGCCACACGTGTCTCCATATAAAGGTTAACACTTTATATGAATCCACACAGATTTTCAAGTGAACCAGAAAAGAACTGACACAAGAGTAGAGGTTTCTAAGAGCTACACCAAGTCATGAAAAAGCACCGAAGCCATCTAATCACATTTACTCCAACTGAAGCGGGTCATATCGGGTCGATGACACTTGTGAGTTATGAAAGAGGTTTAAAATGAGGCATTAACGGAGCCCATAACAAGCTGAGCCATTTGCAGGTGCATCAGCTGAGAAGAACCAGAAAATTATTCAACCTAATAAGGGATCATTATGACATAAAATGATCTACTCAAACAAGAAAGTAATAAAATATGGGCTTGGGTATAAGCGGATGAGCATACTTATCTGAGCATCATCATGACTTGTTAACTTCAAGTCATTTTGAATGCTGTGTTTCTGCTAGCATGATTACCATTCGAAAATCAATCAATGAGAGAATGACAAAAATCCAAACATAAGACACTATTGATGCTGTAGCAACTTGGAGGCTCAAACCCACATGTTGGAAACCATGATGATGAGAAGATTAATTCAAGTTAATACTGACTTGAAGTAGAGATCTTTGAAGGTGAAGTGAGTCTCCACGATGCCGGTAGTCTTCACTCGTGTTCGCAGCACATCCTGCTGAGTGGGAACGTAGTTTGGCTCGCAGATCCTCTCCAGGTCATTCAGGTAGCTAAGAGACAAAGGACATGCTTAAATGAAGTACGATCTAAGTGATATACCATTCAGACAATGATATGGAGTCCAAATGTGCCTATGCTTCAGTTAAAAGAGCACACCATTAACTGAGACTATTTTCAGAGCTGCTCTGAAGACAGTACAGAAGGAAGCATGTGACTTCTAGATGAGGAGGGTCAGTCTCACTAGGACACGTTTTAACTGCTTTTCCTCAAATTAGGTCATGATGGTAAAAAATAAAAAAACAAATCGATGGCACACTTTTAAGAAATAAACCATGTGGTGAGGTGGTTTGGTCAAAGAGACTTGTCAGTTGAAGTGTCCAGTGGAGGTGGTTGGTATATGAGTCTCAGCAATGGTCTAACCTCACAAGAATCAACAGTGATGCTGGCTGAGCTCAACGACCTCAGACCGCAGGACTGCAAACCTGTCACAGCTAAAACAGATGGTGCTTAAAAGAGCTGCGTAGTTACACAGTAACCTGCAGCTGCTGGACTCTGTTCAAGGTCATCATATGGTTAAATAAGTTCAAAACTGTTTCCTCTGAGATACCCTCAGAAACAGTCCACCTCCGGTAAACCAGTGCAACTCATATTCCAGGTTTTACAGCAGGAGTCTGTCTGTACTTTTGCAGACATTTGACAACATGTGAACAGTTCCACACACATAAAATCAGAAACAGTGTTATGGGTTAATCAAAAATCATGTTAATCTATAAGCCAATACCCCTCCTATATGGTTTATAATGTCAGCAATGAAGCACTTGAAAATGAATCATTATGTCAGATACTGTCAATAGAATTTATTCTTTTAGATAATTCCTATGCCTCAAGTACAAAGACCGCGGTCCTTAAGTGGGCTGCCTCGGTTTGAGTCCAGCTGTGGCCCGTGTCCTGCATATCAGTCCAAACTCTCTCTTCCAGTTTCCTGCTTTTTCCAGAATCCTATCCTCTGAATGAATTCACACAAGCCTCTCATAAGAAACCGTCACCTTGGTGCTAAATTGGAGCCATTTAACAGAGAAATTTCTATTAATATATACAGTGCTCAGCATAAATGAGTACACCCCTTTCAGAGTTGTCAGAAAACCGTTAGTTTTTCCATGTCAGACTAGACAACAAACATTTTTTTTTTCAATTAAAAATGCAGGATGCATAAATGAGTTCACCCCAATCAATGTTCTGGGAGCAATGCTAAATTTTAGTTTCTATATCATCCTTATTTTCATCGTATGGTAAATAAAATGTTATGTTAAACTCAGCTTTGTCAAAACTTTGGAAATTGTACTTTTGCTCATCTAGACATCAAGTAATACATTCATTTTAATAGGGGGGGGTACTGACTTATGCTGGGCATTGTTTTTAATTATTGTGGCTCAGAAGTACTCTCTGCTGATAGCCTTTTTTGTCAATTAAGATTTTTCCTACATAAAATTGGCATTGATTTAAAAAACAAAACAAAACAAAAAAAAACATGTTGATATATTTCTATAAATAGGACTTAAGATGTGTTATCAAACTCCTGTAGTTTCCTGTTGTTACCAGCTCATGATAAGATAAGGTTGGGAATTTCCAGACTGACACTTCATGAAAAAAAAAAAAATTGAAAAAACAATTTCATTAGAACTTTGTGTCTGGTGAAACTTGCCCTACAGAAGGACATCCCAGGACTCCACAGACTGATACTAAATATGGGCTCATATTTTGGTGCATTATAAACACAGGCTTCTTGTGGGTTGAGTTAAAACAGACCAACTCCACTGGTTCCTCTTGTCTGGTAGAGTGGACACACGGTGCTGAGAGTTATGACGGCTCGGCTGTTTTCAAAACAAAAGATGTGTCCTTCACACTGAGCTACTTTCTCTCAGAGGGAGTGTGTGACAGAAACGCTGCAGAGACAGAACACCTTGGGACATGTCTCATTAGTAAAACTGTAGAGTATTCAGCTTAAACTGTTAGTGTCTCTTGTGTCACTGAACTTCACTTAAAAGTTTAAAATAAAAATAAAAACTTTTTGTTGGGAAAGGAACATCTAAGCAGGCACGCGCTGACAGAGACCATTTCCAGCTGTCAGTTTCTCCTTCTCAGGAATGCTATCAATCTGTGCAACAAGCTGACACAAGACTGTAAGGAACAAGACGCATCTTGTCTCTCTCGTTGTTACAACACATGTTAAGGAGAAAGCTTCTTAGCCAACACTGAACCACTTCTCTGTAATGGGGAACCAAGACTACACAAATGCATCTGGCCTACTTAAAAGAGGACCTTAAAAATAAGTGATGCAATGTCAAACATCACCCTTAGTCATCAGAGCTGTTTCTTTTTCATGGGAAAACACAGTATTTCATAAGAGGCCTTACCAAAAAAGGCACTGATTCATACACAGAGTGGACTACGCTGGAGTAGGGCTGTAACAAGAGATAGTTTTGAACTTAAATAATGGCGTGACACCTGACGCTATATTAATCTATGGAAGATTTTGTCTTTTAATCTCTGAGCTCAAGACAGGGATTTTCAACAGACTTTTTGATAGCACGAGGTGTTACTTGATGCGGGGATCTGTTTTTGAAGAAGTGAGTCCTTACTATGCGGCAGAGTCGTTGAGCTGATACTCTCGAGATCGATCGAAACAGGTCTGAACCCCGGGATCGTTCCACAGCCTCCGAATCACGCTAGTCAGCTCTGGTGACATCACACCTTCCTCTGCTGAGCTGGCCAGGGCGAACAGTTGTCGGGCATCATCCTGAAAACAGAGACTGTAGTTTTCAGGAGAACATTCGACCCTTTAAAATCACATCTTAAAAAAAGATTTCACGTAGGAAACTTACGCCCCGTGCTGCGTCTCCAAAGTCTATCTTTAAGCGTCCCATTGCCCTGATGATGGCCATGATGGACTGGATAGTGTTGCTGTACACGACCACTTTGTACTGCTTACACTCTTCTTCCGAGTATCCATCTTCATGAATAATCCTGAGACAGAAACAACACCAATGACACTATTAGAGTTTTGATAGAGATTGGAAAATGTGAACACTGGCTGTAAAAATGTGAGACAAATTACGGTTTGGAGAATAATTTCATGGCACATTGTCATTAGTGCTGGAATTTGAGCTTCAGTGTGCATGCAGCATGTCTAATGTGGGAACCGGGGGAATCTATTCAGGTCCTGCCAGGCTACCATTGGCCTCCTTTGTTTGACACGTTATGCAAAAGGGTGCTTCCTCCTCTGCCTGAGCCCAGTGAAACCAGGCTCCTGCTTTGCTCCCAATGAGGGATGAACCCTGTTTGCAATCACAGCTCTCTGCACACCATTAACCTCTGACAACAAGGCTGCAGCTAAAACAGGGAGGGAGGGAGTGCAACTGTCTTTTGTCAACTAAACACAAAAATAGCATTGAAACCTTGTATGGGATGTAGCAGTTTGATTTAGAGTCATGTCCAGTGTCATCCAGGCTGTGGGACTTACTTCATCTGCTTCACTATCGTGCTTTTCCCAGACTCCCCAGCACCTGGAAAACAGGGACAGTAGTTAGGCAGCTACAGGGGGAATGACGGCAGCCATGACAACACAAACACAAGACATGAGACCCCTCTTACATGGGGGACAGATCAAGACTGCTTTTCACAACAGCTAAACTTCATCTGATCCCATCAGCCATCATGCACAGTATGGGTTCCTTCACAACACTAGAGGAAGAGCAGCCTTGTGAGAGCAATCGGTGGTGAACATTTGGGCCTAAGGGAGTTTATCATCATGATTTACTCATATACATAACATTTCAGTGTCACAGTACATTCATTCCTCCTTTAGACGTGCTGTTTGTCATTAACATCAACAGACGTCACTGTCAGGAATCAGATACGATCTACTGACACTACAATGTGTACAGTAAACCACAGAGGTGCTGCAGCACAGAGAGGATTAAAGGAATCAGAAGTGTGCTGGGCTGTTAGCTTCAACAGGGAAGCAGAGCGTTATTTATCTGTGGCAGATGATGGTACGGTTGATATCAAAGTCGTTAATACAATAAAGGCCACTGTAATTATGTTGAGAGGGGAAATGATTTCACATGAGGAACCTCTACAATATTTCTACAACTATCATCCAAACAGGAAACAGTTGTCACGCTTCTGGCTGAGCCAGTGTTTTTCCACTGGAGAGACAATCCCAGATATCATGCTGCTGTGAGCGTCAGAGAGCAGAGGGGCCATAAAAACCCCACCGATTATTTAAAGAGTCTGTCAGCAATCTACAGCCCCAAAATAAACACTGAACTCTCCCCAGTCCAAAACTCTGCTGATCAGTATGAGGGAGTACACTCTTCTTCTGTTTCCAAGACCTCCCTTCCCGAAGTTAACCGTGTCCTCAGGATTACACACTGCAGTGCTGGTCAACCCCAAAAGAGAGGACAAATGACAATGACTTTACTGAGAATAAAGAGAAAGGACCTTTAACTTGTCCTGGATTTAAAGTCGTCTATGATGATGGACTTGAACGAATAGAGGCGTCTCTATGAGGATGTAAATGGCTTTCAGAAATCCCCACATCTGTGACGTAGCTGTGATCCCGCACTGTTGCAACAAACCGTTATCTTCTGCTAAATGCTGCATAGCATGTAAGTGTAAAAATAACTTCATGAGGCTTTCAACTTTACAATAAACACCAGCTAAATCTGACACCCTGATGAACCAGTTTAAGGCTCAAATTTTTCACTTGTTTTATGTATTTTATTTAACAGCTTTTATCGCCTCTAGTCTTTTTAAACATATGATTTTTCATATTCCTGCAGCATTAATCAAGTTTTTTGGAGGGTTTTGTTTTATTTGTACTTTGTTTGCTGTTTGACAAACTGTGCTTTTCTATGTCACATCAAGTTCCACTGATCTGTGGGAACTTTGCACTATTGCCCAACTCTCCTCTGGGGACAATCAAGCAAATCTAATCTGTAGTAGAAGTCCTGGTGATTTCTTTGGTTTGTTTGTTTTTATTTGATATGTTGGGTTGTGGCTGACAAGTAATTCAATCAAGGTTTTATCAGCATATGTTTTTATTGGTCCCTTGGTCTGTTAAAAATATCAAATAGCAAAAAAAAAAAAAAAGCCTCATACCCACAGAAAAGAAGAACATCTTTCCAAGCAAGAAGCTGCAACCGGCGAGTGTTAGTCATTTCTGTCACAAAAACAACTTGAACAATCGGCATAATGACTGATGACTAACAGACAGTTGAGTGACTCATCAATGAGTCTTTTTAGCTCCTTAAGGATGACAGAAATCAAACCCCTCCAAAAAATGGAATATATTTGTTGTTCATGCGTGTTTATTAAGGTGGAATTATGCAAAACACAATCTCCCTTTCTCCGTGGAAGTTAAATATTAAAGGTACATTCAGACATTAAAGGAAATGAACTAATTAAATTGTGGATTTATAGTGATTTATAGTGATTTAATGCCAATGTTTAGCTTAACATAGCCTTGCATGTGACCTTGATTTGTAAACAAATGAGTCACTGTGTTTGTCAAAGATTACGTCAAGCACAGTTTACCTTGCTTTTACATTTACTGGAACTCACAACAAAAATGTTTGGCTGATAGCTCGGTGAGGCCAAACTGCTGCCGATTCGCTGAAGGCATTGTTTTCTTAAAGCTTCTGCTTTTTGAGATGAAGTAACCAGCTTCTGGTTTCACTTTTATCCTTAATACATAGAACATAAAGTGACCTACCTCTGATCTTTGCGTTTTTATGGCTTAAAGTTCACATCATTGTCATCATTTAATCATTTAAGGCTGACCATGAAAGGGTTCCCAAAACCTGGGCGATGAAATGACCAACTTTCCAGAATAAACAAAATAAGAACAACAATCAGGTACTAAAACTTTTTGTCTTTGAGGGCAGTTTTCCCTTTAATGGTAACTGTGCACTGGTGACTATTTAGATAGCGTGCCTTTTTCACAAAATTAAGCACCAAACATTTGCATAATTAAGAGTATGGTAGGTTAGGGTAAACAGCGGTCACAGTCATTCATCTTCAGGGCTCAAAAACTTCATAGCCATCACTTTACAGTGGCTCCTTCTTCTTCTTATATATGCTGTATTTTTGAACCTAGGTCCCTGCTGTGACAAGTCAGTGCTTCTTCTCCACTGCATCATCCATCAACTCACTCTGAAATATTTTTACCCCAGCAGTGTAATAAAGGAAGTATGAAAACCTGTGTGAACATGAAACATCTGATGGCAAACTCATCCAACCAATGAGATATTAATCCCCAGAAACCATAAACTGAGTTTAGAAGTTCCTTCTTAAAGATAATAATTTGTTTTCATGTCACTTTGAACACCTGAAGCAGCAGAGAACAAATCTCTGGAACAAATCCAGGTCTTTTAAATCAAGGGTATTTAATGAGTTTCTGTTATTATTATTACTGAAAGGTTTTGGCGTACAGGATGTTCTGGTATATGTTTTTGGTAAGGCATTAGAATTTTGCCCTGGTGTGATGTGTTCAAATGTCTGGCCAACATTTGTGAAATCCATGGATTCTTTGGTTAAGCTGTCAGCAGTGAAATAGATTTACACCGGCTCACCAGACAGGCAGGAGAGAACAAATTGTGTTGTTCCCTTTCTTCAGTCCTGTCAGTCACCAATTATCTCATTCATGGCATTTTTTGGCAGATTGTCAAGCTCGGCTTTTTGCCAGCTCACAAACCAATTTCACAGAGACATGCAGGAGTCTGGACTCCAAACCGAGCCTCATTTAACAAGAATCTCAGATGTAGATATTTTATGAATCGCTGTTCGTGGTCAAACGGGGGAACATTTTCATTGGATGGGTGTGTTGGCTTCCCAGCTTTGTGGTTAAACAGCTTCTGAGCTCTTTTGTTTTTCCTCCATAACTCTCTCATTCCAGCGTAGACGAAAGAGGAGGGCACTGCCTGGAAAAACTGCTCCCCTTTCAACACTCCTTTCTTCATAACTTATACCAATGTTAACATACAATGTGATTTCAGCCTGCAATCTAACATTTCACCACCAAATGTATCATCAGACTGAAAGTAAGCCTCATAGATCAGTCAGCTGCTGGCTGGGATTTGTTGATAACCTTGCAAAAACGGCATCTATGTGACATCATATGAAATCTATTTCAGGTTTTACTTCTGTCACTACACTCAAGGCACAGCTCCCCTAAATAGCTCTTTAGCCACACAACAAAACAATGACAGCGGGTTGTAATCTCTCCCCAAACAGTGAAAACTCTTCAGAAGTGTCTCTCTGTGTCGGTCTTATCAGCACAGATCTTATCCTGGTCGTCTACCATAGATTCAAAGGAAACGTGCTGTAGTCCCAGCTATAAGTAAGAAAAGCCTGCTGATGATGAAACTGCCTCATGTTGTGAGGACAACACCAGCAGCGCAGGAATCTCTGTGCTCATTAGCTATCATTCGACAACATTATGAGCCTCTGGCACCAAAAGCTAACCTTTTGAGCATTCCAGTGTAACCTTCATTTTGACAAATGACTTTGAGCCAAGTCTTTCTTTCCTGTGTGTCGCATGTTTACATTTAAGTCAGCAAATGAAGAAGAAGACGACATCATGTGTTTAGGTTAAAAATAAATATTAGCCCATCACAAATGTCTCCAAAATAAATGCTGTCGTTTTTTGGCTTATTCCATCCTTCAGCAGAGATCCGTTCATCTGTTTTTGGTGAGTCCCAGTCTCTCTAAATGACTTACAAAGAGGCCTCACAAACAAATCACCTCTTATGAATTCCAGAAAGTCAGGAAATCTCAATTCTGACTGACTTTTGCAACGGTTTCAAGCAGATGTATCATACATAAGGAATTTTTGGATTTAAAATCCACTTGAAATAAATCATCAGATTATTGGCGATAGGAGATGTGATGATGTTGTTTCAGCAGGTTGCTTTCTACCTGCTTTTGCTCTCGATACTGGCTGTTTGTCTCAACACACTAAAACTTTCTGAAACATGATTGGTCGATGTCACTTTTACCGCAATCTTACAACCAATAGAAACCAAAACAATTCAGATGCAAAAATCCACACCCCATCTTTAGAACCTGTGATTATACATCTGCTCTCAATATTGCAATGGTGGTACATCAAACATGGACCCTTAAACTCAAAACCAAGTTTCCAACAGAGCACTGAAACTATGCAAACTCAAGGTCCTGACATCATAACAGATTTGTTCACCAGTGATCAAACCCCACCAATCAAGCTAACCAAAAATGACTGACTATCATTGAAACTTAACATAAGGTATAATCAGATACACTTCACTGAAGTTACTCTTTTATATTATTATGTATGATCAACAAGGATGAAGCAATTTGCAACTTGAGACACAGCTGCATCATAAACCATCAGTGCATTAGGTTCAAATGTCTTCAGGAAGTCCTACTTCATAAATATATGTGGGATGATTATATATAGATGACTGTATGACACATTAAAAAGCTCCTTATGTACTCAGAATTTCCATTTGATAAAGTAGATGGCACTCTCATGTATTCTGGCAGATTCTCACCCCCGTGTCTAACCAGATAAGATCATTTTACAGGCAGAATGAACACACTCACTTCACCACTTTCAAATTAATCAGATGTTGTGTTGATAACATAAGACGACCTTCTGTCTCATCACAGGGTATCTTGAAGTTGTTGTGATAAACACATTATGCAAATGAAGACCAACAGTGAGTGAATTAGACAGATTGTTGAGGATGATGTCGGATCTACAGGTGAGATGCCCCTGATGATGTTCTGTTGCAGGTGTTACAACCCTCAGTGTGATATTTCTGAACTTCTGTTGCCAGGAATCTCACTGAAGGAAAGTCTCACTCATATTGTGTTGCAACCTTGTGAATACAGCTTACTGAGAGGCTACAGTTAGTTTTAGCAGAACTAAAAGTAAAGCAACGTGTCTGTTTTTTCTCTCATAGTCATATTACCATGAAATGGGACAAATTAACATCTCAACCAAAAGTCAGGGGTGACTATGACACTGAATCAGTACAAGCAGATTGTGAAGTTTGTACTTCTTATTATTCAAAGAGTTTGGAGGCCTAACAGAGTTGATTGTTTTGTCCTTTTTACACTTACTTTTGGCCTTTGAATTTAAATTGCATTCATCAATTTGGCAGTAACAACACTCCACATACAGGCTGATATATTTCCCTGAATCTGCTGGGTAAATAAGAAATTGTGTCCAAGCACTTTCCCAGCAGATCAAAGGAGAATAATAGTTTTATGACCAGGCAGGATATTATGTGTTTATGAATACGCCCGGGTGAAAATATACAGTATACAACTTCAGAGGAAAGATCATTTGGAAACAAAACATCTCCACAAAACAAAATGTACTAAAACACTATCATTGATTAGTTTTAAGGCTTAATAAGTCTGTTTTGGCAGGATTTCCAAGTATTAAGTGCATAAAAATAGTTGCTTTTGGCACAGAAGTATACAGAATTTGGAGTTTTTCTGAAGAAAATCAAAGAGGGAAACAGAAATTACCCATTTGAATATGTCACATGTTTTACTTCTCTATATTTTAATAAAAATTACACTGAAACAGATTAGATTTAGACCAACCTCTGCATCAATCAGAGGACACAACCTCAGGGTCACTTATAGTTAGGGCTAGATCATAACCTGATTATGACAGGTCACAAACTACAAACACTGGCAATAGACCTATTCTCAATTATGGTGAAAATTTAGGTTTTAAAAACTAGGAAGGAACATTTACTGACAGCGTTCCTGCTACAGGGCAGAGAGCATGAAAAAAAATGTTACTGCTGGTTTATGGGCATTTAATCCTTCACATCTGTGAATCTGCAGCCACAATGTCAGGACCACTGAGGGTGTGCCAGTGATACAAACCAACAGGCTCAGCTACAGCAGATGGTCAATTACATCCTGGCAATGTGGGAGAGGCCATGGCACGGGACCTAGAGTCCACCAGAGACCTTTGAAACTTCTCTTCCATCACACTTATATGTTCTTTTTTTAAGTTTTGAAGCACTAGTATTAAAGACTGCTCTGAATTATAGGTTTGAAAATATCAGGGATATGCAACTCTAGCATAAGAGAAATAGATTTATACCAACCAACTACAACACAAATCAAAGCTTTTACTTCTCATTTCTTTGGGTTCTGATTCTCTTCATTGGGGAAGTACAGCTCAACATTTCTCAGCAGGCTAAATCACAGATGTAAAACAGGCCTGCAGGAGTTAAGAGAGCTTTAAAACAAGTGCCAACATTGACAAGAAGTCCCCTCTGAGAATGGACCTACTCCTTAATTCTTGATAAGATATAAAACTTGTGAGGAAGCAGAGGAGTAAAGCTTTGCTCCCACACCAACAACATCTGGTTTACTTCTATGGGTTCTGTCAGTGAGGACATGATGAGCCACAGCTGCTTTAAAGCAGCCAGAGGAGGAGGAGGAGTGTTTAGAGTAAGCTAAAATTGCAGTAAAAAGTCAAAATTTGAACTATAAAGATTGATGACACCTTGGTTGATTTCATGGGTTAGGAAAAGTGAGCAACATACCTAACAGGAGGAGTTTGACTTCTCTGGAGGATTTCTCTCTGTCCTCTCGCAGGTTTCTATCAATCATTTTACTCCTCTCCACCGCAGCCTTGTCCTCGGCGCTGATCGTGCAGCCCATTTTCACTCTCAAACTACTTCTTCAGTGTGGAGACGGTGGCTTCAGCAGTTCATGGGTATCAGAGTAACGCCGTCAAACAGCCCTCGGGGCGGTGTGAGCTGAACTTTCCCAGCCGAGGAGGAGAAGTAGAGAGAGGGGGGAAAGGCGTTGGCACCGGAGGCTCGACTGTCCAAAAAGATCCCACAGTCAGATGCTGAGCTCACAGCGCCGGTCCACACACTGATCTCTATGTCCAGTCAGTAAAATTAAAGCTACAACCCCCTCCAAAATATGATTCAAAGTATGTCCATTCAACTTATCTCCAGTTCAAACCCACGGGGGACCTCTAAATTTTGAAAAATACTGACACAAATTACTAAGTGGTAAAAGTTACACGAAAATGGGATATATTGACAAGCCAATCATTCGAAAGAAAAAAATAAAAGGAAAAAAAATTAGAAAAGCTACTCCGAAATTAGACAAGTTACTGCGCAGCTGCGCGTTCATCCAGCTAATCCAGCTGCAAACCCAGAAAAGGGTACTGAAAAAAGAAAATTGATGCGCCCGTGAGGGCTGACGGGAAATGTAGTCGTCTGTAAGCGACAGTGATCAAGTCTGCCTAATTTGGAGGGAGATAGTTTGCTAAAACTATGCTCACTTCTGACAAATTGTCGTGAAACAAAATAGTTTGTAGTTTTAAATTAAGGAGAAGAAATATGTGCACGTTGGTTCAGCAGTATTTTCATTGAGGAGGCTGTTGTGGATGCATGTGGTTTCTGTGATATTAGAGCGCCCTCTGTAGACTAATAGTTAACTTGCATGTTGGATTAAATGCAGACGCCGAATAACTACAAAGAAACACACATTTCTTCTCTAAGAAATGTGTGTTTGTGGAAATATGATTATGATCCTCCTTGTGGTCAAATTAAATAAATAAATAAAAAATACTCCTGCCTTAGGCAGAGTGAACAACAGCTTTGAGGTGCCAGAGGCTAAATTTAGGCCACATCAATTCACATTATGTAGCTGTTTTGTTGCTCTACTTCAGATTTGACTGGTGTGTTTTTTCTTTATGCTATTTTTAAACCCCCCTCTGGTTAGCTTACATCGTCTTCCTCCTAAATTTATGTTGACACACACTTAAAGAAGAACTACTGTTGAGACAGCAAGCTGACATGTTTGCAGCCAAGAATATGTTGATTCATGCTGAAGCCACTCAATTACACATTTATAATGTGGGTTATAGGTTAAAGCTTGCTCGATAGAAAAACCAAAGCAAGATCTGTAAAGATACCTTTTGACTGATTCACTTCCTATCTGAACCCAAACCTAGTCTATACAACAAACTTACTGAACATTTTTACATGGATTAAGACAATCCATATCTATATTGTCTCATTAATATGAAACAGATACCTCATCACTCAAAAATGTATTCTTCAGGCAAATGTTTTACAAATCCTTTTAACCTACAAAATCATTCATATTCCCAGTAGATACAAACAGAGCTTTATTTTTCATTATAAAAAGTTGAATTCAAAGGTAGGGACTGCAATAACGCTAATGATGACAGGCTTATTAATAGATCCCCTGAAGGTCCATAGACCTTCAGTCTACTGTACAGTATGTTTTTATGTACAACAATAATCTTCCTGCCAATCATCTGCAGCCTCTTTCTGCTCCTCCTGCCAAACACAGCCCTCCCCTCTGCCATCAGCTCACGTTACCGAGGCAACAACCGATCCCACTGAAGTCAGGATTTGGAGGTAACAGAAAATATGATGAGTGATTTTCCTCTCTGAATCAGTCCGGAAGACTTCTTACTGCAAATAGTTCCCACAGTCAATTACACACATTTTTTTATTCATGCTGTGGAAGCTGCACCTAAAGTCCACCTAAAGTCATTTCAGCTCTACACAGGAGTTTGGTTTGTGAGAAACATACCTCACCTCATCAACCATCTTTTTTCCTCTGCAGTGCTCCCAGTGTCCCCAGAGTGACATGATGCTGGCATCTGTCCTCGAGCACCTTCACCGGGCGTGTTGTCGCCTGTCATAAAGGTCAGGCTGTTTGGACTGAGCACTGAGGGAGCTCCACATGAAAGCCGTGAGCCAGTGCATGGGGAGCAGCACAGGAAAGGGTAAGTTAGGATAATCATAAAAAAAAAAAAAAAAAATAGAGGATGAGCCTTTGGTGCCGCTGAGCTGATGTCTGAATGAAACTCTTCTGGTTAAAAAAAAAAACAAAATGAAACACTAATTACATGCCAGAGTGGAAATTTTACCACCAAATAAATACCTCTTGATGTGACTTTGAGATTGCTGGTCAAATTTGCAGATTCTTTGTTTACACAGTTTCATATTCCTCTATTTTTTCATGTCTGATTCTTTGGCTGACATTGTTTACAGTTCAAGTTTATTCAGAGCATCCTTTGTGGATAAGATGTAGCATCCTCTAAATGTCATCCCTCCTCTGTCCTCTTTTTAGGGCTTCTCTTCACCTTGGTGATGCTGCACACCCTGCTTGCACCACACAGACACAAACTCCTAAACACACACTGGGGGAAAGAGAAGAAGGAAAAAGGAGAGGGGTAGTAAAATGACTGACAGGATTGATTATGCGATGAAAAGCGGGTATTGATGTAAAAATGTTTCATAAGTACGTCAACAGGCACAACACTCAAGTTAATCTTCTCTCATTGTCTTTAATCATTTCAACTGACGGCAAACCAATTCACAGGAGACTCTTAACAACGGGAAAATAAACCAGAATAATGAGGACTCCAAAAATGCTTTTCAGCTGAGGTAGAAAAAACAGAGATACAGAGTGGGAAATGATCATATGTCAGTGACTTGATGATAAATGAAACACACCCATGATTATCCCTTGGGAAGGTTTTCTGCCACTCACAGTAAAACAGATTGTTTCTCTGTCCTTATCATCAGTGGATGGTAGCAGAAAATAGAGTTTAAAGCGTATAATCTGATCGGCTGGGGCAATTTTGTTGCAGAAAACTAGCTGATTGAATGTTGGATTGATATGTAATCAGTATGAGGGGTTCTGGCTGTGTGATATATTACTACACTTATTACAACATCGTAAAACAAGAGGAAGACTTCAGACTATTTAAAGGGTAAAACCACTGTTTTTAATTGCTGGTGTATTTTTATCAAGGTAGTTTTATGCTAATGTGCCTCAAAAAGTACATGAATAAGCGTAGAATAACCGATCATTTAATTCGTCATAGCAAATAAGATAAAAGTCAAGATTGCAGAGCATTCAGGATTACGGCAGTGGTTTGTCATGTGCTCACATTTGCTTTTAAATCTCACTGAATTTTTGGCCTTTACCACCTTTGAACACAAAAGAAACATTTGAAAAGAAGACAACACGACAACCATGCCTAAAAAACAGCCAGCAACTAAATCTATTTCAGGAAATTTTAGAACATTTCACTCTGGTGTAGGACAAAGAAACCTTTTTTTTCTTTTGACTCTAAGCGAATGTCAGCCCTCTCCTGTGCGCCTTGTGTTGAACATCTTGTGATCACACAACAACACCATAAGTTTGTTCTGAGGCAGCTGAAGACAAGAAGAAAAAGAAGTAGAAAAGGGGCCACAGAAAGGGTTACGTAAGAGATTTGTGCCCCATGATTTTCTTTGGAACATGTGTCACTGCTTGTGTGACTTGTGCAAACTGTTTGTATCCACCTGAGATCAGAGAAGGTATCACCCATGTCGTCCTCTTGTTACTGAATGAGGCCAAAGGCAAAAGCTGCCATGTGTAAGCATGGCCTCACCTGTGTGCTGTGTAGCCACAACAAGCCTATGTGTTTGTGGCACAAACATGAGCACTTGCTCTGCGCCTGTGTTTACCTGTAAACGACACAGACATCTGAGGGGGGGAGGGGGTCTGCATTGAGCATTTTTTTTTTTTTTTTAACAAACCAACAGTGAAATGTGCTGAAGCTGAAAATTTTAACACCTTCTATGCAAACAATTTACAGCAGTCAGGAGTTTTCTTTGAGCGGTTGAAATCACAAGTTTGCCAGTGTGAGATTTTTTTGGTGCAGAGGTGATAATCACACGACCAAGAACAGATCAGCCCGATAACACATCTCCTGGAAAATGGTTATAATTACACCAGTCTGCCAGCCTGTTCTTTATGAATACTATTAATACTGGGGGAAGTTATTTTTTCAAAACAGTGATTATTTTGTTTATCTTTAATGGCTCTGCATGTTCAGATTGATGAACAAGCTGGCAAAAAAAGCTGCAGTATTAAACAAGCTCAACAAGATCAACAAAAGAACAGTTTATTAAAGCTGAGCTGGCATCCAAAGAGAGGGGAGAGAGTTTTGTTGTTTTTTTATTTCTATGGTTAAATCAATAATAACACATCTATGCAGTCAAAGGGGAATCTGCGGTATTACTGTTACGATTTAAATTGATTGTCAAAGGGCTTATTCAAATCCTTACAGACAAAAATGAGGGAACATCTTGCCCTCTGGTGTAATTAAATCTAAAAACATCCAGGAATCATTGGAGAGCAATTTAATGCAGCCAAATGAGCCACGACTCATCTCATACTGCAAGTAATATCCAGTTTTATGAATGAGTTCATTTTCAAAAGGATTGCTTGTGAGAACCACATATACACACTGATTTTCTCTGCTCTTTTCAAAAGATTTTCTCATGGCTCTTTTGGTTTTCCTTGAACTGTGAAAACTGTGGTCCCCTGTAGTTTTGGCCCCTCTGAGATTCATTGCTTCTTTCTGTCTGTTTCCTCTCTTAGAAACATAGTTAGGAGTTTCTCATTGTGCTTTTCTGAAAAGCACTGTTTTAATATGACAAGAGACTTACCAATTCAACAGGTTAAGAAAATATGAATAAAACTAAGTATTTATTACATTAGAAATGGCAAAGAAGACAGTACATGAGAGGCAGCTACAGCTCAGGAGGAGTTTTGCAGCAGTTTTCTGGGACAAGCCGCTCATTGTTCAGCTGTTGCCTCTGTATGAACTCTGAGGTTTCCTCCAGGATCTGCCCAGGGATGTTAAAGTCAGCTGGCGTGCTCTGTTGAACAGCTGATCCCTGAAGCCCCTCAGTCTCTGGCTCCAGCGGGCTTCCTCTGCTGTGAGAGTTGCAGGGCTCCAGATTGCATCCAGTGCCTTGAAGAAACTGCAAAAAGTTCTCCTCAATGGAGGCCTCGCGGCTGGCCAGCTGCTCCCCCTCACCAGGCCCGGCCCGCTTGAAGAGGCAGGCCAGGTGGCGACTCAGCTCTTCGCGGATCTGCCGGTTTAGAAAGCCATAGAAGAAAGGGTTAGAGGTGAAGCAGAAATAGCCAATCCATGTGACCACATCCTCCAGCTGGGCCAGGGAAACAGGAGAGGTAGACGTTGCTGCAGAGTAGAGATGGAGAGAGAAATATGGCAGCCAGCAGCAGAGGAACTGGCCTCCAACTGCCATCAAGACTACAGCTGCCTTTCCACCACTGAAGCTCCTTTGAGGGGTACTCCGTGCTCCGGTTCCCCCAAGGCTGGCTGCCATGGTGGAATGGCTGCTGGTAGACTCAGACCTCTGTCTTGGCGTGTCCATCCAGGTAGGAAGAGGACCGTGCTGCATAGCTGCCACCCGTGCTACTTTGAACATGTTGCAGTAGACCACCAGGATGATCAGCATAGGGCACAGGAAGTAGATGAGTGTAAAGAAGACCATGAAGAGCAGCCGGGTGGTCCTGCCCCCTGTCCAGTGCAGGGAGCAGTGTCTCTGACCCTGAAAGAGGACTAAAGAAGCCCCCAGACCCTGGTTCCCCTGCAGCAACCATCCAAGGAGAGGCAGCAACGCCATCACAATAGCTTTAACCCAGATTCCCACCAACACCATCACCACCACACCCACTGTCATCTTCACCTCGTGTCGCATCGGGTGGATGATGTAGTAGTAGCGCTCCACATTGATGGCACATATGGTGAGGATGGCGGCACTGACAAGACACACACTTAAGCAGAGGTAGCTGCGGCACAGTGTCTCATCCACAAGGACCCGGTCTGACAGCATCCCCAGTGGCATCAGGACCAGCGCTGCCAGCAGGTCTACCAGGCACAGGTGGAACACGAAGGCAAATTTTCTCAGCTGTGGTGTTTTGGTGATGACGATCATCACTGCCAGGTTCCCAACAACCGCCAACACGTCCATGATGATCATCACACACAACGCCAAAGACTGGTTCACATCTAACCCACCTCTGACGCCAGTGGCGGGCAGAGTATCGTTGGAGATATTAGAGCGCAGAGGCTCTGGTGATGTTTGGATGCTGGAGAAAGAACTGTTCCAGGAGGGACTGGGTGTGACAGGACGCTCCATGAGAGGATGGGATGAGAAGGAGAGAGTCTGCTGAAGTTCATAAGCCCATCACCCATCCTCCCCTGTCATAGGGTGTCACTGAGAAGCTCAGGCGGGGGTCTTTGTCATGGCAGCTATGTTAGGCATGACCCTGATGGGCGGCAGCTGTAAACTCACCAGAAGATAGAAGATAACTTTCAGGGGAGGTGTCCTTTTTTTTCTCCAGTATGGTCTAAGACCTGGAAAAAAAGATTGTTCCAATTAAAGTAAGAATTGAAAACAGATATTTGCAACATAAAGAAGGATTTTCATGAAATACGCTGCTTTCTGACTGTGGCAGTGTGAAGTGTGTAATAATCATTTCATCCACCTTCAAGATTTTTTAACTTTTGGAAAAATTTATGATATTTTAAATAAGATAATCAACCCGAATACAAACCAAACAACAATCTAGACAACATACTCTTCTACTTCCATTGCAAACACAGACACTATAATTCTATTTTTGTTTTTCCTCAGATCAAATCATAGACAAAAGTTGACACATTCATCCCGTTATCAAAACACAGTCTAGGTTCGTTGCTGTGATCCTCCACTGGTATGTATAGATCACGCACCTACTGCTATAAAGCTGTCAGAAGGGATGTATTCTGCACTCATTTGTATCCAGGGTCATAATTTACAGCATATTTGACATCAACATCCTCAGATGTGTGCTTTCAGGGCAGACAGTGCCCTGAGGGAGCAGCTCAGAGAATATAGTGTGGACCATATGTCCCTGTTAACAGAGTGAATGCTTGAATAAACGGTGAAACTCTGCCTTACAGAGCTTCCTCCCTGCACATTAGACCAAGCTTCCTCTGGATTTCTGAACCCATTCTGCTTCATTAAGCTGAGATCTAAAATCCATGCTATTGGCAGGAGAGCAGCTTTAGTAGTGGAGTAGTCAGGAGGCCCCACACTGTGTTTACTATCACAACCTCACCCAGACACAACCCCACACACTGTAAAAAGCCGTAGAACGAGCACTGGGCCTTTGGTACATTTCCATATGCTGCACACCTGCATGTCCAAGTTTTCCATTTCACAAGTGTGACAGGCTTCATCCCCGCACGGCGCCTGTTCTTTTCCTGCCTGTGTACGCACATTGTCGAGCACGACAATCACCTCTCACACACAGGTGCAAGTTGGCGGCTTTTTCTGAATAGGTCAAAGGGTTACAGTCACCTTCAGCCCAATTAGAAACAGAGAAGTAAATTTAAAACAAAAAAAAAAAAAAGAAAAGAAAAAAGAAAGGAAGCCTCTCTGCTGTGATGTAGTAAAAAAAAACGGTGGAGGATCCCTCTGGAGAGTCTTAGTCAAATCAAAATTGATTGTCTTACTGCTCTCCAGGGTGCAGGGTCACTTTGGTGCTCTGTGAACCGGTAAGATTAAACTGGTTGGACCAAAGGAAAAACATTAGCAAAACAAACAGTTAATGTAAAAAAAGCTTTGAATCACGCAAAAATCTCATGAAAAAGCTTCTGAATTGAGCTTTTTAAAAGTGGTTGAGTTGATCATGTAAAAAACACCAACTGAGTTATGTGAATCATAAGAAGACGAGCTAAGATTTAAGTACAGCTTCATATTTTAATCAAATCAAGTCAACTTAACTTTTGCTGTTCCAGTACAGAAGCCCCCAAGAAATTCACTCAAGGCTAGAACATAAAATTGCGACAGTCTCTGTCCGGCAGCAGACTTGAAACCATATGACCCCGTAATATCCACATGACTCAGTGTTTAAGAAGAAAAAAACAGCCTTTGATAGTTTTCCTTACAAAACAGTCTCCTCTGCAGCAGCAGCAGAGCAACAGTTTTAAATGTGTAAATGTGAAGCAGAGGAACCCTACGCAAAGATAGTATGATGAGAGGAAACACAGGCATCATCCCACATTTACCCCAAAACACACATAAACAAACATTCCTCCTCACACACCCCACAAACAGACCAGGTGTGTATGGCGATATGTGTGTAGTGATAAATCGGTGACATACCTCGGTGTGGAGAGGGGCTTCTTCTTCTCTTGCAGGTTCACCATCAACTGAAGGACTTGTTTCGCTCTCCCTCCCGCACACAGTAAACACACACACATGAACACACACACACTACGTCACAGAAAGAGAGCGAGGTGCTCCTGTGTCTCCTCCTCACCTGGCCCCCTTTCATCTCGTCATCACCTCCCACTCAACAAGCTGACCGCCCACCTCTCCATCCCTCTGCACACGTACGCCTCATCTTCTTCCCCCTCCTCCCAGCTCTTCTCAGGAATAGGTCTCCTGTCTTCCAGCCAATGATGCACACACGCGCACTCCTCCTCTTCACACTCACACACACACTGATGTACTGACTCCTGCTCACGTTCTGTGACTGCAGAGCTGTGCAGAGCAGGAACACAGGCAGGCAGGCAGGAGGCAGGAGGCAGCACCAAACCCGCCGCTCTCCACTGGGTCTTAGTGCCTTGTCATCTTTGGGCTCTTCTCTCTTAAACTTGTCCATCTAATCCCATACAGGGGTCAAGTCGGGCCCCACTAACAGCTGTGAAAGTGGCCAATTATTAGGAGAGAAAATCACCTTTATTCTGCTTATAAGCATTTCTGTAAATATCTGCCTCTTTCTGCTCCCCTCTGTGCAAAATCCGGCAAAAGCTGTCTCACGAGGCAGGATTATTGATTTACAGAGAGGGAAAGAATCCTTGGGGTTTATGTTAAAGAGCTGAGATTAACATTTACAAACCTACAAAACATACATATCACACAATGAGTTTGTTTACCACTGTGGACTGAGAAGCAGAATCTGCAAAGAGTGCGTTCACATCTTTTGGGTAAACCTTCACCTGGAAGCAAAAATAAGAATTTCATCAATTTGATAGTTTGATTGACTAAAATTTGGCTCACAACAAGGGTTCATGAAGAAGGCATGGATTGAAGTTATATGGACTTGTACAGAATAGCTTTGGGTCAGTTAGCAGGATTACACAAGACCTCTGATCTGGGTTGACAACACATCAGTTTTTGGATTTTTAAAATAAATTTAAAAAAATAATCCATATTAGCTGATGACGGAGAAGAATTGGTTGGGCTTGACTGAAGTCATGAAATCATCAGGATATGAATTTTAGATTTTGAATTTAAGAGACTGCAAGAATCATCAGATGTGATGGGGTAAATGTGAGATGAGCCATTTGTCTTTATTTTCATCACATTATCTTTATGTAGAGGTCTTTTCCCTCTCATTTGCTTTCTATTTTAGCTTGCATGCTGCTGTAGAGGAGTCAGAGCGTTGTTAAACTGAAGGAACAAGAGGCTGTTTTTCCTTTTTAAACACTGAGTCATTTGCATATTAAAGGGTCATATGATTTAAAGTCTGCTGCTGGACAGAGTCTGCTGCTGCATTAAACCAGCTGAACAACACAAGGTTTGCAACAAAAGGGGATATTGAAGCTCAACAGGCGGTTGCTTTTAATGCAAAACAAATTCAGCAAAATAGTTTTAAAAAATGGAATAAAAACATCATTCAGCGAGACACAGCAACCGCAGCTCTGCCAGTGGAAAAAAGAAGAGTCAAGAACCAAACAGGAGCTTTATTGATGTCAAAAGATGTAGAGAAAACTGTTTGTTTTTCCAGTTGATGTGGACATCATATCAGTTTGTCTCCTAAACAGACTTTATTATATATATATATATATATATATATATATATATATATATATATATATATATTTGTATATAATGAGAGATTTAGAGCTGAAACCGAATCCAGGGTTTTATATATATATATATATATATATATATATATATATATATATATATATATATATATATATATATATATATATATATATATATATATATATATATGGCCTTTAGTGTATATATATATATATATATATATTTTATTATATATATTTGTACAGTTTTATGTGTCCGTGCTGTATCATTGCAGAGGGTCTGGGCTTTATTTTCAGGCTTTCTTGTCACAGCTCTAAAAATACAAGCTCTTCCTTCAGCACGAGAATGAATGGATGGCTCCACACATCTGGTTAATGTGACAGCTCTCTTTCACGCTCTGTTTTTCCTTGGAATTCATTCAATGTTGTAGCTCGCTTAGAAAAAAAAAACAACTGATGAGTTTGGTCATTGCCCTTTTTTTGTTCCCATAAATCAATTGGTAAATTGAACACATGTTGATTTATTGATCCAGGAACTGTGTTGCTGTTTAATGATCAATGGCTACTTTGTCTTTTTTTTTCGCATGTTTTGTGCAAGACGATTTGGTGCTGCCGTTCCTGTGAGGCTTCATTCACTCGTGATCTGTAAATAAAGAAATGTGACTTGGGAGGAAAATTTTCCTTAGCGATAAAAAAAAAAAAAACCTTGAGAATCTCATATGTGATGACTGCATTACTAGCTCTGAAGATAGAAACTCAGAGTAGTGTATGTAGGCACTGTGTGTGTGTGTGTGTGTGTGTGTGTGTGTGTGTGTGTGTGTGTGTGTGTGTGTGTGTGTGTGTGTGTGTGTGTGTGTGTGAGTGTGTGTGTGCGTGTGCGTGTCTTGTGACTGCGCTAATGTCTGAGGTGTTGAATAATGACGGAAATAGCAGATACTTGCTTGCACCCAATCACAGTGGAGGAAAATACAATGGTTTCCATGGCAACCCAGACTTCAGCCTCCCTAT